TCTGGTGCTCTGATTCTCGCATCCTTTGTGGCGATGGTCTTCCTTCCCATCGAGACCCGCGGTAAACAGACACTCTAAAATCCATGAATGTCGACGATGCATTTCCATGGCACCGTCCAATTCAGCATTGCATTGATTCGTCTCGCATCAAACAATCACGCGACGAATATATGACTATACGTGGTGCACGATATAGAAGAGGACGCAAAGCACAGTATTCGTTCTCCGTCACCCCTGATCTCTCTATATGGCATGGTTGACTCCAAGCCGAGAAATCAGATCCGGCCTGGCGCCGGCGATAAAATGGGGGCTCAGACTGTTCCCATTTTAGTACATCACTTTTATTCTTTTGTTTCTATACGGAGCTTGTCTCCTCTGTGAACATAATGTGCAAGATACCATCGTGACTTTAAATTGAGATTATAATCGTAAAGTGTTCCTGATGAAACGGTAGAGAGCTTCACTTTGGAGTTATTGGAGGATAGATAAACCCTTGCAGAGAAATTATCACATCTCCAGGTCTATTTTGCGCCAAATCAGATCCAATTACACAGCGAGCAGACAGCACAACCCAATCTAACAGACCGTCGATGCAAAACCTTGGGAAGCTCACTTATCACATCTCAACGAAATGGCGGAAACAATGAATCGAGCAGCGAATCTGAATAATCCAGTCCAACCATGAGGACCATGAACCAAGCAGGATTGCAGTGGGAAAGAATATTCATAATATAGAGCACATTGAAAAGAGTTTGTTTAGCATGTATTCCCTAAATTTCGAGAACAAGATAACTCCAGCCAGATCAAGTAACCCCGCAGCAAATAATCAGAATGAGAACAAAAACGAAAAAAAAGAACGACCAAACGAGCCCATCCCTTTCGTTCCCAGTCAAAACCTTGAGGTATGTATGCTCTTCGCCGAGACCATAACGCACGTACATGAAGCAGACGGAAATTGAGAAGAGAACAAGAGAGCAAGAAAAATAAAAATGATGAATCATGTATGTGAAGAGTGCAAATAAGTCATGCAACATCGCTCGTTAAAGCACATGGAACAGAAGTCGAAGACGCTTGAAAACAATGGAACTTTCATTCGTGTACAAAATTCCTGTTTAGGCGACTGGTTGACCATGGTGACGGCGGCCGCGCTTCTCAAGCAATGTTGCGCCGTCCAAAGTGAGTTCGAAGGGCTGTTGCACTCGGCCGATGCTGCTCTTTGCGGCGGCAGCGACCTTTGCGTCGTGCTGGCCATAGCCTTGCGGCTGGCGGTGTTGGCGACCAGCTTGCCGGGCTTGTGCGGCGCTGCTTTGGCCAAGGTTTGTGGAGCGGAGCTTGGCGTCGATGCCGGCCATGTCGCCGGATTGCTGGGCTGCGGACTTGGCGACCTTCTGAGGTGGTTGGCCGGCGGCTTGGGCACGATAGTCGGGTTCGTCGTCGTAGGTCTCGTTCAAAGCACCCAGGGCGTTCTGGAAGCCCGCGGTTGGGTTGTTGCTACGTGCGCCAACATTGCGTCGGCGTTTGCCTTCCTCTTCTTGGCGGTGGACAGCGTAGCCAACGTCGAACACTTCGCGTAGGTTGAACGCGCCTGGTGAACGGAAGTCCATGCGGCGTTGTTCGGAGGCGGAGGTTGGAATGTCCAGTGAGGCTCGGGTGCTGTGAGGCTGATATGGGGCTGACTCTGCGCCACCAGCTTCCATGTCGAGAGGGTTCTTCTGGCGAACTTGGCCAAAGGGCGTTGCCAGCGGGGGTGCGTCGGCAGCGGCGGTTGTCTCTTCGTCGGTTCCACGGATCCAGGGGTGCGCAAGGAACTCCTTGATGGTGTATCGCTTCTCGGGGTCGACAGTGAGCAAATGTGAGATCAAGTCCTGGGCGGACTTGGATATGTCATCCCACCACGGGGACAGGAAAGTGTACTGGCCACGCGCGACCTTTTCGGTAAGGACCTGGATGCTCTCGTCATAGAATGGAGGGAAACCACACAGCAGCGTGTACAGAACACAACCCATAGCCCACATATCAACACTCTTAGAGTAGCGCTCATCCTTGACAATTTCAGGTGCCGTGTACCCAACGGTCCCGCATGGTGTCATGGTCTGGCTGTCCCAGATGACCTTGGAGAGACCAAAGTCGGCGATCTTAATCGTTCCGATACCACCTGAGCCAACTCCTGGGATGAACTCTCCTTCGTCTTCCTTGTCCTCATCCCCCGGCTGCTTGGGCTGCGGGGTTTTGCTTGGAACAAACGGAGTGGGGTAGAAGAGAATGTTCTCGGGTTTAATATCACTAGATGATAGGTCAGCTTCGAATCGATCGAATCATCATGATTTGCACGTACCGGTGGACAACGCCTGATGTCTCGTGAAGATACTCAATGGCGTTGGCGACCTGGGTAATCACATGTCGACTGAGATTCTCACTGAAGTATGTCAATCGGACGATCTGGTGGAAGAGCTCGCCTCCAGGGCAGAGCTCGAGGACAATATAGTAATATTGGCGAGACTCAGAAAAGTCAATCAATTTGGTGATATTGGGGTGATCAAGGTTGCGCATAATTTGCACCTCCTTGAGAATGTTCGCTCGCTGCAGTGCACATGTCAGCAATGGACCAAGACGAGAATTTGCAATAAATGCATATATTAACAAGGCAGCAAAAGTCAATACTGCCAGGTGAGTTGGAGTGTGGGCTAGGAAGAGTTGCGCACCTCCGCAGCCTGTGGGACCTTCTTGACGGTAGGATGAAGAGGGTCGGACTGCATGTAAAATGTTGGCGATGGTTCTTTTTTTTTTTTCCAATTCTTTCTTTCCCATCGGGAGATGATTGACTCAAGCCATGCAACTTTGAAAGCAAAGGAAAAGGAAGGAAAATACGACCACCGGTCAACCTACCTGATTACTGTTCATCTCGAACTTGCGCACCACCTTGATGGCCACTTCGTTGAGCTGCCCTGTCGAATCTTTGGCGCGATAGACATTGCTGAAAGCGCCATCGCCCATCTTCTCCACCAAAATCCAGCGATCCAAACCAGGATACTGAGGCATCTTCGACCGATTCACATTCTCTTCTGCCACCAAGCGTTCGATTTCGACGGATTGATCCCGCCGAGTTTGCTCTGTCTTTGGGGCGGCAGTCTGCCCATGCCGATCGCCGGTATCAAAGGCTTCAAGCGCGGGAGAAAATTGGCCTACGGGTTGCGGTTGCTGCTCTGCGTGCACCGTTGAAACGTCGGTAGTGGGTTCGGCATGGGGAGTGACTAGGCGTGCTTGTTTGCCGTGCCGGATGAAATTCTTGATGTTCTGTATCGTACTCATGGCGGGCGAGTCTGAGAAAGAGGAGGAGGTAGGAGAGGAAGAGAGGGAGGTAGGGAGAGACTGAGACTTTGAGACCTCCGTGATGTCGGTTCAAGGGGGGCAAAAAAGATTGGAAAGTTGGGAGAGAAAGTGGAGGAAGTGGAGGTGGGGAGGGGGGGGGGAAGTTGGTTAGTTGGTTTAGGCCGGAAGACGTTTTTTCTCACCCCGCTATAGAATCAACCAGCGAGATATAGGATAAAAAAGAAAGAGAAAATTGTGGACGAAGCCAAAAAAAGGGGGGAAAATAAGAAGCAGAGAGATGAGGTCAGTCCAGCCCAGGCGATAAACTGGAAATCTGTATTGGTAAGTTGGAGGGGAAAAAGGGCAAAAAAAGGAAAAGCCTATGACGACGTGGGATCAGCGAGCGATGTCATCGCCTTCTTTTGCGGGATGGCCAGGGCCATGACGACAAGGACCGCCACCAAAAAGCCCGTCATGAAGGTAATCCATATTAAATATATCATAAAGGGGCTCCAAGCTTCGAGTGTCTTGTCTTGCCATGGTGGTCTTGATTCTTGAATTTCAACGATGAGCTAGTGATGAGCTAGCGTCGACGTGGTCTTCATCGTGGGCGATACCACTACGCAATGGGCTCTATCCTCCAAGTATACCTAGACCTATACCTCTAGTACAGGGTCTCTCGTGTACATATTGTCGACAGTTCCTCGGCCAATTCGGAGCTACACAAAGCCCGTTTCCGTGAGTCTGGGTGTTTGCCGGGATGATATCAAGGCCATACCTTGTGTGGAGTTCGGATATCGTCATCTTCGCCACATCCTTTCCTTTCCCCCCCCGGGATGCGTGAGCTCCCCAGATCCTATTTGCACGGCTCGCCGGACCGTGAGGGCAACTAGAGACGCATCAACACATCGACGCATCGACGCATCCATACTGGAATGTGATGGGGATGTGGCTGATTTGAAGTGAGCTGCATCAAGGGCCAAACATGGGCCAGACATGCCGTTGAAGATGCAAGGAGGGAAATAAAGATGAGACACTTGAGTCAGCATAGTTCCCTGGATCCAGGGGTCGCGCAAAGGTGGAGATCGCCTACTTGGGCAGTCTGTATACTCTGTAGATTGTAGATTGATCTGGGGTTGATCTGGGTTGATCTAGGTGGAAAGGTGGATGATTAGAAGGAGTGGATGAGTGGATGTCTAGAGGTGTAACCCAATTATGAGGGTCAATTCGGAGGAAGAGGGGCCATGTCTGCCATTGTGCACTGATACACTTTTGAAACGCCTGCGCCGCTCTTTGTCTCGATCTTGCTTCCGCGGGTTTTATCGGTACTTTTCTCTCCTTCTCCTGCATTTGGCATTCATCATCTGCATCTTGCAGTCTGCGGGTTCTACGTGTTCTACGTGTTCTACGTGTTGCTCGCCTGCGTTGACCAAAATTGACTCCCCCACCAGCCACGCCCTTACGCCTCCCACAGGCTGCCTCACTCTTCTTTGGCTCTGCACCTTATCGTTGACTCGGCCTTGACATCCCCTTGCATCTCGGAGATCCTGCGATCTTCTTGACACCTTATCTAGCTCGGAGAAGCACGTCTTTGCGCCATGCGACCCATGCGACCCTCAACTCTCGCCATCTAACACCAGTCTTGTCATGAAAGAAATCTACCTTGCCGTAGTCGCATCCTTTTCCAGTAGTGCGCTGGTCAAATTCATCACGATCTGGTACCTGTCATCGTGCCCGGAGAGGAAATGATGGACGCATCGGTGGATTCAACGGGTCGACCGCTTTTCAGGTCCCACAAGGCACTGCCGCGGAGGGGCATCGCAGTTCCCAGCGTGGACGCTGTCCAACCGGTCTCCCCGGATCATCATCGCACTGTCACTGCGGCGCCCGTTCCTCCATTGACCCCGCCCGGAGCGAACCAGCAAGAAGGCATAGAGAACGACCGCACGCCGCGCAAGGCCGACTCTCTCTCTGAGAGCCTGACTGCAGGCATGTTGACACCTCGACGACCCTCAAAACCTCCAACGCCCGATGTCACGCCACCTCGCGCGAATTCTGCCAAGCGACCGACTCTCAACAATTTCGTACACCTATCCTCCTCGTCTCGCGCTGAGTCTTTTCAGACCGCCTGCGAAAGTGTCTCCTCTGATGGTGATATGGAAACGCTGGGCCGTTCATCATCGATCGCATCAAAGAAGATCAGACCAAGGGTGCTCTCTTCTAGGCGAACTCTATCAAACGGGGTCCGCGCGAAACTTACATACACGAAAGAATCGCCGCAGATTTCCCAGCCTCACAGCGAAACAGAATATGAAACAGGCTTCGAATCCTTCGATGGAGAATGGACTTCCCCCAAGGGCGATGGGTCTCCGACACCACTGGCCGGAAAGCGGAAAGGCTCGGAGACGCGTAATCGACCTGGTCAGAAACAGGCAACGGATAATGAGACGCTGGACGTGCAACATTTGAATGCCTCGTTGATGCGTGAAAAGAGCTTACGGGACCGTGTTCAAACTACCCCGGGACTGGCAATCACACCGTCAATGGAGCAGTTTCGTGAAGATATTGGATGGCCGTCCTCCTACGACCCTCCTTCAGGGGTGGATGAAGACCCTGACTCTCGTCGGTTGTCAGGCCTATCTTCGACATCCACCGTCGAAGCCATGATTATCGACTCTCCAAGACAAGCCCAGCGATGTTTGCGACACACGGAGAAGAGAAACTCTCTGCGCTCAGCGAGCTCTCCCATCACAAAATCTGAGCGCACGTCTACCACCTCTCATACCGATTCCCAGCGTCGTCTAGTCCACAAAGCTGCTCGCATCTCCGAAAACGATCGACGCAGCATCTCATCCGATGTCTCTTTCTCGGTCAAAACAGCCAGCAGTGCGCCTCCACCATGCGTGACCAGAATCCCCGTCGTGGTTGTACCCGAAAGGATATCATCCCTCAAATCAGGACCCAACAGCCAAGTGTCTTCCCGACAGAATTCGCAAAGGCTCTAATCAGCGACCTCTGGTGAACTCAAAGAGCCCTGCAGATGCTCTACAACAAAGGCAGCGAGCCATGTCTGACTCTGTGCCTGCAAGTTCCCGCGTGTCAAGCTCGAGGGGCCGCTTTTTAGGCCGTCCTGTTATTCCTTCTCGTAGCTCGTCGCTTTCTGCACCGACGAGCCGCACCAACTCTCGTACCGCGTCCCTTACGTCCGAAAGTTTGCGAAGCCACACTTTGGCCATGGATCTAGAGTTGCAGAAGCGTCGCGACCAGCAACCTGTCTCACCTCCCCGCCACAATATCTTGGGTGTTCACTCGTCAGGACTCTTGGAGCCGCCTAGATTGCCAGGCCTGGTCGTGACTTCCTCGGAGGATGTTGCGACTTTGCGGCCTCCCTCTTTGCCTTACACGCAGTGGTCAATACCGTCCTCTTCGCCTGGACCAGTGGAAATTCATGAAGCTAAGGCTGTCAGCTTATTCCCACACAACAATCGATCCCTCCTTCTGGTTGACCAGCGGGTGCCGGGTGAACTACAAACCGTTCGAGTGTTCCAGGATGGTATCTCCGATCGCGAAGCGTTCCCGCAAACGCCAGTTGCGCCGATTGGAACAGCACTCATGCTGGTAGATTCTCCGTTGAAGAATCCCCGCCCTCCTCCCAAGCCTCCCATCGGCAAACCCCTCCCACCGATTCCAACACAGGAAGAACACGCGGTCGTTCGCCAAAATGACGATGGCCGAGCGCCTGGTCGTTGGGGTTCCGTTCGTCGAACCTGGGCTGCGCGACCCCGATCGGATTCCTTCAACACGCTTGTCCGGTCTCTTTCAGTGCGATCAGCGAAGAACAGGACGGCTGGCGTGGACATGGACAGTCGTCTTCATCCGTTCTGGCGCCCGCGTGGGTTCTGGGAAGATGGGCGCGGGTCTCCCATCAAAGACCGATCAGGTCGCCAGAGCCCGTTGAAACGAGACAACTCAATGGTAGTCAACAATTCACTCGGTTTGCCTCAGCACCGTGTCATCATTGAAGGACCGGCTGCTCTTGCGCGACGCAGCCCCGAGATGAGACGACTCTTCCATGCCAGCCACGCCAGCCTAGTCCGTACCGGCTCTCCATTGTACCCAACTCGCTACCACGCGCTTTCCCAATGGGGACGACGTCTTCGATCAATGTCGTTGCGCAACACGCGAGCCCGCCTGCGACGCATTCGCCAACGACGCGACGAGAGAAAACAAGCCGCACGCCGCGAGAACCTCAAGCAGATCATCGGCTTCCCAGTCTACGTGGCGTCCAGCGCCACCAATGAGGTTGTGCGCTGAAAGCTACGTTTCATGCTCCGATATGTTCAAAACCCTGACTGGACATGTTCCAAATCACCAGATACCTTTTACGATGCATCTGGGAGTGAACGTCTTTTTTTTTTTTTTGGTTTTTGCCTTTGCTTATTTTCCTGAATTTTCCTTTATATGGGTTTTTTTCCCTCGAAAACGACATCTACGAAATTTACGAACCAACCATGACGAATCGATGATTTATGTGAAATGCCTTTCCTAGGCTCCTGAGATGTACCATAAAGATGAGGTCTAATGCGTTGGACACTTTGCATTTGCTTCTTTACAACATGAAATGTTCCGAATATATAGCTTCGATATAAGACATGCTACATACATGTGCTTAAACCCCACAGCCTGGATTCATTGCGCGGCCCAAATTGAACGCCAAGCAGCCCGTAGGTCTCGTATATGCATCATGTAGGCAAGCATTCAATATTTCCTCCTCCCTCCCCTCCCCCGTGCTCTCCCACGGGGAACACTCGATCTGCCCCTGATGGCCATAGACCCGTATTCGGCCTCTTGCTCAAGCCTACGCCTCCTCTGCTCGGTTGTCTCACTTCCGCTCTGTACGCCTCCCTGACTGGTGCCCTCATTCTGCCTCGACACGGCCTGTTCCTTTCGTTTCAACATCGCCTCCCACACAGGCGGATCGAGGAAGGGCTGCGGAGGAACCGCAAAGGCATATTCTGTGCACTTGTATTTCTTTTCGTATTCCTCTTCCTCTTCGATCCCTGAGGCATTTGCGGCGTCTTGAGCTGACGGTCTTATGCGTGTCTCAGCAGGGACCGCGCTCGGGTTCAGCACTTTGGCCACCGGTTTGCGGCTGGACCCTGAGCTTGGAGGTAGCAGCGCGCGTTTTTCCGGGATCAGGAGTGGCCGGAAGGGCATGGTGAATATGCAGTAAGGTATGAAGATGAATGGAAGGAGAGATCTCGGTGCTTGGGAGGTATTGATGTCTTATCGCTTATCAGGCCCACTTTGGCCCATCCTCATAGTAACTATGGAGTCCGGGTTATTGAACTGTAGAATTGCTGAATAGCATTTAGCCTTAGGTAAACCCCCGTTCTGTGACTGTGACTGAAGAATCCTTCTTCTCAGTCGCTGCACACGCTCACTTCTGTCGCAGGCGTATCCTCAACCCGAAATTAGGTACATAGAATTCCTCGAAGGAAAGCGACCCCGTCAATGGCCCCGCCGAACCAGGCAGGACATCGAAATGCAGCAAGATATGAGCAAAGACGAGTTTCATGAGCGCACTTGCCATCCATCGACCCGGACTACGCAAATAGAGCGAGTCAGCCGATGATTACTCGGCCGAGATTGAAAGAGTCAAGAGAGAGCCAATGAGATTCCGATCAAACTCGAACTAGACTTACCAGGCATGCACTCCCATCCCGAAGACGAGATAATCGGGGCTCAGGTCAACTAGCCGCGTGTTTGAAGCACCCGCTGCAGCGCGCTTTGCGAATCGGAATCCATCGAAGGTTTCAGGGTGTTCATAGCTGGAAGGAGAGCGCTGGATCCGCCCGCTTGGGACCCCGACGTGCGTTCCTGGTTTAAGCACGATGCCTGTGCCGACCTGTCAGCTGAATCCAATCTTGCGGTGTGAAAATGGTTCAAGACTACCGTTGGAGAGCTTCAGCTCAGAAATACAGACTCGGTGAGCAGATACTGCTACCAATCAGCTATGGCCTTGTCCCAGGACACTGGTCAGATGGACACACTGGCTGCAGGTGGATGCAGGCGCTGACACTCTTTCATGAAAGAGTCGAGCAGAATCATTCGATCGCAACCAGTGACGGTCGCTCCCCATGCGGCGAGGACGCTTTCAATTTCTTCGCGGAGAGGCTGGATGTACTGTGGATGCTGCGCTAGCTCGGCCAATGCGCCGTAGAGACCCTGCTTATATGTGAGCTGTGCATTTCCTACTCCGTAGATTGAAAGTATTCACGTAGGCAGTTGTATAGATGAACGCAAATTGTAGAAGGAGCATTTCTCCGATTACTTCGGAGTAGGTCCATCGTTGGCGGAGAACTGAGCTTTCGTAGAGCCAGCGGAATATCTCGACCTGGAAATCGTCAATCTGGGGAGCTTATAGCTGTCATCTTAATATAATATGAAAAAAAGAAAAAAGGCAAAATGTACTGGCTTGTGCGTCTGTTCGGGATTGGCCTGATTCATATTATCGCCACCGTTTATCTCATTGCGGTACTCTGCAGCGCGTGCGTCGAAATGCTTTAGCAGGATTTTGCGCGAAGTGTGCATATTCCATCGTGTGCCCAGCGAGATCAATCGACTGACGAAGCCGCCGACATATCTGTCCAAAGTTGTCAATAAATGGGACTTGGCGACGGAGGTGTACATAGCCCAGCATACCTCTTGAGGCAATCTGGTATCAGGAACTGGACTCGAGTCGTCACAATCATTCCCAGAATATGATCTTTGACAGCTTTGAGATATTCCTCGTCTTGGGAGAGTCGTGAGCCAACCATGGCAAAGCTTCCACTACGGGCAACCACCGAGTATGCGAAATCGAAGCAGTTGACCATGCATTCTGCCACTTGTCAATATCATGTCCACATGACCTAAATGAATAAATTTACCGCCGTTCTTGAACTCAAGGAGGTCCAGCTGAGAAAGAATAGCGTCATTCATCGAGGGCTCATACTGGTCCAATTGCTTGTAAACCGTCCCGCGAATAAGGCCCGGTGTTGTTCTGGCAATGGCAGGCCAGCCGCCTCCCTTTGGGAAATATCCTGGCATGACATGGGATATCTGCAGCAACTATTAACCCAGTCAGTCTACTCTTGACAGTTGAGTCAGGGTGATAATCACCTGGTCAATCCATGGCTCGGGAGAGGTAACTGTACTCCTGGTGTTCTTTAGCTCCTCGATCAGCTCCGGCTTGCAGAGGATGATCTGTCCGAAGCGGAAAGTGCGTGGGATCTCGAACAAGCCATCGGAGAACTGGGAATATCCCCTCTTGATCAGCTCGGGACCATTAGCCACGAATTGGTATTGCTGGTACAGGATGGAAAGCAGGCAGCTCCCTGTTGCGAACGGAATCCGTTTCTATAAGTTCGTATTAGCCATGTTGTCTCGGCTTCATCGCTTTCATCCGATCAGAGATATGTGGACCAACATTAGCAAGGTGCTTTGATGTAATGATCGAAGCCAGTACTGTCATCAGAGCAAAGATCAGAGACACAGCAAGGAGTATTGCCATCGGTCCCAGTCGTGAGGTGATACCGAGACCGTCAGGCCAATAGATCGGCATTGAGATCATCTCGTCCATCTTACTCCGGACCCGATGAGTCGACAAAGGAGAATGAGTGAAGAGATTTTGAGTTGACGATAATTGATCATGCGCAATTATGCACGTCTCAAGGTTGAAACGGGCGTCCGACGGGCAGATCGAAGGAGAAGAAAGAAAAGTATTATACGGCGGGGCCTTATCGAGCCACTGGGCTCAAGGTACATTCGGTGATCACTGCCGACTCCTCTCGCAGCCAAACGTAATGAAATCAAACAGCACCTGTGGCACTGATCACGGGGATTGTATATGTGATTTCGAGTGCAGTGGCTGGGATGCCCAACCCTGGTAGTACATGCGGCTACATGGTCGATCGGACTAGTAATGGAACAGCAATGACAGGGTCGTGTTGGACCACGACTTGAGAAAAATCTGAAATTCGTATGAGGAAACTCGTCAAAAAAAAAAAAGCTAGACCGCCTAGAACAAATCCCCCATAAAGGTATCAGCGATTGAGAATCGCGTGGTATAATCGTACAAGCATATCATACCCGAGTAGAAACAAAAACGCCAGGTAAAAGAGAACGGTGGGTGACCTATGCGATCTGTGTCTCCATCCCGCTCATGGTTGAATATGAATATGGCAAGTCGACGAGGCCGTCGAGAAGCCAGTTGAGCGGATCAAACACTTCGTAATTCGGCTCAATGAATCCGCTTGGGAGCCCGCCGGCTCCATTGCTTGGTGCTGCTCCAACACCAAGGTTTGGCAGTATCGGGGTCGGAGCCAGACTTGGATCGCCACCGGCAATGCCGGGTGTGGATGATGATGTGCGTGGAGGGGCCACGGATGAGCCAACAGATGAGTCGGCTGTTGAATCTGGATTCGTCGGGTTCTTGAGGTAGGCTAAACAGGGTGAGTATGACCAAAGTAATCAAGCGTATGAGGGACTGACCTTCGATGTTTCGTCCCTTCGTTCGTGCGTCCTCTCGCCATCGCCAGACGGAGTCGAAGAGGAGAGACATACTCATGCGACAGCGAACCTTGAGCCTCAGCGAGTCATCTACATCGGCATTGCTTGTGGCTGACTGCTTCGAGGTGACTCCCAGTCTCCACATCTGAGCCAGTACCTCAGCCAGACGCTCCGGCAGGTCATTGTTCGAGACGGATACTCCACGAATAGCCCAGATGGTCCGATTGAACAAAGTCTTGGTGTAATCCATGTCAATATGGTTGCTGAAGAAGCTCTTACTTAGTTTGAGAAGAGTGCAGCCCGCTGCAACCATCATCTGGTAGACATAGTAGGGCGTGTACGAGAGGACAGGCCCAACTTCGGTTTCAAGATTCATGGCGACCTCGAGGAAAGATGTAGTCGCCACATAGAGGGAAAGAAGACGTCCGCGGTAGTCTTTTGCTGAAGGATCATCAAAGAATGCTGACAGATGCAAGTGAAGGTTGGCCGCGCGAAGGTATAAATCGGTGATGCCTGATGTCTTGTTAGTACCAAACCATGATCCGCAAAAAGAACTATAGTCTTACAGTCATTTTGTGACTTGAAATGCTCTTCAAGCTCATCAAAATCTCGCGAAAGAAATGAAATCATTGTCAATCGTTCTTGATCGCTGCTCAACCCGACAGGGTCCCGTCGGTTGGAGTAGAGTGATCTGGTGATCTTGTCGCAAAAGTTTTCGATCTCTAATCGGGGTTTGATGTCCCCAGGTAGCTTGAAGTTAACATCTGATGACTCCCCAGACAATGTCCAGTCATAGAGGCTAGAAGGTGGTTGGCCATAACCAGTGGAAACCCTAGAGAGTGTCAGGATAGCTCTTTTCGACTAGAACGAGGCAGCGTACCGTTGCGCAACAATGTTACAAATGGCCCAGGTCCGCACTTTGTCCCTTAGTTCCTCCTCGATGAGCTCTACACGGAATTTGCTGAAGTCCTGGCTGTGAGATGGTCGATGAAGACCAAGCTGCATAGCAACCTGCACCATCATTCCGCAGAGCATGAATGTTGGGTCGGTGGACGTGCTGCTGGTAGGGAATGGCCAAGAGCACAGCAGACACAGTGCTTTCACCACATGGTAGCTTTGAGGGATATCGGCTAGTGTACTCCAGACGAGGCGAGTGACAGGTCCCGCTAGCGAGGTGAGTAGACCGGTGTCACTCTGGTAGCGTCTAGCGCCAACACTGATAATGGTCCAGAAAAGCAAGGGAGAAGTGTTAAAGTAATCGTCGGCGGATTTTTGACGATCGAGGAAGGGGAGGAACGGGTGATAATATGTGAAAAATCTGTATGGACGTGTTAAACCGATGGCCCGGAGGTTGCTCAAGGTTCTTGCACAACTTGGAGGCTTACAGGTTGAACAATTCACTGGCTTTCTCTGGTACGACCATGACATCTTCGATGCGCTTGATCTGGGTGCCACCATTTCTCAAGTAGTTGGAGCTGTCGTATCCTGAACGAAGGTCCAGGAGGGATGCAACCGCCTCCTGGGAGCCCATGTATTGGTCTGTAGACAAGGCGGATGGAGTCTGGGTCTGGTAAATGCCTGCGGGGCTGACCTGGCTAGATTCCTGCTTAGGCGTCAACTGCCCTGGTGAAGCGTGCTGTTGCTGCTGGTGTACTGTTGGGACAGAGCCACCAGAGGCAATCTGCTTCCTCAATTCGATAATCTCTCGCTCCATCTCCGCATTGCGGCTGCGCTTTCCCACCCGCTTAAAATTAGATTCGATCTTGCAGTCGAGTTTAAGCCGCCGACACCGGGAACAATCAGACCAAGGGTCCTGAACAACATCGCATCGAAGCTGCAAGGAGGTTGAATTTAGCATGGGCGTTAGTCAAGGCATGTGGCCGCTAGTATCGCCACTTGCGGAATGCATGCCACGCGAGGCGGGACTCACCTTCTGCTGCCGACATTCATTGCAAGCGCGCTTGACAGGCTGTCTTCTCTTATCATCGCGCGAGTCGTTCTCGTCCATATCATCTATACTTCCCGGAGAGCTGTCCATGCCGGCAATGGTCACATTGCGTTTGCGACCCTGCACGTCGGAAGCGGACATGGCGACAGATGCATGATTAATCCCCGCCATCACGGGCCTTATGGCGACTGGCGCATTATCGTCCTTGGTGCTTCGTGCTAAAGTTGGAGTCTGGGACGCTCCAATTCCGTGTGATCGTGCGAGAGGCGCCAGGCTGATGACGTTGATGTGGGCGGAAGGATGATTCCGGGGCTGAAAATCTTAACAGTGGGCAGGAAATTGCTCCGGCTGTAGACTAATAGGCGCTCAGGCGCAATAGACGCTATCTTCTTAGGCAAATCAATTCAATTTTGCTCCACGAGTCAAGTTCGCAGGACAAGGTTCCCAAATGGTATTCAGTTGCGCCGGTGAGTCAGCCGGTCCCCGCATCTGGAGGTCACGTGACACACTGGGTTACAAGTTTTACTAGGTGCACATCACTTAGTCAGCAGATAGGTGATGCCTGTTCGTGCACAGTGGAGTATTACCATCAAACACCGAATGACCCGGCGCTAATGTGGCTGCCGGACTTGTGCTCTTGCTCCCCGGCAGACTTTTTGCACCACGGATTCCCGTGGGATTTTTTATCTCGCTCTCATAGATAACAGAGCGTATGTAGGAGAGCATATATCAAGAATTAATTAGTTCAGTCTCAAACCCCCCCAATTCCTAGTCTGCCAGGAGTTACAGTATTGCGGTAGCTCATGCATCATGCTTCTGCTACGTCGATGATCCACAACGGACGGCGGGTAACTCCAATTAAATAGTGGAAGATCGATGAGCTCATCGAAGTCGAGACCTGTTCCAAGGTTCTCGCTCGACATTGCCAGCCGTGTGGGGCATACAAAAGCAGGTACCTACTTATCATTTTGCTTCAGGTCCAAAGCACGTGAACATTTATTGATACAACTTCCAATGTAGACTTTGCTCTGAAATATAGCGAGCAACTACCCAGTGTCGAGAATACATCATACAATACCGCGCAGAACCACCTGAAAAAATAAAAGCAAAATCCTCCTATGTCAGAGAGCTTGAGTGCCGGCAACGACGCACTAGGCCTGACTTCACGCGATACAAGCTAACGGCTTGACACTTGATTTTCGAGATGTTGAGGTTGACACGGAGCTTATTCTGGCCTTTACAAAGGAAATATAAGCCTTATTGGCTGAAGCTCATCATGCTCGAATTTAGCCTCGACCGCCTTTGCAAGCACTTGTCTTCTGGAGATTGGTTCCACGAAAGAGATCTCAAATAGAGAACAGTATGTTCATTTGTAGATTCTGATGCCGGCCACGAGGTCTATCCTTTCCGTTACCATGATTGTCAAAATTAGAACTCCTCAAGGTCAAGTTATGTAGCAATTGTGAAGATCAACACCAGTCTACAAGAGAATCAATTCACGTCCGAGGATTTTTTATCATCGTGACCATGAAGTTAATGTAAATGCGCTCAAGCGCTTTGGCCTGTTAAGTTTTTCTAAGACTACCCCTGATATGCCTATTCCATACGCATTTACTTAGACCTCTTTGTATTTTGTTTGTCTTCCATATCTTCTTTCGAGCAACTCAAACTACGAGCTGACAGAGTATAGTTATCGCCCCTTTTCAGGTGCATTTGAATGAACGCATTAGTCGGCCTTTGAAACGAAAAGGATGCAGGTGTGCTTGATTGTTGCATAATAGCGAGAACGAGTGAAATGGTATGGATGATGTCATGGTTCCCGGTACCGCAATGGATGTTTTTGGGGGCGAGGCTATACATCGAGGCAGTGCACGGGCAGTTTGCGCCCGAGATCGAATTAATAATAATCCCATGTCCGCCGATCCATGGATCTTGCCCAGTCGCGGGGAGTTGCTTGTGGCCACTTGACTCGTTCCGGAAAATGGGGAGATATCATTCTGGAAGCTTGATCCACGCGCAAGGCTGAGCTAGGCGCACTCCGTGTTTCCTGGTTCATGCCGGGGCATACCAAGCTGGCCACCCTAGGCTGACTATTGGTGTATCTACGCCCGCCAGGGCACTCGACTCCCGGCAGGGTCTCGTTTAGATCTGCTGATCTGACAGGACCGTGGTTGGCCCCCATTTGCGACCACATCAGCACTGTCTTTACCGACGTCACGTATAAAGTGGTCGGGGTGGCCCAGGATTATCTAGTGTTGTCAACGCTCACTGCCCCTCAATCTGAAGACACACCGGACTTGAACTTGGCTTTCACTTCACACAACGATGGGTGTTTCCACGGGGACAAAGTCCAAAGAGGCCTCCAAGATCGATGGCGCTGTGGTCACCGAGAAATCTACTAAGCGGCCGCCTTCGTATAATCAGGCCGATGAGACAGTGCTTGCTGTGCCTCCACTGAACCTCGGAGGGACCCGTACCATCAACAACCCCGTATCTGCTGATCAGTGCGTCGCGCACTTGAAGCTCCTGGCCGTCCTAGCAGACTTGCGAGATTCCATCTCAAATAACGATGGCCTGTTTGGTCTCTTCGATGTCGAGGCCGAGCGCTTCCCCACTTCATCAAATGAGGCAAACGCTCGTATTCGCGAGAAGCGTTGGGCTGTGTACACGGCGCGCGCAGTGGAACGGTATACTAAGTGGTGGTTTAGCTGCTTGCCCCGCTCGCGTCCCCACGTTACTATAGATGATCTGGAGAATCGCGAGTATGAGACCATTATCGAGTCCCCCACGCAGGTCGTGTGGTCTCAGAATAATATGCCCCCAATCGGTCAGTCGAAAGCACCATTGCATGACGATCACAGCTGATTGAGAATGTAGATATTTTGATGGTATGGCATTCTCACATGCTCAACCCTCGAGACTTTCTCGAGGACTGCATTCGATATGGTAGGATGAGTACCTGGAGGACAGGATTCCCTTTCGAAATAATGAACAACTGCATCGACGATCGGACGCTGGAGTATAAGACCTCCGAATCAAGTCAGCAAACTTTCGAGAAACAAGTCAAGCTGAAGTGGGACAATCTACTCGATCCGCCTGGCAAGGAGCTTGAATGTCCCCGCTGTAAAAAGCCCAATACCGTGCTTTGGACGGAAGGAGGGATCGGAGAATCACTTCAAGAAGCATTCAAAGAGAATATAGGCTACGCTGATGCCTCTTTTGAAGCAAAGTGCCAACATTGCAACCTTGTCATCAATCACGACCGACTAAAGGTGGCCAAGTTCTATCAAGACGTCTTGAACCTCTCACAGTTGGATCAACCGATGCCTGGGTCGATTTACAATCTCGATGGTATTCCAGAGGGCCCGAAACCCGGTCGGAATACACTAGTCTGGAACAACATGATCTTTCCCAGTCGACTACTCGCAGCCATTGATCGGGATATGCTTGCATTCACTGACCCTCGTCTGGATCGGTGCAAGAGCATCGATGATCTCCGCTCTCAAATGGAGGTCAAGCTTCGCGATAGAAAGGTCCTCCTAAAAATCAACGGTCGAGGCCGAGGCCTTCTCCAAGGCGAAAGAGTACACTTCCGACGCATGATGTCTCACTACTGGGATAACAGTAGCCCCTTCGCCCTCGACCTGGTTGGCGCGGTGATTCGTCAAGGAACCTTCGTCCAGAAGATGGATAACATTGACTGGTTGCACTCACCAACCGTCATGGAGACTAGCGAACGGCTCATCAAAAAGTACAAGGTCTTCATGGATATTATGCTCCAGAATCCAACGAAGATGGCCGTCCCAACCCTGGACGTTGACCTCGCCTGGCACACCCACCAACTCCAGCCACGAAACTACTACAACTACACCACCATGGGGACATACCATGGCCACCGCCAGTTCATCGATCACGACGACAAAGTGGACGAAAACAAGCTCTCCGAAGGGTTCGAATGGACGAGCAAGATGTACCGCCGTGCCACCGACGGTGGTATCTACAGCGAATGCACATGCTGGTACTGCGAAGCCACACGCGCCCCAGACATTTACGACCGTCTATTCAGTATTGGGTCTTCATCGCGGGCACGCAATAACGCAGACTCCCTACACGATCGCGCGGATATTTCCTCCGACCCGGAACGAAACCCGCATATTTCGGCTCACAACGCCGTTCGTCCGACCAGCCGGGCCACTCAAGATCCCCGCGTGGGCCATCTCCAGAGGATTCGTCTCCATCAAAACTACGAGAAGGCCGCTCGCCGCGCTGCAAAGCGCGGCCGGGCTCGTGGTGATGCTAAATCCGCCAAAGATGGCGGGTATGAGCCGATGTACTATGCGCCGTATGTCTGGGGATACCCTGTTATTGTCCCGTATTATGCCCCATATATGTGTGATCCGGGTATTAGTGGCGGGTCTTATGCTTGTAATCCAGCATGTATGAACGTTAGTGCCGGTGGTGTTGGAAATTGCTGTTCTGGGACTTGTGGTGGGGGTGTTGCTGCTGGGTCATGTGGTGGTATTGGATCTGCTGCTTGTGCTAGTGGTACGTCGTGTGATCATTTCATATCATTTGTTCCTGAAAGGCCATTACTGACTCTTCATAGGCGGAGCATGCGGCGGAGGCGGAGGAGGAGGAGGATGTGGCGGTGGTGGAGGTGGAGGTGGTTGCGGCGGCGGCGGAGGTGGTGGATGCGGTGGTAAGTCTACTTCTTCAACTTCTTCAAGATTGGCATTGACTAATTCTCCTAGGTGGTGGTGGTGGTTGCTGAATCTCCACAGAGGTCATACTTATATACTTCTGAGGCTGCTGTCATAGCTTGAATCTTTGCTCATCTTAGCTCTTTAGTTTGTTGTTGCTGGATATTGATACCATTTGCTTTCTAACCTGCATTACAAGCCTCTTCTCATAGAATTTGTCTCACTTCCTCAATGAATTTTGAACAATCAAACCTTAAAAGTTACCGTGTCTCGTGGATCAGGGCAATGAGGGGATGGAAAGGGAAATTGACGTAAAGAATGAAGAGAGAGCGAGGTTCAAGAAGAGGAAGGCGATCGCGGAAGCAATCCCCCATCAGGGCATTTTCAATCTACTCATCGGGGTAGTACATACGCTGCCTGGATAGAGCAGACTAATCTTGGTCTAAGACAATTCTTCCCTGCTATCTAGTCTACGCTGCGAGGCTCTTCAGATTGCGTCTGGACCTCGTATGGAGAATTTACGCAACAACCTCAATCTCAAGAAGATGGCTTTCATTTGATGATGATTTTCACAGATTGGGTCTATTGGTATATGGATGTATCAAGGAATTCGAATTCAATTTAACGAGGGTATAGTTGCCCGATGGCGATGCGTGCGAACGCTACATGACAATGCATTTGCTTCTTCTTGTCCGACTTCGCTCCTGAATGGTACGTTCATTCCAATCTTCAATGCGTCTCCGCCATTCCTCATTCTCTGATGGGGGTAAACTGGTTGGCTCCGTCGAGACCCGCCGACGGAAAGACCTTTGCCTTGCGGGGATGTCGTCGTCATTGTCGGCAACGTCCAAAGCGTTGCCGTATGGCTCGGGGATGTGCAAGAGATTTGGGGATGAGACTGAGTATGGTAGATAGGCTTCACCAAGCATGGTTGCTCCTAGGGATGGCATTGCCATTACGGCATTCTGGGCCTGATCTTCGGCTGGGTGAACAGCTAGGGTGGGCAACGGTTGGACTGATGGGTTGTGGCCTGTGGCGCCGGAGACAGTTGGTGTTGTGGCTGTGTGTGGACGTTGAGGCCATTGGTTCACTGAGGCGGAGCCATTCGCAGCGATGGCTCGCTGGGGGAGATGAGGAACCGGGGGTGCGTTCGTTCCTAGGAGATTGCCTTGTTCTTGGGTTGGGTCCCTGGGGGAGCTTGTGGAGCCCCTTCTTTTTCTCCCAGCAAGCCTGGCACCGGCAATAGTGCCCAGTCTTTGAAGGATGGCCGATTGAGGCCGAGGGTGGTCTTCTGAAGTTGGTCCTGCTACAGTGGTTTGAGCCCTTTGGATTGGGGTAGAAGCTGCGGCATCCCTGGGTATTTCAGGAGCTCCAGGAACGCCAGGAAGAAGTGTCTGCTGCAGATGCTCTGGCAATGGTGCGTCCGGGTCCTTTGAGTAAGGCGGCGGTGGTGGCACCCAGTTATCTGCATCGCTTTCATGAGGTGTTTGACGGTGACCAGGGGCATTGCGATATTGAGCTTCGTAGCGCCCCCGTATGGAAGCTGTAGCGGTGGCAGCGCGGTGAAGCGTCTCTTGGGAACGAGGCTGCGTATTGTCATATGGAATGTCGACAACGTCATTGCTTGTCGGCTCTCCAGAGATGGGAGCTAAAATGCTATTGTGACGATGGAGTGGTATTTGTGCCTGGCTCGTAGAGCGCTGGGCCCCTCTAGAAGGAGGCATTGATGGCCAATGAGCAAGCGACGACTCGGTATCAGGACGACGCAGGCGAGTTCTCCTTCTCTCCAGCTCGACCTCTGTGTCCAAGGAAGAATCCGGTTCCGTAAGTGTTTTTGCAGCTGTTTCGCCAACTTCAATATCAAGCTCGATGTCATTGCCATGCATAGTCCACCTTTCAAAGTCCAGGAGTAAAAGCCTTCCGCCATCGACAGGGACATCCTCATCGCCAAAGGCCTGCGGGCGTACACCACCAGGAGCCACCGCAACAAGTCTCCGCCTTGCGCTGGGTACTTGGAATGGCCTAACCCAACGAATGGTGGTGATTCCATGCATCTCGGTGACCTGGCGCCCGCGAACGAGAATCTTGGGTTGCTGAACAATTTTATCGAGCTGAGCCAGGTTATCTCGAACCGCTCTTTGCCCTTCGTAGTGGTGGTTGCCGCCAATTTGAGTGCCAGTTATTGCTTGTGAGCCGGGAGTGACGTTTGTCTGACTTGCATCTAAACGCCCCGGAACCCCATATACCCAAATTTTTGAATCTTGAAATCCGAATGCAACAACTTCTCCAGTCTCGTCAATTGTGGGAAGCATGGTGGGTAATCTTTCGCGTGTCTCTTCTGGAAGAAACGGGCTGGCAAAATACACGCAACCCGAATTTATGTTGTTGATTCTTATTGTTCTGAATGCCGCAAGCTGAATGTCATATCCTATGATCCAATTATCGTCCATTTCATCATGGTTTTCGATCAAGCAAGCGTGCGTGAATTTTTGGGCTATTTCGGGAAATAGGATTTGCGTTGTCCACATACGCCTCTGGACCTCTCGCGGCGAAGCGTCAGTCCCAGATTCCGTATAAAATGGGGCCGTAATGGCGACTGTGCCGTCCTCTGCATAATCAAGGGGTGATCCAAGCAGCGTCGACCCATCTGACGAGAAAGAGAGTGCATCGACACGTGGGCAACGTGCTGCGCGACGTTCGGTTGACAGGGTCTCCTCTCCGATAGCATGAACTTCAATAGAGTCTTCAAAGGATAAAGCTAGCACACCCCCAGTCGGAGAGAATGTCAAGTCGCGTGGGGCATCGTTCAAAGTGATTGTTTGAATATGTTTCGCCTCGTCGCTGTTGAGCCGATAAACATTGACTCGGTGCGTGGAAGACAAAACCGCCAAAAGGGAGCCATCGTCCTGGATCGTAGCACCCATAGGTCGACGACGGGTCTGAAATTCATGTTTTACAGTTACATAATCCATAGCCACGTCCAGAACGATAATCCTGGAAGAGCTTATGCAAAGTACCAACCGGCCGTTAGTCGAGAAGGCAAAGCGAAACACTTCTCCCTGCGGGAAGGCAGTAGATGAACTCATAGAGCTTGAGATTAGCCGCACCAGGGTCTGTCGCGGCCGCATAAATACGTCGAATGCATTCTGCCTGGCTTTTGCAAGGAATTGGCGCTTGAGGTCTGGCAGACTATCTGCCTCCCCGGGGATAGGGATAACCCCTCTTGTCCACGCGAAGGACGGACAATGGGCCAGATGGTAAGCATAGAGAGACGGGGACTCTGATACTCGCCTCCATTGCCTGTTCAACAGAGCTAGTGATGCAAAGGCATTGGCATCGGCGAGATAAAGAATGCTAGACGGAGTCAGAACACGCCAGCCTAGAAGCTCTGAAGCCTAGCAGCCCAGGATAATGAGGGAACGCACAGCTCGATGACATTCGGGGGCAGCCGATGGAAGGGCGCCTGTGTCGAGGCATCCTCCATGATCACCAGAGACACCCGACATGGATTGGGACAGGCACCACGAATGATGCCAGAAGGCTGTGTCAACCTTCACGCCGTCGCGTCGATCGATCTGCACCCTATGAATAGGTGGAGCACGTGAGTCAGCATCTCCCCGCATGGAGTTTAGCCTCAAGTCACTTTTTGGTTCTTATCGGCAGTGCATGGAGCTCGATTTTCACATTCTCAACTGGACTCATGATGAACTATACGGGTTGATCTGAGAACAATCATGGTCCCGTCTCCATAATCCACGGTTGTGAGCCTCGCCCTCCCCCCTCGATAGCCCTCGCCTGTCGCATTCGGCCGGGTCGTACCCCTCACTCGCCTCAACTCTGATCGGCCGACTCCGAAAAAGTCCCCGGGAACTTTTTCCCAGACTGTCCCCCCATCATTTCTGGTACCTTCAATTGGGTTGCACATCATGTCCCTGCAACCCTCCAGGTCAACTCGACTTCCAAGTTGCCCTCGCCCGGGTTCAACGCCGGAACGCGGCCCTATAGATCTCACAAGGTTCGCGCATGCGATCTCTGTCGCAAGCGCAAATCCCGATGCACCGTCGACATACCCGGTCAATCTTGCCTCCTGTGTCGCGTACAAGGGGCCGACTGCCATTACCAGGAGGAAGCCAATGCTGACGCCTCGGTCTTGATCACAACCGAACCCACGCCTTGGTCGGGAGCGCAGCCGGTTAAGCCCGAGCAGGTGTCGGGGCAGAAGCGCAAGCGAAGTCCCGACTCGCGTCCGCCCACAAATGGTCCCAGTCCCCATGGAACAGCCTCCTCGTCTGGTCGCCGAGAAAGTGACTCGCGGCGCAAGGAATATGACGATCCTCATAATGAGTCGGTGCTCATCGTTGGACCGATGGTTGCGGAAGATGCGCAGGTCATTGAGAAACATATGCCTCCAGAGCGCTCCAGTCTATCAGAAGAGCCCAAAAGCCACCCGTACAACATCTACTCGAGCGATCCCAGAAAGCCCGTGCTCTACACTACCATCTCTCGGCGGAGGAAAGGTATGCGCCAGGGCGTCCCGCCAGGTGAAAACCAGAAGGAGATTTTGGAGCAAATACTTGGCCCTTTTAAACACGACTTGGTTCGACTCTTTATCGACAGATTCAATGTCGCATTTCCTATCTTCGATGGCGAGCAATTCTGGGACTCATATATCACTGAAGCATTGGAGGATCCTCCCGCGGCGCTATTGTGTCAGGTGTATTCGATGTCTCTGGTTTATTGGAAACACACTCCAAAACTTGCCTGTCACCCGAAGCCTGACGTTCGATATGCAGTCAACATGACTGTGGCTGCGTTGCACGAGGAATTCTCTGCGCCCGGTCTGTCAACGATTAGCGCTGCGCTCATTGATCTAACCGGACGACCTATCTTCTCTATGACAGGAAACGCCATCAGCTGTGGTCGCATGCTATCTTTGGCCAATTGCCTTGGTCTGAACCGTGATCCGAGTCTGTGGAAGCTTTCAGAGCAAGAAAAGAACCAACGAATTCGTCTTTGGTGGGGAGTTGTAATTCATGATCGCTGGTATGACACTTCCGCGACAAGAAATTCTATAGAACACTAACGTATTGCACAGGGGAAGCTTCGGTCACGGCGTGCCACCTCAAATCGCCAAAACCCAGTACGATGTTCCTCTCCCTACAGTCGATGGACTTTGTCCCCCGAATCTTCGAACTACCGAGCGCGTGCGAGCAGCCCATTGTCATATCTTTTTGTGCAAACTCACCGAGATTTTGGGCGAATTGCTACCATTGGTATATGGTCTGCAGGCAAAGCTGGCACGCGAGAGCTCCAAGAAGCTGAGGCAGATCCGTACGGATCTGGACCTGTGGGAGGATTCCCTTCCGGACTGGTTGAGAACACCAGTCCCCCACCGTGGCGAACAAGTCTATGCGTCAAGCAGCTTACAGCTTGCCTTCCTGGCTGTCAAAATGCTTGTCAGCCGAGTGGAACTGAATGTAAGAAACTTTTTCTTATGGAGACCTTATATGGGAGTTCGCTAATAGACCAATCTCAGGAGGTCAACAATGCTGAGGCCGACAATCCCGAAGCACGTCGTTACTTCCAGACAGAGTGCCGCAGATCCGCAGAGGAGATTGTTCGTTTCATCTCCTCTCTGCGGAAGGAGCATTTCAAGGAATTCTGGCTACCTTGTACGTTGAGAAGTGCTTCAAAATTCTATCGTCAATCTAACGATTTCCATAGACAGCGCGTTCCATCTCACGTCAACTGCCACGCTCCTTGTGCGGTCCGCTCTTGAGACCGACGACACGGACGTCGCCCGGTCTTGCCTTTCCAATGTGGAGACCCTGCGCACAGTACTGCGCCGAGTACGCGAGGAAGAAGACTGGGATGTCGCTGACATGTGCCTGGACCACTGCGAGCGAATCATGCACCGACTTCCCGGCACCAGCGCCGCCCTTGATCAGACAATGGCCTTTGCAATGGCGGACAACGGACTGGTCAATCCAGCTGCGATCTCCCTGCCAGAGACCCAAACCAATAACGACATCGTCGACGACATGATGTCTATTTCTAATACGTTCGGCACGATGGACGGCTTCCCATTCGACATGACGGGTATCTGGGATGCCTCCGTTTTCCAGGATGTCAACTTGACTTAAAGAGTTTTTCTGATTATTCAACAAATCTTGATTCCTTATGCTCTTTCCTTTTGTCCACAGGGAGGAGGCGTGTACGTTAGATATGGTCCCGCGCCGTGACAATATGTATACCCAGGGTCTTCACGAACCCTTTCATGCAGATATTTCAACCTTCGAGTCTCATATTAAAGCATTTGATCAAATTTTTGTACATTGAGAATCAAGAAAACAACGAGAAAGACGGACACCAAACGCTATTTTACAGTCATTCCAAAAATGCTCAGAACGAACCCAGGGAATAATAAACCATCTAATGCCTCACCCCTTGCCCGTAAATGACATAACGTAAATCCCAGGAATGATGAGTAGGGAGATTTTCGAAAGCAAGATCGAAGATAAGAGCTCGTTCAGCTTGCGAAAGTCAGGTTCTGGCGAAGCCAATTTATTGCTGCTTACCACCAGCACCAAACACGCTGGTAAATGAGCCCTTCATGCTTGCCATCTGCTCTTGGCGGGCCTTCTCCTCTTCAGCAGCCATCTCAGCAAGCCACTTCTCACCATTCTCGCGGATCTCCCGCTCGATCAGCTCGTAGTTCTTCTGGCCACGCTCGCGGATCTGGTCCCAGAGCATCTTGCCCTGAGCTAAACCCTCAGAGGCTGAAGGCTCGCCGCTCAAGGTGCTGCCTGACTTCAGGCCGAGGGCACTGGCCAAGCTGCCCATGGAGACAGAGGGCTTCTTCTTCTTCTCCTCGGCAAGCTCCTTCTCGAAGCGCTCGCGCATGGCCTTCTCTCGCTTAGCGAACTCCTCGGGAATGGCGGTGCCCTCGAAGGACTTCAGGACGGGACGAACGTCCTCAACGCCCATACCAGCCATATACTCCAGGAAGGGGATGAGGGCAACAAGGGTCTTGTCCTTAGGGTCACCGGTCCACTTATCCAGAATGACAGCGTTCTCGGGCTGCAGGCGGGCGTGCTCCTCTTTGGTATCGATGAGGATAACCTTGGACAGGTCACGGTTCAGGTAGGCAAGATCCTAGTAGAATAAATCAGATTACGCAATTGTATCGCGAATGTTCGAAGAAACATACCTTAATGTACTCTCCATCCTTGTAGCGAGTAGCCTCGCGGAACAAGGGCCAGCGGATGATGCGATAGGGGTCAAGTTTACGCAGAACCTGGTCGGCCATCATGCTAGGCACACTGGTGAAAAGGACAAGCTCGTAGTACTGGTTGAGGTAGCGAAGGAAGTAGTCGACACCGGGGCGCTTGGCCACACGCCATCCGTGCTCACGGGTCCACTCGCTGTGGACGAGCAGGTCTTCGAGGCTGAGAACAAGAGTGTAGGGCTGGCGGATGTTGGGGTCCTCGTCAGGAAGCAGCTTGGGGAAAGCCGGATCTTTATAGTAGCTGGTGAGATCGCCCATGCGAGCCTTTATACGGGCATACCAGAGACCCAGACCCCAGCCTGAAGGCTGCTCCGGGTGCATGCGCTCCTCCTCCTCTGTCTCCCAGTTGCGACCGAGGTAACCGACACCGGCGACACCGGCGGCCAGCATCACGGCATACATGATGTTTGCCATGCGAGCCTTACGGCGATCCAAGGATGTCTCGTATCCTCCCTTGGGGATGTCACCACCGTGGCCGGCCTCGCTATAGTCATCGGTTTGTGTAGGGTCCTCGGTGAGGTTCAGCTTTCCTCCGACTTGCTTCCGGCCTTCAAGCTCGGCGAACAATGTCGATGGAATACCTTGAGTCAGGTCTGGGAGGGGTTTGTTGGGGATATGTTCCGGCCCGGGCTGAAAGAATGGTCAGACGAGATGTTCCAAGACTAGATGACAGGTTGTATCTCACAGTAGGCTCGGAGGCTTCGGTCTCAGGCTTGGCCGTGGTATCAAACTCGGGCTGTTCCGATGCATGCTGGCTCTGCTTGGGATCTTCGGCAGCCCTGTTCTTCTGCAAGTGCTCCGGGAGCTTGTACGGGGCATTGTCCTTGCCTTTGGCGTACCAACGGGGTCGCTGGGCAGACAGGGAACCCACGCGGACTGTAGAGGCAAGTACATTAGGCCTCGTGAGAGGCAGGACAGCACGACTCAGCATGACGATAGGGTGAAGCGTGGGATTGAAACCGTGCACTCCGTGTAGCTGAAGTCCTCGGCGCAGGTCGAGTTTCCCGCAAAAAAGTCGGAGCGCGCGATCATCACGTGATAGATGTACATATCCTCGGCGTGCAAGTTTCGCCTTCCTCTTTTCTCTTTCCCTCCTCAAGTTGAAAAAGTTTACACCCAGCGATAATTTGACCTTGCAAACCTCTTACATGTCTGTCGGGTTGAAATAGCTGGGGAGACTACTGAGGTTTACTTCTATCCCACTTCCAAGAGCCGCTGCGAAGGCTTCCATTGATGCTGCGGCTCCGTTTGTGGGACACATTTCTTTTCCTTTTTCTCTAGATGTTGACGCGACCACGCATCATGCTCGCCCTCTAATTCAATTATGACTCTTGTCCCTATATCCCGTGTCTTTCTTTTATAGATCGCTATTTCCTTTCAAACATGGCCAAAGGCAAGAAAAAGGCGCCATTCTCCGATTTCTACGATGAGACGGACTACGTCCCCGAACCCGCACCCCAACCTGTGCGAAAGTCTTTTCGGTTCCTCGATTTACCGTCTGAGATCCGACTGCGCGTCTATCATTTCGTCCTCTTTACACCGACAAGAAAAAGCGCATTGCAAAACAAGGCCGGCTCTGTGGGCTCCTCCGCGAAGAAGAAAAAGCCTGTGGCACCGACATCCCACCGAGTTGCGCTGTTCCTAACTTCGCATCGTATCCACGATGAAGCCAGTCACTTCTTTTATTCAAGCCAGATATTCCGGCTCTTTCCTGTACAAGATTTTCAGCGCATGCCAACCGTCCGCGCCATACCCCGTCGCTACCGGTCCTCCGTTTCGACGATTGAATTGATTTTGGGAAATAGCTGGACGGCACCACCAAAGTCGTGGGCCGTAAACCAGGGCTTGGGACTGCACGATATGACATACTTGCACACGCTCAAGATCTTCGTGGAGTGTGATCCGTCGCAGCCTTCCTTCGAGGGCTTCCGCATCTCCAAAGAATATTATACCATATTTGCCGGACGACTATTGAAGGAGATTCTAGAGCGACTTCCAGCCCTTGTTCAGGTCGAATTCGATGGTTATCCCTCGGTGTTGAAGGGCGGGTCTTTGATGAGCAGGCTACTACAAGAAACTAGGGCAGCACAAAAAAAGGTCTGTTGGGGTCCAGAGCGTGGATGGTACGACGGACAAGAAGATGATTACATCCCATACAACGACTTCACAGATGCTGCTCCAGATGCTGGAATCAATGCGCTCCACCCCAAGAGCCCGGAGCCCGTGCACGACCGGCTTGATACCGCGATTGATACGTTGGCCAACACGCTGGAGGCGGCCAGGATCGAAACATTAGACTCACCGGAAATTGCGGTACAGTCAATATGAGATATGATATGATTTTTGAACATACATTGCGTGGCGTTGCCTATTTTGAATGTATAAGACTACCATAGAACACTTGGATAGAGACTCAAAGTACCATTCATCAGTTCCACCCCCAATAGCACTCGAAAATCAATCCAAAAGTAGATTATGCTAAAATCAGAAACATAGCGCTGAAGTTAGAACTATTTTACCACTTCTCAACTTCGACTTGTCCGTATCAAGCCTTCAACAAGCATGACAGCATTATAATGCCGTCATGATAAGCGTACTTCCTGAGCCCGAAATACTGTACGCATTGCTTCGTTGTGTCTTTAACACTACGGGAATGAAAAATAAGTACGTCCTACTTGCAACTGTAGCTTGGGAAAGGGTAGTGAGCCACTGGTGGTATGAGGGGGATTCTTTTGCCTTTGGGCCATTTCTGGGTGTTGGATCGACTATATTGAGGTCGAGAACAAACAAGGCTTTGTATTTAGAGCGTTTCTGTGGATTCATGGACCTTCTAAATTCAAAGCTCCTCGTCGACCTCCATGGAGGCACCATTGGCTCCCTCCTTGGAACTCGATTGCCGGGCTACCGAAGCTTCCTTGTCAATCATCTGCCTCGAAACGGCAACGATGTTGTCCTCGATCAATTGCTGGCTGACGTCCTCGATGTCTGTATGATCATGTTAGCATCTATGTTGCAATTTGATTGGTAGAAAAGACATACGCTTCTTGGGATCCACCTTGCCCACATATCGTGTTTTCAGCTGCTCCTTGCTCAGCTCAGTCTCCTCCTTCACCCGCTTTTCATAGCCCTCGGCAAGGGTGACGAGCTGCTTCATTTGATCCACGTTGTGCTGGCCCTCCTCGTGGAAGTCATTCATCTGCAGAGCCTCGGTCCACACATGCTTGTGCAGATTCATGAGCATGTTCTCCTCAAGGCCTGTCTTCCGGTATGCAATCCCAATGCTATAGTAGTGGCGGTTCAGACCGTGAATTAGAGCCTGGATGGAGGGCTTGTTCAGGTGACCCAAGTTGGACGTTGTTTGACGAGGCTCCTGGCCCATGACAACGGTCTGGGGCTGGATGAGACGGAAAGCATCAATGACGACCTTGCCCTTCACTGACTGAATCGGGTCGACGACGACGGCAACGGCACGGGGTGTCAACTGCTCGAAAGATTGCTGAGTGTTGATATCGACGGAAGACAGCCAGCAACCGAAGCCAGGGTGAGAGTGGTACCATCCGACAACGGTCTCTGGCCTGAGAGCAAGTGAAAATAGTATGATTAGCCCGTGATCTCTAGCCTGCGCTTTGCCAAAAGTGAAGGCTTACCGTCCTGTTTGCCGAAGCATCTCCATCATCTTGGTCTGGAACACAGGGTCGACAGCCTCGACACTAACGCCGGTACCACTTTGAGGCATGGCAAAAACATCCGTCACGCGCACTGTGTACTCATCGACGAATTCACCTAACATCAGACCCATGACCTCCATGGGCACACCGGCGCGGCCGTGTCGCAACATCTTCAACAGAGCCAGGGAAGAAATGTGAACGGTTTCGGAGTTATCAATTAGATTGGCAGTATCCTATAGAATGCGCTATTAGTCTTGAGGATAACATCAATGTGATGTTCACGTCCAGCTTATAAATAAGCACAACAGCTGCGGAAGACACATAGCGAGATTGAAAACGCCCTAGGACTACTTACACCACCAGGGCCAGAGCCTGCGCCCATGCCCATACCCTGAGCGGCCTGCAGCATCCGGTTAAGTCGATCCATAGTTGCTAGATGCAATAGAATGAACTGTGATGAGGCAAGATTAAAGTGATAGCTTCCTGGCTGGAAGCTTCCAAGGGATCGATTTGTCTCTCCGAGAGAGAACTTGTCACAGCTTTTGATGTAAGCTCAATCAAGTCAAGTATCACAGAAAAGTGAATCAAACAGTCTGATAAGGAGTACAGTAGACGTGGAAGATTGGTGAGTTGCTCAGCGAGAGAGTCAGGCCCCGGGAAGCTCGACTGACGAAGGCGGTCTGAATTTTCTGCCGATTATGGCTCCTTCCCACGCGGCGATCGATTCTCTCCAAGCCTCTCCCGTGCAAGTTCATAGCAGCATGAGCAAGTCGTTTCTAGCCTGCTCTCGAGCTTGATTCCCGATTCGCCTTCCTGACGGAGGTACCTGGTACCCTGGTGGATATATATCGACCGCGTCACGATATCTCTACATCCCATTGACTCCTAACCCGCATACTTGCTCTCCTCCACTTCGTTCTGATCAACGTCTACAATCACCTCGCCGTACTCGACCAATTTTCCCTCACAATGACGAGTGGTATGACTGCTGGCGAGCCCCTCTCCAATGGGGTCAATCCTGGTGACAGCAAGAAGAAGGTCGCCTACTTCTACGACTCCGACGTGGGTAACTATGCTTATGTCTCCGGCCACCCCATGAAGCCGCATCGCATTCGCATGACCCACAGTCTGGTCATGAACTATGGCCTCTACAAGAAGATGGAGATTTATGTCAGTTCTGCATTCTTCGTTCCAGTTGATATCCAAGGTTATTTGCTAATGCGCAAAACGAACAGCGCGCGAAACCAGCCTCAAAATACGAAATGACACAATTCCACACCGACGAATATATCGACTTCCTGTCCAAGGTGACTCCCGATAACATGGACCATTTCTCTAAAGAGCAAAGCCGATACAACGTGGGTGACGACTGCCCGGTATTCGATGGTCTATTTGAATTCTGCGGAATCAGTGCCGGTGGTAGTATGGAGGGCGCAGCGCGCTTGAACCGTAACAAATGCGACGTCGCTGTCAACTGGGCTGGTGGTCTGCATCACGCGAAGAAGAGCGAAGCTAGTGGCTTTTGCTACGTGAACGGTAAAATGCAATCCCTTTGCTCAAATGAAGATCCAAAAACTAATCCTTCCCAGATATTGTTCTCGGAATTCTTGAGCTTCTGCGATTCAAGCAAAGGGTGCTTTACGTCGATATTGACGTTCATCACGGTGATGGTGTTGAGGAGGCCTTTTACACAACCGATCGCGTCATGACCGTCTCCTTCCACAAGTACGGCGAATACTTTCCCGGTACTGGTGAATTGCGCGATATCGGTGTCGGCTCCGGCAAGTACTATGCCGTCAATTTTCCCCTGCGCGATGGTATCAACGATGTCTCCTACAAGAGTATCTTCGAGCCGGTGATCAAGAGCGTCATGGAATGGTACCGCCCAGAAGCCGTGGTCCTGCAGTGTGGTGGTGACAGTCTGTCTGGTGATCGTTTGGGTTGTTTCAATCTGAGTATGCGCGGCCACGCCAACTGCGTCAACTTCATTAAGAGCTTTGATCTGCCCACCCTGATCCTCGGTGGCGGTGGTTACACCATGCGCAATGTCGCCCGTACTTGGGCCTACGAAACCGGTATTCTCGTCGGTGATAATCTGGATTCTGAACTTCCTTACAATGACTATTACGAGGTGAGTTCATCTCAATATCGTCTACAAAAAGCCGCATGCTAACAGGGGTTGATAGTATTTCGCTCCGGACTATGAGCTTGATGTCCGTCCTTCAAACATGGACAATGCGAACACAAAAGATTACTTGGACAAGATTCGTAGCCAAGTTGTCGAGAACCTCAAACGCACATCATTTGCCCCCTCGGTCCAGATGACTGACGTACCACGCAATCCGCTCTTGGACGGCATGGATGACGACGCTGACGATGTTCTTGATGATCTCGACGAAGATGAGAACAAAGATAAGCGATTTACTCAACGTCGCTTCGATCAATACGTGGAGAAGCCTGGAGAGCTCAGCGAGAGCGAGGACGAGGAAGAAGCCGCTGCCAATGGTGTGCGTCGTCAGCCGGGTGCTATGCGCCGCCGCAACATCACTAACTACCGAAATCTTGACCCTGGGGACTCTGGTTTGGATAGCGGCATGGCAACCCCGCTAGAGGCTTCATCTGTCGGCGACGGTGATATTGATAGCGCTTTGGATACAAAGATGACCGATGCCCCCCGAACGGACCCCGATGTGTCTGCTGCTGGTGCGACCTCGCAAGGCCAGGACACCCCTGTCACTGATACTGATCGAATGGTTGTGGAGGGTGAGAGCAATGGTGTCTCTGCTGCAGTTTCTCAGCAACCCTCGCCCTTGGCACACGATGAAGACACTGCTATGGAAGATGCTGCCCCCACGTCTGCTCCAGAACAGTCTGAGCGTACGAATGAGGCACAGGAAAAGAAGCCTGAAATTTTGCCTGTTACGGATGACGCATACAAGGCCCCTCTGTCCCCTCTTCGCGCTCAATCCCCTCCAAAGGAGTCATCTGCATCTGCAGAGAATGGACCTGAAGCCTCAGCTCAGGAGGCTGCCTCCGCTGCTGACTTGGAGGTGGCTAAGGCTGCCACGACTGAATATGTCGAACCCAAGAAGGAGGATTAATCAGCAATCACTCAAGACAGCAATATCGGATCTGGCGCAATGGGATATGGGCAGAAAGGTGTTATCGGTTTGCAGCATGCTTGCATCTTCTTTGATGAGGTTGGGCGTCCCGTCTCTCTCAATGGTGGACACGGGAGGAATGGTTGTTTCACAGGTTGAAATTCATTTAGTCCCATGTCTTTGAATCAAATGTACTTAGGTAGTCCTTGGAGATTGCTTCCGACATCATCTCGGAGTTGATCTTTGTCGGTTGGAAATGATGTTAGGTTTTGCCTAGCTCATCTCTATCTCTTTTCCTTTGGTTATCACAATTTCATCATGATTTGAATGTTAAGGGAAACGATTATAGACCTTTCTCTCTTAATCTAATAAACTAGGATTCGGGAAAGATGCTTACAAAGTAGACTATACAACATCGAAGCTGTGGATTATGTCACGTGATTGCTTATGACAGTTCTTGCCTGAGGTGTCAGTTGCGAAGTCCTGAACAGGCCTAGCGCTAGGGCAACCGAGATCCACCACAGCGGCGCCAAGATTTCCACACTACTCTGCGCACTAAGCGAGAAACCACTGTGGACGATTCTTTGACTCCCGACCTGACCTTCTGTCGCCAACCCTTTTCGACTACCGACAACCCCCAACAAGTCAGCCATCATGTCTAAGAGAGGGTAAGTCTGAACTGCTTCGCCCCCGAAATACACCACTACATACTTTGCGTCGAAAATTGGAGGACCTCGACCGTTGCAACGCATTCAATTCAACATTCAACACGTTGAGTGGGGGAGAATGGATTGACGACACATATTCTGGGTGCCACACGAGAGACACGAACATGAAAGCTAACGTTGTACTTTAACAGTCGTGGCGGTGCCGCCGGCAACAAGCTGAAGATGACTCTCGGTCTGCCTACGTACGTTTGAAGAATTTATCCATCACAACTGTACCCTCGTCCAATGAACCTTCGAACGACGCAACGCCCATTGCCAACTCGCTGCGGTCGATTATTCCCTCGTCAATCTCGATCACACATGACGGAGCACACCATTGAAATTTGGGGACGACCTCGACACACGGCATGGAACGAAGTCTCGACATCGAAATCATTGGACGGGGCCTACGGCTTGAGAAACTTGGATAGGAAACAATGACGAAATGCTAACGGTCCTCTTCGAACAGTGGCGCCGTGATGAACTGCTGCGACAACTCCGGTGCTCGCAACCTTTACATCATCGCCGTCTGCGGTATCGGTGCCCGCCTCAACCGTCTCCCTGCTGCCGGTGTTGGTGACATGGTCATGGCCACCGTCAAGAAGGGTAAGCCCGAGCTCCGCAAGAAGGTCATGCCCGCCGTCGTCGTCCGCCAGAGCAAGCCCTGGCGCCGGGCTGACGGTATCTACCTGTACTTCGAGGACAACGCTGGTGTTGTGAGTACTCCCTCTTCTCTGGGACGCGCGGATGTTCTGAGGTATACGTCTGGATCTACCGGATCCTCGTCATATCTCATCTCATTCTGTGTAACCCTAGACCCCTTGTGGTTCGACCACCCTGCTAACCAACCACTCCAGATCGTCAACGCCAAGGGTGAGATGAAGGGATCCGCCATCACCGGCCCCGTCGGTAAGGAGGCTGCTGAGCTCTGGCCCCGTATCGCCTCCAACTCCGGTGTCGTCATGTAAAGAGAGAGTTACGCGAATTAAAACCAACCAAAAATTCAACGATACCAAACCTGACTTTCCTTGGGACCTGGAAAAACGTGGGCTGCATGAGGCATATTGTGGAATGAAGAGGTCCAATTGACGAATCCACTTGTGTTATTTCGAGCCGGTCTTCCTCCCATTCGTGTTTTTCTCGTCGGATCTGGCGACTCGGACGTCTTCTGGAAAAACTTCTTCTTTTTTCATGACTCTCCCTGCGCATGTAGGAGGTTTCCTTTGGTCTCGAGGTACATTACGGTGTTTCTCGGTTTGGTGCCATGACCTCGACTTCTAGACTTGACAGATTCATGAAACTTATGATCTGTGGCTTGAGTATCCTCTTGGGCCCCGTAGCTACCCGGGTCTATTTTGATCTGTAACGTAGACAACAGACTATCACACATGTGCCCGCTGTCATCAAAATGTGGTACGGCACTGTCTCGATGGTATTGAAGATTTTACCCTGAATGACAAATATATTTGCTATGCTATGTGCTCAAGTCTAAAGCGAGAAAAAAAAAAGAACAAAGGTGAACGCTAATATACATGCCCAATCCATTCTATATTCAGAGCACCTTCCTCGAGACCGCTATCATCACTTCCTACTCGACTTTTCCAATTTCTTTCTTCCCTCGTGGTCTTGTTTCGCACGATCAATGAGTGGAATAACTGTCGCCTCGATCTTCTCACCCATCGAAGTTGATCTTGACTCTTTGATCTCCTGAGAACGCAGACCCATCCAGAGCAAGAATCGAAGAAATTGAACACCAAAATGGATCAAAATAATCACATGCACCGCCCACCAGATATGCTGCACACCAGCAGGGCACAAGGTCATCTCATAGTCCCATTTACCAAGCTTAGCATCAAACCAGATGGAAAGAAGACCAGCATTGCCACCAAACTCACCCATCATCGAACGAAGAGTCACCTCGCGAATGGAAGGCGCCTTTATCTCTTTGATATTAGAGCCATCGTAGCGTCGAGCGACCCATTGCCAGCCCTCTTCGGTCTCGGTCTCGGTCTCGGTCTCGGTCTCATTATGAGAGATATAATGCACAACGTCACAGCCTGCGTGGTCATGACCTGTGAGAATGAGTCCATGACGGCCATTTCCACCAGCATGCGCATTCTTATCACCAGACTTTCCGTAAATGCCTTGCAAAATCCCGTTCACGCTAACAAAGCTGCTCAGGTGGTTCTGTTCCTTCAAACCGCCGGCCTTAAAGCGCGGCACTCCGTCCGGGCCGTCTTCATCGTCATCATCATGGAATGAGAAATAGGGCTCATCTGTACAGATGCCTTTCTCCTTGTGCAAAGGCACGTGTGTCAGGAGTAAAGTGAATGTGCTATCATCCCCAACCGGGTCCAATCTGCCAATCAGGTCATTGAGGTAGGAATAGGTCTTATCCTGGACATCCTTAGATAAAGCAGGCGTGTCCAGGGTAAGCGTATTCAAATTGACCAAATGCAATACAGGGACCGTCCGCTCATCCCAAGTAGAATTGGGCAACAGGACAGGAGGGTGCTGGAACTTGAGATCCCAGTTGGCGCGGCCAAATGCACGCTCGAAACGCTCCATGCGCGCTTCACTCACGTCGCCTGCATACCCGATGTCATGGTTTCCCGCAACGTTGATCAGCCGTCTTGCCCAGGCTGGGTCGGCATCCTCTCCTAGTGGCTCCATGTGTCCTTTCACCTCCAGATCCTCATTGGCTTTCCCTGTACTCCCAATCTCACCCGTGCGTGTGATGCTGTCGTTCACGGGTACGGCGCCACGAAAAACACGGTTCCAATATCGCGCTCTACGCAATTGGAATTCGCTATCGTCAATCCATTGACTGCCCAGAAGATCCCCGAGCACTGTTGTATGCGTCGGTCTCGTCCACCAGAAGAGAGTGCGGTAGATGTGCGCAAGGTACCAGTCGTTGCCGAGAAGATCAATTTGTTTTTGCGTTGCTCGCAGCGAACGCGGTATATCTTCCGTGATGATGGTCCACAGACCGACGGGCACCTCGCGGTTCAAGAACGAGAGCGGCCACGGGAGCCCTGAGGCCTTTGCGGAGTTCTGAACTTCGCGCCAATGTTTGCGTATGCGCGGGACTATTTTCCATTCTGGCAGCGGGAGAGATGTGTCGCCTTCCAATTGAGGGTCTGCGAGAACTAGGAGCCTAAAAATAGCGGGCGGGTCGTCCGGCGCAAAGTTCGGAACTCCAAAGTGTTGAAGGACGGTATTGGCGAAGGGATACTGTTGTAGCGTCCCGATGAACGGGGAGTGGGTTTGCCATGGGGACTGGCCGTGGGCCAGGGGGAATGCGCAGCCTTTGAAGACCGGGTAGAGATATAAGTAAGTGAAGCTCACGGCGCAGAGCGGGTAAAGAACTAGCAAGGCGCGGTCGAGCGATGTGTGGAGGAGTCTGAGGAGTCGCATGGTCGGGTATTAGCAATATTAAGGGCGAATAATATACAGCATGGTGAAAGATAGGAAGTGAGCGTGGAGGAGCGTAGCTCGAAGGCGACCAGGGGCAAAAACAAACAGCGGGAATCACAGAAGCTTAGATCGTGTCCGCATCCTTTTTGAGCCCACACTATGCCTGATCAGAGGGGGGGTTACCTCATGCAGAACCCTCGGAAACATGAAATGTATTCTGTTAGTTGTTGGCTTCTCTCATACTAATTTCAATTTCTATACGATCGTAATTCTCTTCCTCTTTTTTGGGTTTCTTCGGTCGAATTGCTGGATATTGTTTTTCCATCCCAGTCAGGTGATATTCCCATGCCCGATGTATATCTTGGTCTCACTCCATCCATCACAATATATTGGCGACATATCTTTACATATACGATCAAGCAATATACTAGACTTTTTCTATAGCGGCATTTACGTGAGGCGAAAATTCTAAGACCAAAGTTCGAATGTTAAATCTGTTCCTGATGGGTACTGACCCAGTGCATGCACATGTAGATATGTGAACACGCATCTCCGCCCAATGGCCAGGAAATCTCGAAACCTTCCAGAGCCGAAAAGTTTCTGAGAAAAGAAGCCTTACAAAAAACACATAGATAGGCTAAAGTTGAGGCTAAAGTTGCGAGAGGGCTTAGACTGAGATCTGTAGTTCCACGAATTCGGGTGTTGAAGGTGGATTAAGACCACCAACACCAAGATAACTCACTCGTGTATAGAAAGATATCCGAATTCAAACCATGAAGATAATCCGCGGACTCATAAGCTAATAAGAGAGAAGAGATAGAGGCCATCATACACACAACACTCCAGCTCACGTCAACCCTTCATATCCACGTAACTGAAACACAAATCGGCAGAAGCCAGACACGAATGGAACAGAAGTCGGAGCGAGGGGTATATCACATTGAACGCCAAAAAAGGGGGGTGGGGAAGGGGGTGGGGAGGGTTTATAAAAGCTAATAAAAAGTATCAAGTCAAGATCAAGCCAAGATAGAAAGAAAAAGAAAAGTCGAAAAAAGCGAAGAGAGATGACGAGAGATACATAAGGTTTCGGTCCAGCGGTCCTCAAAAGCAAGGCAGCGAAGCACTCAAGAAATTAAAAGGTCGATCAGCGAGACCTGATTACCGTGAATCGGTCTTCGCCAGAGGAGAGGGGAGGAGGGAGGAATGTCCAATGTCAATTTGACCAAGAGAATTTGAGATCGGAGGGTTTGATTGAGGTCGGTCGGTGCTTTGACGTTCGTGGTCAAGATCGACCTTTGCATCGACAAAAGGAGCCACCTTCTGAAGAAGGTGCTTTGTCCAAATTCAGGCCATCGATCCGGAGGCCACTGTCCTCCTCTTCTTCATGAATGACTGGGTCTTGTTCAACAGGGATCATCAGAGCAGGGGGTCGCTGATTCATCAGTCGGGCCTGCTTCAAACTAATGGTCTTCTGCTTGTTGGTGCTCTCGACGGCCATTGATAGGTCACGTTCGATAGTTGCCTTCATCATGGCGGCCATCCATAAACGACCCTCTCTGACGGTATCAACCTGGAAGTAATGGGTGGTGGGTTTGGTGAATTGCACGGTGCGAGAGTTTCCTGTTTTAGGGGGTACCAGCTTGAAGAAGAAAGGCCCGTTGCCGTCCCGGTTGGTAAGAGACGCAATGACGGCTGGGGTTGTGAGCTTCATGCCGCTGCCGTTCTCGCTGGTACTAGCATTGGCGGGCAACGCAGTGGCGCCGGTGACAGTGGCATGCAGCGCGATAATAGGGTCGTTGTCCGCACGAAGCACACGATGAGCAGTGATATCAATGAGACCACGTTCTTCCGTATCATCTTCGGAGTAGTAATAGGACAAGCGGCGGCCACGGAGGACAAATAATCGAGGCTTCCATGTCGTCATCATATTGGATGATCTCTTCTTCATCCATCCACTGTAGTCACAGCCATCCATCTGTTCTTGGGGCGACTTCTTCTCGAGGCCGCGGGTATAGGCACTGGTATCCTTCTTGGATTTAACCGTCCGAGGACGGACAACTAATCCGGCACCATCGGCAGCCTTACCAGACTCGTCAGTGCTGTGACGCTCGGAGCTCTTTGATGTCGCAGATGGAGTGGTAGACCCAGTACGACCAGTCACAGGATCGTACTCACGGGCGAAACGGGAGAAGAGATATCAGTGGTCTTGGTGACACCATCGGAAGCATTGCGGAGACCAACAGCGCGTCGGATCTTGCCAGCACCAGCCATCTTCGGCAGCTGGAAGTTCAAGGGCGAGCGAGTCGAGCCATCCGAATCTCCCTTTCTCATCCCAAGACTGGCGAAAAAACCGGGCTTGCCATCCTTGCTGTCTGGATTGGATAGCTGGGAATCGTTGGTACCGCTCCGCTGAGACACGCGAGTACTCAGACTTCGGAAACGGCTCTTCTGGGGCGCATCGCCGTGATAAGTTTGGGCAGCGGTGGAGACGTGTCTAGCAGCAGCAGCATCATGTATAGAGTCAACACTGGCAATACGAGACTGACGCTGGCCAGCAGATTTAACTCTGTAAGGCTCATCCGCATAACTTGACTTTCGAGAATGGCTCATGCTACCAGCCGCTGAGGCTCGTTTCTGCAGAACACGGCGAGCTCGGCGGGAATCAACTTCAGTGCCGGAGAAATAGCCCCGTTCTAGATCATCGAACTGGTCGGGCGTGTTAGGCTCTGATTCGACGGTCTGCGGTCCACGGAAAGCTGACGTCGTGCCCATTGAGGTTCCTGGACGAGCTGGCAACGTACCAGAACCACCGTTGAGCGTCCAACCCCGGTCAAATGAAGGCTTCTTTGAATGACCATTCATAGCCGAGCTAAGGGGTCCATGGTGAGTGGCGTCAATGGACGAGTGTCGTCGCGTGTGATTGAGGTCCCGAATGGAGGCAGCGGAGATTCTTCTTGGCGAGTCCTGGCCGAATGGGGGAGTGTTCGGGGTCATAGGAGAGCTGCTGTTGCTCGCCAGTCGAGGATGCTGGACAGGTCCAGCGGATGCTCTATAGCCCGCACCAGTCTTTTCCGACACCGTTGGAATACGTGGCAGGAAAGGCCCTGTGTGACCGGCGCGAGACAAAGTTCGTTCCTCGGGGCCACCAAAGCCCGAGACGGAACCTCGTGTAGCCTGCGGCGACTGCGGCTGGAAGCCCTTCACTTCCTCTTGGAAGGCCTTTACTTTGTGCCACGTCTTGAGACGCTTGCCCATGACTCCAAAGTCAAACTCCTTCATGAAAATGAAGTCCTGATCCATATCAAGAAGGACGTCACCGGTGATTTCCTGTTCTTCAAAGATCTCACAATGTTTTGAATCGACGCCAATGGCACGCATCTGTTTGGCGGTCTCGGCCTGACTCCACCGGCGCACTTGCGCTTCAGTCAGATGTGTACCCTCTTCCTCATCCGTCTCATTTCCGTTGATGTAGGAGATGCGGTGGCTCACGTGGCTACTGTACTCGCTACCGGAGTCGTTCATCGTTTTCGCGTCCTGGGTGGACAGGCTGTGGCGAGGCGTGTTCATATCGGTAATATGTTCATCGATGACACTCAAAGTCTCGTGCATCACCGGACTATCCTCGCCATTCTCATGACTATCGAAGCTTGATTTGCGGAAAGCTTGCTGGATGTCGGCCGCCAGACTTGGGCGTGGCAGTGGGGAAGAGGCTGATCGCTGCTGGCCTGGAGAGCTCATCTGCGCCTGCATCTCCGCGGTGCTAGCGTGGCGCGAAGCTTGGGGTGTCGTTTGCCCACTTCCCACCGTGGGGAAAGCTGAGTCGACCGGTGTTGTCGGTCCCATTTGCGTCGGCGATTCGGTCTTTTCGAACTCGATTGGTTCTTGGTACAAAGGCGTCATTTGACGGGCCTTCAAGCGCTCGTGGGCATGCGCCTTTCTAGTAAAGCCTGTGGCAGGTGTGAGTAGCGATTCTCGAGATAATCTACTAAGCTTCTTCTTTTTCTTTCTTCGTTGAGACGTACCTGCAGGGAAGAGGCCCTTGTCGCCCGAAGCTGGATGCTGTCCAAGCCACCATCCATCTTGAAATTCTTCATCCATCTCTTCGAGAAGAATAATATCGCCGCGTTTCATCTTTAATTCGTCCTCTCCACCGGCTTCGTGAGGATCTACCATGTGTTCAGCGAATCATTCCAAATGAGGGGACCGAAATGGCGCGCGGGCGCGCGGCAACGTCACTTACGAAGAACGACGAGGTAATCACCACGCGAAACATTCTGCGGCGGCGCAGGCGACACTTGCGAATGGTCGGCCATTTCGCAACGGATTGGGCCCAAAGCCTCCGATCAAAGTAGTCGCAGTTATCGCAGTTTTCGCAGTTAAGAGTACAGGACGGAAGCGAGGAGAGGTCAGGCGCAGGACATAGGGCCCGACAGCCCTTTCGGGAAGAAATGGAAGATGAGACAAAATGTCAGGAATCTTGAAGCAATGTGAGATTGCTCAAAGGGGAGGGAATGCAGAAGGCCGCGGGAAGGTCCAAGAATCCGGCGCGGAGCACAGGTCTTTTGGACTCGCGGGGTTCGCGGTGCGCTAACCTGCAAGAAGGCCGGAGCTCCTCAAGGGGCAATGAGGAGGGGAAACAAATGAGGTTGAGCTGTTGGTTGTCAGGGCGTGGCACGATCTACCCTGTCAGGGCAAAAATGAAGCAATTAAGCTCGGAAGGGCGCTGGAATGGATGAAATATAGGTTGCATCAACAGAGTGAGGAGTGTGTGCGCACAAGGAACAGTCCACGCTAGTAGATAAGGCGATTCAAGGCGAGCCGTGAGTGTGCCCAAGACTGCAAAGTCGATGAAAAAAGAAGTCGGAATTGTAAGGAAGTGACGTGTGCGATCGTCAGGTTCTCACATTCACACAGTTTGAGAGGGTTCTGGACACGGCGTACCCACGGTTCGTCTCTGGGAAATTACAATCTCGAGCGGCTGAGGGTTGCACAGTGTAGACGTATGGAAATAGTGCGACAAAAGTTGACCGAGGTAGATGATTCTCGTTTGATTATTTTGATTATTGTTGATCCGTTTGAGGATGTTATGGATGCAGTCGTCAAGTGCTCCCGACAGTGGATGGATGCGGCCATCGGTACATCGCTACTTTCAATGCACAAAATAGAACCTGTCGATTGTCCCTGTCCGTGTCCCTGGCCCGGATAATTGTAGAGTTATAGCCCAATACTTTGGCATTGGTTCTTCTTTGTATTGTTCTTATGTTCATTGCGAATTGCGGACCTCACTAAGTCTAGGTAGCCTTGGGACCGGGCAAAATCTAATCAAATAAAATGTTTCTATGTACTTTATCAACGGTCCCGACCGTGATCGCAAAGGTAGACTTTCTAAGCGCCCGTCCAAAAGAGACCCGTAGATGTGCCCATGTACCAGGTACCTGCAGATGCGATGCACGCGCCTGGTATGGGCAAAGTAAAGGACAATTTCGATATTTCTATTATTCTCTCCTAAACTTGCGGAGTATAAACCCCTAGGGCATTAATCTGGGGCCCATCCTCTTCTTTGTCCGGAGAAAACATTCGCCTCTTAAGAAGCCTCCCTTCCCGCCACCCTAGCGCGAGGGAGCGATGACGATGTAGCTTTGCAATGGTTTCTCCTAGGTCCCAGAGATCACGCCTGACCGTCGATCATGTTGAAGAGTCCAATTCTACCGCCAACTTGTTCCTCGGTAGCGCGCGGAGGGCTTGGATGCCGGGCCCTAGTTGCCCTCAAGCCCGCGAGGCTCTGCCCGCGACGACTGCTCTCCCGGATGCCAGACCGACCTCGAACCAGGACACTGCCTTGATGTCCTCCGTGACATCCGGCACCAATTTACAACCCTCGGTTTCGCTGGCCGACAAATCCAGTGCGCCGGCTGCTCTTCCTTCACCGGTTCCAAGCACCAATTCTCATCCCAGCCCAGTCGTTGCGCACAATCCTGCCCCTGCTTTAGCATCAAACAGACAGCCTGCTGCTGTCCCCCAAACCGGTCACAATGGACGAAACGCACCACACTCAAGTCCGCATACGACTGTTCCTCAACAAAATCCGACGATGACAACCGCCGCGCCTCCCCGTGGTCAACACAGTGCAGGCCCGGGACCGCCTTCAGGCTCTACAAATGGTCTCCCATTTCAGTCTCTGACGGATCAAAGTCCGGATCAAAGTCCGGATCAAAGTCCCTCGTTGATGCTGACTGGATCTGGAAATACACGTGAAAGCGCAGATCTAGCGTCCAGACCAACACAACAGGGCCCGGCGCCGATGCAGCCCTCAGGTCTAATCCTACCGAGCGATGAAACATGGTCACAATGGAAATCGAGGTTGGATAGTCTCAGAAAGGAAGCGCAACAGTCCCCGAGACCAAAGCTCGCTGGACCCAGAATCCGGCTTCTAGAGGATGCGTGTGAATATCAAGATCTCTTCTACCTGGTTCTCCATCAATTATACTGTCGGCAGTCTCTTGATGACCAAGGGTACCAGGAATTCCCCGATTTCCGGGAGCAAAGGTGCCAAGCTGGTTTGGCGAGGATACAGGAGCTTATAGAACCCAACATCCACATGGGAGCGCCAATATTATGGAAGCTGGCTCACTTCCCGCAACCGCTAGATGAACTGAAGCACCAGGAGTGGTATCATCTGGCCGTCGGGAAGGTCGTTCACTGCCTCACACGATTGGCAACGACGATTCCTTACAACAAAGTACTTATTCTCAATTCGGTCTATCGTCGAGGTTATCCGCCGGCGGTTGCTGAGTTGCGGGATCTTTTGGACGCGACTTCGCCCGTACTGATGACTATCATTTTCGTGTCAACGTGTCGGTGTATCTATGAAGATAAGTCCATGGGAAAGGTGAACCAATTGTTCAGGCATGCCCTTCGCGCATATTTCCACGGTCAACCTTCGAACTTGTCAGAAGAGTATAAGAAGATCCCGTTGATGCCTAGACCATTGCCTTCAATGGCCCCTGTTCCATCGTCATCTGCGTCCCAGGCTGTACCAAGTGTGGTTGCAAGGGCACCTTCGACCGGTAGCCAAAATGGTGTAGCCAGCCCTGCGATCTCCGGTCATCCAAATCCTGATTCACCCCTAGTGTCGCCACGTGGGTTGGCTACCCCAAATTTAACAGCTCCTCAGACTATCGCTGGACGGCAGGTGCTTCAGAGCCCAGTGTACCAGCACTCTCCTGACCTTCCTCCGGAACAGCCAATTCGGCAAAGACAGACGAGACCAGGAGAGTCGCCTCAAATGCAGAGGTTTTGGTATCAAGGGCAATGGGTGCAGAACAAACCCACACAGATGCAGCACCTAGCTCCGGGGCAGCCTCAGCCGGGATACCTTGGTCACGTTCAAAGGGCCCAGCAGGGAGCAATGCAGGCACAGGCACAGGGGCAAACACAACAAGCCCTGCACGCACAGATGCAAACCCAGCAAGCTCAAGGTCCGATGTACCAGTCTGCTCAGGTGCAAACGCAACACGCTACTCCAGCAGTGGTGGTTTCGAACATTTTACCTATCACTTCATACTCACCACAACAATCACACACAACCTCTGCTTGGGACGGTCAGGTACCGTCGCGATCCCAACAGGACTTTGTCAGGTCTTCTAGCATCACCGCTCAGAGCAATCCACGCCAGAGCCCATCAATACAAAGCGCTCGCACTCACTTACCAGGGCAGAGACAAATTCCAACCCACCCGCGCCATATGTCTACGCCTCTTGCTCATGCCCCTCAACATATCCAAAGTCAGGGCGCATCAGCGCAGCAGCTTCCCCAATCAGGACAACAGCTCCCTCGTAATTCGAGGGTTCATTCTGCGCCCTTCAGGCCTTTGTTACCCCCCGCTGGCTATCAGCTGCCGCAAACAGTGTCACCTAATCCAACATACATGGCGCTACATCAAGCTGATCTTCGCGAGCCACCAAAGAAATTGGTCGAGTTTGGGCCGAACAAAGAGATAACTGAGACTCAGCTGTATCAATATTTGGGTGATCTTGTGTTGCAGCCAACAGTGATTGATCCGAAGGCGCTTCGGTTCGACTTGAGATTCACTCTCACGGAGGACGTCTGCAGAAGATTTCCACGACTGGAACACAGAGGCATAGGGAAACGTCCCATGCAAATTATTCAACCAGGTTGCTTCATAATTCGCTTGCGCTGCATTACACTGCGTCCTTCTGAACAAGAGAACCCGGAACGCCTCTGGCCAACGAAGAATACTATATGGCCTAGTGTGCTCTACGTCTTTGTCAACGACAAGGAAATGTTTTTGCGGCGAAAGGCCCATAATGGGAAGGACCTCCCCCTAGAGATCTCCGAGAATCTTCGTCCGGGCCTGAATACCGTCACGATTCATTTACTGCTCAAACCGGATGAATGCAAGACTTTTAATTACGGCTTTGGTATCGAGTCTATGCATATCAGCAAGTTCGAGTCAGTCAGAGATCTTGTGGGCAACACAAGTGCGGACGAGACTATCCTGAATATTCGAAAACGTCTCACCTTGGAGGAGGACAGTGATGACCTGGCTGTTGTCACAGACAGCTTGAGAATCAGTCTCATCGACCCTTTCATGGCTCAAATTTTCAAGACCCCCGTTCGTGCTCGAGACTGTGAGCACCTGGAGTGTTTCGACCACGATACTTTTATCACAACCCGTAAGAATGTATCGGGCTTCGCTGCACTGAACGACAATTGGCGATGCCCAATCTGCAACGCTGATGCGCGCCCTCACCTGCTGCGCGTGGACAAGTTTTTCCTCACGGTACGCGATCGTCTCATCGCTATGGATGATCTCGAAGGAGCAGATGCGATCGAAGTGAAAGCAGATGGCAAGTGGATTCTTCAAGCCAAACGAAAGGAGTCCCCCAATACCTCACACAGCCCGAGAGTGGACAAATCCCTTGCCCCAACCTTGGGCAAGCGTAAATGTGAGAACATAGAGCAAGGGTCAGATGCAACACGCCCCAAATACGAGAACCCTTTTGAAAGAAGGAGCTCCTCACAGCCCACCGAGCTTGTCGTGATCGAAATTGACTGAGGCGACCTTCCCCAATGACTCGCTTTTTTCTTGGAGCGGGTTCTTCTTATCACCAGTATCCCTATTCTCATGCATGGATTTTTATGCGAGCGAGCATTGCAAAAGCAAGATACCCTTTTTCCTTATTGGTCCTCAGCAAAATTCATACCCTCAGAGACATCGGCGTTTCTTTTTTGTGCATCGTGTCCCGCTCGATGACAGGCCATTGCCTCGGTGGTCAAGTGGGATATTAGATCATTATCATTCGCCCGCAGAACATGGACATGATGTTTTTTTAGCATTCTAGTAAATGCAAGGTATTTACCGAGACGCACAATGCTGAACAATTGTAAACTACCGAATGCCCTCAACTTCATCTATCTCCGGGGCAAGAGCACTGGAGCTCAATTCAGGTCAAAGCGTGGTTCTAGTCCGAGTGGTCTTTCTCTAATCCAGCTCTTTTCATAAAAGCCTCAAAAGCAAGCTGAGACCAGACCTTGGAAATATATCCCAAGCCACAAACAGACAGGATATCATGCTCATTCAGAGGAGTTCGTCTCCATTTTCGACATTAAATTATACAGATATAGTGTACGTGGTATATAAGATGGTACCGCATTTAGGTTTACTTCCTAACCCGACGGACATGACTGACAAGGTTCTCAATAACCCCTTCAAAGGCCTCCTTTTTCGCCAATCAAGCCGTCCCGCCGCTTGAGCCAGTACTCCAATAGTGAACTGGCGCGCAGCGTGACATTCTCCAATTCCTGAACATGCCCTTTCAGCTCTGAATCCGTCAGACCGCCAAGCGCAGCATCTGTGGTTGCGCACAGACGACGGACAGCTGAAAGGTCTAGTTCCGGCGGTGGAGGTGCACAGCGGCGAGTGGTTTTGGTGCGTGTAGGGGCCTGCCCTGTAGTGGTCGTGTTTTGGGTACCTTCGCCTTCGCCCTCTTTTGGGGCTTGGTTGCGGGTTGGTGAAACTCCGTCGAGATCGATGGACGGAAGAATTAATTTCTTTTGCTTGGATGCAGGGAGGATCTCGTCGAGATCGACTGGTACGCCTAAAGACACGAGGAAGAGTCTGCGAATGCGTGACTTCACCCAGTTCTGTGGTTGTAGGGGTGGTGGGGCTACAAGCTGGGACCAGAGGGAGAGGGAGCGCTCTGTGCTGAAGATTGCTGATGAGTCAGGAATCGGTTCGACTGGTGGTAAGGAGTCGAGATCCTGAGAGGCTGGAAGAAGGTTATCGAGAGTGCCTTGGAGGGCTGAGAGAAGATCGGAGGTGGATTTGAAAGCGTCGAAGTTGATGAGGGGAGGCTAACGAGGTTAAAATTTGCAAGAAACGCAGTGGATATAGGTACCTACCACAGAGGGAAGTGCAAGAGGCTGCTGAGGTGTCATGGTGCCACCCATAGGCGCTTCTTCATCAACCTCATCGGTGGGCTCTTGGAAGCCGTCATCAAAATCTCCAAAGTCGTCGTCTCCCATTTCGTCTTGCTCTTCAACAAATTCATCAAAATCATCTCCGAAGTCTTGGTTGTCGCTGGATACTTCCGCAAGGTCTTGTGACAAGTGTTGCTCGGGTCTTGAGGCGTCAGGCACTGTCTCCACAATGTCGGGCACTGCGTCACTCGGTGAGCACTGATGGGCCTTTGGATGTGATGGTAGCCCTTCCTCAGTAGGCATGGTTTCCACCCGAGAAACCTTAGTCGCGGGTATTTCCTGATCAGATGAGTTCGCATCCGGAAATTCATGATTCACGGAAGGAGGTTGAGCGTCATCAGGATCATCGGCCGGCTTGATGAGGTCAGGTACGGCATCAGCTTGGCGCTTGACATATGCCTCGGTTCCAGGAATTTCGCCATGGCTGGGCAATTCTGGATCAACTTTTTCTACTATAGTCCGTGGGATTGGCGAACCGCTTGGGGTCAAGGGTCGGTCTTGCGACCCCGCAGGAGAAACGTCCTTGCTTTGTGTACCCTCGGCACTTTCTGGAAGGATTTCAATCTCGTCGGGAACAGCGTCCTGCTCTCTCATTTCATATGCAGCAGTGCCAGGCACCTCGCCGTGGTGTGGGTTGCTGTCCACACGTTCAACTCGAGTTCGCGGGACAGGGGACGTGCTGCCGAATTGAGGACTTGATGATACATTGTCATGACCTTCGCTGGCGTCTGAGAAGTGTTCGTCGTCGCTGCTGGAAGCTGTAGAACAGCAAATTATTGCTTAGTATTTGAAATAAATTGTCCTCGTGGGGCTCCTCAGGGCATACCCGTGTCCTCAGCTCCTGGGTCTTCTTTCTGGATCGTGTTGCTGGGAGGTTCAAGATGGGTGGATGGATCGGGAGTCGCCTCCGACATATTGGTTGGTGAATTCAAGACTGGGGCATGGGAGAAAAGGGGGAGGACGAGAAGGAAGAAGGAAATATGTCATGCAGGCCCTGTGTAGTGCGAGTGACGACGTCGTTGGCTGCGATCGACTCGAGTCCAGACCTATCGTGCCTGAATGCCTAAGGCATTATTTAATGCCCGAAGGGTCAGGCCACAAAAGCGCGTGAGTTGCTGAAACTCCTGCCAATCAATATTGCTTCGCCTGCAACGAGCTTTTCCCCTTAACTTTCAATACCGGGGGCTCAATTCTCTTCAATTTAAAAGATCGCGCCACTCAGTCGGATCTCCTGATCCTTTTCGCAGGATCTTCCGTCCTCGCATCGGTCGCTGCTCGTCACTCCGTTTTTCACTCAAGCTTGCCAATTCCCTCGACCGCGACAACCGATCATCATGTCGTTCTCCTTTGGCACTCCCGCTTCCAGCGGAACCTCCAGTGGGAGTCTCTTTGGTACATCTGGCGCTACATTTGGCTCCAACCAGAATAGCTCCAATACTGGGTCCGGTGGTGGCTTGTTCGGAAATGTAGGAGCTTCGTCCACCAGTGGAACTACGTCTCCTTCGCTTTTCGGCGCTGGCTCTGCCGGTGGCCAAGCTAGCCAGACTCCTTCAACTGCGCCCATGTTTGGTAATACTGGTGGTGCCAATGCTCCTAGCAGCGGCACTTCAGGCGGCTTCAGCTTTGGTGGTCAGGCAGGCAGCGGCGCGCAGTCCAACTCTCTGTTCGGCAACAATGCTTCGACTCCCGGATCTACCACACCCGCTCAGCCCGCTGCCAGTGGAATGTTTGGAGGCGGATCTAACAAGCCTGCAGGAGGTAGCTTGTTCGGTGGGGGTTCATCAACTACCCCAGGCCCTGCTAGCGGATCTTTATTTGGCAACACCTCGACCACTCCTGCTGGCCCTCCTCCTGGATCCAAGCCTGCTGGTAGCCTCTTTGGTGGGTTGAATGCTGGTTCTTCTACTACACCGACCTCCTCCGCAGCCCCTCCATCTACCACCCCATCTACCACCCCATCTACCACTCAGACACAACCATCCGGCGGTCTTTTCGGTGCCGGTGCCGCACCTAGTGCCAACAAGCCTCTTTTCGGAGCAGCCCAGTCTACAACACCCGCTTCCGGGGGCGCTAGTGGTCTGTTCGGCGGCGCAAACAAGCCGGCCGAATCCACCACACCTACCACAGCTGCAGGCAGCGCAAACAAGCCGCTCTTTGGAGCCGGAGCCGGAGCCCAAACGTCACAGGCTGGCCCTTCCCTCTTCAAAGCCCCTACCGCCGGCGGCGATGCTGCCGCAAAGCCTGCCTTTTCTCTCGGCGCGCCTTCTACCTCAACTACAACCTCCCAGCCTGCTTCAGGAGCTCCTGCGGCATCGACTGCCACTCCCCAGAAGTCCCTTTTCCCTTCGCTTGGAGGCGCCACATCTTCAGCTGCTCCCTCAACCACATCGGCGGCAACCCCGGCTGGTGGTTTGTTCCCAAGTCTGGGCGGGGCCAAACCTGCGACTAGCACTCCGGCATCAGCTGCTACCACTACAGCTCCGGTAGCTACCCAGCCTACGGCTTCTGGGTCGAGTTTATTCAACAAACCTGCAACTTCTACTCCTTCAACTGCTGCTCCTACCCCGGGCGCCACAGCCGGCACGACGACTGCTACAGCAGCCCCATCCACTACTGCCACTGCCGGTACCGGGGCTAGTACAGGCCCTTCAATTCTCGGACAGTCGACCACCGGCCCTGCACCCCCAGCCCAGTCTCGTCTCAAGAACAAGACTATGGATGAGATCATTACACGATGGGCGACGGATCTGACTAAGTACCAGAAGGACTTCCGCGAACAAGCAGAAAAAGTTGCTGAGTGGGATCGTATGCTGGTGGAAAACGGGACCAAGGTCCAGAAGCTTTATGGCAGCACTGTTGATGCGGAGCGTGCGACCCAAGAAGTTGAGCGCCAATTGAGTTCAGTGGAGGGTCAGCAGGAGGAGCTGAGCTCGTGGCTTGACCGTTACGAGCGAGAGGTTGATGAAATGGTTTCGAAGCAAGTGGGTCCTGGTGAGACACTCCAGGGACCGGACCAGGAGCGTGAGAGAACGTAAGTTATCACCCAAACCTTTCAAAAGATTCGCCTATATACTAAACACATTGACAGATACAAATTGGCCGAGAAGCTCTCTGAGCGCTTGGATGAGATGGGCAAGGATCTCACCAGCATGATCGAGGAGGTCAACGGTGCTTCAGCAACCTTGACCAAGACCAACCGCGCAGACGAGCCTGTGAGCAAAATTACGTTCCATCTTCTTAATTCGACCATTTCACTGACAATTCCAACAGATCTCCCAAATCGTTCGCATTCTCAACTCACATCTGTCCCAATTGCAGGTCATTGACCAAGGTACCTCCGATCTGCAAGCCAAGGTTGCCGCGGCCCAAAAACAAGGGCAGTCGATTTCGTCCCGTATCGGATACGGTTACAACAGCCCTAGCATGGGTGGAGGAAACGCCGCCGATGACTTTTATCGCTCATACATGGGCCGTCGCTAAATGTGGTGTGGTGATGGATGGACGTTTTAATGAAATCAATTGGTAGTAATCAGCTGCAAATTGCTCAATGGGAAAGGATTTTGTTCTTCTAATTGGAACTACGGTTACCGAGTATTCGCCTTGCGGCCAATGGCCTAGTACTTTGGATGTGTGGCATCCTGGGACAGCTCTGAGTTTTGTGTACCTTTCCGGCATTTGGTTATTTGGCTCGTCAGACTTGGGGAGAGGTGGGCGTAATCTCAAAAGTAGCAGAGTTCTCACTCTCAGTCTTCTATGGTCTGTCACGAATAGTATTGTAGGTTCAATGAGCTCTGCCAACTGCAGAAATTGATCTTATAGAGCTTACCGGGTTTTACTCATTTGGTCAACATTCTTATATAAATCTCTTGCATCGGATTTCCGACCGTAAGGTGCAAGTGTAATCCGTCGTCCTCCAAACGTATCATCAAGCCCATCATCGAGCTCTTCGTCAAGCTGTTCACCAAGCTCAGACTTTGTCTTACTCGGTACGGACCCACACAGCGCTAGCAAAGCCTAGACTACAATAGACGACGCCAACGGAATGGTAATTGTATCATAATAGTACTGATATGCTATTACTGTCTTCTCTGGACATGTGATTCTCGCGATGTAGGCTTTGTCAGGCAAGGTTCGCTGAGTAAAAAAGTATTGATACAGAGCATGTCAAAGCTCTCGGTCGTAATAAAGTCAAGGACCGCGGCACGCTTACTTGCGCTGCTCCTTGGTGAGCTGGTCACTAGAGGAGGTCAATATCGATATTTCAAATAAAAGGTCATGGTTCAGACATACATGTGACCCTCGAGCTCGTCGAGGTGAGCGCGCTGATCAGTGATCTTCTTCTTGAGCTGTTGAAGCCTGTTCAATTCCCATTAGTTACTGGCCTCAGGTCTGAAACTATGAATGACTCACTTCTCGATCTCCTTCTCACGGATGTACAGAGCTTCCTGGGCGGCCTCACGCTTGGTGAAGGAATCTCCGCTGCAGCAGTGTCAGCGATTGAACATGTCGTAGAGCTGAGATAAGGCAGATGTGCTGGGCTTCCGCAATTGTGGACATAGCCCGGTTGGGGGAGAGAGCACCGGCAATGCAAAGGGAGGAGGGGGCCACGTACCCTGACGAACCACCAGCACCAGAGCGAGGAGCTCCAGTATCACCTTCACCGAGCCGGGGACAGCAACGGAGAAGGACCGCTGGGCGACGGCCCGGTTGGCGGTAATAAGGGGACGAGCAGTAATCTGACGGAACATGGTGATGACACTGATGAGTGAGGGTTGAATACGAGGAGAGAGAATTCAACAGTCACCCTGGAAGCTTCGGGACAACTGCAGGGATCGTATGACGACACCCATCATGTGATCGACGAGGCTCATCACATGATGATTTATGTAAAAGTGTAGCCTGAGGAATCAGGAAAATCTCTGCGATAAGTCGATGCGATCTCATTCGGCTCAAGTGGTAGATCATGAGGGGCCTAGGATCATTTGCTGTCTACAATACACGGGTCTACATTAATTTGATTTCTAGGCCATGTGGTCGATGCCAATGTGTGTGACAGCCCAGCCCGGGCTCTGGGCCGGGGCTTGGACATTGGTGACCAGCCGGGTGGATAGGGCTTTTCGACACCATGACCCCAGGCAGTCTGCCTTGGACTGGTCACTCCTGACTGGTAAATAGCAAAGCAAGAGGCGCATCTTGGGCGATTGGCGGGTGCGGGATGGGGATGACGATGGGAGGCCCACCGAACCACACAGAAGGCGAAGGAGAGAGGGGACGATAGAGAGACACTCAGAACAGAGGAGACTACCAAGTCAGAAAGAGATAGAGAAATCTGAAAGAAGAAGGGGTAAGAAGTAAATCACGTTTAAAAAAAGAGAAAGTGTAGATCCGAAGAGGGCTTGTTCAGGTGCGGTAAATCCCAACAACACCGCCTTCTCTGTTCCCCCTCCTTCTCCTCTCTCCTTCTCTCTCAACTTCCCCCTTCTCTCTTCATCCTGTTCCCATCGCTTTCTCCTCCATTACACCTCCCTTTTTCTCAAGTTTAGGTGAGTATGCCTGCTTTCTATCAAATTAGCCCATCTTCTTGCCCATCCCATTGCCCCTGCAACTGCCTACACACAACACACATCCACAATGGGGTTGAACTTTGGGGAAATCTTGAAGGGGAGTGTGCCCCCCCCCCCCCAAAAAAAAACTCCTCGACGTCTTCGACATCCCGTCTACAGGTGGACTATACTTGCTGTCGTTCCCCTATCTACTTGGGCGGGACCCGCGACCGCTATGCTGTGATCCTCCCCCCTCTACCCAAAACACGCCCAGCCCCGGGAGCCCGGCGACAGTCGTCAGCGACAATGATCGTCATGATATCCACTCCAAAGGATAGATCAGATCGAGGATTTGGAGTGATGTAATATCCCTAGATAGGACGGGGAATCCTTGTGTCCTATTGTTGATGATGATGGCCATGCCTACCCCTCCCCGGTCGCTGGCAATGATGTCGATGGCGTGATCTCCACTCTCACCCTCATCTCCAAACCCGTCTCAAGAACCGTCGGCTCGAGAAGACCGAAGAGCTGACATAAATTGAAATTTATAGAATCTTTCACCATGGGTCACGAAGACGCCGTCTACCTCGCCAAGCTCGCTGAGCAGGCCGAGCGCTATGAAGGTTCGCCCTGAGTCCCAGTGCACCTCCCTATCAGGAATCAGCTATTGACACAAAATTCGCAGAGATGGTCGAGAACATGAAGGTCGTTGCCTCGGCCGACGTTGAGCTCACCGTTGAGGAGCGCAACCTCTTGTCTGTTGCCTACAAGAACGTCATTGGTGCCCGCCGTGCGTCCTGGAGAATCGTCACCTCGATCGAGCAGAAGGAGGAGTCCAAGGGCAATGAGGGTCAGGTCACTCTCATCAAGGAGTACCGCCAGAAGATTGAGGCCGAGCTTGCTAAGATCTGTGACGACATCCTCGAGGTCCTCGACAATCACCTTATCAAGTCCGCTCAGAGCGGCGAGTCCAAGGTCTTCTACCACAAGATGAAGGGTGACTACCACCGTTACCTCGCCGAGTTCGCCATTGGCGACCGCCGCAAGGGTGCCGCCGATGCCTCTCTCGAGGCCTACAAGGCCGCCACTGAGGTCGCGTCCACCGAGCTCGCCCCCACCCACCCCATCCGTCTCGGTCTCGCCTTGAACTTCTCCGTCTTCTATTACGAGATCCTCAACTCCCCCGACCAGGCCTGCCACCTGGCCAAGCTCGCCTTTGACGATGCCATTGCCGGTTAGTTTTCGCCCACCTCATTCTTTTATGCGCAAGCGGATGAACTGACCATGAAAATTCAGAGCTCGACACCCTGAGCGAGGAGAGCTACAAGGACTCCACTCTCATCATGCAGCTCCTCCGTGACAACCTCGTGAGTCAATCCCATCACCCGATTTAGGCTTCAAGCATTCTAACCTTTTGCCCCCCTAGACCCTCTGGACTTCCTCCGAGGCCGAGCCTTCGGCCGAGGGCAGCGCCCCCGCCGAAAAGAAGGAAGAGGCTGCCCCCACTGAGGAGAAGCCTGCTGAGCAGTAAAGAGAGAATTTTAAAAAGATTTTGATGATGGACTCACGTCCTCTGGGTGGACGGGAAACGACCGAGAGTTGCGCGACGGGTCTCCCCCGACGCACGCCTAAGCGGATGTCGAGGCTCAAGGACTATAAGGCGCATTGATCCGAACTTTCGACATCACCATCACCGTCTGGGGCCTTGCGGCCTCAGAACGGTAGAGAATGGCGAAATACTAGTATCGATGCTCTTCATGACCCCCCCCATTTCACTGCTTCACGTTCCGCTTGCGCCACCTTTCGGTGCCATTCCTCTGCGCCTGGAAGAGCGGGTTCCGCCCCTTTTCGTTATTTTTTTTTCTGTCTTCTCCTTGTTTATTTGTCTACCTGCCTCTCAACTACCCTTTTAAAGAGTCCCCTTTGCGCGCACTCTCCAAACCTTATCCCCAACATACACCCGGACAGAGATTCTTCCATTTTTAAATGAGTTCCTTATCAGGACTACCACGAGGGCCTAGTACTGATCCCCCGATCTGGCTTTTCTTCCTCACTTCTCTTTTCTTCTTTCGATACGTATCTGTGCCATTTGGCGTTGACTTCTCGCTAGATATGGGTTCAAAGAGCAAAGTCTTTTCCAATCCTGAATCCTGGCGGGTAGTCTCTGTAGTTATGTAGTCGACGATTAGCTACTTCCCCTATTCCGCTCCCCATGCCCTCAAACACCTCCCCATTCATGACTGTCATGCCATGATTCTGCGTGGGTCTCCAGGTCCTTGGACCCCGGCCGTTGTGCACAATTAGAGAGTGATTCACCCTGACACTAGCCCCGAGCAGATGAGGAGTAAGCACCTATTCATAATCCTTCCTTCATCCAGAGGGGTCCATCAACATTCCAAAAGACAACCCACCTGGAAGGGCGTTTCAGACCGAGATACTATATCCGTGCATGTATAAGCGACGACGGTGGTAACTATACGACTTGACTCAGGATACGCCATCGATCGTGGTGACACCAGCATAAGTGTTTCATTCTTCATTCTTCTCAAGGTCACCCGATGTTTTTGACAAGTAAACCGAGTTTATAACCTTTGTTTGTATGAGTCAATCCTGACTTGCAACGACCAGTCAGCTAGTTTGGAAAAGCTCAGCTTCTCCCGTCTGGTTGATGCGAGTCCATCGTTCTCCCCGATGAATCGAAACACCGCGAGACGATTCACAGTCCATTAAGCATGATGCATTGTCAAGGCGGCTTTCGAGAGAAGCTGACTTGATCAGTGTGTTGGCTTGTGGCATTTAGATTCGAACCCGACTGTAGATACCATTCAGTAGGTTAGTTGGGGGTTAGTTGGGGGGAAGGATATTGATCGAGAGTGACAAGTCAAAAAAGCCATAACCCAATTGTTCGTTCGAAATAGTACTTCAAGAGGGATTCAGCCCGGCCTTGACATTGATCTGTCTTCCTGAATGTCGTGCTTATTTGTGACGACTTAAATCGCGCGTTCAATGTTGATGGAACAGATTTTTAGTCTAGCATGCCGGTGTGAAGATTGCGATTAGAATGCTCGTGATAGTCTCGGGACTTTGTTTCATCTTGACGAGCAGGTTCATATGAGAGAATATTTCATGGGTTGATGGTAGTGATGGTGTTTGTTGATGAGTGTGAGAGTGCTAGTAGGCTCTGGGACATCCGAATAGACATCATTGCTATATATATATCAAACATCAAGATCAGTGCGGCGCTCCAGAGGGTTCGGGGCCCTCGATAGCCACATGCAAGCTCAAGAAAAGGTGCTGAATAATTGTGTCTTAGAGGAGACGCAGGGCCACAATATCGAGGAGACGGCGACGAAAATGAAGAACAGGGTCGAGATCATCACTATTGGAGAATAGTATGGATGGATCGAAGGATTAGTATGCAGAGTACTTTGACAGATCGAGTTAGTAGGTAGAAGCAAGGAAACGAGAAAGATGAGACAACCCTCAACCCTAGGAAAGCAAAAGTACCACCAACAAGATCCGTAGCCACCCTTTCCTTAGTGAGGCTCTGAAAAGTAGCCCTGATTTCCCCTATAGAGACAGAGCAGGGAAAGCAGCGGAAAATCATCAGCTTACGTAGTCCTAGATTGAGCCTTATACACTCAAGTCAGTACAACCTCTCTACGACCCAGCCAACATCTTCGAAACCGCAGGGAGTTTTCTATTCTATTATCATAGACCCAGCATTCCCCAACACCCGGTTCCCAGGGCGCATCAGTCCGCATATGTACGCGCACCCTTGTTCGTACTTCTGCCTACAAGGCTTCCCCGACATATCCAGGAAAAAGGCCTAGCGGTGTAGATATGCATATCTATGCGCGACCAGCCGTTGACGTAGTCCAGACGATAAATGATACCAAGGCACAGAGAACGGAATTTGGGGGGGCAGACTCCAGCTGTTATCGTATTACCCCGAACTCAGGGGAACGTTGTGTTTCTGTTCTCTCTCGCGCCAATTCCGCCATTAGTCAGCCTTGTGAGAAGTGAGATATACAGTGCCACCTAGTCCTGCTATCATGCCATAGTGGGAATAATTCAAATTTCAAGACCGAAACCCGGTGGCGGGTAAGTGAAGGTGTGGCCTGGTACGGTGGCAAATACGCGGCATCTGAGACATGATTACATCTCTAAGCCCCCAAAACACCACTGTACCCGGTATAACCCTACGCGATTCGGGACAGTATTCTGAGCCTCATGCTATACGCGGCCGTGGGGTCTGTTTTGGTGGCTCGGTATCTATTCTAATCCATGGATCGGTGTCACTGCTGAGACATGAATCTCCGGATTATACGATGTTGTAATACTCCTACAAAAGTGAGTCATGGAGAGGGGGCGGAGGAGGCAACGTCACCACTACCATACGAGAATATATGGGATTCATTTTGAACGATTTTTCCATTGCTATGGTTTTAAAACCCACCACGCTACCAGCCATGCAAAGCTAGACAGAGGAGGTATCAGGGCAGAAGAAAACAAAGCGGGGACTTGAGACATGCACATTTCTTGGGTATGGCTGAGCAAGAGCAAAAACAGAGCCGCAAAGAACATGATGCAGAAATGGTCTTTTCTGCAGGGCCAGTCCATCGGAGACATGGAAAAGTAAGAAAAGAAAAAATTGGAAATGTACAAGCCCCAAAGAGCGATGATCAGAAAGGTAAGAAAAGAAGAAAAAAACGGCAGAGCGGAAATAAACAAATCATGGACTGCTCCGGAATGGACCCCCCTAAAATGCTTTCCACCACGCCGTCCTTGCTGTTGACCATGACCATGACCATGCAATGCCATATGACGACGAAAACCTTTCCAGTTGCGGGCTCCAGTGAGGAGTCATTCAATCAAATCGAGTTCTAGTCCCAGTCCCCGAAACGCCCAAGGTGCTATGCATCCGATGATAAAACGAGAAAGAAAAAAGTACAAGGTGAAACATGTCCACAAAGAGCCGCCGTGGGAGATAAAATAAAACAAACGCCGAATGAGAGGTGGAGAGAAAAGAAGGGAGGGGATCAGAGTTGATGAGAGCCCAGTAGTATCGACAAATGTTGAGAAGGGTAGGTGGTCCCGCAGTATTGATGCCTGATGATTGGGTGTGGCACACCTGTACCGGATGGTTGACGATCATGGTTGATCATTGTGCCAAGACTCAGGTGGCGGACCACTAGACGAATGCCCCAGGTATGCAATGATGTCACGAACAATCCTTTACCCCCTGGAGTAAATAAGCACTCGTGACGGACGTCATGGTCTTGACGGACGTCCTGTGCGCGGCGTGAAGTCGGAAGTGTGGCGTAGACGAGTAAAAATGGTATGATGAGTTGCCACTCGAACCAGTCGGGTAGCGGAGAGGGAGAGATAGAGTCAGGAGTGAGTGAGAGAAGTGAAGAAGTGGCGACAACCGTTGGTAAGGAATACCCTTTCTGGTCGATACGAGGGTTCAGTGGTATCGTTCCAGATACTTGTCACGTTGGTCTCGTGGTGTACACAAATTGTGTGGTGTCCTCGGGAGTCCGATCCATCATGATAAACAAAGACCAGATCTGTAACGGAACGATTGTCGTGAGATGAGAAATAAAGCAAGAATCATCGGCATAGGTCGCGACGGGCGGCTCCTAAGCTGCTTTTGCGATGTCGCAGGATCGGAGTCACACCTCCTGACGACCTGCAACGCCCATCCCTCCTGCCGGCAGGGAGTTATTTCTGTGCTTTCCGAGCCTTTGTACTGCGAGTCATTTCGCTTTTGGTCATGTTGCGAGTAAGGCCACCGATATAGTCCTGGAGGATCTTGTTCTCGTTTTCTAACTTGTCGTGATCCGACTTGACCGCGTCAATGCGCTCGGCGAGGGCCTGGAGAGAGGACTGGAGAGCCTTGGCTTGCCTGTTGGAGTCTGACGTTAGCGGGGTTTCGATCATTTGTGCAGTGAGAAAGTACTCACTCTTGTAGCGTCTGGCGGGCCTCTTTGCCCAATCGCTCCAGATCGGCAGAATTACGACGCGGACTCATGGCGCGGGCGTCGTCCGGGGGAAACTCCTCTTCTTCAATTTCGATTTCGGGGTGGTCTCGGGGGACGAGTATTGATGCGGAAGGTTTGCGGCTCGCCATACGCGGACGCTCGGAACGACCCCGACGTTCAGTCTCGGCGTCGGATATAGATGAAGATGAGGAGAGAGAGGACATATGCATGCGGCCACCGTCGTTGGGTTGCGGCAAGGTGGGTACCGGTGAAGCTTCATTCATCTCTGTATCAGAGGCCATAGGGGTGGTTCGCAACAGGAGCGATCGAAAAGGGAGGATTTGACGAGGTCCAGCGTGGCGGCGTGTACGATCTCGTCTTGGATGGAGGTTGATGTGATCGAAAACGAACGGTGAACGACCACGGTCTACCCCTAGCGATGTACCCCAGACGAGAAATCTGTGTTACGCTTGAGGGTAGCTACCGGGGTCGGGTGGGGGATTCGAAGGTATGGATGGACCGGGAATCGGTACCACAGTTGAACAGTGGCTGTTGGAAGCCGACACCTGGGGGAAAACGGCCTTTCGAGGAGATCGTGTAGGTAAGAGAGCGTAGGAGTGTTGGGGGGTTCGGAGGGTGATGTTGTTGATTGACGAAGACGGTGAAGGTTGAAGAAGAATTCGAGTCGGAGAGAGAAGCGGAAGGGTGCTCGATAAGGGAAGAAGGGGGCGTGGTGTATCGTTGTTACACGTATGGATGGTACATAGTGGACTTTGGGGGGGGGGGTGGGTGGGCTACGGTAATCTATCCAGGCACTTCTGGTACTGTATTAGACTGCAGTGGTACCGGTACCTTCGCCTCTGATCTCTGCACCTTTTAAGTAGGTGGAGAGGACCTTTGTCCCTTGGGTGTGGAAGTGATCATCCCCTCCACGTTGGATTCGGTGAGAATACTTCTGTAATCTGATGAAACTAATGAGTCCCCTACTAGGTACCAGCTATGTGAGGCAAGCTTGCTTCTCTTCCCTTTCACCCCCTTTCCCTCTTCAAGTACACCGCTCGTCCCACCGCAATCGGCTCCGTCGCCCTGTTCTTAACTGGCTTGAGCTCCGCTCTCATCTCCGCCAATAGGGGACCGCCCTGGGGAACCCACATCTGTGGCAGAAATTGGCTGAGTTTTACCGAACTTTGATGAACACGTATTCCCCAAAACACACCCGGGATTCTACGGTAACCTTTCTGGTTCTTGTTCCTGAATGCTAGAATTTCAAAATTTCAAAATCTCATGGTATGATTCTGGATAACTTCGCTCTGCCGAGTCTCGTATGTACAATCTTACTCCAAGGGGTACGGGGAAAGCATCCTCTCAGGGAGAGAGAGGGGGGGCGCGTTATGCAATGTCGATCGAGCCGCAAATGGGAAAAATGACGCAACTTGACTGGTTCTCCTTCACGGTGTAAACGGTTCGCTATAGGGAGACCCTCGATGACATCGGTGGTATGACAGTGGCAAAGCATCCAGGGATAATGTTCAGATCATCTGAGAGATGAGAGATCACACTGGGGTGTCTGTAGACGATCCTGTCGGGCGTGGAGAAAATCCCATGTTCGAAAACATCACATTCCCTCGGCTACCAGTGTACCTGTAGTATGAAGCCTACAGCAGTATAGATCCTACAATATCCACGCGACGATCTCCAGGCGTTTGATGGGTTTTCCGCTCGCTACCACGCCTCTGTATTTCAAATCGTCTATCGTCTATTCATCTACCCGCAGGTATCTGTAAAGCTGATCCTGAATCTACATCTGCACCCTGATCGTCTCGTTCCAAGCTACCAGATCCCGGTTGCTGCATCTCTGCTGTACAGTAGGCTTTGGTGAGCGGCAAAAAAAAGGTGAACCAATGTGCGCCCGATAGACGCCGACGATCCATTCCCGTGGATTCAGCGGACTATCATTTGACGGGTCGGGGTCTGACTATAAAGGAGGTGAAACCAAGCAGGGTCAACGCAGCCCGTCGATCCCCGTGGCAATCACCCCACGTCGAGTGAAGAGAGCCTTGGGACCACGGGCGAAGCTCGGTGTGCCACGATACCAAGTCTAGTAGGGCTGCGGCCATAGATCGATAACTAGGTCGGACCCATTTGGAGGGCCTACCTAGATAGGTAAACAGTATAGTCACCCGGTGCGCAACTAGTCAGCCTTTACAGGTACCGGACCCGACATCCTAGAGCCCATGGGTCCCGGACCGGCAGTGGCTTGTCGGAGCCCAAGTGGCTGCAGTACCTCGAATCAAATTTACCGACGCCACTCCATCACTTGTGCACCTTTTCCGGGGAGCGCGGTCCGACACGTTTCGTGTGGCTATTTGCTTTTTTGAGTGGGGGATTGCTCGGAAATATTGGGTGTCCCAGGAAAGTCAGGCAAGGCGAGGAAAAAAAAAAGCAAACTAGGGGAGAACGAGTCGACCCGAGGAACCAGTGGTAGAGGTTCCTGACCCCCCCCCCCCCGAATTACTGCGTGGGAAACGCTCGGGCCTTGGGCGTGTGATTGTATGTTCTGTGTGTGTGTTGTGTTATATTTTATTTTTTTCACTTTCCAATTTGGTTTTTTAATTTAATTTTTTTCCTTTCCGCGGTTCCACTGTCTACGGAATGGTGTGATATGAGAGGGAGAGAGAGAGAGAGAGAGAGAAAGAGAGAGAGAGAAAAAAATCCAGAGAAGGGGAGGAGATAGAGTCTTGACCTCTGATTCATACTGTGGTGTACCCCCGTTGATCTGCAGCCACGTTGATTCGCTTCGAACTCGTTCTCCCCCACCTCGTATGCATACGTTCTCGTCTTACCAAGGCGGATGGCGCGCGACGGAGGGGCGGACTTTAAAGTGGCCACTTTTCACCAGTCATTTCCCATCGCATACGAACCAATCGCTGGATAGATCCGCGCGGTTTTTTCTTTTCATTTGGGTCGAGTGGGACCCCAAACCCAGACGGAGCATCCGTGTTGTCCCATGCTAGCAGTGCTAGTGCTAGTCGACCCGGAGAGTACCCTCACCTCACCCTTTAGCTCTGAAGGACGTTGTCCGATCAGCGATTCTTCTTCTTCGATTTTTTGTCAATTTTTCTTTTTCGGCGCTATGCTGCCTGACCTCTCCATCGAGGGGGCTAACTCTTAGGTCAAAAGTACCTTTTTGTACCTTGCCTTCTTACTGTAGCTCCACTATGGTGAGAGCCCATGTCCAACGCATGTGGTAGAGCCGGATGGAATGTGTCTGTATGGAAATGCCCGCTTTGGAGGTGTGTTTTAGTACTTTATCGTTGTTACAGCTGTCGAAATGCCCCTCGTTTCAGTCTGCGATTAAGGACCTGGAGGGGTACACCGTTGGGAATCTGACATGCATATTCGTCGGACATTGGTCACACAACTCCCCGATCGAGAAATGAGTCAATCACGATCTGAAGTCAACGTGACCAAAAGTCATCTGACCCGAACGCTACTCAATTTCGGGACGTCGGTCAATCTGACTTTGGAATCTGGGAGGAATGAGGTCTTCGTTCTTTTCGGCTCAAAAGTTAGGAAAGGAAAATACCCGATTTCATCACGTCACATGGTGCCCTTATCGAGGATCACTGTTTTGACTCGCAGATCTATTGCGCTACAATAATCAGGTTTAGTATGATTTACCTTGTTTTTTGGTTCCCGTTTCCTGCTTGGGCCTCCGTAACTGTAGCTTCTGTGGAGCGGTAGATTGTTTGCGGATGAGCTTGGATCCGCTCGATCCAAGCTCTAAGGTAAGACTAGGGCCGATGGTGTCTCCGTGCACGGGCTGCGGTGGGCAGGGTGGATAGGAGGTTATTTTCTGTGAGGCTGGGCGGAAAGGGGGGTCAGGAGACGAGGCAGGGATCTGTACATCTGTACGAGCAGGGATCCTACTGAAGGCAACGTGCCAAAGTCATAGTTAATGGCTGAGGATGTAATTGTACAGATGCGACGGCGCTTAATGATACCCAGAGCTGAGAGCCCTGAACTGAACCCCCAATTTTCCCGAACCCAGAACGCCAATGTCAATCTCATGAAGCCTCATCGCTGGTCTGCCACTGGAGCAGTGCTCTCAGCACCGCAACACCGCCAGATTGGGTCTCAACGGTACGGCCACGGCCACGATCATTGAAGTCCCGCGGCACTCCCGGGCCGAAAGTTTCCGTATCCGCCATGGCCCCCTCGTTGATGTAGTCCACAGCACCATCAGGGAGAGTGCTACTATTCACAAGCTCATCGGAGACAGTAGATCGGTTGAAGGGAAGTCCCCACCACATGCCGAACTTGCCTTTTTCGTCACGAGTCATGAGCGCAGCCCGCGCATTATGTTCAATCCAGGGACCATAGGAATGGCATGTCTTGAGATGCTGGCTGTACACCTCATCCCAATCATGATCCACGTCAGGAGCCTTCTTGCTTGCGAGGAATGTCTCCTCTTGTGGTCGCAAGTCCCGACAGAACTCTGTCAGATGATGGAAGAAAATGCCCTTGAATGTCTGTCCGTCCTGCGAGCAGCTTGCGTGGGAATCACATGTGTCTTCCATCACACCGCCACGTCCCAGGCCGGCCCACTTGGTTGATGAGATCTGCGGCCACCCGGTGGCAAGAAGAATCTTTTTGATCAGATCATGACCGTCGTCGAGGTAACTCATTGAGCTGGTGGCTAGCCAGAGACCTCTCAGCCCGCTGAGAATGACTCCCTGGTTGTAGGAGAAGACCATCTTGTTGAGAATATCACATTTCCGCGATCCAGGGTTCGACGAGCCTTGCCAGCCGCTGATGTGGAAGCCATCAGCGTAGAGGCCGTAGATGCCCGTCATGTTCGACTTCTTCAGCCATGCATATGCATCAATGGCAGCTTTCAAATGTGTCGTGTTATGCGGATTCTCCTTCTTAGGTGCATTGCTAGTCGAAGTGGCGACGAACGGTGCGTCAATGGGGTCGCCTGGGAAATATAAGTACATTGCTATGCTTGCGGAGATGAAAAGTTCGTTTGTGATGGCGTTCTTGTACGGTATCAGGCTCGGATTCCAAATCATCCCACCGTTGCAGAGAGTCTTGTCCCATCCGGTCGAGGCCAGCTCCCAGAAGATACGTGCTCGGTGTGCAGCTGAGTTGCGGAATTGTGTGCCGTACCATTCCTCACCTGTAGAATTGTCGGACGACCTGCCAGATGAATAATGCAGATCCGAGTGCAAGTCTTGGAATTTGACATTTTCTAGCCAGTCCAGCACGACCCAGAGCATATCGTCGTAGGCTTGATTTCTGAGACTGAAAGCATTCTCGCCAAAGTAAAACGTAGTGGTGTGACTGAAAAATTGATTGATCGTGTTCTCAAGTGCAGCAAAAGACCAGTCCTCTGAGGGTGCCTTGTCGAGCTCAGAGACGCTGGAGGTAAAGGAAGAGAGTGTGGCGGCGACATGTGTTCCCAAAACAGCCGCGGTCCAATCGATACTGCTCGGCCAAGTCCCCATCCAAAGCACGAAGTACTCGTCTTGCATGGCCCGCAAGGCACTGAGCAGGTGCTGCTGCGTCTCAAGGGCGTTGACGAGGTCACGGACCCCGTCACATAGCTGACATCAGTTTCGTTTAGGATGTCATCCACTGTGTTGAAAGGACTTTGGAGACCGGCAGGGTTGCCAACAAGTGGCTGTTGAGGCGGATGCGCCAGCGCATTGGCCGCAGGTGCAAAGAGAAGAGTGAATAGAGAAAGAACCCTATATAAAGACAAGGCTGGCCTGGTAAAGGCCGCAGACGTGGATGGGAGAGTCATCCCGTCGTCCCTGTCAGAGCCTAGGAAATCCAGCGCTGAGCCCCTCCTCCTCTATAAGAATGCAACACCAGGAGAGCACGGAACGACACAGCACGAGACTGGGGACATCGATGCGGGGAAGGAAGGGGTTTGGGGTCTGGGCTGGAACAGGGCTTAGTCACCCGACCCACCGCATTTGGAAGTAGGTGTTCCATGGAGATCAAAGCGAAGTACAGAGGGCACGCGAGTACTTGCTTGAGAGACAGCATGTCCTGATAGAAACCTTGGTGTGCATGACGAGATGTGGTGTGTTGGCAGTGTGCGCCACAGGGACGTCGCGTGATGCATCTCCATCCAGGTACCTGGACAACGCTTGGACGGAGCCGAGCTTGTTCAGTACAAGTACACGCTAGGCCGCTACTGATCTCAAAATATAAGTATCCGTGCACAGTCTTTCTGATATCTTTCCTACTGGCAGATCCCGGGACCAACGGAGCGTGAAGCGCGGAGACTCTGGATCCTCCTTGGCCTTGGAGGTTGATCCAAATCACCAATCAATGCAAGCCAAGGGTAAGATTGGGATGAGCTACGATGCAGAACAATCACATTGACTCGTAGACATAATAGCGCTTTCGCATTTCAAGTATATTTGGTGCTAGCTGAACCATTAGATTGTCATTAGGCTAATTGGCAGACATTCGTTGGAAAGAGCGGTCTTCAAACAGACCATGAGCTATTCCATAAGCATTCTTTTGTTCTGATTCCAAGTCAGTAGCTGAATGAAACTGGTCGCAGGGGAGAATTATCATACCCATCAGGACGATGTATCCTGAAGCCGACATACATCTCTTCGTAGGTAAAGCTTTGCTGGGCTCTCAAAGCACAGACGAGGCAGTTCAAGAGGTGTAGAGTGCCGGCGAATTTATGAAACCCATCTCATTCGTCATCCATCCAGAAACTTGTTGGGTATGCGGGGGAAATAAGGACTAAGCGTTGCGGCGGAAAGGGATGACAGAACGAGGGATTCAGGTATCAAAAGAAAGGGGACGGGCGAGAAACCCCCATAAGAGTTCATTCCTCGCAAGGAATGTGTATTTAGTTGCGGTCACCCTCAGGGCTGCGGCTGCGATCCGGGCTGCGGCTGCGACCACGACTGGCGCCGCCACGGCCATTTTTAGCTCCGGCCTTGCCTTTGCCGGACGGGGGTGGACGAACGAACGCATAGTCAACTGAGATGGTCTGGTCGAGTAACTTTGTTCCGTTGAGATTCTTGATGGCCTCACTGGCCTCGGGCAGGGTCGAGTATTCAATCAAGGCGTATCCCTAGCGAGGTGAGGTGTCAGCTTCTAGTGCTCTCAATGTTTCTAACGACATAAATCATGCCATCGCCGATATGATCCAAGAGCTGGGGTCGCAGCTGCTAGCGCTAGCGACAAGCCCATAGAGTGGCCCGCACGCACCTTAACATAACCTGTCCGTCGATCCAGGTTCAAGTTAAAGTTCTTGATCTCGCCGTACTCGGCAAAGAGCTCCGTGACATCCTCCTCTGAGGCTTCCTCGTGAATGTTGGACACGATCACAATCCATCCCTCGATACTGCGCACGGCGACAGAGTTGGACTGAGTTCTAGGCTCGAAGCCGTCGCCTTGCGGTGCGTCGTCCTGAGCGACGGGCGGGTCGACTTCCATTTCAGTCGACATTCTGGACACTTATAGAAAGAAGGAACAGGATCGGAAGAATCAGAAAAGGAATTGAGGCGCTGGTGTCCACTGGAGCCAAGGGGGGGGTTGCCGTCTGACGTCTGCGAAGTGAAGGCGCGGAGCGGGAAAAGCTTTGGCCTTCCGTTTAGGTTTAGCGTCCGCCGTCGTCTTCACATCGTGTCTGTTGCTGGGACAATTGTAGTAGTGATCTCTTTTGTCCTTTCAGGCGAATTTAGTGTGCTGATGTCGCGCTTGGCCAATATATAATACCGCGGAAACCTTTATACAATACCCTGCGAAATGTATGCAACAATCTGAAGAGATCTCCCCATATATGCACGAACTACAACGATTTCATACAACACACTGATCTTGCTAGCCTCAAGATTCCACGACAACAATTTGTGTACTCTGATGAGCTCACATTTGACACATGTGAGCTACTCATGGTTAGACTCGAGACAGGTGTCGTTAATGAGAAAATGTCTCAATGGTTCAAAATTCCATTCGACTATGAATTTGGAACGGGTCTACTGAAGGCGATGAGGCTTATGGCATGACAGCATCACTAAAGTTATACTCGACCAAACACAAATCTGAGAAGAAGAAATAGCCGAATTTATGTGCATGAGGCACGCTGGTAAGATTTTATTGACCTGGGGAGTATACACGTGGGTGGTGCGAAGAGCGAAGCTCTCGAGGTTGCTAGGAATAAGGGAGACGTGAAGTGAGAAAGTGAGAAAAGAGAATGAGAGCCAACTTAGTACTAGAGGCTTTATAAATGACCTTGGAGTTCAAGGCTCGAGACTTGGGATTCATCTCTTTACAACTTTTCACCTCTCACTTAGCTCCCTCCAGCAATCCAAGGCGAGCGATCTTCTCAACTCATCTTAATCAAGATGACACCGGATGCATTCCGCTACACCGACCAAGAGCCTGAGATACACGGCAAAAGACCTTCAAAATGGTGGCGTTGGTGAGACTTGAGAGTCCTCGCATGCGCTAAGACGAACGACATAATTGACACCAGATGGCAAACAGTGACGACCCTCTTTGTACCTGCCAGAAAGCACCAATGCGATCCCCCAGACAGTCCATTGGACTACTCATGTACGACAAGCGAACAGGCAAAATGTGCCAGCTCCATGAACAAAACACCGAACTTGACGCCAGTTTCGATGTGATCGTGGGAACCATGCGCCTTCAGCAGAAGTTACGCTGCCTAAACTCTGGGCCACACGCACAGATTACAACGACAGTCAACTTTAGCAAGCACAACAGCGCCTTTGTCAACCTCGAGGGTCTTGCCGATAACTCTCTTCTACTTACCTTCAAAATCCTTTCGGCTATTCAAATAACCCAAGTCGAGCCAAACGCCATCCAGAATTCGGGCACCAACGGAGCCAGAGTCAAAGATGCCTTGAACAATGGAACAAGTGCCAATGGCATCTTCCTAAAAGGCACCAGTGTCCAAGAAAAACACAAGAAGCTGGGGTCAAAGCCAATACTCCGACAAGAAGTCTTGGGTTTCTTCCCTGACAACCAAACAAACGAGTGCCCACTCTTCAAAGTCGTAAATGCGAACCTGGACATGGAGAAGACTATGCAACTGCATCTACCCAAGGACCGCATCAGTTCATGGATGACAGTCGGCCTAATTTTGCTTACTTTCCGCGAGATCACAGCTACCATCTGGCACCGAATCACCACCCAACAAAAGGGCAAGGACGTGGCAGGGCTCAACTGGGTCCAGGTCCGAGAGCAAACAGCTCAAATCTCGGTAGTCATGACCCTCGAAGCGAAGCGAAGAGTTCAGGCTGCCCTCGACAAGGAAAGGGCACGATCTACTGCAATTATGCAACAGGCTGTCTATCTCGGATTGCAGGGAGATCCTACAGGGCGATACATTGGTTTCTCGGCCCGTGTGCGTCCAGCTCAATATGGCCAATTGCGCGCAGGAGATCTGGGATTCCGAGGCTGATCTAGGTCTTTGCATCTCATTTGGAATGAGCCTTTCGAGATAATGGTTGACTTCGCATAGCTCCGGATTATTATGTGATTCCTTACGTCTTTCGAATATTCTTAATAGGGGTTACCGATGACCCTGCACATACGAGAACGGTAAACAGTGATAGCAGAATGGAGTTTCAATGTTTTTTGTATTCCAAAGCTAGAATGAAGGATTGTAGCCTTATTTGTTGAACGAAAGTCAAGGAGTGGAGATTGGATTCCCCGTTCGTAGACCTCGGCTGACTACTATAATGAAAGCTGCAAGTGAAACAAGAGAATAAAGTGAGTAAGTCGTTTAAAGTACAGTTCGTGTAGATGAATGAAAAAAAGCAACCGTTGTAACGCCCATGTTGTCAATCACCAGACGGCTTATTTCCGGTTGTTGCTCATGCTGAGAATCTGTACCATGCGAATGAAAATGTTGATGAAGTCAAGCTCAAGGCTGACACTCTCGTTGACAACATCACGCTTCATGTAGCCACGCTCGGCGAGACGGGCATGGTGCAGGATCTTCTGAATGTCGTAGAGGGTGAAGCCACCAAAGACGGCCAGACCACCGTACAGCCAGATACGCTCAGACCACATCAGGGTGCGAGCAGCGGTGACAGGAAGAACCAGGGGGGCGAGACCAGAGAGAGCAACAAGGGTGACACCGGCGAGAAGAGGACCTCCGAGGTACAGGTATTTCTCCTGCTTGGCAGTGGCGCCAACGAAGGCGATCGAGCCCATGAGACCGACAGTGTACAGACCAGCACGGGCGAGCAAAGCAGGGTTGTAGAACATCAGAGGAGAGAGGAGCGCAGCCTGGGTAAGGTTGAACAAGGTCCAAAAGCCATACTTCACGGCATAGCTGGTTGAACAGTTAGAACTTCCTTCCTTAATCTCAAACATGGATGGTTGAAGTGACTTACTTATCGGGGGAGGTATAGAAAGTTCCGTACATGGAACCAATGCTGCCGACCAGGCCGACACCGAGAACGAGCCATGGGTTCATGGACATGAGGCGGTACGACCAACCGTTGGAGTGAAGAGCGCGAGCAGCAACACCAATGATACCAATACCAAGTCCAGTGTGCATGAAAGTCTCGTTCAGGAAGCTACGCTCGTAAGCGGGCATGCCGCCGTCCTCGCGAGTCTCGCGGTTGAAGATGAAGTTGGTGGCCAAGATGGTACCACCGACGATGGCACCGCCATACATCAGCTTCTGTGTGAAGTTACCCGAAGAAGCGTTGAAGGTCTGCTGCATGTAGGTGCGGCGGAAGGCATTCTGGAAGGTCTGACGAGACTTGGCGAAGATGGTAGAGGACGCTGCGGAGGGCTTGGGGGCCTGAGTGGGCTTGATCGGAGAGTTGTGAATAAAACGCGCGGTATTTGAGAGCTTAGGTGCCTGGCGCAGTGCCGAGGGCACGGCAAACGGACGCCGCAAAAAGAAAGCCATGACGATGATGTCGAGAGGGGAATGGCAAGAGAGTGGTTTATATCCGGACGCCTCAATGATGGCGGATTACTCACCGGAAACTCGGCAGTTCTTAAGTCCGAAGCTTCTGGAAACGCACGTGACAGAGTGGGATGGCGGTCTTTGAATCTCAAAATACGTCATTCTTTACTTGTGGCCCGACCGAAAGGCACTCATTTGTGATCATGGCGCTTCTGGAGACGATCGAAATACCTCACCTTCCTCCGTCACTACCAGTTCACGTGGCGCTGTATCGAAATGTCGAAAACGCCGACTATCTGAAGCAGCAATTGCTTGCCGGCAATTCGGAGTTTGAATATGCCTTAATTGATGCTAGCATGGTATGTACACAGTCACTGTTCATCCGCATAGAATTCTCGATCTAAATCTAAACAGGTTTTATCACGAGCCCACGCGATCACTGCAATTTTTCGAGCTATCAATGATTACATGAACAGCCGGCTTAAGTCCCGCAATGTGCACTCCGAGATTGTGTTCTCATTTAGCTCTACGAACAATGTACGTTACCTACTGCATCGGATATCTAGGAGAATCATTAATACGTTTAGATTGCGGATTCTTTCCGTAAATTCGGCATTGCCGACTCCACTAAAGATCTGCTGGTCGTCAAAGTCTCCGTGGTCCCGGAGATAACCCACGACTCCGTGGCGGCGCACCTGGAAGCATCTGTCAAGGGGACCCCCGTTCCATTCAATGACGAGACATTATCACAAGTCTCTGACATCGGAAAGATCAAGAAATTCTACAAGCTCGGTGCCTTGCCCGATCCCAAGCCTATCTCCACTGGGGCTAATGGTGTCCACGCCAATGATGCCAAAAGTCGTTTGGAACTCTCGTTGCTGGGTGCTATTGCCTTAAGGGGATCATGATTGTGTCCTTGGTTCTCGAAGGTCTCTCAAATCTTGCGAAGTCACCATTCATACAGTCTTGTCATAGCTACCGCTAGGCTTTTTGCGGATGGATTCAGTGGCAGTCGGCCCTCACGTCTAGAACCCGCCGTCTTGAGCACAGAATTATTGATGGCATCACCGTCGAGCAAAGTGATTCCGTAAAGACACTGTCGGCATGTGGCGCAACATTAGGTCTCGGCGACCCAAGGTCAACATGTCATTTAGCTATGACCTCATACATGGGACAGATACCCTATGACAAGTCATCCAAATTGGATTCGAAATTCTATATAATACTGTTGGAAAATGTTTAATAATCTGAAGAGATTCTTGTATCCTTAGAAACTCGCTACGATTGGCAAGCTTTGTATACTTCGCGGACAGACTGACATTGGATGGAAAGTTGTCCAAGTTGAGCCATATTATTCAGCCTTGGATCGTAAAGGGAATTGGCAAGTTGGCAAACAATGCTCTCGCTAGTCTCATAGATTTCGAGCCACATAAGTCAAGACCAGGTGATAACGAGTTGAATTCCGACCGTTGCCCAGCCCAACATGAAGTTCGTCCCAAAAAGGCAATCCCATTGCTTGCCAAGAGTCGCGTTCGCCGCCGCCGCATCATGTCTTAACGCGACATCCAGGAACTCGCTCGACGCGCAGGTGACCGAGACGGCGGCCGTTCTCTTCTTCTCGATTATGGCAGCTATTTATCGAAGTCGAACGTGAACTTGTACCCTCCAGACGCGCCCAGATCCGAAAATAATCAGCTACAACGCGCCGCTCGTCACGATGACGAGCTCTGCGGATGTTATTGTCCTATCGTCCTCTCCAAACCCTCCACCGCGGGCTCCCACAAGAACTGCAATTGATGCAGATAGGGATTTCCCTCTTTCGCCACAAGACGAAACGTCACCGTCCTTACCTTCGCCCCCCGGAGCTGCTTCCGTTACCTTCGCGCTCTCGCTTCTTTCCTACACCCAAGGCCACAGATGATGCAGCTAAGCCGAAGCGCCGAACAACAAAGAAGGCTAAAATCTTGGATTGTAAGGACGAGGATGTGTCAACTAAATCGCCACAGAGAACAAAGAAAGCTACAAAGGAGCCAAAGTCGAAACCCCCAAAAACCGTCAAGACAGACTCCCTTGATTCGCGGGACAAAGCTCCCAAAAAGGGCACGGTGACCGTGAAAGGTCGTCCACGAAAGAACGCAAAGAGCAAGGAGCTGGGTAACATGACCCTAGCCGGCAAAGTGACCAAGTCGAGCAATGAGCCTCAGATGAAGAAGAGGAGCGAGAGTGAGAAAACAATAAACCAACAATCCCCGGATGGCTCGTCTGAACAGTTCGGTTCTAAAAAGTTGAACGCACTGGAGGAAGACGAAGAGTTACATTTGGAGAAGGCCATGAGAAGAAGGGTGGACTGGACGCCGCCAAAGCAGGATGGTCCTGGAAACGTTCTTGTGGTCGATGATGATGATCAGCTCGACCTCAATGCCTCTCACCCTACCACGACTGGGCTCGGGAAGCTTCTATCGGGTTATAACTACTCTGATTCAGGCTCGGAGACACGCAAACTCCCGACAGACACACTTAGCGGTGGTGTGACCAAGCGAAGGAGAATAGAGGTATGTAGTACTATGCTCGTAAGCTTCTGTACGGGATCTCGGCTGATTTGCTTCAGTTGGTGGACCCTCAAGTTTACCAAAAAAACAAAATCACATTGAATGATGAATCTTCGGCCCAGGAAGGAGACTCTTCTTCTTCGAGTGCCAAAGCTAAGAAGAAGCCAAAAACTCAGAAGCGTTTCACAACATTGACGGCCCGAATGACTGCCCAATATGCAGCCAAAGATCCCGAAGACGCTCTAATGGAAGATATCATCACAGATGTCAGTAAGCCAAAGTCTCGACGAAGCAAAGAAAAGACAACGGACAAAGGCCCTGTATTCACCGTTCTGTCGCCTGAAGCTGCTGCCAAGTCGTTGGATACTCAGGATCTCATGTTCGGGACCTGCAGTCAGTTGGAAAGAGAAGATTCTCCTCAGGCGCTAAGGGAGATGCAACAAGCTATACGCGAATCAGAGAGAATCTACTCTATGGAAAGAGAAGCAGGTACCGTCTCGAGAGTCGTATCTCGTCGAGCTGGTGAACGAAATCTGTGGTCTGTTGGTGCCCGTGACGCAGAAGGGTCTTTGATACAAGCGGAGCCTCTGGATATGGTGGATCTCACAAAATCAGTTGAAGCTCCTCAAAAGAAAGACATTGCCACCACCACAATCAAGGCTCGTGTTCCAGCAGCTCGGGATAATGATTGGCTCGACCTTGACCTTGGACCGCTTGATACATCGCCCGGGAAGACAATGAAACAGTCAAAACATGTGGCAAAGCCTAACCTTGCAAATCATGCTGAGCTAGTGGAGCGCCTTGGCGCCAATTCAGCGAAAAGGACAAGTAATCAACGAGCAGACTCTCAACAGCCTTCAATGCCGCATTACAATGGCTTCACAGATGCCGAGCTGTCCAGCCAGATTGCCTCTTTTGGTTTCAAGTCCGTAAGAGGCCGCAAGAAGATGATTGAATTGCTCCAAAAGTGCTGGGAATCCAGACATGGAAGCCCTGTCCCTGTGACACTGAGTCAAACCCCACAAGTCACCAACCCTAGAAAGACAGACTCTCAAACAATACCCGTCAAGCCCAAAGGGAAAGCGAAGTCCAAGCAGAGCACCACCACCACGACCACTTTAACATCAACGGCTATAACGGAAAATGCGGAGCTTGGTGTGGTTTCCTCACCAAGGAGCATACGCAAGGACTCAAAGGCAGGGCACAATACTCAACCGTCATTTATAGATGTAGAGGAGATCCAGGATTCCGAAGATGATGTTTTCCTCTCCCCAAGTCAAGTGCAAAAGCGATACACCGAGATTTTCTCGAAAACCCCTAGCTCAATCCGTGAGCCTTCCCTCGACATCATTACAAAGACATCACTGTCTCAAAGCCCAATCAAACGCAAGACGACGATCACCAAATCCTCACGCGCCACAAAGCAAGTGACGACTTCAACTTCCAAAGCCGACGAGACGGACTCTTCTAAGCGAGACAGCCTGGCAGACCTATCTATGCAGATTACCAAAGCTGTATGGCTTCAATCCCAGTCCTCTCATCCATCAATGCACACCGGTCGACTTCGCCCAACGTGGCAAGAAAAGATTGTGATGTACGATCCCATCATCCTGGAGGACTTAACAGCCTGGCTAAACGTCGAAGGGCTTGATTCAGTTGGAGAAGACCGTGAGGTCCATACAGGGATTGTGCGGGAGTGGTGCGAGAGCAAGGGGATCTGCTGCTGCTGGAGGAGAAACGCAAGCGGTGACAAACGCGTTCTATATGAGCACCAATTGAGTGCATAAAATAATATTTTAGGCCTGTATATGGAGGAGTGGATAACGTCCAGATGTGACGGGAGTTTCAAGGGATATAGAGAATTGACTATGGTGCTGTTTCAATACCAGTCTACCTCGTCCTCCTCACACTGGAATCCTCTTGAAAGAAGACGAGGCTTGGCATTACTCTCCATGCATATTGATTTCTGATCCAATAGTTCTGCGCTTTTTTAAGTGCTGTAGATGTCCAAGCAGAGAAATCGTGATTGTTTATGTAGGCTCCTGTCTGAAACGCTAATAGGATATTCTTGAAGCAACAAACCTTTCCTTCACTCCTAAGGCATGTATCTTGAGTCCAAAAGCAATTTTCCAGGATAGACAGTATCTTATTTCTGTGTAGGCAATCAATCAATTTGTTGGAATGAAAAGAGCATCGCCAATGCAGTGCACAGATTCCTAAATCTCAAAGGCCTTCCCGATACCCCTAATTGTGACCCTGCATCTGAACAAAAAGCGAGGATCAGAACCAATGACGGAGAGAATAGTGATAGAAGAGAATGACCAAGAGGTTATTAGAAAGTGAGATGGCCACATTGCCATGGTGCAAGGCAGTATATGACCTCGGCATGGGCTTAGGAAAGCAGAAGTGCTAAGGTCGAGGAGTTCGCCCGCTACGGGCTGCTTGTCCCCACCCCATATCAACCTCGTTGATCTGAACATTGGATATGCTCACCTGGCACTGGTCATAGAAGGCCTGCAGCAGTCCATGCAACCTCAGATTTTCCTCACGCAGCTCCATCACAGTCTTCGACAAAGCAGCGAGATTGTCTTTGAGCCGTTTGGCCTCCCCACGAACTAGAGTCTCACCAGTGACTCGATCGGTCATCTGGCAAGATAGTCCTGAATTTGAGCAGGCAGCGCAGCCCTCGCGATCGGGGTCGCAGGCGAGACGACGATACTATTGACCGGGTGAGGCTTAAGTGATGTGGATTTCATGCAAAAGAAAAGAAAAAGGAAGAAGAATGGACGGGTAAACATACCTTGCAACGGTCACATGCTTGACGAGTTCGAGCGCGTTTAGCGGACTCTGGAGTACTGGTCTTCGGCGCCGCTGCTTCACGGGCACGCCATGCATCTTCGCGAGCACGCTCCGAGTAATACTCCGCTGTGTCGCCGTTCTGCTTGCTGCGGCGTTTTCGAGAGGATTTCGGGGTCGAGATTGGGCTCGCACTTTCTTCCTTGTTGGGAGTTTGAACACTCGGGTGGCTCAGGGAGCTGGCAGTGGGAGTTTGGCTGGTTGCAGTCTGGGGAAGCTCCAACGGCAGCAATAGTCCGAGATTGGTGTGATCGTCACTCAGATGCTCAGGGAAGTTAGGGATTAGGACTCCAGACATATTAGGAGATATCATGGGCTGAGGAAAGATAGAGGCTATGAGCAAGATCGGTCAAACGGTTAGCTGGAACAAATTGGGCCTATATGGGTATGGAAAGGGCTCAAGATGCTTGATATCTTCAAGTTGTACGGTAGAGAGGCAGAAATACTCACAAATCTTGGTTGAATATCTGTAGATCAAATGAGAGTGCAAGTTGGATTCAAGGGTGACGATGGCTTAAGATGTCTTGAGCAACAAGTAGACAGGGGAGGATGGCATTGAAAGTGCGTCTTGTCTAGACATCAAACAACCATAGATATAGACTGGATCTATTTGCAGGCCTCAGGCATATCAGCTCCCCTTGGTCTGCAGATTGTCCTCGAATGTTGTTTTTCTACCCTCGGGGGTTTGGTACAGATTTGATGTATTGGATAGATCATGCCATTGTGAAATGGTTCTCATCGTCTCGGCTTCTGTTAATGGAGGCTGCTTATGATTATTACCCATATAACTTCCCAATGCCTCCTCACCATACTTGCTGTTTGAGGGTCCGTACAAAGAATGCCTCGAACTACACTCACAGACTGCTGCATGAAAGTGCTACACAATCGACACAGTTTTCTCAAAGTAAACATGGATTTCAAAGGCTACGAACGAGGTCCCAAGGAATAGCAGGCTATCTTTGACCTTGACTACAGATTCAATAATCAAAGAATCTGGCTTACTCACCAAATGCAATGACTTTGGTTCTCGGGACTTAATGGACAATAGCTTTCAAGAGAAACAGCGACATGAGAGCCAAGAAACACAACAGAGGAAAAACAAAAGAAAGAGCAAAGATCGATTGTAGTAGAGCACATGAATGGAATACATTGTCAGATATCGAGGAAATAAATGTTCAGTACCAAAATATTTTTAGTGTCACGACCCTTAAAAACACAACCAAAGAAAGACATTGGGGGTGCAGCATTATTTCGTGAATGTCAACCAAGAAGAGCGCGGAAAGCCTCCAACATAATTAGATATCGAACCAAGGAAAAAAAAGACGAAAGAAAAGAAGAACAAACAGATGCTGTCAGTCTTTGAACTCCTGCCATGCTCGACCGGCCCAAGAACCACATAACCCGAGAATCAAATCGCGCGCCCAATCTATAGGAATAGCCAAAGGAATGATATGCGTCCAAGTGGCCCAGAAAGCCTGTAATCTCAAATAAAACAGGCTGAGAATGTGAATAGATCCAAGAATGGAATGTGAAGACAGAGGAGGTACAATAGAGATACTGTTAATTATGGCTAGGTGTGGCGATGAGCATCATCGGGAGTTTCTCTTGTTCGGGGCGACGGTTTCGAACTTGATACGCGGTTGATACCGCTTTGCACCGCCTTCATCTAACCAACACGTGAGGTTCTTACATTGGCTCACGTCAAAGATTTGAAGTTGGTGGCAGCCCTCGGCGACAGCTTCAACGCCAACACCGGTGACACGAACACAGCCACGCACGGAAAGATAATTCAAAGAGAGCAGGTGCAGGCCAATGCTTCGTAAAGAGGGGTCGGAAATAGCGGAGCCACAGAATGACATGTTCAGAGACTTGAGGTTTGAACATTGTAGAGCAAGGACTTCGGTTGCCGTATCGGAAAGGGCACAACAGAAAGACTAAAGAAACACCACTAGTTAGTATTTGGAAAGAAAATGTGAGAAGTTTGACTCATGTTCATACCAGATCCAACTCTTGCAACTGCTTAGCGGCGTTTGTCAGATGCACGATGGCGTTGTCTGTCAAGTAGGTGCAGTCCGCAAGACAAAGCTTCCTCAAGCGGGTAAAGCGGGCATTACCCCAATGCTGGAATCCCTGGTCCGTGATAGTTGTGCAACGAGTCAAGTCCATCTCTTCAAGTCGCCCTGCCGCGTGCGACGCAATATGATGCATCGACCGATCTGTGACATGTTTGCAATAGGAGAGTGTGAGCTTTTTTTAATTGCGGACAGCCATAGACGGACGCCTCCGCGGTTTGAATAGTCGGCTTGATATGGGCATTTTTGCCCTCAACTTTTTGGGTACTTGGAACCACCCAACCAATGATGCGAGCCAGAAGTGTATCACCCACCTTCCGGCAATTACTCAGATCCACCTCTTGCAGATCCTTGGCTTTGATAGACATTTCAAGAATTGCGGAGGCGGTGACATCCCAAACACTCATCATCTTCCACGTTGTTGAGTTTGGTGCGCAGGTGCTAGCCAAAGCATTGAAACCTTCATCGGTGATGTGGAAGCAGTTGTTGATATTCACAGAGCGGGCGCGGGTTCCGACGAATGGGCAGACGATCTTCACAAGAACGTCGTCGGTGAGCTGACGATTGTAGATGCTCAAGTCCAAGTCGCGGACTACGTCGGCTGATTCAGTCAACATCTCTGACCAATGTGATGATACACCGCGGAGTCGAAGGAGATGGTGGAGGTCCAAAAACTGGAAGATATTCAAAAGGACGCTGTCGGGAAATATTCCACGATGAGCGTCACCGGATGAGCGGGAAGTTGGAGGTTTAGAGAGACCATATGTCTCAGGCGGGGCGAAGGAGGAAGAACTAGCAGAACGGGGTTCTGAAGGGGGAGAAGGTCGGGGTTTTTCGCCTGAGACCTCTTCTGGCGTTAATGGTGCAACTGATCCACGTCGACTTCGAAGCCGAACTTTGTCTAATCCCAGGCTGAGATAAGGGTCGGGATCAGATGGCCGTAAGACCGCCTGATCCTGATCCTCCGGCGAGGATTGATGCGGGCCGTCCAACTCAGTCTCAGTCAGTGTCAATAAGGGCATGGAGCGTCTGCGAGACGCCCTGATCTTGACTTCGTCATCAATTTTCAGATGGCTTATTGGCGATTGCTCATCATTTGCATCTGACATGATCACGTCACCATCTGCAGCTGCCTGAAGTCTCTCTTGAGCAGTATGTTCGACCTGCTCACGAATTTCACGAGGACACATTTCCCAGAACTTTGAAAGGACATCTCCACTAAGCATTAGACACTCGACTGCCGTGACAGAGCGGACGGTTGCTGTTCTTCGAGGTGCGAGTGCCAGACTGACCACTTCCCCAAAGTATTGGCCTTGCTTGAGTCGAGCTTTTATTTCAACTGAATGATGACGAGTCCCGTTGGGTTGTTGGTGCTTCTGTTTTGAATCTTTTTTTTCGGTCACTACCTCGACTTCGCCGCGAACAATGAAGTATAATTCACGCCCTTGCGAGTCTTGCTGAATGATGTCGGTAAATGGAGGGAAGGAAGTCGGTTGGGCTTCTAGACCCAGAAAGTGAAGTATATCGGCTGGCAGACCAGAGAAGAGAGGCAGTTCCTTGAGCAGCAGGCGGACGTTGACCACTCCATTTGCTAAGGCGCTGGATGCATCCCGGCGGCCCGGGCTTGGTGACTTCCGCTTCTTATATACCGACTTAAGCGTTGAGTCCTCGTCACCTTCAGTGACCATCAAGTCTTTAGAAGAGGCCTCTCTCAGTCGTTTGGAGCCTCGCCGTACCGGACTAGGGCTCGGGTCGTCCACCGCTGGAGCAGACGTCTCCTTCTTCTTCTTCTCCAGGATCATCAATCGCTCCTGGGCTTCTTCCATGATCGCCCGCTCCACCTCCGGGAAGCGTGGTAAAATATTTCGGAAGTCCTCCTTGGAGAGCACGACCAGCATGCATCGGGTGCGAGCGATAATGGTTGCTGTGCGCGGCCGATCCATCAGCACGCCGATTTCTCCAAAGAACGCGCCCGGTTTCAGCTCAGCATATATACTCTCGCCATCGCGCGATGTGACCGATACCGCACCCCGTACTAGCCAGTATATCGCTCTTGCATCGTCGCCTTCGGTCAAGATGTAATCGTTAGGGGCGTGGAGCTGCGGGCGCAGATGTTGCCCGACCTCGATTAAGAAAGATTCTGGAGTCGCTTGAAATAGGGGGAACGAGCGCAGCCGATCGACGAGTTCTAACGGCAATGCTTTGATTTGGGAGGAGGCTAAAGGCGAGGGCCGCGCCGGCCGGTTTGGGTTCATGACGGAGTCGAAGGAATGGATGAGAGACACGGCGTCAGACATGGGGACGGCCTTGGTCGGGCCCCCGCTGGACCTGCCATGGCGACGCATGGTCAATAGTAGCTGTTGAAGAGATCAAACGGAAGCTCTGAGGGGTGACAAGATAGGTAGGCCCTTTGAGGGCGTCAATATTGCGATGACGTCGACGAAAGTAGCGCAGGTGTCGAGCTTGTCGTCGGCATTCTTCCACGCCCAATGGGTAGAAACGCGGTGCTAGCGAGCCGACATCAGCGGGTATAGGAGGAGGGTAGGCACTGATGCTTTCGCAGGAGGGGAGCAAGAAGAAAAGGTGTCAGAGCTCACGGACGGGGCCAGGTAGAAAGGTGGGGGGGTTTCCGGTTCAGCGACGTCAAATGCGGTTGAGCTCCACCGATCATCTGAGATCCTTCGGAAACTCTACTTGGAGCTCCACTTCGTATATGTCTTTTGGTAGATAGGAGAGGAAGGGTCGAATGCTATCAAATACTGAGAGGCTACGACTGGTGGGGGGAGAGAGCACAAGGCGGTCGACTTTGGCGTGGATCGTCGCATCCTTCTGTGTCTGCAGACTATGCCACGGGCGATCTATGTTGGCTCTCAACATGGATTACACCATTCAAGACCATCTAATTTATCAAAGTTAACAATGATCAAGTTCGAAATAAAAGGTTCAAATAACGGTCGACGAGGTTCCCAAGGTAAAAAAAAAAAGAAAAAAAAAGGAAGAGTCCCCGGATGTCGCTAAACGCAGTAGTCCAAATCCGGGTTTCCTTCCGAGCTCCTCTAAACATGCATAGCAGCCGTAGTATCCCCAGTCCTGCCGTACTTTCGGCTGCAAATGTGCCTGAGCCGGTAAAGCGCGATTTTTACGGTTATTAGCATGTCACGTGCCCACAATGACATGCATTCTTAGCTCATTGTAGAGAAGTGGAGTATTCCAATCGATTGGCTCGGGTATCAAATGCAATTGTAGTACAGCAAACGGCAAAGGCATGCATCACGGCAGGGTACCATGCCACGCAACAATAAAAGCGTAGAAATCCTCGCATGCCAAGTTAAGGGGCTTCTAGAACCCACACGGGCCCATCTACGGCTCGAATAAAACCCACTTTTCGTGGCTTAGCTTGACGCATGACTGAGACGACCCTGTTTGAGAGAACCCTGGCTAAGCCGGCAGTATGCAGGGGTGGACCACTCTTATAGTACTCCTAGTGTCAGGATCATGCGTCGAGCTCGCCGGGTAGATAATAGGCAACATGTCCAGGCCTTGATGAGGCTTTGCTGGTCTTCGACCCGCAACAATGATGGGAGCTTTGGATGCAGAAGGCTCAGGCGCGAGGAAGGCCAAGATATGCCGCATCACATCACATCAAATAGATCCTTCCTTGCTGGACTTGGACCGACGGTTGCCCATGAGAAAGTCCACATATGTGGGTCGATTCCCTTTAATTGACTCTAGACCATCTTGCAACAATCCATACACGAGACTCAATTTCAATCCGAGCTTTGCTGTGCGGGCGGCAGTGTAGACATCGTGGCGAGCTAGAACGTGAGATGCGTCAGTGTTATTTGTTTTAAGGTCATAAAGAGGAAAGCCCCAAACTCTTTTACCTAGTAAACTGTATATTCCAGAAAATGACAATCCCGCTGTGACCGTCGAAAGGAAGTCTCTCTCATCATGACGGGCATAGTCCACTGTCTCCTCAAATAGACAGAATGCAAGTGCACCGGCACCGAGCTTCGAGCCCATTTTCATGGCGTCCTTCACGCCTCCCACCACGGAGATGTAGTTCTTAGTCTTGTGGTACTGAAACCACCCGGCGGACGTTGTAGGGAACCGATGGGCATTTTCGGCACGAAATCGGAGGCCTGCCCTATTGCTGCCATGATAATATCCAAGGGCGGCGCCTGTAGTGAAGGCGGAAACAGTTGCATAGGGAATGCGCTTCTCGACGTCGATGCCTAAACGCGGCGGGGTGTCGGAGTCGAAGAGTTTATGCCAGTAGATAAGTTTCAGGAGGAGCGAGTTCTCTCGTGCGGAGTCGGACGGCGGTGGTTGGGCCTCCATGTTGAGCTTAGAACAGATGATTGTTTGACGTAGGTGCAGCGCAGCAGAAATTCGGAGCTCGGCAATTAAGGACCCGTCTTCTTCTCCGCCTCCACGCTCAGTAAAAACGACTACATTCAACAACTTCTACACCATTTATTCAAGTCCGCACAATGGTACGTGTCAAATTACTTTGGTCCTTTTCCCTTTCTTTGAAAACCTGGGTTTCCTAATTGTCGTGACATAGCCACCGAAGCAAGCAAAGCCAGACTCGCGCTCTTGCACCCTCCTCTTTAAGAAGCACAAGACCACCGTTCTCCTATCACTTCAATCACATGAAACTATCACATCTGCCAAAGAGAAGCTTCTTCAGGCTTTGAAATCACGACAGCTCCGCGACATCAATGGCGATGTCATTCCCGATGACCCTGCGGCGATAGAGCTGGGCGTGCCCATGGACCGAAGCGACCTGGACAAAGGCTGGATGAGCTTAACAATGGACGTCCCAGGTCAAGAAAGCGGTGCTAAGACCGGACAGAAGAGGTCGTCAGATACCCTGCAAGCTGCAGGGCTCCAGAATGGCCACTCAGTCGCATTCCGGTTCCGCAAATCAGGAGCAGGTGATGAGGTCGATTTGGACATGGACCTGAACGATCCAGGCTGGGATGTGATTATTCCAAGATTTGATGAAGATGAAGAGGCATAGGAGCAATAGGCTACCATTCATAGAACAACGGAAGGGCTCAGGATGGCTCAAGGCGCTGGGGTGTCATTTAATTACTTGCTTTATTTTCATCACTTCGGTGTTGAGTTGGCTTGCCGCACGGTTATCACGAATGTACACGAGACCGACTCGCTCATAATGACTGGAAATACAACGATATGTATTTAACGGAATTGCAAGCCATTCGCACCTGTTGATCTCTGTGTACATAGACCATCGAGCGTCGACGATTGATCTTGGGTGCTTCAGTAAGGGGCTTCCAGTCGTGCGTAAGCTTTTCGAGTAGACACATTGTACATAGCCGTCTGCTGTCATTGTAGTCGAACCCCACAGCCCTGCGACAGCTGAGACAGCTAAAAGCGTGGAATGATCCAGATGAGTGCGTGGTCCATATGTGAACCATCCCAATTGACGCGCAATCTTCCAAAGGACCACAAATTCCACGCACTGATCGCGTCTATTGCCACCCCAAGACGGTTGCTCGGAGCAACCAGGAGGGGACACCTGAGCACTCGCGTCAACAAATGAAATCACGGCCAGGAGTCTTTTCGGAGAATACTGCAACTCATACCCCGTACACCTCTAGATCCACACATTCTTCATCTTCACATCGTTACCTTCAACATAATCCCCTTGGCCTCGCCGACCCCAAGGTCTGCTACGACACACCGGCCCCGCAACTCCGCCAGGGGGGCAGACCAATCCGACACGACACCATGGCCTCCGATGGCGCCTCCTCAATCTCCGTCACGGTTCGAGTCCGACCTTTCACCATCCGGGAGGCCGCTCAAATTTCCAAGTGCGACGATGGGCCCCTCTTCCTGGGCGATGGCTCGCTGGCCGGCAAGCCTGCTCCGAAGCTTAACCAGAAAGGGATTCGATCCATTGTCAAGGTTATTGATAACCGTTGCTTGTGAGTATGAATGTATCATCTGCCACCGGGCGGCATACTGACTTGCCCGCCAGAGTATTTGATCCCCCTGAAGACAACCCCGTCCAGAAGTTCTCAAAGAGCGTGGTTCCAAACGGTAAACGCGTCAAGGACCAAACATTCGCTTTTGATCGAATCTTCGACCAAAATGCCTCTCAGGGCGAGGTGTACGAGTCGACCACCCGCAGCCTTCTTGACAACGTCCTCGACGGATATAATGCCACGGTTTTCGCGTACGGTGCAACGGGATGTGGAAAGACGCACACGATTACGGGTACCGCCCAGCAGCCGGGTATAATCTTCCTCACGATGCAGGAGCTATTTGAGCGCATCGACGAGAGATCGGCCGAGAAGGCTACGGAGATCTCTCTTTCCTACCTGGAGATCTACAACGAAACTATTCGTGATTTGCTTGTCCCCCATGGCGCCAAGGGCGGACTCATGCTCCGTGAGGATACCAACCAGTCTGTCTCGGTAGCCGGCCTGTCAAGTCACCACCCGCAGAATGTTGAACAGGTCATGGACATGATCATGCGAGGTAATGAAGCACGAACCATGTCACCAACCGAAGCAAACGCCACCTCTTCTCGATCCCACGCCGTCCTCCAGATCAACATCGCCCAAAGAGACCGAAATGCCGACGTCAACGAACCACATACAATGGCCACCTTGAGCATCATCGATCTTGCGGGCAGTGAGCGAGCCAGCGCGACAAAGAATCGAGGCGAACGTCTGTTCGAGGGTGCCAACATCAACAAGTCTTTGTTGGCACTGGGAAGTTGCATCAACGCTCTCTGCGACCCCCGCAAGCGCAACCATATTCCTTACCGAAACTCCAAGCTTACCCGGCTTCTAAAATTTGCCCTTGGCGGTAATTGTAAAACCGTCATGATTGTCTGTGTCAGCCCTTCGAGTCAACACTTCGACGAGACACAGAACACTCTCCGATATGCAAACCGAGCAAAGAACATTCAGACCAAAGTTACTCGCAATGTCTTCAATGTTAATCGACACGTCAAGGACTTCTTGGTTAAGATTGACGAGCAAATGAATTTAATCAACGAACTGAAGGCGCAGCAAAAAGATTCCGAGAACGTTGCCTTTGCCAAATTCAAGAAACAGAACGAGAAGAAGGATGCCGTTGTACGTGAAGGTGTGGCCCGCATTCGCAACGCCTACGAGCACACGCTGCCCGAAAGACAGGAGAAGACCAATAACATGCTTAAATTGAGACAAATCAGCCGTCGAATTGACATATTGTCTTCTTGGATCGCCGCTTTCGACAACGTCTTAGCTTCTCGGGAGGACAACGAGGGCTTGGCAAGCTTGTGGGCAATCCGCAAGACGGCTCAGGGAATTCTTCTGGAACTCGAGGGCAGCAGACACCACTACAACCAACGACTGTCGAAGTGCACATGGGACCGAGCCGTGAGCTCGGCAGTTGAGAATGCAATCAAGCAGCTCAAGGAATTCGACATTAGTGACAATAGTGACTTCGCCAACCTGGACAGGGAAGCCGAGCTTCTTCGATCCAACGCAGAGCGTGAGGCTCTGGCTGCAGTGGTGGACCAGGACAAAGCCGGCGAAGCCGCGGCCGTTCAATTGCTGTTGCAAGCTCAATTCGAGATGATGGCCTCGATGGAGGATATAATGCAACTCAATGCCTCTGAGGCCATTCAGAAGGGACGCGCTATGATCACGAAGATGCTGGACAATTGCTCAAACACGGCATCTAATCTGGTCAAACCAGACGGCATTTTGCCTTCACTTCCTGCCCTGCAAAGCCCAGTCAAAGCAACCAGTCCGCTCAAGCCAAAGAAACGTTTCAGCTTGGTGGGTATGCCTCCGCCGCGAACAAGCCTGGGCTCTGCTGTCCAGTTCGCCCCAGCTGCTCCCGCTTCTCCTACCAAAGCATCCCCCCGCCGTCGCAAGGTCACTGCTGGCCGTAAGAGCGTAAGCTTCTCACCGAAGAAGACCCAGGCCAAGGCCACAAAACGATCTGTTCGCTGGAAGGATGATGAGGACGATGGCCCCCTGACTGAATTCCAGAAAACACCGCAGAAGGCTCTTGATTATGTCGATCATAGTGACGAGGCCAGCTCAGAAGAGCCTTCGTTGCGACGATCATTATCTCCTATTCCTCGCAATATTCCTCAATCATCATCTCCTATCCCCCGCAGTATTCCACGGGTTGTCAGTCCATCGATTGCCATCTCTCCTGCCCCGGCACCCATCGAAAGCACTTTGAATGTTCAAAAGAACAACAGTCGATTCAAGGCTGGCTTTTTGTCCAAGAGAGTAGGTAGCTCTCCTCTGGCACCACCACCTACCGCGAGTCTCCCACTGTCTGATAGCGACAACTCTCCACTCCGGGATATCGATGGCAGTAGCTTCTTGAATCGCGCTTCCTCAGAGCGGCCATCTCGAATCGCCGTTCGCAGCCCGAGTGGGAATTTTTCGAGTAGCCCGGTGGCCGACAGCAAGTCCGAGAACAAGGACAATTGGAAGCACGACAAAGAGGAGGCGATCAAAATCAATTCTGCCATGCGCCGCATCTCTGTTGGCGTAGCCCCCGGCGGCGGCTCACTCCGCGTTCACCGGCGCCGCAGCCCCAGCTCGAACACGTACGGTAGCTCTCCCAGCGATGGCAACATGTTCACCGCATCCCAGGCTCGCCGAATGGTCAAGAGCGAAAAGGATCTCGATTCTAAGCCTCGCGTCCTGAGCCCCCACACTTTACCTGTGATGAAGAACACCGCGAGACGGACTACTCTCGGTGGCGAGATCCGGCCTCGACATGTCAGTCTTTCCGCCCGGGATGCGATGCGCCTCAGTGCGATGGCTAGCCCTATTGTTGACCGCAACTTGCGGTAGAAACGTTTATTTGATGATCCTTTTTTTTTTTTCAAGGTTTATAGGTACGGTGTTGTGGTACACGGTATATGGCGCTGGCGTTTGGGATACCAATTTCAACTTTCATTACTCTCCTCCATTCCCACCGACGGAAAATGTGACGATTTTGTCTTTTCCTAGGTCTTCCATGTTGTTACTATACTCAGCTGCGTTTCTCCGTCGACTGCGTCGAGGTCTTCGTTCTTTTCGTTTGACAAATTCTTTCTTCCTGTGTACATTAACAAAGATTGCTCTATTCGGAATAATGTTTGCCAAGATGGCTCTTACACTTCCAAGGAGTTCCCAAATCCTGTATGAAAAATGCAAGGTTGGAGGTAGATAGGGTTTAAAGCAGACTGCGGGGAACCTGACCTTGAGATCAAGGGATAAAGTACGAATCACAAAGATCCCGAACCATCTCCGCCTGCTTTGTCAGAATGAATGACGCCACCGGACAGAGCTCTTGAACCTTTCGGCTTCATTTGACCTTTTGATTCTTGATCGTCTCTTCAGGACACCCTCTGTTCTTCAACACTTCTACCGGTTCCCGACACCACGTCGCGTCATTTCCTTCGTCCCCACTTCCCTTGGTGACGTTCTCCACCAGAAATTCTTCAGATGTCCTTCGCCGCACCGACTTCAACTCTCTTCTCACGACTCCTGCGTCCCTTCTCCACGAGCTCTCCAGTCCTCTCCCTCGGCCCGGATTCTCAAGCGCGAAACATGTCCACCGAAAAAGCCACCGTCGCCGCAGGCTGCTTCTGGGGCGTTGAGCACCTGTTCCGCAAGACCTTTGGCAATGGCAAGGGTCTGCTCGATGCCAAAGTCGGCTACTGTGGTGGCAATACCTCCTCACCTTCCTACCGCGCCGTATGTGGTGGTGACACCGGCCGTAAGTTTCGTGTGCAATTTGAAAGCTGAAATTAAGCTCTTTGGCGCGTTTCGAGCTGACCTCTTTTTTTTTTCGTGTCTGGTTGCAGATGCCGAGGCTCTCCAGATGACTTTTGATCCTTCTGTTGTGAGCTACCGCCAGCTCCTTGAGTTCTTTTACCGTATGCACGATGCTTCTACGCTGAACCGTCAGGGTGGGGATGTCGGTACCCAGTACCGTAGTGTGATTTTCACCCACGGTGAGGAGCAGCAGAAGATTGCGGAAGATATTACGGATAAGGTCAGCAAGGAATGGTACAAGAAACCTGTATCCACTCAAGTCGTGCCTGCTGGTCAGTGGTGGGACGCCGAGGATTACCACCAGCTTTATCTGCACAAGAACCCGACGGGCTATGAGTGCCCTGCTCAGTATGTGGACTCCCTGCTGTCTTCGGATTTGGAATGGGTCACTAATTCACTTTTACCAGCTTCGTGCGCAACTTCCCTCCTCTTTCAGATTGACTTGGATGTAGGATTTGATTGACTCTTTGGGCGTGTGGGGTATGGGAATATTTGGATACCGTGATGAAGATTAAGATCATGGCATGTGAAATGACATATGGATGCCCTTTGCATAGGGGGAACACTCATTGGTGTATAGTTCTTTTTGATTGTGAACATCTTTCTGTTAATGAAAACATTTTCATTCTACATGGTCTATCGTTTCTAAACGGACTCGGTGGTCCGTTTGACAGACCATGGTCTACTAACATCCCACTGCCTGATTTCTGAGTCGCCAAGCCCAAGGAAGGGTCCAAGCAAATCAATCGTGAATTCATCCACGAATCACCAGACCATAGAATGAAACCACCGATGGAACGGCAATTCCCACAATGATGGCCTGGAAGATACTTCTGGCATCCCATCCAGCCATGTGCGCCGCCATTCTCGCAGCGGTACCACCAACAACACCCATCCACACCACAAAGAATCCAAGATCATTCCAACGCTTCCAAGCTTGTCCACGCTTCGACAATTCCGATGTCGAGCGCATAGACGTGCCCCATCCATCTTGGAAAACAGTAATCAAACTCCAAAGGTGGATCATCGGCAATGGGATATTATAGAAAAGAAGACCGGGTACGATCCAAAGCCAGGAATTGGTCGGTCCACGGTCTGGGTTACGAGTGTAGTTGTACAAGAGCGTGTAGGCGATACGGATACCAACGTCATACCAGTTGAAGTAGGCGAAGCAGCGGCCGGTGAAGAGATAATAGAAAAATGTAAAGGAGACCTAGAAGAGGGCCGAATTCTCGCTTGATGGCGGCCCAAAAGAAAAGTGGGTTGGTGAGGAGGTAGAGTTTTGGTTGTTGGAAGGATTCGATATGGCCTGCTCGGCTCCATCTGACCTTTTGGAACATATTAGACTTCATTCTTCTAGGAGGATAAGAAGACGACTTACCTGTTGCATGATCCATCTACTCAGAGTCGTCGGGGTATCGGTTGCAGCTAGTGTATCAGAGACATAGGTGACAGTCCAGCCGCGCATCAGCAGATTCGTGGTGAGATGGCGGTCCTCGTTCACCACCATGCGGTGACCCAGGACGGTTTGAGTATACCAGGGATACAAGACAGCGGGGAGAGCGGACACCCGAAAGGCTGAACTGGGGCCACTTTGGCAGTCGCTGGTACCCGAAGATGTCGATGTCGAGCGCGTCAGATATAATTCGGACCAGTAGACCACACTGCCGAGCTTGGTAGTCACAGAATCATCTTCGTTGTGCACGATCAGTCCGCAGCTGGCTCCTCCAACGTTCTTATCGCCCGCAATAGTTTCGATGGTATTGCGAAGCGAATCACGCACGATAAGGGTGTCGGAGTCCGAGGACCAGAGATACTCGATGCCGAGCATCTCGGAGATGACGATTGAAAATATGAACGAAGTGAACATGATACCCTTCTTGTGAAGATGAGGTTGGAATAAGCAGAGCCGTGTAATGCCGTCAATCTGGCCTAGTTTTAGGTCGTGTTCGGCCAGGATCTCACGGGCCAACTGGCAGCAGTGTGCAATGGTGGACTCCATATAGGTCTCGGGAGCTTGCAAGTTTCCGTCAATGGTTGACATCTTCTCGAAAGTCCGCATGGCGACTTCACCAAAAGGCTCGTCAACTTGAATGACGGCCGACTTTTGAGGAAAGACCTGTTTCTGATGATTAGCCTGAAAGCCACGAAATTTTCGAACTTTTTGCTTTACTGGGTGAATTCATACATTTTGAAACACCCGAACCATCTCCATGTCAGGCACATCGTCACCGTCAACACCCACCAGAATGAAGCGGCATTCAGATGCAAGCTTATAGCTATCCAAAGCTCGGGCAAATAACTCGGGATCCTCGCGGTACCCGACTATCGCGGCCATGCAGTCGGTCGCCCGATCAGCAATGCCGGAGAGATCACTGGCTTTCTCTGGATCTTGCACAGTCCGAGCAGGATCCTGCAATTGTCGGCGACGGGTTTCATTTGTGTAACGATTGTACTCGGCCGCAAAGATGGTCAAAAGAACGTCTAGCGTCAATGGATGCCGAGTATAGCCGGTGATAATCGAGTAAATCGGGAGCACGATAATGCATCCTACGAGATTAAGAAATTGGCGAAAGCGAGAAGATGTCCGGTCCCCGTTGCTGGAACATCGAGAACCGCCCAGGGGTATATACCTTCTCGTTGAACGTGTCCATGGCGACACTCACAGAGCACAAGAATCAACGAGTCGGCTAAACATCCAAAACAAGAGAATTAACGAAAGTGATTGTGAACGAATGTTGATCTGACTTGGATCATTAGATTTTGGGGCTTTGGGCTTTTACAAGGCTCCGCCTTCCACTTTTCTCCAAGCCCCAAGCCCCAAGCCCCAAGCCCCAAGCGGCGACCCGCCCAAGTGGGAACATGATTCAAGTCAGACCGGGTCAGCTTAAATGAACTTAGTAGACTCATTCAGGGGGTCTACTTCCGGTCAACCCGGCAGAATGAGACTTTTTCTCGTGTTGTTCCGCAACACGGCCAATGGTCGGCGTGGAAAGGAGCCGCATCATCCACGCTAGAACCAAAGACGATCTAGGGTTGGAACTAATTCTCCCAACTCGAATCTAATAATGGATTAGGCGAGAAAATCCCTGAACCCTCCTGGAGAGCCTGTGAGACAGTGGGTCGTCAGTGGAGTTACATCGCAGCCATGGGATGAAGCCCTCATTTGCCTTTTCCTTGGCGTGTTGATGCTTACAGAAAAAGGAGTGAAGGATCGTGAAAGGGTTTTACCATCTTCAAGCATGCAGCACGCATTCTACAAGGACAATCGCATAGTCCCTTTGGGGATTATGCTGCTGACCTTCATCATCTTCGTTTACCATTTTGAACTCGATCGTCAGGGTCCACTCGGGGAGATCCCGGCGTCGGCTGTGCCCGCTACATTCGTTGTCGAGTCGTCGCGACAGAACGATCCTGTGCCATATGTGGAATACTTGGACACCGACAGCAAGACTGTCAACCATGTGGCTCCTTCGGCAGTGCCTTCAATAGTACCGTCGGGCGCGTCCAGCGGTTCTAGCTCTCCGCGCCCGCAAAAGGGCTTGACTACGGATGATATTGTGCTTATGTTCAAAACCGGTGCCACCGTTCTGTGGAAGAGAGTTCCCATTCATCTGGCGACTACTCTCTCGTCTAAGCGCATCAATCCCAACAATGTTTTGCTGTACTCTGATTATCCCGAGACCATCGGCTCATGGGAAATCATTGACATTTTAGAGAACACCACCGAAAAGGTGCGAAACTCTGAAACTTTCCAACCGTACCTTCAACAGGAAGACTACGAATCGCGCCAGAATTATGCCGAAATGTCCAACGTGCCCGGCGACGCTGCTGGTCCTCGGGCGGCTGGAAGCTCGACAAGTACAAGTTCCTGCCCATTGTCAAGCACGCAGGGCTCAGCAAACCCGATGCCAAATGGTATATCTTCATGGAAGACGACTCCTACATCTTCCTTCCCAACCTCCTACCCCACCTGAGAGAAATTCGACCACACCGAGCCGTGGTATCTAGGCAGCCTGGCCTGGATTCATGGCGACTATTTCGCTCACGGCGGCTCCGGATTTGCCCTTTCACGAGGCGCATGGGAGAAGAGTTTCGGCAAGGATCCGCTTATTGTAGAGCGGTTCGAAGAATTCACAGAAGCCCACGGATGTGGAGATCATATCCTGGGCCACGTACTGAAAGAATATGGGGTTCAGTTCGGCGAGACTACTGGCGACAGTCGCTTCCGCTATGGGTTCAACCCGGAGTCGCACTGGTCGACATGGTACGAGCAGGCCAATTGGTGCAAGCCTGTCTACAGCTGGCATCACACTCATAGCAAAGACGTGGCGAGGTTCTACAATCTCGAACAGGATTGGGACTTTGAGAAAGTTTGTCACCCCTGGGGATCCTTATATTTCTTGAGCAGATTAACTAAACCTTCATCAGGGACCGTTGAGATTCCGTGATATTTACAAGGCGCTGGTCGCCCCATATTTGCACTCTCGCGTGGAATGGTGGGATAATTGGTCCTCCAAGTATGAGATCAAGTCTAGCGTCGCCAAGGACATGCAACCACCAAGCACTGTCCAATCCGCCGAGGTGTGGCGCAGTGGGTGGCGGTCTGTCGATGCGTGCGAAGCCGCCTGCACGACCTGGTCCGAGTGCGTACAGTGGTCCTTCTACGAAGACCGATGCAAGATGGACAGCATGATACTTCCAGGCAACGGAATCCCCGAGACCGACTCACGCCGCCAAACGAGTCTGCCCTGGGTCAGCGGCTGGTTACCTCGACGAGTGGAAAATTGGGAATGTCAGGAATAAATTCATAGTAGGGATAGGTGTATATAAAGTCAAGCGATCATAACAGAGTAAAATGGGAACATGATAATACCTCCCACGAGATTAAGAAACTGGCGGAAGCGAGAGATAGCCGGTCCCCGTTGCTAGAACATGAAGAACTGGGCATCCTGCGGCTGATGTTCCAGCAATGGGGAGTTGTCGCTCTCGACAGCATAAGGAAGAAAGAGAATGCGCCGCGCGGTCTCTGCAAGTGTCTGATGTTCCTACTGCTCACTGCTATATGATATATAGGACAGAATCCGATGATAGCAATGATTGCTTGATAGAATAATGATATATTTCCAAGGGCCGAAGCCACAATTGAAGCTAACTAATGGTAAGGATATTTGAAAAAGTAAACTAGTCGAGTCGTGCGAACAGTAAAAATAAGGTGATCACGGGGGACGTAATCCCATCGCGTGCAGAGATGCTGTTGCTTCATGGCGCAGCTCGTCCAGCCTTATGATGAGTGAATCATTGGGGTTTCTTCCCGGGATCAAAGAAAGGTTGTTGCCGAACAAGTCTCGGAATCGAAGACTGAATGTTTGGGGGCCTGGGGAGGTCGGAACGGGGAAAACGATCAAGATAAGACTCGTTAGCCACGAATATCGTACTAAGCTGCCTAGTACATACCTCGGACTGTTGGAGTCTCGGGATACTATCCCGATTAAGTATCCACTTCTCAACCCAACATGCGACCCCATTGACTCGAATATTCCAGTTCACGAGGAACACAACGCGAATAGCTCCGTTCCCGTCAACCAGTAGCTGGTTCATATTTCTTTGTAAGTCATCGTAGCTCTGGCTCCAACCAGACTCGACTGCGACTGTTGGAAAATAGAGCTGATCTTTTTGCCGATTGACAGGATAGAAATAGAAATCAGGCTTCTTTCTTCCGCCGCGATAAGGACCATCAGAAAACTTTATTCCTATTATATTTCAGTAGAGCACAGTCATATCTCGGGGATATTGACTGACTCGAACCCACCCTCGTTCGAAAGGCGTTATATTCTGCTTGGCTCATTTGACCGCTCGTCAACCACTCATTTCGAAGTTCTCCAAGCCACACTTGAACAGAATCATGGCCTAAGGTCGGCATCGTAATAAGTTGGATGATACGCGTTTTTGGATCCCAGGTTTTGCTGATCGAGAAGTGAGCTTTCACTTTCACTTACAGAGAGGAGCTTTTCAGCTCAAGATAAGAGGCTCTTAACCTACCGTGCCGTGATTGTTTCGTCAAGCCGATCAAATACAGACTCTCCCCAGCTCGGCTTCACGTCGGTAAAAACGAAGTTTCGGGGGCCTTGAGCAGACTCGACTGCAGTCACGATGAATTTGAAGAAAGCATCGTCTGAAGAAAAGTGGCCTGCAGAGAACTCAAGTCGAACGGCGCTGGATTCAGTAGAAGCAGTCAGAGGGGAGGGAGGGGGAGTCATTGTGAAGGTAAGAGTTCAGTTTGAGCATAGAAGTAAAAGTAGTAAGTGGGAGAAAAGTAGGGAAGGAGTCAAGAGAAGAGTAGGAAGGCGTCAGAGAGTGTGAAAGTTGAGGAAAGATCTTCCGTAGTCAGGCCGTCACTGCTCGTCAACCCGCGTGACGGCGTTGTTTTGTTTATCCTAGTGTATACAAAGTAAAGCGACCATGATATGCTTAACAACGGCCCCGTTTTGCAGATGGAGTCTGGCAAGCCTCCACTATTTCCAGTCAGAAGGGAACCTGTCCATACACCTTCGGTTTCTCGCGATCCAATTGTGGATGTTCAGGCCCCCGTAATCGGGCCCGGTTCCACTCAGTTACTGAGACAGCGCTAGTTCACTGAATGTAGCAATTTTTAGCTCAGCTGCTTATTCCTTCCGACCCTTTTTTTTATTTTTATTTTTTTCTTGAGATTCTTCCTTTAGCCTCCAGATGTCACTGTGAGCCATGGACCGCACCACCTGGCTAGATGGCCTGCGCGGTATCGCCGCGGCCATCGTCGCGACCGATCACTACTTTATGGGCGGGGTTTTGGACTACGCCTTTCATTCCTTCTGGGCTGATCCACCAGAAGATAACAGACGACTCCTCCAGCTGCCTCCTATTCGGCTCATATTTGCAGCCCATGCCATGGTGCCGATGTTCCTGGTGATTTCCGGCTATGCCATCTCAATCAACTTACTTCGACTGCGAAATAGCAGCGTCGCTGACTTTGTGCGCCGGCTGTCGTCTGCTGTGACGCGCCGAGTGTTCCGCATTTACTTGCCTGTTTTTGTCATCACAGCCATCTCGCAGTTCCTTTACTTTTGTAATCTCTACCAGTGGAGCTTTGGGGATGAGGTCGTTTGGGGTTGGAAACCTTGGACTGCACCATGGCTGCATGTCACTTTTGTCTTTCGCTATATGCTGGACGTTATGAATATTGTGAATTTTCAGGGCAATCCGGGCCTCAATGGCCAATTGTGGACGATGCCTTTGGAATTCCGGGGATCGTGTGTCGTCTACCTCGCCGTCTTGGGATTGGCGTTTTGGAGGCCACCGCTTCGAAGGTTGGCATTAGCAGCACTGATGGCCTATTGGTTCTACTTTGGCTCTTGGGACATCTTTGCATTTTTGACCGGTCTCTATCTCGCGGAAACGCGTCTATCATCCAGCGTACCCGCAGACGACAGTGAGCCGAAACTGCCTTATTACTCGTGGACGCCGAGCATCAAGTCCATCGACATTTCTGTCCTCTGGACCGCTTTCTGCTTCGTTTTCGGGATTTATCTGGTTTGCCTTGGTGACGACGGAGAGCTACCGCCTGGATATCTATTCCTGAAGCTCGTTGAGTCCTCCCGCTGGGAGAATGACTGGGCGGTGATGAGCAAAAGCTGGAAAACTGTGGGCTCGGTGTTTGTCATCTACGCGGTCAGTCAATCGCCTCGTCTGCAAAGTCCCTTGAACTCTGCGCCCATGCAGTATCTGGGCCGGATATCATTTTCGCTGTACTTGATTCATCAGTCGATCTACCATCTGGTGCGAGATCCGGTCAGAAATTTCTTGTGGTATGTTGCTACCAGAGAGGTATATCCGGGGACGCAGGCAGCGAGTGAATTCACGGTGCCCTTTGCCTTTACATGGCTTCTGGGGTACGTAATCATGTCTGTAATTAATATCTATGTCGCGGACCTGTATACTCGTTTTGTGGACGAGCGATGTGTGCGGGGTGCGAAGAAACTTGATAGATGGCTGACTCGGTAGAACATGGGTGATATGAACGCCACTGATGATGACCATTTTGTCTTCTTTCCCTCTCATTTTTCTCAGGAACTCCAAGATTTGGCCTTGGAAGGCAGCTCTCGGTACACACAGGAAGCATGTGTGACGTCTCACATTGCCCATCCTTGTTACCTTGGCGCATTCACTTACGTGGACTGTGGCATCAAGACTCGCAAACGTCCACAATCGGAACTGTTTGGATTCAACTTCTCCTAGGTATGTAGATTGTTAGGATCGTAGTATCAAAAACAGATCACCTTCCCGCTCCGGGCAAGCATCGATCTGTCACCAGCCACCTCAGATGCCTATGAGATCGACCATTCTCTTGGCATGCTCAGACATCTCGTCGCCACCAACAAGGGGTGCCCTTTCTATTCTGGTTCTTATCTTTGGCCGTGAATGTGACATCACGCTGCACCGACTCTGGCAAGCTCTTAAGAACACTTTGCGTGACTCTTTTACAACTTATTGACTGCTGCTAAAGTCAGAGGGTAGTCGGAGAGTATCTCAAATCGAATGATTCTATGAGATGGCTTTAATTCTATCGGTGAATGTCCTTATGGATCAACACCCTGCTTTGTGAAATTGTGATCCTTGTAGTTGCTCAAATGCATTGACTGCCCACCCGAATCGGGAAACCAGGCTTGGGTCCCTAAGATCCCATTGGGGACATCGGATTGTACTGCAGATACACACTCGTACTGTACCTGCGTCACCAAGCATTCTAATATTGAACGAACCCATGCATATGCATCCGGATGACGCATGGGAAGTTTTACGGCCTTTTCAGGGAGTCCGTAGCCACCGCGTCAGTCTCCCTTGCTGGCCAGCACCAGAGTGACGCACTCCGCTGACTTCACAGGTCAACAGAGATCTGCCCGGACATTCCTTCTGGAAGAATAGCAGTGGTTGCTTTGACGAACGCTTGGCAGCCCCTGATTGTAGGCTCCGCCCCGGCGATCCACAGGGCAGGACCCTCGTAGCTCCAGAGTGGAGGCCCGTCAACGCACGCGGAGTGGCCAGCACTGGGTGAACAAGGTTCCCGTCTGCACTGGATCGGCAGCTCGTTCTCACCGTCAGATTGTTGCGGTTCCCCGGTAGCTGGATTATGCTACTTCAGGTAGGTGCACTCCGTGACGTTCCAAGACCCTAGGTGCTCGCTTTGCGTTCTTGTGTGCTTGGTGCCGAGCCCTCTGGGCCACATTTTGCCAACTCAATGTTGGCGCCCAGCCCTTGGGGGCCGAACTATGATTACTGGAGATTACTGGAGATTGCTAGAGATTGCAGGAAATTAGTGGGCGGAATTGTGACTGCCTAGTCGGCTAATGCCGGGCTTTTTGTCGAGGGGACCGTGGCTCTCATACAATTGCACAGTCCAATGTGTACGATTCCATGGTACGTGGGGCACACACACATACACAAGCACCCACATACACACAAAGTACCGCGTGGTCAACTAGATATGTAACCAGTGTGTATCACAACACATGATTGTTCCCGCTGGAGCGCACTTCTCATTCGGGCAAACGCCTGGGGCAAATGTCTCAGTTCACCCAACGGCCAGCGCCGCTAGGTTCAATAGATTGGAAACCCCGAAATACAGTACAGTATATTACAGCTATGTCAACCTTGGTAGTGACAGTTCGGTGACAGTGGAACAATGAGATATTTTCAACCATGTCCACTCTTTTTTTTTTTAATCTGGTTCCTGATTCTCTCCGTATGACCGAGATTCCAAGGGAACAGACCCAGTCACAAGAAAAGAAAAGAAACAAAAAATGAGATTGGTAAGATACGCGTCAGAGGGATAAAATACTCGGGTGCACAGACAGGAACTCGTGCTCCACCACTCCGCGATAAGAGCCTAGAAAATCAGGGACGGGGACTGGATAGGACTCAAAAGGGGGAGACAAAGAGAAAGACAATCACAGGGGAGTCCGGAGCTAAACCTGGTCCAAACCGGTTAGCACCACCCGCTCTGTTCCCTGGTTGTTTACCCCTACTGGTAATCCCATTACCCTCTTTAGGTCCTTTGTCTCCCCCCCCACGATTTCCTTCTTCATCGCCCATTAGCAGTGACTTGTCGACATTCACTTGCTGCCCTTCGTTGATTATTCTATCCTAATTCCCACAGTCCCTCTTTTCATCTGTGGTTCTTTTTCCCAAAACTTCGTTGTACATTCGGTTTTGATTCTCGCACATACCTTCCCCCCCCCACACATTCTCACGATGGTCCGATTCGTGACTGCCCTCCTGGCCCTGTCGGCTACGGCTTTGGCCACTACCACCTGCAGCTCCAGCAGCCAGTGTCCAGAGGACAAGCCCTGCTGTTCCCGTGAGTTGACCCTGGGCTTCTACTGGCGATGCGACATTGCTAACCCGACCAAGAATATGGTGAGTGCGGTACAGGCGCATACTGCCTCGGCGGTTGCGACCCCCAGGCGTCCTTCTCCATCGGTTCCTGCGCTCCGATGCCCATTTGTGAGAACAAGTCCTACACATGGGAGAACCTGGACAACTCGATCCTGAACACCAAGTACCTTGGCAATGCGAGCGAGGCCGACTGGACCTACTCTGGTTTCCCCAAGATTGAGGATAACAACCTGGTCATGACCATGCCCAAGAACTCGGTCGGTACCCTGTTCGCCAACAACCACTACATCTGGTACGGCAAGATTTCCGGCCGTATCAAGTCTAGCCGTGGCCAGGGTGTGGTGACTGCGTTCATTCTGCTTTCCGATGTGAAGGATGAGATCGACTACGAGTGGGTTGGCGCCGATTTGACCGCTGTGCAGACCAATTACTACTGGCAGGGTGTTCTCGACTGTGAGTGGATGTTCTTCGCGTGAGAGGGAAGATCACAATACTGATTTTCATTGAACAGGGCACAACAGCGCCAATGCCTCCGTGACTGACGCCGATACCTTTGACGACTGGCACACCTACGAGATTGACTGGACCCCCGATCAGGTCCAGTGGATCGTCGACGGTGATGTCAAGCGCACTCTGTTGAAGTCCGACACTTTCAACGAAACCGCCAACCGTTACCAATTCCCCCAGACCCCTGCCCGCCTGCAGATGTCACTTTGGCCCGCCGGCCAGGCGAGCAATGCCCCGGGCACCATCGCTTGGGCTGGCGGTGAGATTGACTGGGACAGCCAGGACATTCAAGAAAAGGGTTACTACTACGCCACTATCGGTCAGGTCGACATTACATGCTATTCGGCTCCTTCCGATGCCGTTTCTGTCGGCAACAACTCCTACATCTGGACCTCCGAGGCCGCCATGGAGTCTAATGTTGAGGTCACCAACAACTCCACTGTTCTGGGCTCCTTGGGTGCCACCGGTCTGGACATGACCCTCGGTGCCAACAGCAGCAATGCCACCTCCACCGCTTCCGACAGCGTCCCCACGAACAACAACGGTGCCCTTGGCGGTGCTGGTAACTCTACTGCTTCCTCCAGCAGTTCTTCCTCCAGCAACGACAGCTCCTCCAGCAGCGGCAGCGGCAGCGGCAGCGGCAGCAGCACCAGCACCAGCACCAGCTCCTCTGGCTTCAGCCAGGGCACCACCGCCAGCAAGGACAACAGCGCCCCCAACCAGAATGAGCGAGTTCTGCGGGGCTCGCTCTTTGCCGTCTTGGTGGCTGTTGTGGTTTTGGTGACCCTGTAAATGTGGTGGATGTACTATTTTTTTTTCTCTGGATTTGAAAGACATTTTCATCCTGTTACTCATTCGAGTACATTTTTTTTCTTCTTCATCCCTTTTTACGTCTTTTCACTTCTCTACTGTCTCTGACTGAAATTCTTGAACAAACCTAATGAACACCGTCTTTTGGGCCCCCCTTGGGACCTTTGGTGCGACGTTTTGTGTCCTGCACCCGATGTTTTTCCATACCTTATGTTACCCTATTCCCCCAATTTTCCCCAATTTCAGCGATTTTCCATCCACGCTCGTTGCCTTTTGAATTTCTTGGTCTCGCGCGTCTGCTCGCACCTGTACTCTTATCACCCATAGGGATGTCCTGCACATGGTCAAGAAAATATGCACTCCGGTCAGACTTGCATGTCTGCTCCACTTCTGTAATGATGATCGGTCTTTTTTTTAATCTCCAAAGTAAATCCGAGTCTCAATCTCGATTTCAATCTCAATACAGTATCGTCATTTTCAAGCCGTCGTGGATATGCCATCGACTTGGTGTAGATCTTTATATCGCTGAAACAGCCGGCGCGGATCCGCACTCAGTCTCCTGCCAGGGGTTTGCGCGGCCCCGTACGATTTCCCCAACTCCACTGTGTCAATGTTTCACCTTTTCCACGTGGGAAGTCATTTTGAACCGCCGTTGGAAAGTTTCCGGTACTTTTGTAGCATTATAGATCTAAATTGTGGCGCCGCTGCATATTCTGGCTACGGAGGTTTTAATAAGCTTGACTGTGATACAGAGTATAGTGCTCGATATGCCACTACAAACCGAATAATTGATAGTGACTTTTGTCTTTTGTGGAGTCAAATTGTGATATCCCTGTTCTCTTTGAAGCTCAATGATCCCGAATCGGTTTAGTGGGCTGTTCGTTGCGCCCTTGCTCTTCCTGTGCTCATAGCATACCATATTGCAGGCGATATAAGCTTGATAGGTGCTGGTGATCTAGTCAAGCTAGCTTGCTCTCGCTCTACATAGATCAAGGGTCATAGACTTAACGTTAATCCCAATTCCTTCTGGAATAGCAACTTTGTAGCTGGAAATCTGCTGCAGCTGGCACATCTTGTGCGTGACGGTAAAATGGCTTCTTTCAACAGACGCACATAACCGCTGAACTTGCTACTGCACGATAATTCTAATTGCAAGCATCCGGTTTGAGCCCTTTGACTTAACTCAATGAGTCTCCTTTTGTCGCTTCTGGCAACTAGGTCAAATACTCATTTTAGTCGTTGAGTATCATACATATCATCCGTCGGGACTGGACAATACAAAAGCCCATCGCTTGCTCTCTGTCGATGCTTCCACTACTTACCACCAATACTGTCGGACCATACGTCTATTGTCTCCTCGGTCAGCGCGTACTTTCAAGGGTTTATTGCTCGACGGCTGTCGTCTATCTCCCCGAGCAGAAATCCCGCTTAGATCCGATCCCCCTCATCAAGTCGAGCTGCGTTTGCGGGCCTCATAGCTTCAGTTCCTTGCTGAATCACTTCTACAATCTGAAAACTATGTGCCTTTACCGAGGAATCCACTACGACGAATGCGGCCACTTCTATTTCTTGGTTCAGAACTTTTGTGAGCGCCTCTACTACCAACTCCAGCGTATAAATGACCCAGAACAATGCCGCGAATACGCTATTCCATTCGACGGGTCTGGTTGTGAGCCGTACGTGAGGCTGAAAAAGGATGGGTCCGTGGATTTGAGGTCTGATTCGATCAGATGGTCAAATGTTGTGCGGTGGGAGCATGTCATAGAGGATGTTTGTTGGGAGTGTCGTTTCATGGGAATACCTGGGATATCGGAGGTTGGAAAGATGACACTCTGATGTTCTTGCTCTACGTGGAGTCTTCTGGGTCATCTTCAAATGGTGTGTTCTGGAGGTTCATAGATGAGAGATTGCAATTACTACTGTAAGCTACATTCATGTGTAGCTCGTATGTGTAAGAGGATAGATTCAAAATGAAGACAAAAAAGAGACCAGCACCCAGGGAAGTCTAAACGCCAAATTACCGAAAATTAAGGTCTATAATGAGCCAGGAGCAAGATGAACTGCTTAATGGAGTTCGCCGCATCCACATTCGTCGGTGGATCGCTTGCGGAAGTCGCCGTGGTAGGTATCCAATCCTTCAAGTCGGACATTCGCGCCTACACGGTTACCCAACCAGCTGTATTTCTCTTGGTCGGAGGTTTCTTCGCCAGAGGCTGTCCAGTAGGATGAAGCCTGGAGGCGTTTGGTAACTGCGCTGATGTCGAGGTCGAGGTAATCAGCGAGGAAGTGACCGACTTCGGTGTTCTCGTGGTTGCCCACCAAGGGCCAGGCGTCCTGGGAAGAGGAAGCGTAGATGTTGACGTCCACAGCTGCGATAAATGTTAGTGGTTGGTAGGGGAATAGGTTCGTTTCCGAGTTCTTTTACCTGAGTGGCCGTGAGTGGACCAGCCGATCTGGGCTCGCCGACTGACAATATCAGCGAAGACGTAGCTAGGCCAAACTTGAGGGTCAGGGTGGAGGAGACGTTCCACCTCCTCGTCTGTAGCGTCTGTGACACCAAGGTCCTCCTCCAACAAGGTCTTGCGGATATAGTCACGCTGCTTGGATTCTTTGTCGTCCTTGCCGGTTCCGGAGAGGTATTCATTCAACTTGGCACCAGCATATTCACTCGAGTGCTTGGATTTGGCCAATGAGCCGGGGAGCCAGAGGTACATAGGGTAGCTCTTGTGAAGTTGACGAGCAGTAGACAGTCCACCAGTCTCGTGGTCAGAAGTGCTAACAACAACACCAGGGGTCGTGTCATTCTCCAAGAATTCTAACACCGCAGCAAATGCCCTGTCGTAGGCCATGACCTCGTGTACCTGGGCAACAGGGTCGTTACTGTGACCAGCGTGGTCGATGCGCGATCCCTCGATCATGAGGAAAAATCCCTGTTCGCTATCGCGGGTTGCTTCACTCAGGATAGTCAAGGCATTGCGGGTCATCTCCTCTAGGGAAGGATACTGGTCATCCAGGTAGCGGCGATCAACCTCATAAGGAATATCTTTCTCCGCCAAAAGCGCCAACAGAGGCAGCTTAGCCTGTGTTCCACCATTGAGAGAATCAAAGCCAGCCCGATCCGAAAGATACTTAAACCCGTTTTTCGACGCAACTTCAACAATATCACGGTCGTCGCCGCGGCAGCTACCGTCTGTGGTGTTGGGGAGGAAATGGCATCGACCACCGCCCATCATGAGATCAACGACCCGGCCCAAAGGATGTTCACCAACTTCCTGCTCGGCGATGCTGTCCTCGTACTGTCGTAGGTTGGCGTGGGAGGCAAAACAAGCGGGGGTTGCATCAGTCAAGCGGGTTGTGACCACTAGACCTGTCTTGTAGCCTGCCAGATGGGCAGCCTCGAGGACCGTTCCGCAAGGTGAGTGATCCGGGGTGACCGAAATAGCTCCATTATAGCTCTTGAAGCCACAAGAAAAGGCAGTCGCACCGGCAGCCGAGTCTGTCACCAGGCTGTTGCTAGAGCGTGTGCGGGAATTACCGATATGGTGCTTATCGAGAACCAAAATATCGTCGATAGGCAGACCCTCGGTATGTTGGCGATAGCTCCTCGTCATGGATAGACTGGTGGGGCCCATTCCATCGGAGACCATGAAGATCAGGTTTCGCTTGCCTGTCGGCTTTCCGCTAGGGCCCCAGTTATCTTGTGACTCATGATGGCCTTTGGCAGATTCGTGTTGGTAGACTACAGCTAGGACAATGACGACAATCGTAGCGATAATCGCCCATGCGAAAGCTCCGACCTCTCTCCAAAAGGACCAGCCGCGTCGTGTTCGGCGAGGGGTCGTCCGCTTGCCGGTCAGCAGGGAACTTTCTTCTTCGACATATTGAATAGACTGGTCAGAAGATGGCCGTGGGGCCAGGAGCGACTCCTCTCCAGCCATATGTGCAAAGTGGTAGTAATGAGAGTGGTGCTCAAGTACAGGAGCTCTGAGCAAAGACGTTGTGTTGGGTGGAGCGAATCCGGAGGGGGCCAAGATAAGATGGCCATCAAAACGGTACACTAGACCAAAACAGGCCAGAAAGTGCAAAGGAACTCGAATGCTTAGATAATCAGATCTCCATACCAGCAAAAGAGCCGAATACCATGTGACTTGGACCCTTTTTCCATTTAACTAATCGTACACACATAACAATCGCCGATAGATACATATTCTGCGGGATGCCAGAGGAAACGTGTCAAGTACAATTTTAACCCCGTCCCTTCCAACCGATAGGAATCAGAGCCGCTGCGATGTCGTTGACACCGCGTTCCGTAGCCAGCATGTTAAATTGCGCAGCCGCATTCCGGGTATCCTGGACCTCGATGCGAATACCAAGCGAGTTAATGTGACGCTTCGTCTCCGGCGAAAGAGGGTACATTGAAGCGCCCAGACCAAGGATGAGCATATCTGTTCAACATGTCAGCAAGGCTTGTCTCCAATAACCCGCAGATTTGAGTCAACTCCGATGGCCAGATGACTATTCCTGAGACAGACCATGCCCACCTAACAGGGGGAAAAAGCTAAGAACGTACCTGGTCGCGGATAAACAGCACTCAGCAGACCCCAGGCTGCCTCGTCGACCTCGAACTGGCCTTTGGCATTAATCATAGCCGCCTTGGCCTCGCGGTCATTTGCGGCGCCCCGGACGGTCTTCCACGGCCGCCATGCAAATGCCTCTCCGCCAACAAGAATCACGGCATCACCACCGCTGATTTTGACACCACTATTCAGGTGAAATCCCGAGTCGAGGGTGGCGTCGACGGCGGTCGAGGGGGCGGGCATGTTGCCCAGCACGTCCAGTGCGGCAAAGTCGGTTTGAGTTGATTCGTCAGATTCCGGGCCTCGGTCATGGCTGATGGGCTTGTGGGAATGAGAGCGCGGGATCATACGAGATGGACGGATTGATGTACCATTGTTACGGCGTGTTGATGGGAGCGGAGCACATAGCGAGGCATTGAAGGAGCGAGGCAACTGAGAGGCGTTGACACCGAGGCTGAAGGAACGCGGTGCACTAGTAAGTGACGCGCGCAAGGCACGGAGGAGTTGGGGCGAGGGGCAGTTCATTGTGCGTGAGAGGGGGTTGCAATCGCGTTGACTTGGTGTTAGTGAACTGCCGATGGACGGTCGCAATGCAGGTTGCGGGAAAAGAAAACCGTCGAGCTGGCCAGGCTTGGCAACCCCAACTACATCATAGTCATCCTGTTCGCCGCCGCGCAGTAGGCCAAGGCGATTCGAAGTACATCCAACCTTTTCCTATTTGGGAGAATCAACCTCCTGAACGACAATTGATACTTGTCGACTTCACGATCACATTCACTGAATGACTATGACTATGACTCTCGACTCCTACAATATCTACTTTGCACGAATCATCGAATGTCCTGTATATTAATATAACCGGTTCCGCGACCCAAGTGATTACTCTAGTTTTGTAATTCCAGTGGTCCCAACCACTGCCGTGGTGCTCGGGTTGAGATGAAACAAGGACAAGGAGAAATGACGGTCGTACGCGTCGTGAAGCCCCAAACGCCGCGAACGCAAATGAAGGGACAAAAATCGAAAAACCTGGCACCAGAAAAGGACCTGGAAAGAGAAGAAAAAAAAGGGAATGGAAACAGAATCAAAAGACCCCCACGACTCATACTGTCCTGGCTGTCTCCGTCCACATTACTTCCTCCTGACTTTTAGTGTCCTGGGACAAAGAGTATGAAAAGTATATGCACACATCGAACGATATGACAAGGGAAAGGACGGTGTTGCTGGAGCTGTACACATGTGTTTGATGCAATTTAGTGCGTCGGACGAGCAGCATTATTTCGGTCCTCGTCCGATTGACTGGAGCTGTCATCGCTATTAGTGGCATTGCGAATCCGCTCTGCTCGGTCTTGAAGAACCTGAGCTTCAGCGGCGGCCTTCTGGGCCCGAATCTGCTTGCGCCACATGCTGGCATATCGGCCCTTAAGAGCGAGGAGCTCCTCGTGGGTGCCACTCTCGGCGACTTGACCTTCATTCAGAACTAGGATGCGGTCCGCTGTAGTAATCGTACTCAGTCGGTGAGCGATCACGAGCATGGTGCGCCCATGAGAGAGTGTGGAAAGAGCTCTTTGGATGTGTTCTTCAGTATCGGTGTCGAGTGCTGCGGTAGCCTCGTCCAAAAGAATAATGCGAGGGTCCTTCAAGATGGTCCGAGCGATTGCCACCCGCTGCTTCTCACCACCACTGAGTCGCAAGCCACGCTCGCCAACCTTGGTGTTGTAACCATCGGGAAATGCCAAGATCTTGTCATGAATACTGGCAGCGCGACACGCCTCAAAGACCTGTTCATCGGTAACTCCCTGGTTCGCGTATTTCAGGTTGTACATCAACGTCTCGTTGAAAAGAACGGTATCTTGCGGCACCACGCCGATATGCTTGCGAACAGAGTCGATAGTAAGATCCTGTACATCGTGTCCGTCAACAAGCAGCTGACCCCTTTCGGAGTTGTAGAACCGGAACAGAAGCCGGAAGACCGTTGATTTTCCTCCGCCCGACTCGCCGACCAAAGCGGTGGTGGTGCCTGGCTCACAGTGGAACGTAAGCCCATTCAAAGCAGGTTTCCGCGAATCATAGGAGAACTCGATATTTTGGAATCGAATGTCCCCCTTGCACACAGCAAGCGGCATGGCGCGTGGGCTATCAACCACGGTAGGTTGTTCCCGGAACAATTCCAACATGCGCTCTGCGTTGATCAAGGCCGACTGAATAGAGCGGTAGAAAGTGCCAAAGAAGTTCAAGGGACCCTGAAGCTGAGCCATATAGGTCAACAAAAGAACGAATGCACCCACATCACGCTGGCCGATGGAGACCTGGTAGGCACAGATAAAGCATGTGGTCAGGAGACCCATCATGAAGACAGTGTTTTGACAGGTGTTGAGCAGAGTGAGTGAAAACAGAACGTGGTACTCGGCCTTTTGGAAGTCGCCCACGGCACCGCGATAGCGATTGAATTCGTATTGTTCCGCGTTGAAATACTTCACTGTCTCGTAAGAAACCATCGAGTCGTTCCTGAGGCAAATCTATTAACACGTAGCTCGCAAGTTTTAACCTTAATTTCGGGAGAACTTACTTGACAGCATCTTCTTGCCTCGATGCGTTGACCATCTGTCTTCGGATCTCCGCTCTCCACTGAGCCATACGGATGGTGACATACAGGTAACCGAAGGTCGAGATACCGATCACGAGAGCATAGTAAGCATCGAACACGATCAAGAAATATACCACAGCGATGCAGAGGTCAATCAGCATCGGGACCACTTGGAAAGTGACCTGTTCCAGGAAGGTGTTGATGGAGCTGCCCTTGCTCAGAGCCGATAGAACTTCTCCTGTCTTCTTGCCCAGGTGGAAATCAAGGCTCAGGCCGTGAACATGCTCGAAGGCCGCAGTGCTTAGCTCCATGTACGAATATTGGCTGACGGGGATCCAAAGTGTGGAGCGCATAGAACTGAGCAAACCCTGGCCGCCCTGGAGCCACCTGAAGACGACATAGAGGAAGATCTGGAACCATGGGACGTGGAACGACTTGCCCTCGCCCGTGGTTAACTCTTCGACAATACGGCCAACCTGAATGGGCACTAGCACGTTGATGACTCGCTGGGCGACAAGTAGAACAAAGCATATCAGGACAACGATCTGCAGGCGCCGAGATTTGGAGGGCCACAGGTAAAGGAAGAAGAGCGAGTAGCCACTAAGGTACTCCCACCAGCTGGTGGATGGCATGGTCGTTGGGCGTACCCAAGGATCTGCTGGCTTGGACGCCTTGGAGCCTGGAGCACCATTTGTTGATCCGTAGGATTGGCCGTTGCCGTTGCTGTTACCATTACCATGCTCGGCACCAGACGCATCTAGCAATCCGGTGGACTCACTGACGCCATTGGATCGGTGGGCCTTCTGTTCATGGCTCTTGGTGGTAATGGACTTGCTGGCATAGAGGAGGACGAGAGCAAAGAGGATCAGAATCCGGACGCTGCTGGAGGCAACTTCCATAGATTCCCAAGGTGTAATTGTTTTGCGGAGCTTGCCACCCTTGGGGTCTCCAACGGTAGGCTCATGGTGAATGGAGGTGTAGAGGGTAATGGATGTGCTAAGAATAACTAGCTCGATGGGGATAGCGACAGACCAACAGACGAACTGGGCGAGTGTGGGAGATGGGGAAGTGTCGAGTAGGGATATGAGTAAGACGGCGTAGACGAAAAATGAGCCGACGATGTAAATCTGCGCCCCCCGATAGTTAGCTTTGACTACCCGTTTGGCCGGCGAATTTGACTAGAATCCACCGAGAGACGTACCACGACGGACTGACCCCGCCACCAATGCTCGGAGCGAGCGACCATCACATGAGTGATATAAATAATCGCGTCCGCAAGATAGGTTACAAGCACTGCCACGGAGAGCCAGTTGAAGACTCGTTTGACAGTCATTGAAAACCCCTGCGTCTTGCGGAACGAGCCTGTTTGGGAACGCTTGGGCAGTGGACGGCCGCCAGGACCCATTCGCTGGGTTTCATTTTGGCTAGAATTGCTCGCCGTGAGCATGGTATTAGCCACAAAGGCCACGACGAAGAGAAGCAGGAGGAAGATCGGATAGCATGTGCGCAGGTACTCCAGCAGCTCAAGAGCTGCGTGGGGATCCATGATTACCAACTCCTCCCACAGATGTAGAGAACGAGAAAAAAGAGAGTGATATCAACAGATTTCCATCACACCGATCCGGGTCAAGGTGGTGAGAAAGACGGGTTCGGATGGGAACGAAGGATCGACGCGAGGAATGGGACCGGACGCGGGGAGGAAGTGCGTGATCTCGAACCGTGACCTTTTCCACGTATTTCAATTTGGATCTAAACTCTTGTAGATCCCATGCAAACGTTCGTAGATTTGTATTCTTCTTTTTCCTATCGTTCCGAACTTTCCTTGCCTTTTTTTCAAATAAAATTCGCACGATTTCTGGTTAGAATCTATGATTTGCAATTGTCAGGAGGGATACCCCCAAGTCACGAGGTTCAGCGTGGCAAAAGTCACCCACGAGTAGGCAATGTTAGGTAAATGTTTCAGCTCCCAAGTGTTTGCCACGAGGAAATAAGAAGAGTAAAGAATAACGGTCTAGAGGGGGGGGAAATGACGGTGTGGATGCGCGAGGTGCTGCAGCTAAGAAAAAAGGGATCCACATACTCGATTGAAGAACTGAAATTGGAACTGGAACTGGAACTGGCACTGGTTTTTATAACCACCTCGATTGTTTGTCTCCGTCGAAACCCAAATAATAAATTGGTCTCGATCGAACTTCCAGAAGGCTTATGCTTTCGTGCCCGACAGTCTGGGTTGGAATAGTCCCAACAAAGTCACCTAGGTCAATGGGCCCGGCCGGGGGGGGGGGGTTCCACAGCTATGATTTCAAATGCAGTTGACGAGTGCTGAAGCCCGTCTCCTCTGTCTCCTTCGAGTTTGGAGATGGCGGCTAGGACTCGGATTGATATAAATACCCCCCGACTCACACGTCCCTAGTCCAGGGTCTCAGTTCGCGGCGATCAGATGGCACGATCGTTAGACCGCGATCTAGATCCTGAGGAAGTACGACCCCCCGGACGTCGAAGCTTCCGATCAGACGCTGATTAGCTGTCTGCTTACCCTTAGCCCCAGTCCGTTCACTATGGCTTTGTGACCTTGATTTTCTACTGATCGAAGTATAGAGGATTGGACTCCCGAATCCCCCGGTTAGAATGTGAGACTGGTGATCTGATTTGCTATGTTATTTTTACATCTCTATGCATTAACTCGGAGGGCCCGGGATTCTTGTAGTGCCAGATTCAAATCTTGATCCCTTCTGTGCTGGCGTCTAGACCGCTCTATGTGAGCATGCCTAAGAGGTGCCCTGAAATATTGTACATACTTTGGGGCACACTGGAATTCAGGCCTTCTTACTTGTCCTTTTTGTTGTTCACCGTTCCCGAGCTACACTTGTCCGCCACCAGAGCTTCACCGCTTGCACCACCCCATGCTTCTTAGGGTTCCCACTACAGATTCGCGTTCCCCCCCTCCCTCACCCATTACGGTCAACTGGTCGTGTGCCCCCCCATGGACAACGTGTGAGCCATGTCGGAGACTGGGTCACGCTCTCCGGTCCCTCCCCCCCCGCCGCCTCCGACCCAGAAGTATTCGCATCGGGCTGCCAACGCGCTCGCCCGTTTCGCGCCCTTCTTCGGGTCGAGACCTCCGAGTCCGCAGAGTAGCCGCCTCGATGGCCCCCGGTCCATCAGGTCAAAATCGCTGTACGTGCTGCATGCCTCTCACACCGCTCTGACCGTCTAAATTGTCCCTTATCGTACTCTTCCTTCTCTTCGTGCTTTGGTCGCATCGAACCTGTCCATTACTAACGTCACCAGACCCGGTGAACCGCAGACCGTCACTCACCGTACGGGCATCCCCATCCTTGCCCTGGATATCTCACCGGAGCGCACCCACGCCGTGATTGGAGGCAAGGATATCCTCAAAACAATCCGGGTCTCGCCTGATCACTCCTCGGAGGAATTTAATATTCGCAATACGGTTATCAGTTATGCATCTACCCACCATGATGCGGGCGTCTCGATGCCACACAAGGACCAGTTGAATGTCAGAGACGTCAAGTGGTCACATAGTAATTATGACCGGATAATCGCAACCGCGGTCGCCAACGGCCGGATTGTCGTCTACGACTTGCAGCGGCCCGGCCTCCAATTATGTCGCTTCCAGGGCCACAACCGCCAGGTTCACAGACTGGCCTTCAATCCTCACCTCGCATCTTGGCTACTGTCCGGCAGCCAAGATGGCACCATCCGTATGTGGGATCTGCGATCGGCTTCTGCGAATCGGGGTCTTTCTACCTGCGGCAGCAAGCATGTGTACCATGGCAATAGCGATGCCATCCGAGACGTCCGGTGGTCTCCCACCGACGGTGTCGTGTTTGCGACTGCCTCAGACAGTGGTGCCATTCAGATGTGGGATTCGCGCAAGACCAACGCCCCTCTAATGAGGATTGCGGCTCACGACCGTCCCTGTTTCGCAGTCGACTGGCATCCGGACGGGAAACACATAGTCAGCGGTGGTACGGACCGGCAGGTCAAAGTCTGGGATTTCTCCTCATCTGCGGAACGACGGCAGAAACCTGCATTTCAATTCCGAACTCCCCAAGCTGTTACCAACGTCCGGTGGCGACCACCATCATGGGTGGGCAACTCGCCCTCCTCGGGAGAATGGCAGTCGTCTCAGGTAGTGACATCCTATGACAAAGATGATCCGCGGATTCAATTATGGGACCTCCACCGCCCACACGTGCCTTTTCGTGAGTTTGATCGTTACGATTCCCCAGCTGCCGATCTGCTGTGGCACTCCAAGGACCTGCTGTGGACAGTCGGTGAGGTAGGGGCTTTTACGCAGACGGATCTCCGATATGCCTCCACGGTAGTCAAGCGTCGGCCGATGTGTTCGGTGGCTTGGAGCCCAAATGGCGAGTTCGTGGCGTTCGCCCAGCCGCGACCAAGGCGGCGCCCACTAGGCGTCAGCACCACCGAATTCCTCCACCACGACGAGGACCAGGCCAGCACCGGTCACAGATCGTTAAGCCACAGTCCGCCGGACGACATCCTTGATGATGAGGCTCTGGCTTCGTCGCTCCGGCATCCCCAAACCAAGTCCACTACGGTACGGGCATCAAAATCCCTGGGCAATACCCCTCCGGGCGGAATGAATGTCATTCCGGTGCTTCCATTGGAGCAAGCTTTGACCAAAAGCTCGACTACGGTCCCTAGTCAGTTGGGCGCAATTGGGACGATTCCTGGTGCCACATATGATGCATCTCTCTTCCGATTCTTGGCGGGGCAGTATTCACCTATGATGGATGAACGCCCGGGCAGACGAGGTCACGTCGAGGTTCTGAACTCGTTGATGGAATCTCTAGACCATAATGCTGAGCGGGCAGACGATGTCTCCTTACCTAAGCTGGCTCAAACCTGGCGGATTGTCAAATTTTCGATCCTCCAAGAGCTTCAAAGCAGGTCGCGAGAGCAGTCTGCAGGCAAGGGTGGTGTGAAGGGCAAGTCTTCTAAGGATGGACTGCTCAACGATAAGTCTAGGGCAGACGAAAATCGCCAAGGAAAGGTGAAAAGTCGATTGTTTAAGGGTGTTATGGAGACAGAAGGTCCAAGAAGTCGAGTCCCGGAAGAAAGCACGTCGAACATGACAACTCCGCTTGCACAGCCATTGCCTGATTCTCCAGATGACTCATGGACTAGTTCTGACTCTCAAATGCCTTCGTTACTTGAGAATGCCGTCGATCTTGACCCTCTTCCTCCATCAGTTTTGAGCTCCCACAATGGCTGGGGCATGTCCGGCCCTGATGCTAGTCGCGTCTCATCGTTACCACAAGAGCAATTTGTGTCTAGTCACGATATAAACCTTGTCGGGGAGCCCGTGACAGGCCTCCTACCAGAACCGTTCGAGTCGGATCCGGATACTGATCAGCGATCTGCACCTCGCGCGATTGCCGGCAGGGCAGACTGGCGCCTTCGTGGCCGTCCAGACCTTCCTCAGGAAGCCTCCGAGGATGACTACGACCAGAAATTAGAAGACAAGCGAGCGGCGATTCGGGACTTCAAACAACATCCCAAGAAACCCTTGATCCTCGAATCAACGATAGAATCCAACCGTCCTCCCACACTAGAGCGCTATAGCCGGCACGACTCTTCTGAGAGCTTTCCAATGTTCTCTGCATCCACGGATAGCTCGCATCCATCCAAATCCGTAGGCGCCTCTTACTCCTCGAGTGGGAGATATCCCGAACGCCGTTTCTCGGATGCCAACCAAGCACGTGGTCGACCGAGTAATGTGGTCCGAAGGGAATCTAGCCTGGAACCTGCCGCAGAAGAGCCCGAAGATGACATGGATATTGATGAGTCTACTCTTGAAGAGGAACGGAAGCATCTTGAACGTCCGTTGAGCCCTCCGGAATTGTTGACAGAGTCGACCCCGCTTGAACAGCCGGGCTCAGAAGATACCTTTCCGTCTAAGAATACGCCTCTGGCGTCCACCGCTGCTTATTCGGCAATGGCAGGAATTTACGAAAATCTCTCCCAAGTCGAGATTCCTCTCGTCGCCAATTCATCCGATTTAAAGCCATGGAGTATCGAGGCGATCTTGAAAGAGGCAGTGCGCTATTATCACAGCAGCAGCAGCTCTGTCGATATTCAGACAGCGGCGCATTTACTGCAGAAGCTTCACGTGCTCTTCCAGGGCTGTGAGCAGATCCTTCCCTACGAAGAGTGCGAGATGATTTTCAAGTCCTACAACGAATGCCTAATTCGGCACACAATGGACTTAGAAGCTGCAGAGCTTCGCCTATCCTGCGTGCCAACTTACCCAGGTGTCTACGATTACGCACAGGCAGACACCTTCATCAATGTATTCTGCTATACCTGCCAAAGACCATACGAGAACCCAATGCGCGACAACTCTCGCTGCCACCGCTGCGACACCCCACAAGCACCATGCTCCATCTGCATGAGCATTGACCCTCCAGCTGAATGGGCTGCCGCCACCCAGATGCAGTCACAGTCTGGATCAACCGGCAGCTTAAGCCCCGACCCAGACGCTGAGACCATTTCCCACCTTTCTTCCCGATCCTCAGTCCCTACTGAACCAATCCCTCCTGTCGAGCTTGACAGCCTGGACTCATTCAGCGCACCCCGTCCTCAAGGCTCTGCCCTCTGGGCCTGGTGCCAGGGATGTGGCCATGGCGGCCACATGGCCTGCATCACCACCTGGCTGGGCGATCTCTCCATTAGTGAAGGAGGCTGCGCCACACCAGGCTGCTCACATGACTGCGGTCCTGGTCCGCGGCGCGAATTCAACCGTCAGGCCCTTCTAACCGAATCTAAACACCGCGACTCGGCCAGCCGCACGTCCGGCACTGGCCTTGTCAAGCGCGACCCGTGGACCAAGGGTGAAAGCAAGGCCGTGGAGAAGGTTCGCGGGATGCTCGGAGGTGTTGTTGCCGCGACTGGTGGTAGCGGTGCCGGATCTAATGCTTCTACGGTCAGCTCTGCGGGTGGTCAGGGCCAGATTTCTCCTGGGGCAGTCTCGCCTAAGAAGGTCAGGCTGGTTACACCGGGTGAGCAGAGTAAAGGCAGGGGTCCTACTAGCCGGTCGAACATTGCACCGCAGGAATAGAACTGGGCTCATTGTCGTGTTCAAGTACATAGTGTTTTGGATACCCAGGAGTTTTGACTTTTCATGATATCCCGTTGCGTTAACAGGACTTTTGGCGTTTATTGAATATTCTTTCAAATACCAGGAACCTTATCGAGTTTTATATCAAGTATATTGGTCCCAAACTGCACTTTTCAACAGATAGACCTCTCCAACAGATGAGTGATATATTCTAACTTGACATTGCCACCAGTCTTCACACTCAAAACCTCCGTTTCTTCTTTGTAGGGGCTCTACTCTGCGCCTCCAGCTGCCGTTTCAATTCTTCTCGTTTTCGATTAGCTTTCTCGGCCTCTGTCAAAGGTGTCGCTTCTGGAACCGCGTGATTTTCAGGTGAATCCACCTTTTGCTGTTTCATTTGTGCAGCCTTTTCTGGTGACTTTGAATAGTCATCTATAGCCATTGTAGATGAAGGGCCTGCACTGTCAGGGGAACGAAGAACAGACTCTGGCTGGACAGAAGGTGCTTCGCTTGGATTTGGTAGTTTGGCTTTGCTTTTTCCACCTATCATTCCCAGCTTTGCGGGCCGCTTCGTTTGCGTGGAAGTTGGATGTGAAGGTCCCGCGATCTGGGCCGATTTGGATGGTGGAGGTGAATTATGCGGCTCTGGCTCTGGCTCTGGCTCTGGCGTTTCTTCTTTCTTCTTCTTGCCTCCGATAACGCCGAGGCCTCCTCTTGATTTCTTCGGAGGGACTTTGGATTGGGGCGGCGGTGTTGCAGGCCTCGGTGGAGGAGAGACATCTGGTGTACGCTTGCGTCGTAGCACAGCTTCAGGTCTGGTATCGCGATCTGGCTCCGATTCAGACGCAGTAGACATATCCATCATCGATACTAGAGGTGGTAGAGAAGAACTTTTTTCTTTTGTCTTACTGGTTGGCCCGGGCGATCTGGTTTCTTGAGCATTCGCTCTGGGAGGGGTCGCTTGTCGCTAGATCGAAATGAGCCCCATGTTGTTTATGACAGTCTTGAGCACGTACCTGAAATTCATCATCTTCGCTTTCTGCCGTAGCATCGCCATCTAGATCCACCCCTGCTTGTGAGGACATGACAGGTGCGTCTTTCTGCGATACAGGTTGAGCTTCTGACTCATTCTCTTGGGAGAAAGACGTTTCGGAACGGCTTCCAAGCGCATACCACCAATTTGTTTGCGGCGGATGAAGACCCTCAAGACCCTGGCCGTTAGATCCAAGTAGTTCATGTGCTATATTTGCAGCCACGCCCGAGATAGCAGATGACATCACCCCGGACTCGGCGAGCCACTTCTGCTCATCAAACAGCGCAACGCCTTTGATATGCTTGGCTGCTTCAGAACGTGTGCCGCCTTTGCGTGCTGAGCGTAGCCCTGCAGCAGCGGGAAATACGGTTCCAAGGTCAATTTGTAGAGCTTCAACTTTGTCGAACAGCTTCCCAAGGACCCAGTCCTTCTGTTTGATCTGGTCCAAGAGGGCTCGTTGCCGAGACTCCCAGCTGGTCTCGTCTGTCAGCAATGGGAGTAGTAATCGGCTGGTGAAAGCTGATGGGGGCTCTTTCGTCATGTATAGAGTCCATTTTAGAGGCTTCAGCGGGGCTGGAAGCCTCGTGCTTGTGGTGAGCTCAAGCGAATCGGTGTAGGGTCCACGATGTAGCTTTGCGCTGCCTCCGTCACCTCGCAGAGCTTCCCCGATCTTTGATAGAAAGACCTGTAACTGCTCAGCGCCCTCGCTTGGATCAATTGAAGTGGCACTCTGTTCTGCTCGCTTCGCGATTTCCTTGTGTGGTAGCTGTTCGGACCAAATCGAGGTCAGATCTGTCACACAGAGCTCGTAGCCTTGCCTGGTCCATGAGTATTGAAAGAGTAACGGAGGAAATGCCCCTGATATTTGCAGCCTGTGCCACTTTGGAGACATGATCTCAGCTTATAAAGCCCTCAGATTTGATCCTATATGCCTTTTATGAGCATGTGCGAGGTGCTCCACGGAGTGCGGAGCAGCTGCCTGGGGCCGCAGGAAAGTTAGCCGCACGCTTAACGTTCCGCCGATCTCCCGCTTCACTTGTCAACCTCACGCCTTCACGCGTTCTACTTGCATCTCTTCATTTCGCAGACAGGAGACATCGAGAATATCTCATATTCTAAGATATGTCGTCGCGATTCCCCGATCGATCGGGCCCGGGGCGCAGCCGATCGCGATCCCCTTCATCCTGGCGTCAACCCCAGAACCGTCCCCGTGATGACGACAGAGAATGGCGCGACAGAAGGGACTCAGATCGGAGACCGCAGCAACCTCGCAACACACGCGATCAAATGCGGATCAACCAGCTCCAGGAGGATGAGCAAGCGCGGGAATGGGTGTCGCAGGAGGATGTCTTCGTGCTGAAACAGGCTAAGAAGAAGGCCGAGATTCGTGTGAAGGAAGGACGCGCAAAGCCCATTGACTGGCTGACGGTGACCCTACGCTTCATTGATCCCACACGCAACCCTTTAGACGACGAAATCGCGGATTCTGAGCTCGATGTGGTGGACCCGGATGGTGTCTTTGAGGGACTTTCTCAGAAAGAGCTACAGGATCTGGAGAGCGAAATTGACACGTTTGTCGAGCTGGAGACAAATGCGCAGAATCGGGACTTTTGGCAGGTATGATTTTAAACCTTCCTTTGGCTTTATTCTAGTACCTCGCTAACCATGTTCTTGCTACAGACGATGAAAGTCATTTGTCGAGACCGCCAGAAAACCTCTGCACCCGAAGGCCGTGCTCTCAGCTCTGTCGCCGCTGATATCAACAAGCTCTTGAGCCCAAAGACATATGAACAACTCAAGACGCTGGAAGTTCAGGTCAAGAGAAAATTGAATTCAAACGAGCCTATCGATACGGATTATTGGGAGGAGCTGTTGCGCAGCTTGACCGTGTGGAAGGCGCGTGCAAGGCTGCGCAATGTCTACCAGGCCGTTATTGACGAACGAATTCGCGATCTAAGAAAACAACAAAGAGAGGAAGCAGAATCGATTCGGGAAAAGCTGGCCCCCTTGGCACCACTTTATACCGATGAGCAGCAGCTAAATTCTACATTTTCAGCGGAATTCAAGGGGTTGGATCCCGATCCGTTGCTTCAGGTTCGGCCTGAAGACAAAGGACTAGAAATCATGGATGAGTCTGCATTCCTTCGTCAAGTTGTACGTACCTTGGTCTGTCCCAGGGCTTGAAACTTTCATTGCTGACCAATGTAACAGGCTCGTGAACGGCAGAAGATCCTCCGCATGGGCTACGTTCCTCTGCGACAGCGATCTGCTGAAAAGACAGCCACGACCTTAATCAATTCAGTTCCAAGCAGCTCCGCTACCCCGGCTGTTTCCAGTCGATTTTCTTCTCTTCCCAATGATGACTTCTCGCAGGCGACAAAGGCATTGTATGAACGAGAATTGGCCAAGGGCGTCAGCGAGAACGAAGAGATCTTTACCGGTGAAGAGGCCGTGACCACGCCTTCGCAAGCCCAGTGGGCCAGCAAATACCGCCCCCGTAAACCTCGCTACTTCAACCGAGTGCAAATGGGCTACGAATGGAACAAGTACAACCAGACCCACTACGACCATGATAATCCGCCCCCCAAGGTCGTGCAGGGTTACAAGTTCAACATCTTCTACCCCGACTTGATTGATAAGGCTAAGGCCCCAACTTATCGCATTGAGCGAGAAGGCGGCCGCAAGCGTGGACAGTCCTTTGCCGCGGCCGGAGAGGAAGATACTTGTCTGATCCGATTTATGGCCGGGGCACCGTACGAGGACATCGCCTTCCGAATTGTTGACAAAGAATGGGACTATAGTGCGAAGCGCGAGCGCGGCTTCAAGAGCACATTCGACAAAGTATGTCCCATAATGGTATCCATACCCCCGCATCCAAGGAGGGTTCTGACGTGGTTTTACAGGGCATTCTGCAGCTCCACTTCCAATTCAAACGGGTAAGTTGAATGCCTCGATAGGGTATGAAGAATATGACTGACAAGTTGTCTCAGATCTATTACCGGAAGTAAGACCTGCGCGACGCGTCATTTTCCACATGGGCGTTATATCGGGATTTGGGTTGGATGTAGTGTGGTGTATGCAGGCAAAGTTGGTCGTGGTGTATTTTCCAGACAGCTTACACCCTAACACCTTGTGAACCAATACTCCCCACCACTGGTTTGGCTGGAAAAGTTCTCCACATCGCAGAAAAAAAAACGATCTCGCAGAGCCCGCGAACTTTCAGCACAGTCCCCGTGTGGAGCCACAGTGGTTCGAATCCCTCAAGTGTCAAATGCCTAATTTAACCGCCGATTTTTGTTTCTGCACTTCTCCTCGCATCATGGCTCGGCCATCCACCATGATGCTGCACCGCAGTGCAAGACATCCAGAACGTTCCTCGAAAACAGTACTTTGACCCACCATGCCCCAATGACGGGGATCAGCATGCTTCCTACGGAACGGCGGTCATTGAAGTCCGTTCTGGTGACACCACGAGCCTGCAGCTGCAGCATATACATGACTCCGGGCTGGCTGAATGCAGTCCAGGAAGAGAAAGCTCGGCTAGAGAGACTGTTGACCTCCGGTTGACCTCCTGTTGACCTTGTCAACTTCCAGAAGGTCCGCTCCATGACGGCGAATGGCCGACTGGGTCTGCAGGCAGCCGCCTCCAGCCTTCCACCTTTCTCGATTAGTGCCTCCAAGGATAGAAAGTGGCGGAACTGGAAGGCCTCTCAGACCCATCCAACACTGCTGTAGCACCGGGTAGAGCCGCCTGGACCGCCTGTGAGATCATTGGCCGACGTTTGTAAGATGAACTCCCGTTCCACACGGGCTTGATAGTAGTGGCGCTAGAGCAGCCCCAGTCTCCCTCTCCAGCGCGTCTTCTTGTATCGATGAGCCATGGCCCACACCGACTCACGCATGTGTGTTTGCCTGCCGCACGGATTCTCGCAGTAGAATGGACCATATGCCTGATTGAATGTGGTGGCCAAAATGGCCTAAAAAGAATTATAGAGAGAAACAGAAAATCAAGAGTGTACAGCTCCAATGTATGTGTATGGCGACAGTCACGACGGGCATCCTGGTTACTTCTACGTTGACCTTGCCCCTTTTGACTTTCGCCTGCGATTACTCTTCTCTTATTCTTCCTTCAGTTCAAGTGCACGTCAAAGTTTCTCACAACGTCCTTGCTTTCAAGAATGGAGAGACCCCATGGTGTCAAAATGGAGTCTTCGCTTCCATCAGATCACTTCAACCTGGCTCAGATCCCAACTGACCAGCGAGAGCACGAGTATCATTGCTCAGGACAAACGCAGTCTCTCGGTTTTGAGCCGTTCCAGATGAACGCCTCACAGTTTTACAACCCCTGGCACTCAGGTTGTGAGAACTGGGCGGTATTCAGATCTAACCCGGTGTCGGAATCCATGGCACCCCTTCAACATCCCGGGTATAACAGTTCATCATGGTGCGCCACTTCGCTAGAACCACATGAGGGTAGCACCAAGTCGCGCGCTCTTGGGGCCGAAACTTCCCAGCCTGAGAATTTCCATCTTTGTTCCCTCAATTCGACCCCTCATCCTTCAACCCTTTCTATAGGCCTCTTACGAGACAGTATGGTCCAGTCAAAATGTCGAATGTCGAGAGATCCCCATAGTGACGATCTTCTGGATTGGTCGTCTGATCCTGCCACATCCTTCTACTTTGCTCGTGATTCCTGTTATCGCCACCCGGTGCAGTTGGAAACATCCGAGAGGGATTCTCTAGCCTTGAGAAGCACCCCACCGTCACCACCCGTCTCAATTTCCTCTCAACAGTCATCGTCAACAATGTCCATGAACAGCATGGGTCCCACTGCTTCCAGTACGGTTGCTGACAGCAACTCGCCCCGAGCCAGCCTTGGTGACCAAAGCGAAGGAGATCATAATGCAGAGCCCTACTCGAAACTTATCTACAGAGCCCTGAAAGAGGCCGACGGCCATAAATTGTCGCTTCAACAAATCTACGACTGGTTCATGAAAAATACCAGCAAGGGCAGAGACAACAGCAAAGGCTGGCAGAACAGCATTCGCCATAATCTGTCCATGAATAAAGTACGACCCTCGCTCCTAGCGCTTCCGTGCCCCCATTGCCGGTTTCTAACCAATTGCACATCATTTTCTACTCGCCCAGTTTAGTGCGCTTTACTGACAGGCATTTCCGTATTAGGGATTTGAAGCCAGTAAAATTGAGGGGTGCACGAGGAAGAAGCCGCAGAACTTGTGGGCTTTGACTCAAGATGCCATCGACCGGGGTAATGTGGAATCCACTACGCGGTATCGCAAGTCGAATCACCGCAAGGCCACAAGCTCCAGCTCCGCATATCCCGGGCGTCAGCGCTCAGGCTCCAAGGGAGGAAAGGCGGCGAAAAATGCGGCTAGGACACGCCACCTAGTTCAGCGCGAGCGGGACAGGGAGCGGCAATTCCCTTCGCCAACGCAAAGTCGAACACAGCAACCTCAGCCTCAGCCATCGAATGATCCCGCGTCCGCTCTGCTTACACCACCTTTTGGAGGCGCACTACTTTATCAATTGGAGCAAGTCTACAGTGGCCTGCCCCCCAGCGAGAGCCCTGTTAAAGAGGAGTTCGACTACTCCAAAGTGATTGGCTGCACGAGCTCCCCACTTGGCAAGAACTCAATATTCTACGATGTCGTGGGACCGGTACCGAGCTACGGACCGCTCGACCTCGAGCATATCGGTGGCTGGTACCCCGTCTCGGGGCCCCATAACAGGTTGATAGCAGGCCTCGGAAGGCGATGAGATCTTCATTTCTGCGGAAGGGCACAGAAGCGGGACTGAAAATAGGGGGGGAGAAAAGGGAGAGGGAGAGAGGAGCTGGCGTTAGGAACGGAGAAAAAAGCTTTGTTTGACATGCATCAACATGCATCATTGTCTTGTTCACTTCTAACTGGGTATTTTCAAATTTTTTTTTTCGTGTGGATATCTTCTTGGATTTCTAATATCCATTTGGCAGAGCGATTTGGGTCCCAATTAACTAGAGGCAATACCTGCATGGCACTTGCATTTTGTACTTCTGTTTTTGCTTTTTCGTTCTAATTTTTTGTTTGCAAAGCAGCGTGTATTATAGGTCAACAACGTGAACCCTTGTGAACGAGTCACTTCTCCAAGTTCATCATTCGGGGCTGTCATATCGCTTAGCTTCACAATTTCCAACGAGACTCACATTTTCAATTGGGCACGATGGCCGGAAAGATCGTTACAGTAGCCGCATATCTGTAGATCTCTTGAGCCGGTAGCGCGGAAGCCGTTCCAGGTGGAGCCAGCGCTTGCCACCGTGTACAACATGTCCTGTACTGTACGTTCACGAGAAGCGGAGTTCGTCCATTGTATCCAATCAAAGGAGCATCATCGTGAATGTTCTGTCTCCCTCATCTCTAGCCTGGCTCCCAAAGAGGCTACTGCAGAGTCGCCTTCGCCTTGGCGAATCCCTGCACCCCGAGGTCCTGCAGATGCGGACAAGGCCTGTATCAGCCCGCACTGTTGCATAATTCCCCCATCAAATTGTGGTTCGCAGTTTTTACCTCTTTGGTAGAGATCTCTCGGTCTCGGGACCCACGCTCGTCGGTGGGGCAGATGGCAGAACTGCACGATCTATAGTCTCCCGGGGCACCGGGCCACTGTTAGATAGGATCGGCCCCCCCTTTCCCGGGGGGAGGCCTCCACTACAAACCTATCGCGTGGAGAGAGAGAGAGAGAAATTTTGGCGATCACAAGCGACGAGTGGGTCTGTTCAAGAAGATCTACATCGTCCCGTCCCCCTCCCTTGTTCCCGCCTCGTCTTCCGTTGGCTGTGAATGAAGGTTTGGGATGATCATGATGCTCTATAGCGTCGAGACCGTGCGTTAATGAGATCTATACTGTCAGCTGTGCTATAAGGGGTCAGTGCATTTGACCGCATACCCCTGTTTCCCATTGAGATGACCAAGATCGTGATACATAATAGGCTATCAGGGGGGGTGAAGGGGGAACGGGCGAGGGGCTTCAATTTCTTAGGCGATTGATTCCGAAGCTGGGCCGACCCAAAGTTCCCTGCTGCTTCCTAGCATGGGTTTTGGTTTCGGTATATGATCCCTTTACCTCCATAAACCCACTTGGGAATGTGCTATCTCCTCAGCATGGGCGTAGTAGGTATCCGTGCACCATTACCTCTGCAAAGGTGACAGCTGCAGACCACCCGCAATCTTCCCAAGCGCTGCTTTCTGGCGCTTTTCTGTTTTCTGTTTTCTTTTTTGTTTTTCTTCTTTTCTATTTTCCTTTTTCCCTTCACGCTGCCCTGCCAGCAACCTCGGCCTGCAGGCTCTGTTAATTTGTAGAAATTTCTCCAGAGTAAAAATGAGATTCGCTGGTTATTTCCCCATGACTTGTCTCAGGTCTTTGTATCTGCTTCATCCGTTTTAATGAAGCTTCAGCTGTCTGACAGACTGAAATCCGCAAGGTCTTGTTTTTGTGGAATTTCTGAAAGTTTCCTGTCTTACGGAGTACTCGGTCCATGGGTCTCCGTGAGATTGCTTTTTGGCTGTGCTACATACTATCGGGGGGCTACGATATCCGACTGCAAATCCGATGCAATGCATTGATCATCGAACTGGTGATCCTTGGAAGCCACAGAAGAACTCTTTGGATCTAGCTCCACCAGCCCTAGATTGACATTTCTATACCTATTTCATCTAGGTAGAATCCTGTTTTTATTCCTGTCGTACAAGCTTTTTAAACCACTGAGAGCAATCGAGGTCAGGTGCGATGTAGTTTTAACGCCGCACATCTATTTCTTCCAATTTGTTTTTCGGTCGATGCCGGTAGTCTGCTGCTATCCTGCTTCTCTCGCCATTTGCAGCTCTATGATTCGGTGTAATTCGGCGCCACTCCTGAAGACACAGGCACGTCACTCCGTGCTGGGCTATTGATAGCTAGCATCAATAGTGTGTGCGTCAACGCCTGTCACGAACCTGCCACCTCCTAATCGATCCAGGTGCAGGCACTATTCGGCTGGATTCCGGAAGAATGATCTATCACTTTGATAGCAGAAGCAACAGGTTGAGCGAACCTCATCCGAATTTTGTGGAGGGATTTGGGTGAAGATCGCGGTGGGGACATCCCCACCTGTAAGTTGTTTATTTCTCGTAAGGCTAACTAAGTCGTAGCCGACGGGGATGCAGGCAGGGTCGAGCACCTCTAAGCAGGGATTCGACTTCTAGCTTAAAATCGGATGGGGTGAATGCCATTTTGGCATAGTAATAAATCGGGAGTATAATCCTGTGCATTGTTTCCGAGACCCTTATCCTTTCACACTGACACAGGCCTTGCGCCCTGGCCCGAAGAGACGCAGAACCAGAACCTGGACGGCGACCGTTGAGCGTGTAAATGGGATTAGGATTGGCGCTCTGACAGCTGTCATTAGTGCATTGTGTCCCTTTTGCGCTCAGACTCCCGTCCCGAGCGCGCGAAGTGGGCTGCAACCGGGGAATCATCCGAACCATAGGATGGTATGCTCTGACCGCTCCTTGGCATGGTTCGTGAGAGTGGCAGCTCTAAGTGGAGACGACAAAGAAACAAAGAAATGGGAAGAGAGGACTTGGCTGAACAGGGAAAAGCAACGGCCGGAGAGCATGTCGATCCTGCCATCTCGATCTATTCGACGCCAGTCGAGGGCCGACGCGGCTGACGGGTGGTGACGGATGAATCCAAAGGTTCATCGGCTGCCACGTACGTAGATCGACCCGGGACGTACCTTAGCTCCAGATATCCTCGGCAAGTGCATGGAACACTTGTCATTGGTGCTCTTGCCGATGACTTTTGAGATCTCGGCTCGCAAAGTGAGCTAAGGTGGTAAGAACCGTTCATTTCGGGTCATACCTCGATAATGCATCTTGTTCGTTGGGACTCTCATTTTTATTAATTGCGGCCATATCTGCTGTCGATACAACATGATTCGTGGTGCCGGAGTTCCAAGCCCGACATCATAGAACCTTTGCGTAATATAATAAACGTGCAGGTGCCACGGGTCGTCCCGGTATAGCCTCTAGATCCTTTTTTTTTTTTTGGTTTTAGCCCCTTGCCGGATTGCCTTGTTCGATAGTTAGTCTACCTACGATGTTTTTCTTTGTTCATGTCCTCGCTCTCGCAGATTCCCGGTCCATTCGGTCATGTGCATCTGCAGGCCAGGTGCGTGCCAAGCATTCGTCTCCTTCCTGAAGGGGCAGTTCGGCGAAGAATCGACAGGCTCGCCGCATAGGTGCGGAGAGAAATGATGGCTTCATGTCTTGAACCTACCAAAGGTCAGAAAAAGGCAGTGCTTCTGCGTCTAATTAGTTGATGCATGGTTCCAAGAGTATCCATCGACTAGCTACGCGTCACCCTCGTGTGGGACCTGGATATATACATTTCAGGGACTCCATCGAAATTTAATCGTTCCCCGTAGAGCAATGTACAGCAATACATCTCATCGGGTTTCGATAAGATCTCTGAATCGATCAATGAAATCTCTTAACTCCTTTCTCAGATGCTGGATCCACCAAGGAAGCCGTAGAGGTATGTAGCCTCCCTAGTGAAGTAAACATGTCATCGTCCGCCTCTCGAGATTCCCGACACTTGGAATAGCAGTATACCTATCTTCGCGACCCTTCCAATGAGTAATGATATCATGCATACTGCGAACCACGGCCCGCCCGCCGCGTGTTCTGTCACTTTGGCAAATCAACATGGCCCAGGTGGTGATCGGGCCAAAGTCAGAGCTCAGACCTCAGGTAGCTTCAAGCGAGCCTCGCCGTCGACGTCCGAGAATCACCAGATACCCAGACGCTCAGAGTCTAAATGGCCCAAGCCCTCAGGAATGAAACGGCCCAGGGTGTCTCTTCCAGGGGGACTTGGCCTTCAATCTACACCTATGTGTAGCCCAGATGACAATATGCAACATGCGAAGCTCGGAGCAAGGGGTCCTTGGATGGAATACCGGTTCCTACCAGTAATCGAAGCCATGTCCCGGGTAATAATATGCGGCAATATACCCTCTCATTGAAATTATCTAGCTGCGACTGCCGAGGGTTCGTATTCTAGCGGTCTGGCGATGAAGTTGTGCTGGCTGATCCTCAGCCAAGCACTCACAGAAAGATATGGTGCGGCCCTGGTTGTGCACGAAACATTCAAAATGTACTGCTTCGCGTGGCCTGGTCGCTGACGTGAGGATAGGACCCCAAGACTCTTTGGTCGGACACTAGATCTGGGACAGCATGCGGCGGCACGACCACCGGGTTGACGTAGTAGATGTCCTCTTGAGTGGCACTGGAGTGATAGTCCAGCAGCTGACCTACCGGGGCCGAGGGGAATGAAAGACGAGCAGCTACAGTCTATGGACTTTGATATAATTGGCAACAAGGTCCTTACACACCCGCCGTATCGTTATGTGTGGCAATGTCAGCCCAAGGCAATTGGCGAAAAGAAATACTCGAGTCAAAGAAGACGTCCATGGGAATCTCATGAAGATAGTAAATTTGGGTTTCATTTGCATAGCCCACGATCCATCATGGACTCGCGTGCTAGCGGTTCCTGGTCATCCTTTTTTCTAGATTCTGAAGAACCGTTCCCACCGTTTTTCCGTAACGTTCGCTCCCCAAAAAGACCAACACCGACGAAACAGACGTTGCTTAGCGCTTGCCAGCGGCCTTCTCCTGGGACTCCTTGAGAACCTTCTTGACGATCTTCTGCTCCTCAATCAGGAAGGCGCGGACAATGCGGTCCTTGACGCAACCGGCGCAGCGAGAGCCACCATAGGCACGGCTGACGTTCTTCTTGGGGCGGGAGATCTGAGCATACTCGCGGGGGCGGAGGGCGGGAATCTGTGCGATCACCGTGATTAGTTCGTTGAGGTCTTTTTTTTTTTTGTTTGAATCGAAGATTGTGCAGTGGTTGTGTTCGGTTTTGGTTATTCGGGTCATGTCGGTGCGTCCAAGGCGATTCTCGAAATTTTCATGACCCTTCAGTTTGTCCACCCCACGACCACCATACCCGCACACAACGCACACACAACCCAAAAAAAAATCAACTCAGGGGGGCACTCACGCCAGGGAGCTTGATGCCACAGTCACCGCACTTGGGAGCAGTGCCCTTCTTCTTCAGGTGAAGGTATCGGAGCTCACCACCGGGAGTCTTGATGATGCGAACCTTGTTGGACCGCGTGTTGTACCTATCGGGGATCATTCGTCAATACGTCGTTCTGAAAATCCTAGAGCTCGTCTCATCCGGTCGTAGTCGGGTCGAATCAAGCGTTCAAGAAGCATTGCTCGAGGGGAGGGAATTTTTTTTCACGTACGGGTTCCGGCGGCGCTGGAGAAGAGGGTCAGCATTCAGCAAAATTGGTAGATGTTGTTGCAATAGCACTTACGAAGGTCAATCTGTTGTTGGGCATTTTGACTGTGGTGAACCTCGGTGGTCAAGGGCGTTGTCGTCGTCGGGTTGTGAACGGTAAAATGTTCAAGTTGCGCGGGTTTGTGTGGGTTTCGCTCTAGCGCACATTTGGCGAGGTGGCGCTAACCCAATAGGGGATAGCGTCAAAGATGGAGCCGCCACCTCAAAGTTCGGCATCGCAGGAGTCTCGTCTCTGCTGTCGAAGTGCTGGTGTTGGTGTCCTCTTTCCATCATCGAGCACGCTCAATCTCTTGCGTGTCTTTCATCTACGAATCTTTATACATTTACAGCCACGTTTACCTAACGAGTCGATGGTTCTTGACGTGATTCGGACGCGACTTTGAGCCCAACTGACGTCTAGGGAGGGTGGGTGATTCCCCATCGACAACCACCACCATGGCATCTCTGCCTCCTCCCCCTCCTCCTCCAGGATGGGGCGCAGCTCCCCCATCTATGCCCCTGGCACCGCCGCCTCCTGGTTATGCCCCTACCGCCGACCCGAACGCCGCAAAATTTGCGCAGAAGAAGCATGAATGGCTGCGCACTCAGCGCAGTCGATTCGGCGAGAAGCGCAAAGGAGGATTTGTCGAAACACAAAAGGCAGACATGCCACCGGAACATCTACGAAAGATTGTGAAGGATATTGGTGATGTCTCGCAGAAGAAGTTCACCAACGAGAAGCGCAGCTATCTCGGCGCGTTAAAGTTTATGCCCCATGCGGTTCTGAAGCTGCTCGAGAATATGCCCATGCCCTGGGAGTCAGCGAGAGAAGTGAAGGTACTCTACCACGTCAACGGCTGTTTGACTCTTGTCAACGAGATACCTCGCGTTATCGAGCCGGTCTTCCACGCCCAATGGGCCACCATGTGGATGTCCATGCGTCGCGAGAAGTCTGACCGAAGACATTTCAAGCGCATGCGCTTCCCTCCGTTCGATGACGAGGAACCACCTCTTTCCTGGTCGGAGAATATTGAGGACGTCGAGCCTCTGGAGCCTATCCAGATGGAGCTGGACGAGGAGGAAGATGCGGCGGTCTACGAATGGTTCTACGATCACAGGCCCCTTTTGGACACTCCCCACGTCAATGGGCCAAGCTATAAGAGCTGGAACCTGTCGTTGCCGCAGATGGCCACTCTTCACCGTCTCAGCCATCAGCTCCTAAGCGACGTCGTGGACCAGAACTATCACCACATGTTCGACCTCGACAGCTTCTTCACCGCAAAGGCCCTCAACGTGGCCATCCCTGGTGGTCCCCGCTTCGAGCCTTTGTACAAGGATATCGACCCTAACGATGAGGACTTCAGCGAGTTCAACGCGATTGACCGCATTATTTTCCGTGCCCCGATCCGGACCGAATACCGGGTCACCTTTCCCCACCTGTATAATACCCTTCCTCGCAGCGTGAAGATCGCCTGGTACTCTCACCCCCAGGTGGTCTATGTCCGAACCGAAGACCCCAACCTTCCCGCTTTCTACTTCGACCCTGTCATTAACCCGATTTCGTCTCGTTCCGTCGCCCCGAAGAATATCACTGTCAGCCACGAAGATGAGATCTTTGGACCCAATAATGAGGATGACTTTGAGCTTCCTGGAGAGGTGGAGCCTTTCTTCGATGATGAGGAGCTCTACACTCAGGATACGGCCTCTGCCATTGCACTTTGGTGGGCTCCTCACCCATTCAATAAGCGATCCGGAAAGATGGTTCGCGCCCAGGATGTGCCGCTTGTGAAGCAATGGTACCTGGAGCACTGTCCGCAAGGCCAGCCTGTCAAGGTCCGCGTGTCCTACCAGAAGCTGCTGAAGACCTACGTGCTTAACGAGTTGCACAAGAGCAAGTCGAAGGCCCAGAGCAAGCAGAATCTCTTGAAGACTCTGAAGACAACTAAGTTCTTCCAGCAGACCACAATCGACTGGGTTGAGGCGGGCCTGCAGGTCTGCCGTCAGGGTTTCAACATGTTGAACTTGTTAATTCACCGAAAGAACTTGACATACCTGCATTTAGACTATAACTTTAACTTGAAGCCGGTCAAGACATTGACAACCAAGGAGCGAAAGAAGTCCCGCTTCGGAAATGCTTTCCACCTGATGCGTGAAATCTTGCGTCTTACCAAGTTGATCGTTGACGCCCAGGTCCAATATCGTTTGGGTAATATCGATGCTTTCCAGTTGGCCGACGGAATCCTTTACGCCTTCAACCACGTCGGCCAGCTTACTGGCATGTACCGGTACAAGTACAAGCTTATGCACCAGATCCGTTCGTGCAAAGATCTCAAGCATTTGATCTACTATCGGTTCAACTCTGGTCCCGTCGGCAAGGGCCCCGGCTGTGGTTTCTGGGCTCCTGCCTGGCGTGTCTGGCTGTTCTTCATGCGCGGTATCATTCCTCTGCTAGAGAGATGGCTTGGAAACCTGCTTTCTCGTCAGTTTGAGGGACGTCATAGCAAGGGTGTCGCCAAGACGGTGACCAAGCAGCGCGTGGAGTCTCACTTCGATCTGGAACTGCGTGCCTCCGTCATGGCTGATTTGATGGACATGATGCCCGAGGGTATCAAGCAGAACAAGGTCAACGTTGTCTTGCAGCACTTGTCTGAGGCATGGAGATGCTGGAAGAGTAACATCCCTTGGAAGGTCCCTGGTCTGCCTGCGCCAATCGAGAACATCATTCTCCGATACGTGAAGAGCAAGGCCGATTGGTGGATTTCCGTTGCTCACTACAACCGCGAGAGAATTCGTCGTGGTGCCACCGTAGACAAAACCGTGGCTAAGAAGAATTTGGGTCGTCTGACTCGTCTCTGGCTCAAGTCGGAGCAAGAGCGTCAGCATAACTACCTCAAGGATGGTCCTTATGTTTCGTCCGAGGAAGCTGTCGCAATTTACACGACCATGGTGCACTGGCTGGAGTCTCGCAAGTTTTCTCCAATTCCTTTCCCCAGTGTTTCGTATAAGCATGACACCAAGATTCTTATTCTCGCTCTCGAGCGTCTGCGCGAGTCTTATTCAGTGAAGGGTCGTTTGAACCAGAGCCAGCGTGAAGAACTTGCTCTCATCGAACAGGCTTATGATTCCCCCGGTACCACCTTGGCCAGAATCAAGCGTTTCCTCCTCACCCAGCGTGCCTTCAAGGAAGTCGGAATCGACATGAACGACAACTATAACAACATCAATCCTGTCTATGATATCGAGCCTATCGAGAAGATCACCGACGCTTATCTGGATCAATACCTCTGGTACCAGGCTGATCAGCGTCATCTGTTTCCTGCTTGGATCAAGCCTTCGGATTCTGAAGTGCCGCCGCTGTTGACATACAAGTGGACTCAGGGTATTAACAACCTGTCTAATGTCTGGGAGACGGCCGACGGCGAGACCAACGTCATGATCGAGACCGAGCTGTCCAAGGTCTATGAAAAGATGGATCTGACTCTCTTGAACCGCATGCTGCGCCTGATCATGGACCACAACTTGGCAGACTACATCACCTCCAAGAACAACGTGCAGCTCAGCTACAAGGACATGAACCACACCAACAGCTATGGTCTGATCCGTGGTCTTCAATTTTCCGGCTTCGTATTCCAGTACTACGGCATGATGATTGATTTGCTGCTTCTTGGCTTGCAACGTGCCAGTGAAATGGCCGGACCGCCTGCGAGCCCCAACGACTTTTTGCAGTTCAAGGACCGTGCCACCGAGACTAGACACCCTATCCGTCTTTACACTCGTTACGTTGACAAGATTTGGGTGTTTTACCGTTTCAAGGCTGACGAGTCTCGTGATCTGATTCAGCGGTTTTTGACCGAGAACCCCGATCCCAACTTCGAGAATGTTATTGGCTACAAGAACAAGAAGTGCTGGCCGCGCGACTGCCGAATGCGCTTGATGCGCCATGATGTCAACCTTGGCCGTGCTGTCTTTTGGGATATGAAGAACCGTCTCCCTCGATCCATTACCACCATTGAGTGGGATGACACATTTGCCAGTGTGTACAGTAAAGACAACCCGAACCTGCTCTTTTCCATGAGTGGTTTCGAGGTTCGCATTCTTCCGAAGATTCGCAACCAAAATGAGGAGTTCTCCGTCAAGGATAGTGTTTGGTCTCTGGTCGACAACTCGTCCAAGGAGCGCACCGCCCATGCCTTCCTCCAGGTCACTGAGGAGGACATTCAGAAGTTCAACAACCGAATTCGACAAATTCTCATGTCATCTGGATCAACCACATTCACGAAAATCGCCAACAAATGGAACACTGCACTGATTGCTCTTTTCACTTATTATCGTGAAGCTGCCGTGTCGACTGTCAACCTCCTCGACACCATCGTCAAGTGCGAGACCAAGATCCAGACCCGTGTCAAGATTGGTTTGAACTCGAAGATGCCCTCCCGTTTCCCACCTGCTGTCTTCTACACCCCCAAGGAGCTTGGAGGTCTTGGTATGATCTCAGGATCTCACATCCTCATTCCCACCAGTGACAAGCGCTGGTCCAAACAGACTGACACTGGTATTACTCACTTCCGAGCGGGCATGTCTCACGACGAGGAGACCCTGATCCCCAACATTTTCCGCTACATCATTCCTTGGGAGGCCGAGTTCATTGACTCTCAACGTGTTTGGATGGAATATTCCCAGAAGCGCATGGAGGCTCAACAGCAGAACCGCCGTCTTACTCTGGAAGATCTCGAGGACAGTTGGGACCGTGGTCTTCCCCGCATTAACACCCTGTTCCAAAAGGATCGCAGTACTCTCAGTTTCGACAAGGGCTTCCGTCTTCGTGCTGAGTTCAAGCAGTACCAGCTTATGAAGAGCAACCCCTTCTGGTGGACTAGCCAGCGCCATGATGGTAAATTGTGGAATTTGAACGCCTACCGCACTGACGTCATCCAAGCTTTGGGTGGTGTTGAAACTATTCTGGAACACACCTTGTTCAAGGCGACAGCTTTCCCATCTTGGGAGGGTCTTTTCTGGGAACGAGCTTCAGGCTTTGAAGGTTTGTGAATCTCTTTATCCCCTGGCCCTTGATCTATTTTGACGTGCTCTTCATAATTCACCTGGTATTGTCCCAAGATCTCTACTAACACATCTTTTTTTTTTAGAATCCATGAAGTTCAAGAAGCTCACGAATGCCCAGCGTTCTGGTTTGAACCAAATTCCCAACCGTCGATTCACTCTTTGGTGGTCCCCGACTATCAACCGTGCCAATGTCTATGTTGGTTTCCAGGTGCAGCTGGATCTGACTGGTATTTTCTTGCACGGCAAGATTCCCACTCTGAAGATCTCCCTGATTCAAATCTTCCGTGCCCATTTGTGGCAAAAGATTCACGAGTCCGTGGTCATGGACTTGTGTCAGGTGTTTGACCAGGAGTTGGAGCAGCTCGGCATCGAGGCTGTTCAGAAGGAGACGATTCACCCCCGTAAGTCTTATAAGATGAACAGTTCTTGTGCAGACATTCTACTCTTCGCCACCAATAAGTGGAACGTTACCCGGCCCTCTCTGCTCTTTGACACCAAGGATGTCTACGAGCCTACCACAACCAACAAGTTCTGGCTCGATGTGCAATTGCGATATGGTGACTACGACTCTCATGACATCGAACGCTATGTTCGTGCCAAGTATCTTGATTACACCACGGATAGCATGAGTATCTACCCCTCGGCTACTGGTCTAATGATTGGTATCGATCTTTCATACAACCTGTACTCTTCTTATGGTCAGTACTTCCCTGGTTTGAAGACGTTAGTTCAACAGGCCATGGCCAAGATCATGAAGGCCAATCCTGCCTTGTACGTTCTGCGCGAGCGTATCCGCAAAGGTCTGCAGCTGTACGCCTCCGAGAGCAACCAGGAGTTCCTTAACTCCCAGAACTATTCGGAGCTTTTCAGCCCGCAGATTCAGCTGTTCATTGATGACACTAATGTCTACCGTGTCACCATTCACAAGACATTCGAGGGTAACTTGACCACCAAGCCCATTAACGGTGCTATCTTCATCTTCAACCCCCGAACTGGACAATTGTTCCTAAAGATCATTCATACCAGTGTCTGGGCTGGTCAAAAGCGTTTGGGTCAGCTGGCCAAGTGGAAGACGGCCGAAGAAGTTGCAGCCCTTATTCGCTCTCTGCCCGTTGAAGAGCAACCGAAGCAGCTCATTGTCACTCGTAAGGGTCTTCTTGACCCCCTGGAGGTTCACCTGCTCGACTTCCCCAACATCTCCATTCGTGCGTCTGAGCTCCAGTTGCCCTTCCAGGCTGCCATGAAGGTCGAGAAGCTCGCGGATATGATTCTCCGTGCCACCGAGCCTCAGATGGTTCTCTTCAACCTGTACGACGAGTGGTTGAAGTCTATTTCTCCATACACTGCTTTCTCTCGACTCATTCTCATCCTCCGTGCTCTTCATGTCAACATTGACAAGGCCAAGATTATTCTCCGGCCTGACAAGACCGTTATCACCCAGGAGCACCACATCTGGCCATCTCTCTCTGACGAGGATTGGATCAAGGTTGAAGTGCAGCTGCGTGATCTGATCCTGAACGACTATGGCAAGAAGAACAACGTGAATGTCCAGAGTTTGACCAGCAGTGAAGTGCGAGATATCATTCTGGGTATGGAGATCAGTGCACCCTCGCTCCAGCGCCAGCAGGCGGCCGAGATTGAGAAGCAGCAGGAGGAGCAGAAGCAGCTCACTGCTGTGACCACCAAGACTCAGAACGTGCGTGGAGAGGATATTATCGTCACGACCACGTCACAGTACGAGCAGCAGTCCTTCGCATCCAAGACCGAATGGCGTACTCGGGCGATCGCCACCTCGAACCTGCGGACGAGATCCAACAACATCTATGTCTCCTCGGATGACATTCGCGATGATGGATACACCTATGTCATGCCAAAGAATATTCTCAAGCGATTCATTACCATCGCCGATCTTCGTGTCCAGGTTTCGGGCTATCTCTACGGTAGCTCCCCACCGGACAACGACCAGGTCAAGGAGGTTCGCACCATCGTCATGGTCCCGCAGGTCGGCAATACACGGGATGTCCAATTACCGCATGAGCTGCCCCAGCACGACTACCTGAACAACCTGGAGCCGCTGGGCGTCATCCACACGGTGTCGGGCAACGAGCCGCCCTACATGTCGGCGGCTGATGTCACACAGCATGCCCGGCTCATGAACGCACACCCGTCGTGGGACAAGAAGACCGTGACTATGACTGTCTCTTTCACTCCTGGATCAGTGTCACTTGCCGCGTGGGGCCTGACCCCTGACGGGTATAAATGGGGTGCTGAGAACAAGGACATGACTTCGGACCAGCCTCAGGGCTTCTCCACCAGTATGGGTGTGAAATGCCAGCTGCTCCTCAGTGACCGTGTGCGCGGCTACTTCCTTGTTCCCGAGGACAATCTATGGAACTACAGTTTCATGGGCAGCTCCTTTGGCAGTGTGGAGAAGAGACCCATTTACGTCAAGATCGATACGCCACTTCGATTCTACGATGACCAGCACCGACCCCTGCACTTCCAGAACTTTGCTGAGCTGGAGGATATCTGGGTCGATCGGTCGGATAACTTTGAGTAAAGGAAAGGTGGGCTCTTCGGTGTTGATTTCTCCAGGCGTCTTGTATTTTATGTTTCTTTGACTCCCTTTCTCTTGTATCACGACAATCATAATTTCATGTATTGAAGCGAGGACCGAGTTCGGAAAAGCGGTGCTTTTATGGGATGTTCGCTCCCATTTTCTTTGTATTTAGTATGGCTCATGTGGGCAAATGCACTACAGTTTTTCAAGATACATCTGCAGCTGAGTTACGAATGCACAGATCGCGATAATCCTCACGATGACTCCGCGCGGTTCAGGGATCCCCAACTCCACACAGAAGGTTCCATGGCCTCCGAAGACCACACGGTGATCCGATTGCGCGCTTACCACAAGGGTGAAACGGGGAGGCATCGGCCTTGCGCCACAGAGGCCCGATCCCTCAAGTTCTCTATGTCTTGACAATCCTGACAAGGGCCGATGAGGGGCCACATCGTCATTCCCTGTTCATCTTCCCGTGTTCAAACTCATCTCAAGATCAGGCTGCTCCTTCCTATTGCAAAGTGTTCCAGGGCCTGGTCAAAGAATTGGGACGGAGTGGCGGGTCGTATGCAGCTAAGTCAACATCCTGGCAACTTCTTCACCCTGAATCTCCCTTTCCACCCCCACTTGCCTTTGGGGGAAACCAAACCTTCTACTCATGTGTCGAATGTCGCATTAGTTCCCCGGTCAGAATGCATTCTCTCGGATCCCGGCACACTCGCAGAGGGTCTCGCAAGAGGTAAAGGATTTTGTCCTTCCTCGACCCTCGAATATTTGGGGACAAAATGCTGCCCCTAAGGACAATTTGACTCAATACACAGCGGGGTGTGCCAATCTCAAATGGGATTCATCGTTCCTCCGGCCACTGGATTGCTTCTGGTGCCTTTGTGATTGATTCTCGCATATCTTGGCACCCTAGCCCCTTCGACCCCGAGCTAATAGCCGGCCAATTTGCTTCTTTGGTTTACCAGAGCTTGCATGGATGATCTGCCCAGCCTATAAGCTACCCTGTCACTTCGTCACTTCATCCGCATACCCCCGATGTCAATCTGACGGGCGTTGCTCGGCTCTTGCCGGGCAGCGTACCTTCCGGTGCTCAGGTCTGCGCCCTGATGCTCCTCAGAATCTGCCCCGATGGTTTCGAGTTGGGAATCGCAGTGGGAACCCCTCCTTATTTCTTAAAGGTTTCTGACGATGTTGGCAGGGCCAATGCAGTCATTGGAGGGATGAAGGCAAAAGCGCACGCTTCAAGGGTCCGACTGAATGGTCCATGACCGTCTATGACAGGCAATCAATCCCTATTGGCAGCAATTCGTCGTCTACCTTTCCACTTGAATCCCGCGAAACCATCCCTGGCAACGCACGCTCCAGCTGATGAGTTTCGGCACAGACACCCTTTCACCCAGGCTGATCAAAGCTCCGGAACAAGACGGTCCTCGGTGAAGGACTTATAGAGAGTCACCTCCGCGGCTGCGTTTCTTCGCTTCTGTGACCAGATATCCTGCAATTTACGAGCTTTCATCCTGAATTATGCTATAATTTTCCACTGGGTTCCCAGTCATGATGCCTCTTTGACCTCGGGAATACCTAGCCTTATGTGCCCCTCCACTTGACCTTGATCAACTTGTTAAACGCCTTCTTCTTTCTCTGGAACAATTACCATATATTGCCATTCTTATGTGAGAGCACAGCCCTGATCTGTCCTTCGACCCACTCTTGGGAGCGATAACTTGCTCTGCGGTTCGGGTCGTTCTCTTCTAGCAGAACAGCCAGCCGGGACTCTCCTGGCAGCGTCAATGCATGTCCGTGATACTTTCGGACCCGTATCGAGACTTCGTGATCCACTGCCCTTCTCCAAACAAGCCTGACGACTATGATCTGATCGTGTTCGGTTCGTCCCCGTCACAGCTGTGCACCAAGCTGATGAGCGGACTTCCCTTTCCCTCCGAGAATACTCTCCCTTCCTTTGGCACGCACCTGACGGTGCTGCCTCATCCTGTCTGTCAGCCGAACAGCCACGATGAGCCTCAGTCAGCCTATGTGAGCGTAAATCAGATGCTCCCGCATCATCTGCCTCACTATGACTACGTGATATCGACTCCACAGGAGAGCAGGAAACGGGTCCGGTCCAGAAATGAAAACGACCTTGACCGTGACATCGATCGCAATATGAGAATGCACCAATCTCTCCCACCGTTGTCTATAGATGTCCCTTCAGTTTCAGCCACAGAGCCTCGACAGGTCTTGTACCCAATGCATGGCGACTACTCGACTTCTCACCCGTCCTCTGGTCACGACTTATCTCCGCCTATTTCTCTGTCCGTTCCGCAGCACCATCACCACCACCGTCTCCCTCCCCAGGCGCTGCTGGACTCCAGCCATGGCCTGGGTTCTCACTCGCCCCCGATGCCGGGAGTACCACCCAGCGTCGTGGGTCAACCTGGAATGCCCGAGCCAGCGCCAAGGCCCCGAGGGCCCAAGCTCAAGTTCACCCCGGAAGAAGATGCGTTGCTTATTGATTTGAAAGAGGACAAAAATTTGACTTGGAAACAGATCGCGGACTTCTTTCCGGGCAGAACAAGTGGCACTTTGCAAGTCCGGTACTGTACCAAGCTGAAGGCGAAGGATGTGGTCTGGACGGATGAAATGGTAAGCGCATTCCCTTTCTTGGAAGATTTTGACGTTGATCATAGTCTGCATGTAGGTACAAAGACTGCATCACGCAATGGATGAATATGAGACTGATCGCTGGCGTATCATCTCGGGAAAGGTTGGCAGTGGGTTCACGCCAGCAGCGTGTAAAGAGCGGGCCAGCCAGTCTAATCCGGGCCTTCATTACGGTTGATTTCTGTTTTTTTGTTTTTTTTTTTGGTATTAAATCTTCTGTATTCGTGACTGAGTGTGTGAGTAAATACCCTCGTTACGTACACTTCTTAGAATCTCTATACTCCAAATTTCCATCGTTCGACCCAGAGATTATTTTCAAGGTAGATTCTTCTCTGGGTCCTTCACATACCTCAATCTCTCCGCAATTATAATACTGACTGTATTATTTTTTTCGATTTCTTTTCGATCCTGTCGAATAGGTTTTTTCGATATATATTTGGCATAAAACTTCAGGCCCCCCCTTTCGCAAAGGTATGCGAAGTATCTATACTTCCATGCTGTCAGGCCCTAAGCCCTACCTTCCTAATGCAGCATGTTGTTTTTCTTAGTCAGCAGCTCTTTCTACCAATCAAAAGCTCCGAGCTCGCCTTGGACGCTGATTCTCCACAGACACCTCTACGAGCCAATTAGGGACCAGTCCGGGCCGGCTCGACTTCAAACCTCACCCAACTCATTCAGACTCTCCCCATCACCAAACTCCCCTCCACCCCATTCACCAGCTACACCTGGACAATGTTCCTCCAGCGTACCGCCGCTACCCTCGCGAGGCGCTCGCCCGCCCGCGCTTTCACCCTGGCTCAGCGCCCCTTCTCCTCGTCCATCGTGCGCAGTATGTGATCCCCAGTGGCCTGATCCGACCTCCTCCGACCTTACGCCAACACACGTCCCACCCGACTTAATTGGCATTCGGCACTGTTCACACAGCAAACAGCGATCTTGTTGTTTTCTCAGGCCAGCAGCTAACGCGAATTGTCACTCAATAGGCAACGAGAAGAAGTGGGCTCCCAAGGACGAGGGCAAGGTCATTTCCTTCGACGGTTAGTACACCCTCTTCGCCACTAGACGACCAATTGCTCCGTCTGTGTACTCGGCAAAAGGGGGAGATCCATTGAACTCATTGTTCCCGACTTCATACGCATTTTCACCGCATAAGATGTCAGAAACATGGATTGTGGGCCCACCCCGAGTCAAGTCACAACACGCCCGAGTTGTTCCCCAGGAGACACCGGAAGATCAAGTCGCTGACTTCATTCTTCCACTACCACAGAGATCAAGTCCGAGGATGACCTGATCCCTCCCGGTGCCAAGCCCGGTACCATCCCTACCGACTACATCCAGGCCACCGGTCTCGAGCGTCTCGAGCTTATCGGAAAGATGCAGGGCATCGACATCTTCGACATGCGTCCCCTTGATGCCTCCCGCAAGGGTATGTCAGCTTCATTTGGATTGCGCGCACTCTCCCGTGTGCCGTCATTATGGCGACATCCGAGAGCCGAGTGCTAACGGACTTTCGTGCAGGAACCCTCGACAACCCCATCATGGTCAACGGTGCCGGTGATGAGCAGTACGCCGGCTGTACTGGCTACCCCGTAGACTCTCACCAGGTTAACTGGCTCACCGTACGTCGAATGGATGCTCAATTCGAGAGTCTCAGTATGCTAATCCGATGACCCAGGTCTCCCGCGAGCGCCCCATCGAGCGCTGCAACGAGTGTGGCAACGTCGTCAAGCTGAACTACATCGGACCCGAGGAGGACCCCCACGCCCGTATGATTGAATCTTGATTGTCCTTGTGTTAACAACATTGAGCTAACATCCAACAGACGACCACGGCCACGGTCACCACCCCCCTCACGAGGAGCCCAAGACCTTCGCCGACTACGTCAAGCCCGATTACTGGTACCGGTAAATTAGGAGCGTTAAAGATTCCCGATACAGTGTAAACGGCCTTTGTCTTTGTCTGTATTCGTTCTTGTCTCTGTCTCTTTTGTAGAATAGTTCTCTAGTGGTTGAAAATGAGAGAGTGCCGGGGGTGTACTTTTGATCATAATTCTATTCCGAGTTTAAAACATTGATCACGGTCTAACACCACGACTGTAGCACGGGGTCTCCAGGGCTGTACAGTAATTCCAACGGAGCCTTCCTTGTGGGAAGTACTCCGGCATGTGAATCCATGTTCACGGGTCTCATTTACAACAGCACAGATTACATTGACTCTTCTTTACGATAGAGAAACGTGAGTCATGCAATTAATTTTTCATATACACATTAACCGCGTGCTTGCAATGCATGCAATGCAAATAACTAATGATTCATCACAAACGATCACCATGGCAATATCGGTCATTATAGCGTTATGGCGAGTATAAGCCAGACTGTAAACAAGCCTGCCCATTGAGCTCCTCGAAGATAAATAACTTTTGATGTCAGAGCATAATGTAACTCGAACTATAGAATTGTCCTAACGGCCAAAGTAGCGCAGTTCCACGTATCTCAGTGGAGGGTAAAGCACCGCAGCCCAGGAAAACCCAACGTAGTTACCCATCTGTCATTCAATCGTTAGCCTCGATCTACAAAACTGACACAAAAAAAGGGGGAAATCACTCACATCGGCACCGTAAGCACCAACCAGCTTCGCAAGCGGGCCAATATACCACACCTGAGCCATACACAACACAGCTCCAACCCACCCAACAGCAAATGCAATGAAAGCAGCAATACCAACAGGGAGCTTTTTTGGATCGCGCCAAGCAGCCCAGTTATATCCACTGCGCCAGCGGAAAATCGCAAACTCCTCGACGACAATGGCAAACCAGATAGCAACCCAGTAGCCCATCAACGCGAGGAAATTCGTGAAGATATCCGAGAGGTAGCTGCGTCCTGCAAGCGCGCAAACAGTGAAGATGATAACTCCAACCGTGTTCCAGATGACACGGGGGACTTTCTCGGCATATCTTCCCAGGATCTGGAAATCGACACCGGCGGAATATGTCGGCGCCACTGTATTGGCGACTAGGCCTAGGGCGATGATGACGGAGCAGAATTTGCCGAAGCCGTGGAGAGGTCCGAAACCTTCAACAATGAGGGCACCTTGGCCTTTTGCGTAAGCGGTGGCGTATTCCGGGTGAGCGGTTATACCGGATGCGAGACCGATGCCGCAGACTATGGCAAAGGTGAAGGAGGTGAGGAGGCCGGCGAAAGTGAGGCTGAAAATTGTGAGGCGGGAGGTGTGTTCAGGGTAGTAGACGAAAAAGTCTGCGGCAAGGGGGGGCATAGGTGATTGCTGCGCTGAGGCAGAGGGAGAAGAACGATAACCTAGGATTTGTTAGCAGTGCGTTCTGAAGTGCTGTGGTAAGATCGACGTACCTATTACCGGCTATAGTACGGGCGTCGCCTGAGGTGACTGTGTAAATGTCGAATTTCGTCGATGAGACACCAAATAGGATGCAGACGACGATCAGCTGAGGCACGAATGCGAACCTGTTTATTTTTGTTAGAAAAGAGACTGGCTTCATTACAGGATGTGTGCTGACCGTTCGTAGTAGTGGAAGGCTTGAATGCCGAATGTAGCCACTACCCAAGTGATGACTGCAATGATGACAATGCCTACGGCGACAGACATGCCTCCTGGCGAAACTGCAGAGAGAATTTGTCCACCGACGACACAGTCAATCAAGCAGTATCCAATCATCTGAATAAGATTTAGTAGCACGATGATCTTGCTGGGCCACCAGCCCATCGAATAGCGGCCGAATGCCTAAGGACAGGTTAGTCACATATCCCCATTCCATATCAGAATAGCACTCACCATAGTTCGGATGCCTGAAACGGGTCCCCAAGTAGCCACCCATGCAGCAACTAGAGAACCAGCAAAGCAACCAAAGACAGCGCAAAGCGACGAGTCCAAGAAGCTAAGTCCATACACCGCAGGGCCCAGCATTCCCAACGTAATATTGTTGGCCGCAAGGTTTATTGACACCCACAGCAGAAAGGCCTGCAGATATGAAACCCAGGACAGACGCTTCATACGCTCATCTGGAGCGACTCGCTCGATGCCTCGCGCCTCCAGGTTATATTCGACAAGCTGTTGTTCGAAGGCCCTGAGCAGTGAACCCATGCGCGAGCCAACGGGGTTCTTCCGATCCGTATTCTCAGGAGGATAAACCGCGTCATTCTTTTTCTCGTATACGGTTTGCAGATCAGGCTGGGGAGTCTCGTCTTTTTCGGAGCGCACCACTATGGTGGCGAGTTCGTTTTCGGGAGCCATACTGCGCGGATTGTCAGTATTTGCGATTTTGCAACAACCTGAGAGAGGGAAGAAGTGCGCATAAGTCCTTTCGCTGGAATTATCCAGATCAAGTTCAACCGTATGATCTCAGAACGGCGGGTAGCCGAACACCGGTCTTCATGCAGTTCAACGAAGTGTACCTTGATCAGACAATACCACGCTACTCGTTTTCATGTCTTCATGGTAGCTCAGGGAGATGTGGGCGTGTACTCGAGACGTTCTTGAACCTCTGTGAGAGGTCTGGGTGCCTGGATTAGTCACTGTGAAGCAACGGGTGAGCAACGGCGTCTGTCTCGGTGGCGGAAGATGAGAGATGGCAAGTACCTGGATAGAACAGGCAAGCTTGGCCTCACGCGACTCACGCGACGGTAAACCTGCAATATTGAGAAGGCGTCGGCTTTGCAATTGCACTTGCAACGTGGGATAAAAAAAAGTGTGGAGTGAGAAATGGGAAAGTCGCTTCCGCGGGGAAAAATGGGATCCGCGTTATCGGCGGTTTTCCGGTCTCCGTCGGCGAGATCTTCGCCGTATTTATACGTCTGGACTGTGAGATTGTACTGAAATGGGAATCATGTAGTATTGAAAATAAGAAAAGGCCCAGATCGCTGAAGACCACTGGCTCCATGTAGAGGCCCAACGCCCATGCGCAGAAAATAACCGGGTCGCGTATAACATCAAGAGGTAGTCGGTCGAAAAGAAAGAGAGAGAAAAAAAATCTTAGGAAACAAATAGAAACCAGATCACCAACTCCATCGGCCTAGTAAAATCAAAGGCCCCCGATGGCCAATGATGAGACGAGCATCGCTATGGAATTGCAGAATCCGGGGTACTACCAAATTCGTCAAGATGCGTGGGGATTCATCACTTCATCATGGTCATCAGATCTTCATAGATTCTTGAAGTGCTCTTTGGCGTATTGTTCACAGGCCTGCCCGTGTTAGAAAGACATTTCACAATTGGCATGAAAGATATCAACGCACCTTAGCTGGCTTGCCAACTTTCTGGCCGATGACCTTCCACTTGTTCGCCTCATATTCCTTGATCGCATCACGTAGCTTCATGGACTGTGCGTGGTTTAGTATCATGGTCAGAACGGGTTTACGCACGGATCATACCTCTTCTTCGCCAAACTCGGCGTAATGCATGTCCTGATGGAGGCGTAAGTGATTTTTCAATGTCGTCAGGGGTCTTATCGGGGTGTACCTTGTACCAGTGCTTCTTCACACTGCCTTCGGTGCGCGTAGGGAAAGTCTGCGCGTCAAAAGACACGGATCAGCCACAATGTCGCGCGGCCGGTCAACGGGTCGCGGCTCACCTTTGCGATTTCACTCCAGCTGCGACCGGCGTCGCGCATGGTCTTAAGTCGCTGCTCCTCCTCTGCTGTCCACGGGGTATTGGTGCGACCCTTCTTCTTGGGTGTGGCTTCGACTGCAGGCGGCATCATACTGGGATCACCTTCCATCGCGCCCGGAGTGGGCATCGGAGCGGCCATCATCGTGGAGGATCCTCCCGTAGGTGACGAGGGACGTTTACGTGATGTTGAGGAAGCCTGTTGAGGCTGTTGCTGTTGTTGTTGAGGGATGGGAGCGGCCGGCATGGGGATGCCGTCAAACGTCGGCACCCGTTGGAAAGGATTGATTTGTTGTTGGGCTAGCAGATGCGACGGGGCACCTGTAGATGCCGAGGTCTTGATCCGCTTGGATGTGGGAGGGGAACTGAAGCACAAGGTAAGACTGTCAGCATGACGGACCGGACAAAAGCTCAAAAAGAACGAAGCGCGACGCAAGTCCCAATGCCAAAGTCTCCCTCCCCCTGGAAGATCACAGACGAGGGACTTACGACATGGTGAAAGAGGCACACAATCACACGTCGGTTCATCGGTACATACACACACAGGTCGCGTAGGGGGATTAGCAGATCTGCTATCGGCGCGCCTTGGTCAACTTCCAAGGAAGTGGGCTTCGTTACACCAGCAAACAACGACCCAGGCGCATCCTAGGCAGAGAGATTGAAGCACAAGGAATAGGATCGGCAGAGACCAGAGCCAGATAGACCAAATAGAGCGCGCGCAGGGTAAAGGCGACCGGAGTGTTTAGCTCCTGGGAGAGGGAGAGGGAGGGGGGAAGAGGTCTGGGAGAGGGAGTTTGGCTCACAGGTCAAAATCGCATGGTCGAAGAGTCGAATCGGGGACCTCGAATTCTTCCGAGTATGGAGAGAACATGAGGCTGGAGGAAGAGAGATGGAGGGGGTTGAGACGGATGGGACTGGGACGAAGGTTACAAGAGGAGAAGAGGAAGAAGGAAAGTGAGCGGGGATGGAGTCACCTCATATCACAACGTCGGCAGGTAATAATAGCACACCAAGGACCTTAATCTACACTCCTTTTCAGCCTTGGAGTTGATTTGTTTTTTTATTATTTGAAAACTAGGAGCATGTTCTGCTGGTCTTTTATTGTTCGGAATCAAATAATATCATAACATATCGCGGAAGATTGATGGAGATGTGGAGAGTCTCCTCTTCAGGCGCAAAGGTTCTAGACCCCCTCAACCTTTCCAGCTCGCTCCTTTACTTACCCTGATGAATTCTCCAACGATCTACCACTCAACCTCGTCCCTCGGATCTCCCGAGCCCTTCTAATACATGTCTCCGGTGCATTCCCCTTCGTCCTTGGAACCCAGGTCTAGGAACCGATGAGCAGGGGCCCTGTCACGAATGGCTCGTGCTGCGCTCCAATTCGGGCGATGAGGTATGCACAAGCACGATGAGCACGTCCGGCAGCTTCCATGAGACATTTGGGCCGAAGACGCCCGCGAGTGGCCTATTCTAGAATCCGGTGACCCGCGAACTCTCACAACTCGTGCGAGGATGACAGCAATACGCCTGCAACGGCGAATGAAGTCTTGGAGAACCTGATCTTTGCCAACATCGTATCCAATAAATCGAGCCGCATTCATTTTGCCTTGGCCTCTAGAAACCCTTCTTTCGCTTCTCTCTCTCTCTCTCTCTCTCTCTCTCTCTCTCTCTCTTTCTCTGTCCAACCCGGAGACTTGGCGGACTAAAATCAAGCCACAGATTGAGCATGCAGCCACTGCTTCCAAATCCTCCAACCCCTCTTCTTTTCCCATCTGGCCACCGTCCGAACCCCTAGACGCGTCTGTATAGAGTAATGCGACTTTAACTCAGCCCGGGCTCAAAGGCTTAGTCTGATGAGCGAGCCAGTAGCTCTTGTATACTCGAGAGATAAGGCTGTCTCCGCTTTGGCCTCGCGTATCATGACCGAGTGAGATCTTTCATCGGGAAGAGGGCATAGAGCAGTGATCGCACTGGATGTCTAGCTGTCAATTAATGGTAAATAGTTGGAACGATCATCCGTAATCAATCCAAGGATTCCAGTATCTTGCATCCTGGCAAGGCAATGTGGCTGGCAAAGCAGGATGATAGAAGGGGTATCCATGAGCATCGAAGACGCCACCGAGTTGGATCGTACATATCTCTCCCCATAGACGATGCTGCCCTAGAAAGAGAGGGGCCATTTCGTCAATCTTTTTAGACACGGCCGGGGTCATGTTCGAGTGTAGATCGACCCTGAGCTCAACAAGGATGTGCGCGCATCCCTTGGAAGTCATCCTATGGACCAGTGCTGCTGGTCATATTCTAATTGAACCTCGAGCACATGTCTGCGCGTTCACATGTGGGGGTATTCGATGTCGTACCTTTGTCTCCACACGTGCTGCAAGTGCTGCAAGTATCTGATCGTTGTGGGTGCCGGTTCAAAATCTGGACAATGGGTGGCATGCCTGAACTCTGATCGCCAGATGACATGAAGGCTTTGTGTCGTACAATACGATGATCTACATATGCCAGTCACCCATCATCTAAGACATGATGAACCTTAGATCTGATCCAAGCCACAACCTTGGAACAACGGCGAAGTCGTTGTTTCTTGGGCCTGTTATCTATCCGTGACATAGTTCTCATATTGAAATTTTGGAATGGCTTTCCGTACATAGGCTCGGCATTCATGTGAGGTTAAACCCCCTAAATGTGGTTTTCTTTTCCATGTAGAGCCCCCCGCTTTTCCCCCCCCCAGATATATATCTAGATGCCTTGCGAGCAGGCAACTCCTGCAGTTCTCCCTTGAAACAGGACACAAATCTTGAAAACTTCAGAAGCTCAAAGACCTGCAACTAAGACCTGGTTTTGGCAGTCTATGCACAGAGCTCAAGACAAATCAACGCATCCAAAGCCGAAGCCATCCTGAAGGGCTACCACGGCTGACGTCAGCTCTCACGTGAGGACACGCGGCCCAAGCTTGTACTGATAACGAAGCTCCCTTTGGCTTGAGTCACTGTTTAAACATCAAGGGTTAGATCCAAAACCTCAATCACGTTTGCGATCTCAATGCTGCTGGTCCTGCACTGAGAACTGATCGATCTCTCGGATCGGTCCTGCCATCTACCCATCTACCTTCCCCGCAAACCCACCCATCCCTACCATGAAGTTTAACGTCTTTCGCGTTCTGGGCGATGTGTCCCACCTCGCTTCGATATGTGTCCTAATTTGGGCGATGCACAGGAACAAGAGCGCTGAGGGTAAGTCCTATCCCTGGTCTCCACATTCAGAGATCGCTAGTGGCTAACGTGGTGCTTTTCTCCAGGTGTTTCACTCCTTACACAGCTGCTCTATGGGGTCGTTTTTGTCTTTCGCTATTTGGATCTGCTCGACGGGAGTTCTTGGAACATTAAACTTGGAGGCTTTGGCACATTGTGGAATCTCAGCTTCAAGTTCTTCTACCTGAGCTCCTCCTTCTACATTGTGTTTATCATGATGAAAGTCTACCCGCGCACTCGGGAGCGGGAGAGAGCTTGGAAGCTTGGAATATATTCAGTGGTTGGATCCCTGGTGATGACACCTATCATGATGACTATCACAAAGGACTGGCCCTCTCAGTGGTTCCTGGAGGTACGAACGATCCTTTGCGAATTCAAAGCTTTGCTAACTGACCTCTAGTTCTGCTGGGCCTTCTCGGTCATCCTTGAGTCTGTGTGTGTACTGCCTCAGCTTCTGCTTCTCCGCCAAACCACCGTTCCCACCGTGATTGACTCCTACTATCTCCTCACATTGGGCTCCTACCGAGCATTCTACATATTGAACTGGTTGGTGCGTGGCTTCGGCAGCGAACACTTTTGGGATCCGATCGCCTTCATCTTCGGCATCGTGCAGACCGCCTTCTACCTGGACTTTGCCTGGGTATACTACTCTCGCCAACGAGTGAAGCTGCGCAACGGTGGCGTCGTGGACTCAGAAGATTTCAGCAAGAGCTGGCTCGTGAACCGCGTAGTTAACTTCCGTGCTCGACGCACCTCAGCTGATGAGGAACAGAACCTGCGCGATGACGAGGAAGGTGTGGACGGCCGCCCCAGCAACAACCGGTGGGGTGCCAGAGGCATTTCCATCGCGGCCGATGATACCCTGGAGGAGCACCAGGAGCGGCACCACGATGATGACGACCTCGACGGGGACCGAGAAGCTAGGTGAGCGTCATTTGGCGCGCGCGATGACCGCAGTGTTGGGTGAGTGACGCACCTCCGCAAGCTCGGCGAAGCAAACCCGGAAGCTTGGGCAAGTGCGTCATGTTCTCATTTTGGAGAGAACGAGTGTATGGACCGATATCGTGGATCCTGGATGATTCGCAGATTATCAACTTCAAGTTCCAGATTTGTAATCCAAAAGCATGTATGTTATTAGCCCACATTGGAGCCGTTGAAAGCAATTAACTCGACTGTCGCGTAGTGCTGTACACAGCATGACTCGTCCTAGCATGGTGTCACCGTCACCTGACAAGATGTCTCTGCACGTTGAGTAGATCTCCGACTATTGCCCTCGTAGCTACGTGAATCTCAGCCCTCAGGTCCGACAAATGCCCCGCCCTTTGCATTAGAAAGCCCCGCAAGCGCTGGAACCTGTTGCGCTCCACTCTTCAATCGATCAACCGTGAACCATGGTTAGCCGCCGTACCGACAGCATTGGGTTCGGAACTTCCGAAGGATCTGGGCGATAAGCACATGGTGGCTTGCTTACAGCAAAAAGCAGGAAAGAAAGAAGGTGTGATGCGAGTGCCCACAGTCAGTTCATATGTAGGACCGAGCGTGAGCCGTTCGAGGATGCACTGGAAAAGGATGCGACAGTCTAGAAGACACCGAAGATTACCCCAATAGCATGGGGATCTGGGAAAGCGGCGTGGCTCAGCATGGGCCTTACCTGAACAGGATAGCCTGGACGCCTTGCGGCTAAATGGCTGCGCAATTCTCTATTCGTCGTCCAGCATGTAGGGAAGTGGGCCACAACCCTGTCGGCGCTTAACCATCGGTCGTGAATTCTCCAGAGTAAAAGCCATGGCGGCGCGCGGATAGCCTCTTTTCAGCCTCACCCCATTCGATGATTTCAGCTGTTCTCCTGTCCAGTCAAGAGCCGCCGTTGATCGAGCACCTGCAGGTGGGAGAGGAGGTGTGATGCGATCCATCGTAAACAAGATCCGATGAATGGATTGTGATTCCCCCTCGTTTTTCCATTTCCTCCTAGAGGGACGTGCAACACCGTCCAAAGGTTGGGGGCTGATGGAATGACTAATTCTAAATTGAAATGAAACGTTAGTGAAGAAATGATGCTCATACTCTTAGCTTGGAGATCCTGATGCATAGCTTCACACAAATGTTATCGCAAGGCTGAGTGAAAGACTGCCCTGAAGGTCCAGCAGGAGACAGGATGGGGGCTAAATGTAAGCTCAATGGGAACCCCCCTTGTCAATTTTTATCGACTAAGCAAGGCCCGGTGCACAGTCTAGCGCGCATGAATCATTGATCATCGCGTGGATCCCACTTGGCGCCTTTCAGATGATGGTGTTCTGGCCCTACTTCGTCTTCGCCCCAGACTTCTAGAACCGTTAGCACAGCTCTCCAAGGCATTCCTTGCACCCGGTGAAATTGTGGATCTGCAAAATCTATCGGGATGCATAGTCTGTGCCCTCTTCCGGGGGCGTGGAAGAAATTGGGGGCGGATATGAAGGAAAGTAAACTATGGAATGCGCAGGCGCTTAAATACAGGTCCTCGGCGAGCCTACACTCCCCTCCCGAGCGGCCCAGTGCAGCACGGCGGTACTGTCTGCGAGTTTTTGGGCCCTCTGAGCCTATGGTTCCCAGCTTTACTTCAAGCCGGAACTGCTTGTTCGTCCTGCCTCGCGAGGCATTCCGGTGCGGGCTGTGATATCTCTCAATCTCAGTCTAGGAGCGGCGTGCAATCTATATCTTATTGCTTGCTCCCCCACCTGGCTCTATTGCATCTTTTGTCTTCAAGAATCAGCTTGCGAATTGCTTCGAGCTTCTTTATATTCATCAACTCACGCATAATCCCTTGACGCCTTGTTTCATATTCCGGTACACTAGGCGCCCTGTCAAACCACTGCTTCCCTTCAACCGCCGCCCATTACACCCATCACTGCACGGAGCTGTCGGTCGTGTTTCATATTTACCCCTTCGGCGCCTCTTCCAATCAAGTGTGCTATAGGCCGCGATTTGGCACAGAGTTCCATGGTACTACCCATACACCGCGTCAATATCATGTCTCTCCATCCAGACATCACCTCCGAGGAGGATTACTATGAGACACTCGGTCAATGGACGGGGGTTCAAACAGTGAGTCACCAATTGAAATCCAAGAATCGCAGCCTCTGGCCAGAGAAAAGAATAAAAAATAAGAAAAAATGTATACTAATTACACATTAGCCTAGCTTCCCAACAAATTACATGGGGTCCAACCCATCATATTGTACAGGGCCCATGGTACCACCGACCATGTTAACCCCAATTAGTCTCCCGGATAGTTCATTCCGCCCAAGTCCAGCATTGAGCCACCACTCGCAGGAATATGCCCAAGACTACCGCTACGCCATGGAGCCGGCTCAAGGCCTGGGAATCTCCGCCCCGTTCCCCAGCGAGTATCCGCGCACAAGCGCCCCCGATGCAGGTTACATGTATGCACAAGAAGAGATGTCCTATGGCACAGGCCACACGCCCGGTATGTCCCCTGGGGGCCCACCTCACAAGCGCACGAAGCGCGCATCCTCCAAATCATCCCGCGACACACCAATCACCATCCTGCCACACCCCGAAGGAATCCAGCGGATGGAGCGTGCCCCACCTCAGACGTCGGCTGTGCTTCCTAGAGTTCGTGGATCGGGCCGAAGTAGACGGGATCCGCAGGCGGAGCAGGAAGATGATTTTGTGGAGAACTTGCGCCAGCAGAACGTTGCTTGGAAGGTTGTACGGGATGAGTTCCAGAAGACGTTCAATAAGCAGACTTCGGAGGCACGACTGCAGATGCGCCAACTCCGGAGACGAAAGGAGCGGCTGACGCGCTGGGAAGAACATGATGTGAGTACGTGAACCGGGACATAGCTCCTAAGCTGTGTGTGGACTGGCGGGCTGGGATTACATTTTGCTAATGATGATATCGCTACAGGTGCAGCTTCTTATCAGCGCTCATGAGATTTGGGAGAATGAGAAATTCTATTTCATTTCAGACAAGGTAAGTGTTTTGCAGTCCGGGTCAAGTTGGGCCTTGATTAAAAAGTTAACACACTGCCAGATGAGACAACTCGGCTCGACAAGAGATTACACTGCAGAACAATGCAAAGCACAACTGGAGCTGCTCGAAGCTAAACGACTAAATCGTCGAGAATTGGGAAGCACTTCCCCATCAGCCATGTCCGACCCGCCACACACACCTTCATTACCATCGATATCTCGCAAGCGGGCTCGGCCCCAGTCTTGGGACGAGCACAATGCATAATTGTGCCCCCCCGGACTGCTTTCTTTCTTTCTTCCTTTTTACTTTCAAGTCTCCTGCATGGAGGCTTCTTTTCAAATAAACATTCCTTGTTCATTCTGCATGAATGTCATAGCAGCTTAGGCGTACAGTCATTGGGGTATCATACCTGCATCGTTCTTGCATTACTAGCTTTTACTCTGGACATTCACATTACACTTACATTTGAACAAGTTTCATTCAATAATATTGGTATCTTAAATACCACTTATCATAAGCGTCTATGTAACTTATTCCACATACCGTTCAAAATCCGACTGTTGTGACAAGTAACGGATTCTATTCATGCATCGTTTATTCATTATTGACACAGTGGAAGTACTAGCTGAAGAGGCTAGCACTTGTTGGTGGGCAGACTCAAAAGTCGCCTAGTCTTCTTCGGAATCCAAATCTTCCTCAGCAACAGGGAAGGTTAGCAGCGCTGCAATACCTCCAAGGCCCTCTAGACGTTTCCCACTCTCATGATCAGAACTCAAGATGCGCACTTCTCCGCCCTCCACATCTCGCACTCGGTCCACGAGTGATACCCATCGTTTCCGCTCAGCAACGTCTTGCGACCGGAAAAGACGATTCGACAGGATGAGCACACCTCCACCTCGCCCGACAGCGCCCTGGTCAACAGCTGACTCGACCTCACGCGGACCGTAGGTAGCTTTGTTCGTCTCCTTGCGTAACTGCTCTAAGAAATCGTCCATCAATTTCGTTTCACGGGCATACTTGGTATCGGCAAGGAGGGCCTTAACGGCCGGAGACTGGAGAACCTCGAGAGAGAGTTCAGATATCCAGAAGCAGAATGCACAACCACGATGCTGGGTAGCAATCGCTTCAATCCAGGCATTGTCGTTGATGCTTCTGACTGAATGTACTTGTGAAATCCAGTAGCGACGAACCCAGGAGAAGCAAGAAGCACCGGCCGTACAGATTCATTGTTCGATCCAGAAGTGATGCTGGTGTTAAACTCCATCTGTCGAAGAAGAGTCTCCAGTGTCACACGGAAAAACTTGTTCATTCCCTTCATGTTGTATTAGCAAGTGATAAGCGGAGCCATTGACAATATCAACCCACTTTATCATGATCCCCTCCGCCCTGCCTTTTTCGCGGTACAGACATTTCGATCTTCTGCTTCATGATCGTCTGGAATTGTCCGATGAAGCAAATGTGAGCCAAACCCTCCTGCATGACGACGGCAACAGCCTCAGCTCGACGCTTTCCACCCTCATCTACGGCATCCTTGAGCTGCTCCACGGCAATACTGTCCCAACCGACACCCTCGCCGTCCGCACCAATTTCCTTTTCTAATGTGAAGTTGCGGTTCAACTCCAAGTCGAGGGTATGGAACTGGCCAATTTTGGTATGTGCTGTCTCGTTGATGATCTGGCCAGACACATGGAGCTGGGAGCTATGGGGGTCGAAGTCGAGGCTCTTCACGCGGATCTCGAGGGTGAGGTGGACTCGATTGGAAGAGGTTGAGCCGGTATCTTGGGTTGTGGTAACACGGCGAATGGCACTCGCGCGAAGTAGATCACCGGGCCGGATTAGGTTGTATGCGTGCCACTAGATATTTTTCTTTGTGTGAGATTGGCCGGCCTTTTAGAGATGAAGTGATACGGAATCTCACCATGTCCTCGGGCTCCTCGGGACATAGTGTGACCATGCCCGAGCCGCCATGCTCAATTTTGTTCTTGATTAGTCGCATTGTAGTGGCTTCACTCGGGGTACCTGAAGTCGCAGCTGCGGAGAAAGACAAGGTCTTCGAGGACTATGATAGGCGTTGTGTTGGTGGCTTTTCTCCCACAGGCACACCTCTTGCAGTTATTAAAACGGGTTTCAAAAGCCCTTTTAGCGAGCCAAGGAGTCTCTAAGGGTATCAATCAAGAGCAAAGGCGCGATATGAACGAATTGAGGCTTGCCCTGGCAGCGTCTATGATTGCCCCGCACAATTTCTGCCGCCAACGGCCGCTCCTCGCTGCCAACAGTGACATCAGTAGCTCTATTGTGCTATACCCTTCGCAGAGCTATGGCATTTCCCACAATTTTTGAAATGTCTACATTCCATGAAATGAACTTGAAGATGTGACAAGATACTTGCAGTTCGACTTCAAAAGCAACTTACCCCAACGTTACTTCGCTACGTCTGAACATAGTGAATTACGCCATACAGCGAATTACACATCCCCTGGGTCGAACTTCCCTATAAATTGCCGCAGTGCGCGCCTCGCAATAGCGCTAGGCTCTACGAAACCGATGAAGGAAACATTCTGCACAAGACCACTCAATGATCGTCCAATGCTGAAGCAATATCTTCCTGTCCATGTTCCGCACCACCATTTTGCCGAGGCAGACTAGCAATGGAGACTAGTGGCCTTGTACACTGAACGCATGCTTAAGAGCGCTACCTGAGGTGACCACTGCCCTATTAGAGATGTCCGAGAGCGAGGACTATACAGATTAGCCGGGTTCAGCAGGCGAAACGCCGCGACAGCTTTAGTATAGATCACTGGACATATAGCAAAAAGCAAAGACGAACTAATCGCACGGAGACAGGCATCGCGTATCCTTTTCTCTTTGACTGCATATTGAATCCTGTATGCTAGGAACAATGAGATCGCACTGTCCAAGCCGAGCTCTGTAAAGCGCACGGGAAGAGCCTCATCCCAATCACGTCATCCCTCTCACAAGACTATGGCGTCTATATATGTACAGGACTTCAGGTGTAATACTTGGTGTACGCCTAGCGGTAGTTCTGAAACCTCAATGAAGAGTCTACCATGAGGCGAACATGATGCGCGCCATGATATGGAATAGCGGGTTTTGAACACGGGCCCAGAAACAAAGCGTGATTCTTTGGGAGGTAATCTGTTCGTCTCAATCTGTAAGGACGAAAGTATTCCAGAAGCATTGAAGCAGAAACGGCAATGGATCCCGACTGTCGCTCCATTTGATTATGATGAGGAATGAAGTCATGGCAGGTCCAACCTGATGAGCCCCGCCGCTTATCGATAAGCCATCGAGTGCCCCCAGTACACAACCAACTGAACACTCTCCAGGGACGCGGGACTTGCGGAACCGAGGTGGTCTGTGGCGTTGTCAATCACCGCTATTAAATATAGATGTTCCCTGGTCCTTTGGAATAATTTGATTTTCACTTCTCTTCCCCGCAATTCTTCCCCAGAACTGTGTTACTGCTGCAATCATGGCTCAATCGCTTCAATCGAAATACAAGCTCGTATCGGGCTATGAGATCCCCATTGTTGGATTCGGCGTATGTTTATTCACTTGATATACCGGTTATAGGAGCTTCGCCCTAACGATGCATCGCATAGATTTACCAAACGTTTGTTATGTCTGCGATTGTGCAAGGAGATATTGCTAATTGCATCACATAGACCCCCGGATGTCACAGAGAAGGTCACCCTTAAGGCCCTTGAGCTGGGTTACCGTCATGTAAGTTGTACCATACCTACGTAGAATGACATCTCCAACTGATCATGCTGTCCCAGGTCGATAGCGCCAAGGTTTACCGAAACGAACGTGAGAGTGCTGCAGCCATTCGCAAGTCTGGCCTTGACCGGTCGCAGATCTTCTACACCAGCAAAGTTCCCCCCGTCAAGCATGGGATATGAACTGGCCAAGAAGGCTATCGAGGAGAGCATTGCGGCGGCCGATCTCGGCTACATTGACCTGTAAGAGCGGCTCCGCTTCAGATACTGGGCGACCCGTTGATGATTCCTTAGCATGTTGATCCACGCTCCCTATGGCGGCAAGGAGGCCCGCCTTGGCACCTGGAAGGCGCTCGTCGAAGCCCAGAAGGCCGGGAAGATTCGCTCGCTGGGTGTGTCCAACTTTGGCATCAAGCAACTCGAGGAGCTGGAGGACTACATCAAGAACGGAGGTGGCGGTCAGATCACTGTCGGCCAGTACGAGATCCACCCCTGGTGCCCGCGCGAAGAAATTGCCGAGTGGTTGCGCAAGCGCAATATCATTGTTGAGGCCTACTCGCCCCTTGTACAGGCGACCCGCATGAAGGAGCCTGTTCTGCAGACTCTCGCCCAGAAGCACAGCAAGACCCCAGCTCAGATCCTAGTCCGCTGGAGCTTGCAGAAGGTATCATTATTTTTTTTTTGTTTCCGATTGAACTCGAAAGATGCTGATTTGTATGTCTTAGGGATACGTGCCCTTGCCCAAGTCGGTGACTGAGTCCCGCATCTTGGAGAACTCGCAGGTGTTTGATTTCAAGTTGTCGGATGAGGACATGGCGAGCCTAACGCTCGACGAGTATGCGCCCGTGTGCTGGGATCCGGTTCGAGACTGCAAGATCTAAATTATTAGTTTCTAGTGATTGTAATTAATTGTGTTAAACTCAGGTAGTTTTGAATATGTTGTACCGAAATGACGAAAGGCACAATCGTTACCGCCCAATGGGGCAGTCTGTTAATCTTCGGCACAACGTATCGCCGTCAACAAAGCCGCCGTCTGCCAACGACCCAAGCATCAAAGTCCATGAACTCCAGTCCCCCATGACCGGGGTATCGGCAGGCAGAGGCCGCGACGGTTGCCCTCACCATGCCCGACGACTTCCCACGGCGCATCATCCTTGAGAAATCCAGCACAGTCCGACGCCGGTACCAGCGCAGCAACAAGCGCTTCCAGTTCACCCCCACGCAACTTGCCAAGATTGAGCGCGAAGAGAAAGCCATCGCCCGTGCTAAGGACCTGCGAGAGAAGGAGAAACAAAGACTTGCTAAGAAGAAGCAAAAGGCTGAGAAAGAGGCCAAGGCCCGCGAGGAGCGCAAACGCCTCGGTCTGCCCGATCCCAACGCTCGGAAGGTCCCATCGAGTCAGCCGCTGCTCTTGAACTTCTTTGGTGGGAAATCGCCCGCTCGAGAAGCACCAAAGGAGGAGTCGCCGAAAGAGGAACCGCCAAAGGAGGCAGCGCCACTGGAAGACTCGCCAAAGGAAGAATCACCAAAGCAGGAATCATTACCAACCGATCTCACTGCTACGACTACGAAGACAGGCGAACATGATGGCGGAGATATGGAGACGAACAGCGCGGGCGGCGACACCGAGATAGACTCGGATTTTGACGACTTGGACGAGGAAATGGAGAAGGAATTCGCCAATCTTGACGATTTGCGCCCGTTGGAAGAATCGGGAACCCACAATGCCAATGATAACTGCAAAGAGAGCCTGCTCTCGGCTCAGGATGACGACGACGAGTTCTCCGACTGTTCCGCATTCGACGATGAAGAAATCATGAAAGAGGCAGAGGCAGTAGCAAATATGCGCTCAGCACAGAAGCCACCAACTATCAATGAATCCCCTTCAAACAACCCGGCACTTCTACAGCCCCCGAAGTTACCCCACAAAGGCAGGGCCTCCCCGATCGCCTCACTCGGAGATTCCTTTCGTGATGACACCGCAGATTACCTGGAAAATGTCTTTGCCCGCGGCTGCGGTGAATCCTTCAGCGAGCTGATTGGACTCTAAAAGATTCTTGAAGCATCTGATAGAAAGTCAAATGATCCCATTATATGAACAATCTTGGCACAAAGGGGAAGGGTTCGGCTGCGAGCCGACGGTCGGATCAGTACCATTCGGATGCCACTCCTTGTGCCCCGCATCGGCTTGGAGATCGGGGGACAATCAGGCGTTTGGACTTCCTTTTTTTTTTTTTGGTATATCCCTTTATCCGACGGATGTTAAAATGCGCGGAATATAGTCCGGAGTACTGTAGAGGGGCAATGATTCTCTCATAGAACATGACGCCACTCCCCACTTGATGTAGATCGCTGTCTCTAATCCTTGAACCTCTCTCTATCTCGACCACTTAATCTTTTACCCATTCGTTGAAAAATGCCGTTTCTTCAAGCTAGAAGCCACCGTCTGTACTATGCCGATTCGCACCCCGAAGGCTCACCTCCAGACCTAACCTTCATCTTCATCCACGGCCTTGGATCCTCGCAGAACTACTACTTCCCCGTTCTCCCCCATCTCACCAACCATCATCGGTGCATCACGATCGATACCTATGGCGCCGGTCGCTCCCCTTATACCGATGAGACGGTGTCAATCCCCAGCATCGCAGATGATGTCATCGGCGCTCTGGACACTCTGAAAGTCCCCAAGGCCATCGTCGTCGGCCACTCAATGGGCGGACTGGCCGCCTTAGACCTAGGCGCGCGATACCCGGATCGTGTCTCCGGCGTCGTGGCAATTGGACCAGTTCACCCGTCCGAGACGCTCGTCAACGTTATGAGCAAGAGAGCAGACACCGTGTTGGAATGTAAGCTTTTTCTCTAGACCCGGTTGAATTTCAACTTCGTTAACGTGGAAGCATTAGCCGGGATGGAACCAATGGCCAATACGATTCCTTTCGCCGCCGTCGGATCCCGCAGTACCGAGCTTCAGAAGGCCTTCATTCGGGAACTCGTGCTTGGTCAAGATCCTAAGGGCTACGCGGCGCTGTGTCGGGCGATTGCGTCTGCGCAGCCGGCGGATTACGCGGCTGTCCAGGCGCCGTTTTTGCTGATTGCTGGAGGGGAGGACAAGTCTGCTCCTCTGGAGGGCTGTCGGCATATCTTTGATCAAGTGTCGAGTCAGAAGAAGACTCTTGAGGTATTGAAGAACGTGGGGCATTGGCATTGTATCGAGGCTGCTGATGAGGTTGGGGAATTGCTTGCGAAATTTGCGGGGACGCTCTAGGGGCCTGCTTCAGGTAGATGTACGCCTAAGTTGGATCGGATAAAATCCATTCCGAATGATTGATTTCCTTTTGTTTGAGAACAGTCAGTTGCAAGGTCTGATGTCGGCGGCCTTGACCTAGGTGGTTAATGGCTGACTAGGGCGATTGTGGGGTTGGCCCCAGTGGATTATGTTGTATGCCAGTAATACTTTGTGCCTTGGTGACTTACCCCGGAAGAACAACAAATCCATGTAAGGGCATGTGAAAATAAATAATGGTATGCATTGGTTTTCCAATCCAAGTGTAAAGTATGTACGAAGAACGCTATTCATAAACGACATGATACATGAAAAGAAGATATACTGCCCCATCACTCAGGCGGATGCCTCCTTAATCGCCTCGGCCTTGGGGGTATCACCCACCAACTTCACATCATACTTAAGCTCAAGTCCAGCTTGAGGGTCACCCTTTCGTTCAACAAAGTCCACAATTAGGGAGTCCTTGACAGCAAACACAGAGTCATTGGTCAGATACTTGTCCTTGCTGTCGAAGATTTGGGTAGTCAAAGGGCGGTAGCCGTCCCGAGTAACCTGGAAGTAGAGTCAGTTTTGCTACATTTTGAACACCTCCTCTCTCATACATAGAGAATAACTTACAATAATGTGGATATGAGCAGGGCGGAAGGGGTGACGGTCCATAAGCTGGAGCATCTTGCCGGCAGGACCATCATCGGGAACAGGATACGGCGTAGGCCGCAAGCAGTAAAAGTAGTACCGACCATCGGCATCTGTCTTGAATTTGCCGCGTAGGTTGAACTCAACCTGCTCGGGATCCTGTTGCTCGTACAGGCCGTTTGTCGACGCCTGCCACACCTCCACCGACGCGCCCACCAGCGGCGCCTTGGTCACAAAGTCCATGACACGGCCGTGCATGAAGACCATCTCGCCATCCTTGGGCTTGGTCACGACGATATCAGCGCCGTTGTCGCGGTAGGGCGTATCAGCGCGGAAGAAGGGACCCAAGATAGCGGTTGCGGTGGGCGCGTCCTTGGCTTCTTCGGCAAGCTTGAAGGTGATTTCGTCCACGAGGCTGAGGTATATTAGAATCTAGAATCTTTGTATGTAGGATAAGAGAAGAGAGCGTACGATTCGAGTCCAATCACATCGCACACCAGTTGCCCCTCATTGCGCCTATCGTCGCTCATCCGGCCGGCCCAATTGAGCAGCTGGACACCTTGCATCCACTCGTCGACGGTGAGCTCGTTCTCGCGCGCAAAGTCGTGCACATGGCGGATCAAGCCTGTCATGAGCTGGCGCAGACGCGGCGAGGTCTTAGGACCCATAGCGTTGATGACATTGTCCGTGAAGGTGGGGTCGAATCTGTGAGTCGCCATGGTATAGTAGAGTTGCTTTTGCGCAAAGTGACGTTATAGATTCTGGGGAGACTCTGGGGATGAAGGAGAGTCAAGAGCTTATATAGCGCGCAACTGATCCGACCGGACTTTGCGAGCGGTAAGTACGGATTTGTATGGAGTAATTCTCCCCAATCTTATGACTGTGACCAACGAGGCGATACTGATTCGAGGATGACCCCGCAAAACGGCGGAGCTATGGCATGATTGGGCCCGGATGTCGGATGACGGTTTTCACTTGGTGTGTTCGGATCGGACTTAGCTACTTGATGCTGTAGAGTACACTTCCGAATCCCCGCAGTGTCGGATGTGACTAAGTGGGGAACACTTTGCTTCTAAGGCCATGTCGCATGTCCGATCTCATGATTGTTGGTAGTTCAATTATGGCTTTAGTATTGTTTGTCTTCTGTAATCTGTTCTCTCTATCGTCGGTTACCCTTAAGGTGGCCCTTTGGTGTTCCCTTACTTTTCAAATCTGCAGGTAACTCTTGCAACACTTCGCCACGCTCCCAGATCTTGCCCAGGCCAACCTTCTTCTCCACAACCACATCGAAGAAATCCACCGAGACAATCTTGTGCTGATTGCCATCGGGTTCACCTTCTTCTGGACTTACAGGAAGACCTTCACTGAGAATTACACCGTTCTCACTGCGCCAGAATGGACAACCCGCCGCCAAAGCTTTCTTCAGGTCGATGTAGATGAGAACCTGCGCATCCCTGCGCATTCCCGAGATCACCTGATCCTTGGACTCAATCCTCTGCACATCTTCCTTTTGAGCCACCAACACCGACTCCAAGGACGGACCTGTCGCGAAGTGGACGTGGTTGCGGCCCATGCACTGCAGTCCACCGGATTGTAAAATAGCCGGCCATGCGCCATGGAATGTACCGTGAACAACAGTCTCGGGTAGCTTAGACTCGTCGGATAGCGAGAGAGGTTCAAGGAATGATGCTGCCTCCACAGTCTTGATGCTGTGACCCTGTGTAGCGCGGATCAGGAAATTGGACGGATCGGTGTCTGTAACGGAGAGTGCTTGTGCTGTCGCACTCTGCTGGTCCTCGGCTGAGACGAGAGTCTCCAGTACTGAGCTGGATGGCTGGCCCTCTCCCGTGGTAGGCGCATTGGCGTCTTCCACTCCTTCGGATTCGGGTGTAGTGACGGGAACAGTGGTAGCCTTGGATGTAGATCCGGTCGCTTGTGCGGAGGGAACATGGAGAAGGGCGAATCGCTTTTTATCGGAGGATTCGACGGCGTGGCGGACTTCGTCAAAGGTGACTTTGATGGACTTGAGCTTTCGCCATTGTAGCTGCGAATGAATGGTTAGAAGTGACCAATACCACAGAACACTTAGTGCGAGCTTACCACGTCTGCGACGCTTGCATAGCCCTGTGCGTTCATCTTCAGGCCCTCCTTCTCGGCCGCGTGCCGCAGCAACAGACTCATGGCCTTGGAAATTTGTACATCGCGAGACATGGGCTGACCATGACCATGACCGCGACCGCGACCACGACCACGACCACTCTTCTCTTTCCCATCCTTGAGATTATCAGCCATCTTGTGTATTTGCGCGGACCCGGTCTGAAGGTGTTTCCGGCGTGTAGGAGGGGCAGTCGTGGAGCTCGGAGCTTTTTTTTAAAGAAAGCTGGTGGGGCTATGCGTCAGACTTGTTCGATAGAGTCCCCGACAATTGTGACTCACCACTTGTTCAGAGTCAAATCGCTTCGATTGAGGTGATACAAAGCTACAGAGGCTCCAGAGGCTCCAGAGGCTCCAGAGGCTACTTTTTCCGTGAAGATAATCGATAAGCAGGTGGGTGGGGTGTGACTTCATCGTCCGATTGGGCAGGGGACTCCACTCTGTACAAACTATGGAAATCGGGCGAAGCGGGATGAAATTGGGTATAAAAGTACGAACGCAGACTCCGCCATGCACGCTTGAAAAAAGATCATCGATCGCAGATGCAGCTACACTCCGCAACGGGACATACCTTGTGTCGGGTGAACCAGTCCCGAGCATGATGCGCGTGGAAGCCATGGTTACAATGAATACAAAATACCACGAATCGTCGCATCACCTCCGCCTCGGTAGGCTTGCGAGTATTGGGCTCGACATCTGCAGCCACTCCGGAACGTGACACCGGGTCTGGTGTCCCAAGCCACATGGTGCACACGCCGCATCGAGGCATATGGCGACCGCACCGAGAGCAGACAGTGCCAGACATGGTCGCGGACCCAAGCTGATTGCCAATGCTCGGATGAACAGTCTCAGGTGTGGCCGTGGGAGAGACTTGGGATGAGGCGTCGTGCTGAGTGAGTGGTTGCGTGCAGTAATTGCAGGTCAGACTGACTTGCTGTGGGGGCGCAGGGGTGAGTTTGCGTCCGTCCACAGTCACTGCAAAGCGACGGGAGCCGACGTCGAAGCGGGCCCGTTCAAGTTGAAGCTTCCACGAGTTCATCTGTCGCCTATAAGTCTGGCGCCAGGCTTCAAACTGGGCGAGAGACGCCGGACTGCTGACGATTCGCGGGACGGTGTAGCTCATGGCTAGCACCGGGGTCTGTACATCGTTGAACTTGTCAATGTATGACTGAAACAGACCCATGGCCATATGGCCCAGACCGGTCAGAACAACACCCTCGATATCGCCCTCGCAAATAGCTTCTGTTGTGGCATTCTGGAGATACTCGGTCAGCTCGTGGTCAGGAAGCCACCGCAATGCAACCTCGACTCGGTACTTCAATGGCAGTGTGGTCTCCCTGATGACCGAGTTCCAGTCACCCTTGCTCACGAGAGCAAGAATAGCCCTCGAGTATGGGTCTGTGAGTTCTTGAGATATCTCCGTGCATGTCTCTTCCCAGTCAGAGCTGTTATCCCCCTTTACAGAACCGGCAATGGCCATCGCGAGGAGCTTGTGGGCTTGCGTGGGCTTGTTGCTTCGAAGACCGAGATAGGCCAGCTTCGGTTCATCTTGGAAGACAGCCAAAGCGGCGGCTTTGGTGTGTTGATTCTCAGAGGAGAGATTCTTAACCAGCTCTTCTAATTCTTTGTATGACTGTGCTGCACCGCAGACACGGAGACAGAGTCGGCGATGCTCGGGGTAGGCAGTCTCGCAGCCCTTCACTTCTGGTAGATTCAGTTGCTCTGCAAGGTGACATATAGCTTCGGCTGCACTTTGAGGGCTATCCGCCTTTGTGCTAATGCGTCGTTTCTCGGTGCCATGTCCTATTTTACTCGTCAGTTCGTATTTTGCCACATGATAGCTTACATACGAACCCAAATCGTTGGTCCACATGTTGCTCACTCCCATGTAGTTCATGTCTAGACCATTAACTACCATGGTCATACCCACAGAGTCCGCCCGGGCACCTAGAAAAACGTCAGAATTCGGCTACACCAGGAGACTCAGACAACTTACGCTCAACCCAGCCCCAGAAATCCTGTAAAGCGGCATCGTCTGACACAATCCTGCCGTTCTTAGCCTCATCAAATAGATATCCTTCTTTGCACCGGAATTGGCCGAGTGTTGACAAAGTCAAGGCTTCTTTGGCGCTTAACAGAGTACCCAGAGTTCCAAGGGATAGTGCCCGCTCTCGGCCTTCTCGACTCGGAACTGGATCAGATATCACTAATCTTGATATAGGCGACTTCCTATCGGACTTTGCCACGGCCTCTTTCGAGCTTGATAAAACGCGCGTTCTGATGGTTTTAATGAGCTCAGATACAGGCGAAATTTGCTCGGACAGAGGATGAATGGTCCTGATATCCGAATCCCTCAATGCAACGCCACAAGCCAAGACTCCCTGGGAGGAGATCTACCGGTGCACACGGTGGCCGTGCAGTGACAATTTGTGGTTGCCCATTGCCATCCAGGGCAACGGCACTGGCTTGAGCAGAGATAGCAAGGTTCAAGAAATCAAAAGCAACGATTCTTTCGCGCTCGTCACACCCTCGCGTTGGATGGTCGAATGGAGCACGTACATCTCGCACATACTTGGTGTACACGGGCTCTGCGTAGTTTTTGAAAGAACCGGAGCCGAGGGTGTCATCGATTGAAGCACGATACTCTTCTGGCACATGCTCCTTGGCAATATCATATGTTTTGAAGTGGCCCGTATTAGCAAGTGCCCCTAGGTAGCCGCGATTGGTCTTGGAGAACCGGAGACTCCAGATCGAGGATTTCGGACCGAAGACGTTTTTGAATTGAAGAGCCGCCGCCGTTTGACCGGACTCCGGATTACTTGCAGATGATCCGACCGATGGAGATGTCAGTCGAGACGCCACTCGCCGATCCCAGACGCAGATGGTGCTGTCATTGGAAGTTGCACCTGATGCGATGTAGTTCTCGTCGAGCCAGTCGATCGCCAAATTGTGGACACAACGGGTTGGAAACTGGAGAGACGGGTTGCCAGGACCCTCTTCAATCGAGGAAACGTCGATTAGCATGATAATAGGCATTAGTATGACCACAGGAGAACACACCTCTGAGATCATAGATCCGGACAAATTGGCCCTTCACTCCGGTGACCAATGTGTCCGGTTGATCACGGAAGAATTTGATACTTGTAATAGGCTCAGAGCTAGCCAGCTTCCTCAAAGGTTCGGGAAAGCCTTTACTTCCTCCTGCAGGGCCCAGTCGCTGGTTCACATCCCAGATGTTCAAACAGAAGTCGTTGCGCACGCGATCAAGACCTGAAGCCACCAGTCCATGTGTACTGAATGCAACTGCGTTACAATAACGCTGATTGCGAACGGGAAAAGAGAGCGACTCTTTTACGTTGGCGTCCAATCGCAGAAGGGTGGCTTCGCCGGACGATTGGCCTACCGTGATCAGGTTCTCGTTGGAGGTGGACCAGTCGAATGCGCGAAAGAGGGGAACGTCCGTTAGAGTGGAAATCACTTGATGCCGAAGCTTCAGCCCATCATAGCCAGTGACCCTGCATAGACGAAACGATTTGCCAGTGACGTCGACCGAGAGGAATCGCTGCTCGGTGGGGGTTGAGCTCGGCGACCAACGAATAGCAGATTCCATGATGTAGCAGGGCGCGTTTGAGCTGTCAGTGAGAGGCCGCAGCCTCGAGTTAGTATGTCGCCAATTAGCAGAGAAGGACCAAAAGGGACCGAAAGAGAGAATAGACCGAGCTCCAAGATACGATAATCCGATTACTGAAGAAGGAACGCGACTATCGTTATGCGATCGGCTAGGCGCTCATTGGCTGCGCCGATCTGGGGACGGGCCGATGATGCGCCGACATTTCTTTTTTTTGTGCTTTAACGACTCGAATATTTTGGGATTCCTCAACTCCAACAATAATCATGTCTGACTTGAAGCCTGAGCGCGTTTCGAAACGCAAGACCCGCGATGGTCCCGAGGAGGCACCTCGCAAAAAGCAGCACCGAGCTTCTGATGAAGTCCAATTCGAGGATTATGGGAACGGCGGCGGCGACGTCCCAGCCAAGTCCACCCGCAAACACAAGGACAAGTTTGCTCCGCGGCCCGAGAGGCAATACCCCTCAGTCAATGAGTTGAAGAAACGTATCCGTGATGTCAAGCGTCTGCTCCAAAAACCCAATCTGCCTGCAGATGCTCGAATCCTGCAGGAGCGTGCGCTCGCGGGGTACGAACAGGATCTCGCGGACGAAAATGCTCGCAGAGAACGATCCCAGATTATCAGCAAGTATCACTTTGTCCGATTTTTGGGTAAGCCGCCGGAATTGTTGCTCTGTTAACCCCTGTTGCTAACCTCGCTCTGCGACCAGATCGGAAGGCGGCAAACAAGCAATTGAAAAGCCTCGAGCGCCGCCTCAAAGAAGAGACTCTCGATTCTAAGCAGAAGAAAAAACTCGAGAGCAAGCTCCACGCCGCCCGTGTCAACGTCAACTACACCATCTACTACCCTCTCACCGAAAAATACATTGCGCTCTACCCAAAGTCGAAGAGCTCAGGAAAGGATGGCGCAGAGTCAGAATCAGACGTAGACTCAGAACAGAAGACACATGGCGACGACGCGAAGCCACCAATGTGGGCCATCGTCGAAAAGTGCATGGAGAAGGATACCCTCGGCGAACTCCGCGAGGGCAAATTGAACATTGGACCCGACGGCAAACAGACCGCGCCTCCAAGTGCAAAGGCGGTCGCAGTCTCGGACACCAAGAAGAGCAAAAAGGAGACCAAGGAATCGAAGGAATCGAAAACACCTAAGGAGTCGAAGAAACCCAAAGACACCACGGACTTGAAGAAGACACAGCCTGCACCTACAGAGGACAAGAGCAGGTACGACAACATGAACCGGAGAGATCGTCGTCGGGAGCAGGCCAAAGAACAGGCTAGGGAAGAGGCCAAGAAGGCCGCTGCTCGTGCCCAGGCCGGTGAAGAAGACAGTGACGGTGGTTTCTTCGAGTAACGAAAATTCACAAGCCAACATAGTGTCTGTATTATGTGTATAGCCTGATATCCCAAATAGCATTGCATAACATCCAATTAACATCCAGTTGAACGGATTTGGTCTCATGAATCCCATAGCGATCCTGGAGACGCAGAGTCAAATTGTATTGATCAATGAGACTGCAAGTCAGTCTCGTATGCCTTTTCTTCTCTAGATCTAATCATTCGGTCTGTCCTCGTAGATGATGACTTCCATCGACCTCTTCACGGAGCTATCCTACGTCCTCCATCCGAACTAACTCAACATTACTTGCCTGGCTTGTTGACGCGACATATGCTCAGACAATACGTAACGTACTGCGTTGTGCGTTCAATGCCAAGCAACTTTCACTAAACTTTGCCTTTCCTTCGCAGATGAGGGAAGCCAATACCAACAGAAAAGGCGTATACTCGCCGAGCTCGCAAAGGATGCGACTTGAAGTGATAAAATAAGAACCGCCATCAGGCTTGATTCCAAACATGCTGAAGAAAGCCACCGAGTCATCGGACTTCATCTAAGAAGCATTCAAGGCGAGAAAAAGGACCAGGGCCCAAAGGAAAGAGCCATGAACAGGAAAGCTGAAAACAAAACAAAGAATCATGAAGGGAGAGGTTTTGGAGATGGGTTTGCTACGTAACCATAGCCCATACACGACTTGTGCCCTATCTCAATTTCCTCCTTTTTGAGTTTGAGAATAAAACTCAACTCAGTTCCCAGTCCACCAAGTATAATTCCCCGTCTCAGCCGGCGTATCGAAAACAAGCAGCGAACTAGTATTCACCAGTCTATCAGGCCAAGCTTTGAGCAATCCATCCCAAACTTCGATCTTGGAATACTCGACCTCGACCCCCGGAGCTGAGAAGAGGGAGACTTCGACACTATCCTCTCGACTAGGATAAATCCGACTGGTGAGTGCGAATCGCTCATTCAAGTAGACCTCGACCAGTGATCCGTCGACAAAGATATCCATTTCAATGGACTCTGTAGAGCCGTTTGCGAACTGATAGGGCTCGAAGTAGCCCACATGTGTGTTATTGGCAAACATGTCGATGAGAGAAGAGTGAGTGCGGTTCACCGAGACGCTATTCGATGAGGGGTCGAAGTAGATATTGGTGTATTCTTCGCGGTTGGGAGATGCGCCGATGGTGACTCCGGTGACACCAGTAGTGCGCTTGATGTTCATGAAGATTTGGTATGATTTTGTGAGATTTCTCGTCAGACCGAATTGTTTAGTGTTGCTTCTTCTCTCGTCGCATGGATACTTCGTATACTGGGCGCCTCGGTGGAGACCCTCGACCACCTCTGGGGCGGGCCGGACACCAAGTGTGCTTGCGTTCCAGGTTCCGTCTACGTTTTCAATGAACCGGGAGTTGCCAGGTCTCGCGTCATGGAATTGGGGGATGATGCCTGGTGTGTCTTTGATGAAGATTTCACGGGGCAAGGCAAATGCTCCTTGGTAGCCTTGCTGGGTGATGCCGAAATCATTCATATCTTCTTGGGCCCAGCCCCATTGGATGCGGCGGTTGTTCTTGGTATCGTTGAATGTGGTGATCTGATGAGGAGTGTTAGTATCGAGCGATATTATTTTGACGCTGCACAGTACGAATCGACTTACCGCATACAGAAGACCCCAATCACTCGCACCACCGGAAACCGGGTTGAAAGCGATACTACCATTTGCGCGAACAGAGATCGTTCCTTCGTTCCATAGTGACCATTTCTGCTGGTGGAAGCTGACATTTCCGCCCTCGGCGCCCATGCTAACAAAGTAACGATCACCGATTGAGAAGAAATTGGAGAGCTCGAAATTGAATCCGTAGGATCCAGTCTCCTCCAAACTACCCAATGTAGTATTCATCTCCGGCTCCCAGAGGGCTCCTGAAGAAAGTCCAATTGGTCAGGTCGGAAGCAGGGGCGCTATAGAGAGGCATCCGAGGCCCAACACCCCGAATACCGGATCCAAACACAGCATAGTAATGGGGTACAGTCATATTGAGGACACTGTCCATCTGCGGCCAAGGAACGAAGTACGGATCACGCCACCCGGTGACATTCCAGTTCCCGGGTGGATCGCTGAGAATAGGATTATTCTCATAGTGCGACCAAGTCACTCCGCCGTCGGTGGAGTAGGCTAACGCCTGGCTCTCAGTGCCAGGCAAGTATGGCTCGTTCCACGCTGTCGGGAGTTCGGAGGCTGCGGTGTAAAACGCCAGGATAGTGCCGTCGATTCCACCGGATAAGTTGACAGGCTGGGCAGAACCAGAAAAGATAGAGAGATGGTTATATAAAGGCGGATTATGCCTGCTAGTCAAGTTGGTCGTGCCGAATGACTGCATTTCCTGATCTTTCCAAGCAGGGATGTCATTGTCGGGGTGGTGATCCACGTCGGTCCAGGTTACCAAATCGACCGATGTTGCGTGTCCCCATGAGACATTTCCTGTTAATCCAAATCTGTTACTAACCGTCACTTGGAACCCGCGTAGAGAGGAACTCACCCCAGGCAACATGGTTAGGATGAAATTGGTAGTGCAAATGATACACGCCTTGAACCGGATCGTACATCGGCCCACACGGATCCTGTCAGGGATTAGTATACTCATACTCACACTCAAGCTCAATCAAGAATGCCCTACATTCATCCAACCAGCCGGCGCCAGAAAATGAGAGGATGGTCTCCAACGGGTAAACAAGCTATTGTTTCCCATTTTCTCAATCGTCTCCACGGTCAGGAGTGACCCCATACCGGTCCAACAGCAGCAAGTGCAACACTCAACGTAGTTGCTGATTTCATGACTTCTGTCCAAGTTCCGCAGATTCTCGAATACTCAAGCACCGAGCGAGCAAACCTTTCTGTAGGGTCTTCAATAGATATAAAAGCCCACGGATGATCATCGCCATATCCTCGGATGTTTCCATTCAGCGGCGGGGTCGCAGGAGGGGCACATCGAGGAAAGCCGGATTAATTGTTGATGATTCAAGTTCTTGGCTCGGCGAGCGTACATAGATGATCGCGTCCGTTTTGAGATGGGGTGCCTGCCAAGAGAGGTGCCGTGTCGAATGGAAGCGACACAGTCGGCCCGAGATTCCCCCAGGGAAACTCCATTAATTCCCCGAGGTCGCCTCAGACTTTCGGGGTTCGCATCATGGATGTGGGGGACCACAACATCAGATCTGGTTGCGGCCTGGTATTTGGAGGGTTCCAACTCAAAACGCACACTCACTTGGGCGGCTGAACGGCCAATCGTGGCGGTTAGGTCAGCCGAAACATCTTAGGTGCCTGAGGCACACAGTTTAACTCTACAGACAATGCACGTCTCTGATTGTATCAAATGAAGCCGAAAGGCATGTCGATTCCAAGATGGTCCCTGCACATAGGCCTACAACCAAGAAAAGAAAAAGAAAATAGAAAGAGATCAAAACTCCAGTCATCGCCACGACCCTTCTACACATGCTAAGCGGGGCATTGAAATGGCAGTCTGGTAACAGAAAAGAAAGGCCAAGAGGATGGAATGGAATGAAAATGCAGGTCATTCTGCTCTTGTCCTGACGCCGAGAATGAGATCAAAGAAAACGAAAGAGTTCTTCGCATAGATAACGATGGTCGGTAAGTCGTGGGAGGGGCTGTCCGTCGAGGATGTCCCGCTCGAGGGGTCGTTCAATGTCCCAGTGTGAACTGGGAGTGTGTCGTGCGTATCATTGTAGGAAAATCAGATTGAGTCATGCGAGCGATCCGGCGCGGGCATGTGGGAAGGGGAGTGTTTGTCGCATGCGACAGATGACGACGTGTCCGGAGAACAACACAGGGGAGGAATAGAGGGATTTACATGACAACACAGCCGCTTTGAGCACGGCGACGCCGACCGCCAAGGGCAGAGAAAGTACCAGCGCCGTAGGTATCATCATCGTCGTCTTCATCGGCGTTGTAGAGTCGCTCGGCCTCGCGAGCGCGGCGTCGCCGGCGGCGAGCACCCGCACCAGCAGCGCCTGCTTCCTCATTCGCCATCATGTAGTCGGCCCATTTGCGGTCAAGGCGGCTTGCGGAGGCCAAATCACCGCGTAGGACGCGCTTGGTGTGCTCGTCAACGGTCATCTGCCATCCGTAGAAGCACTTGAGCTGAATGATCTGGTTGGGGTAGGTGGGCGAGGGGGAAGGGGTGGACACCGGCGTGACATAAGTCGTTGTCGTTGGAGAGTCGGCGTCTGATGCTTGAGTGACAGTCACAATCGTGGGTGCCGGCTTACGGGAGCGGGGAATAAAGCAATTGCTGGAAAGAACTTCCTTGACACCCGCCCAGGTCACATTAGCGCAGTCAAAGACGACCAGCCGAAGACCGATCTTAGGAACATCGGCACCGTAGCCGCGCTTGCGCACCCGGTAGCTTGCCTCCATAAGAGATAGATCGGAGACACGTGTGTTGTCCATTTCGATGGACTGCAGCTTTGGGCAACTCTTGATGACTTGCAGCATTCCTGGGTCGCCAAGATTTTCACAGTAACTGACATTGAGGTGTTCCAGAGTCTGCGCACATGGTGATTTTGCGAGCTCAGTGAGAACGTTGTTTGTCAAACCATCCAGATCTTCGATTTCCAGATGGGAGAGATGCAGTGTCGTGCGAATGACCTCGATGATAGATTCATCAGTCAACTCCGAGCACTGCGACAACTGCAGTCCTTCCAGATCCGGGACATTTCCGGCCAGGCTCTTCAAACCGTCATCGCTGATGTCTGGACAGTGATGCACATCCAAGTGTCGAAGTCGTCGAGGTGGCACAATGGGTCGGTTGGTCAGTACATCCAGAGGCGGGTCGATGCCATGCATCAAGATCTTTAAGCTCGCGTCCGAGAGGTCAGTGCGGCTCATTATCAACCGCTCCAAGGTATTCTTTTCAAAAAGAGTCAGGGCAAAGTCTTCATTAGCAAACCCCCGAATCTCACTGGCGCGAAGATCCTTCAACCGTGGACAAGAGTTGACCACCTTGAGAAGACCGTGGGCAGTGACATTGCTACACCAAGAGATGTTCAACGTCTCGAGCTGGGGACAAGACTGAGCAATGATCTTCATTGCCGAGTTAGTGACGCTGGACAAAGCAGACACGTTGATGTATTCCAAGCGAGGGTTTCGAAGCAGGAAGTAGTGAATGGACGTCTTGTCGATGCGACAGCCCTCAAGAGAGAAGTTGACGACATTGCGGCACAGATCAGAAATGCGCTCTCCATCCGAGGACCACTTGTCGCGTAGCTGAACACAGCCTCTGAGATTGAGGTCGCGCACAAAGGCCCCACCAGATGTAATAAGTTTGACCAAGGCCTCGCTAGGGATCTTGTCATAGTACTCAGTCGTGTCAACCTTGGCCCATAACTGGCCATCATAGCACATATCATTCCACATCTTCGACACCCCTGCGCAGCGGACAATCTCACAAGGAGTCAAGTATCGAAAGATTTCCATCTTCAGTTCTCCAGGCATGTCTTCCCAGAAGTTCAGAGTCTTCGCCGGCTGAGTATCGGGTAGGGTCAGCTCCGTATCCACCTCTGTGATCAAGTCGGCAGCCGCAGCATCATCGGTATCCGCTCCAATGCTGAGAGGGGAACCGCGAGAGACAGGTCTCATGTCAGAAGGCAAAGGAACCGTACGGGGCAGCGACGTGGGTGGCTCAGTACCCATCAGACGAATCCGATTGTTAATTTCTTGAGCCTCATCGGGTGCACCCGAGCACCCCGGGGTAGCCGGTCGAGGATGGAGACCTCCATAGAGTTGCGCAGGACTTCCATTGCCTACGCATGGGGAGTATGTAGACGATAACGAGACACACGATAAGGAGCCCTTCTTATCCCGGCGATAACCGGTAGATGCAGATCGGCCACGGCGGGTCAACGACTGACTAGACTGACGGCGGCCAAGACTCTGTAACAACTTTCGACGGCCCTTGATTTTTGGTGGCTGATCGAAAGGAATTTGGCCTGTGGACGAGGCTGGGCTTACAGGGGATATTTCGGGCGAAGGGACGATCTCGTCGGTGCTTAGGGCGGCCATGGTTGCGTGAGGGGTTGGAGCGAGTACTTTAGTCCTGAATGTCGATCGAAAGGATTATGGCACCACCGAGGGTCGATAGGCGCAACACAGCACCGCGAGGGACCTTAAACGATCATAATGTTGTGGCAGGTTCTTTGCGCAGGTCGAAAGTTGAAGTCGTAAGTGGGAGCGGGGATCTTCACACAGACGTTTACTGTTCGGGGGCTCACGGGCAGTGAACCGTGGCACTCGGGAAGGTCGACCGTCGGGACGTGTTCAAGTGACGTTCAAAGAACCGAGAGAACCGAGAGTACCGAGCCGCCCGGAGAAGTCATTGTACAGAGAAGAGAGCGAGGGAATGGCAGAACCAAAAAGTAAGAAATGAGAAAAAAGAAAGAAAAAAGAAAAAAAAAAGGGCCAAGTGGAAAGAATGCGATACGTCCCAGCGCAACTGTTGGAATGCAGTATACGAGAATACGAGTACATGAGTACATCGCTGTTGGTGCACGCCCACTACCCAGGAACTGTACCTGGTACTTCGGAACTGACCTTCTTATCGCTTTTACCCCCACCACGTCTTGGAGCGTGGCACAGACAGACCCACGCGACTCATCGGCTGACGACGCCCCATGAGGGTTTGAACAGGGTGACCCTTACTGATCCGTAATCAGGAACAGGGTTGACTTTTTTTTTTTTCTCGTTCCTGGCGATAACACCCATTGGCACATTCGCCATTTGGGACTGTTTGGCCGTTTTACCCAGAAGCGGGGCGCGGACCATGGACTGAATTGCGGAGGAGTGTACTGCCCAGTGGAGCCGGAGGCGAATGGCGCCTCCGCTAATAATGGCCATGTCTGGATTGTTCAAGGGGCCAAATGTGACAAGACTAGCCGGCCACCCAAGGCCAAAGGGGGACTAAGTGCGATTAAGAAGATCCACTCACTGGCCCGGGTGAAAGCCGAACCAGTGAACTCCTAAGTTTCGAGATTCGAGTTTCAAGATGCAACTTTCCAATATATAGATTCTTTCAAACCATGATGATCTCTAGATATATGGAAAAGAAAGAGGTCTTATGCTCCTCAAATGTGTGCGTAAAAGCCATGCCGATGTCATGCAGTTCATGTGCATATGTTGTGTTGTTCAAAGACCAATTGTATCCCACTGAAGTAAATGCCCTCCTATCCAAATCCATCAATCAAAATATAATAAACGTCGTGGGGTATCGTGTCTTCTTCTCTTTTTTTTGGGAGGTCATAAAATTGATGCACCGGTGCTGTGGAGGGGCTTCAATTCCCAGTCTCCGTCATCCACGGGTGCTCAAGCACTTCCGTGATGGTTAGTCGGTTATCGACATCCCGGTCGAGCATCTTGCGAATCAGGTTGATGCAATTTTCCGAGAAGGGAAGGAATGGAATGCGGAGTGGGTGGTCGAGAATTTCGTCCACATTGTAGAAGGGGTTCTCTTTGTAAACGATCGTGTAGAGGAGGATGCCTAGGGCCCAGATATCTTGTTCTTTGCCCCGGTAGGACTTGCCCTGTAGGACTTCAGGGGCGGCATAGTCTAGAAGAAAGTTAGTGTATCCGAAGTATGATGGGCAAAGCAACCATCCGAAACAATGTCCAACTTACCAATTGTACCCACAAAGACATCAAATGGCCCGTTCTTTATATAAGCTGCACTGCCAAAATCGATCAACTTGATTCGTCCCTCTCCGTCCAATACCACGTTCTCATCCTTGATGTCGCGGTGGACCACGAGGGCCTTGGTGTGCAGATGATGAATAGCGCCAACGACCTGCTTGAATATGTTGCGGCATTCAGACTCGTCCATGTTGGCCTTCAGCTCGATATAGTCGAACAAATCCATGCCTGGCAGTCCGTGTGGAATCATCTCAATGTAGTAGTTCACGTCATCTTCAAAGAAACCGTCCATCTCCACGATGTTCGGATGTTTATATCCGTCGCGACGGAGGAAATCCAGAACGTGAATCTCCAAAGGTACGGTGCCGAGCCGTCTGTCGCGTGTCCACGTGTCCACCAGGATCCGCTTCTTCGTCACATACTTTAACACCATCTTCGTTTGAGCGTTCTTCTTCAGACGGGCCAATTTCACCTGTCCATAAGCACCTTGCCCCATTTCCTCCACGATGACATAGTCGTTGATGCTTCGTTTCTGTGGTGCTCCGCCCTTGGTGTTCACTTCGGGAACTGGCTGCACGGGTCGATCAGTAAGTGGTTCCGAAGCAGCTTCGCTAAGCTGCTGACTGAGGGTCGAGCTCGGGGTTTTGATTTCCACCGAAGGCTTGCTGCTATCAGAGCCTTTTCCATGAGACGAGGCGACAGCTGGGCTTTCCAACGTGGGGCCGGGTTCGGGAGAAGCGGGCTTTGAAGAAGCCAGTGAAGATGACGAAACGCCGGTCGCAGGTCCAGCAGCGTGGATTTGCCTGGAGTAGGTGATCCACAAAGCATAAACCAGCTCGGTCACCGCAATGGTGTCGTCACTGTCTTCTGAATCGCTGGAGCGTTCTTCGATTTTCTCTGCGAGCTTCGCGGCCTGTTCTTTGGTGAAGAAAGTGCCGCTTTTGACCACTCGCAATTGGACATCCACCACGATCGTGGAGCCATCGCGATGCTTAGCCAGTAAACCACTGGGCTCGGTAAAGACGGACGCGGCGTTGGCCTTGCCATCCCGAAGAATGGACAGGGTTCGTGCCCGGCGGAAGCTATGTTCAGGGATCACGATACCGTCGACCAATGGCACGTTGTCCTCCTCGGTTAACACATCCAAGATCTCGTCGAATCCTGGGATCAATTCCGTGATGTGCCGTCCCTCGGGACGTTCTTGGGCGAAGAGAGCTGAAGAAAACACGGAGTTTGAGCTAATGACGTTTAAAGTCGCAGAGGACACAACCATCATGCCTGCAACATGAGGAAAGCTGGACACCTGCAAAGTGCGAGTCCCATCCGCCTTGCCTACCGTCACGGGGATGCAAACGCCAGCGGCAGTGAGAGCGGCAAAGTGCTTCATCTCAGTAATCTTGGGGATTCCCTCCTCAGGCGAAGTTGCGAGAGACGCTGATGGCAAACGAGGAAGAAGCTCAGTGATAGGCTGGCCAGGGCGGACAACTGATGGTCCCCAGATCTTTTCAACATCACCTCCAACTTTCAAGACATTCCAAGATTCATCGCAACGGACCGAGGCAGAGTTCTCCGTGATCTCCTCCATCACCCAGATTAGTCCGCCACGCTTCTCCATGACCCAGACACTAGCCGAGCCCTTGGTGCCGTTGCGCTTCTCGATCGGCACGACATCGCCGCACAATAAAACGCCTCGTGATTTGTTTCCGGGATGATTGTTGTTGCGAAGGTTTCTTTGGCTTGAGCCGTATCCATCATCCGTCTGCGCACGCCGTGACGCTTTTTCTCTGGAAGATGGTTTATTGAGTAACTGTGCTGTCACACCGTTTCCAAGACCTCGGAACTTTGGATTTACGGCTTGAATGTTGGGCCTGTTCTGGGGGAGTGGCGCGCGGGCAGTGGCGTCAGTGCTTGGATCTCGAAGCTTAGCCTCGAGCCATTGTCTGTGCTCTTTCTGTACAACCTCTAGGATACTGAGCCGGCGGACCTCGGATTGAGTAACTCCAAAGACGAGGCACGAAAGATCGTTGGCCGCAAGTATGGTCCACGGTGGCTGGGCTTCGGTCCGGAACACGGCCTGGGAGACGGGTGTCCATTTGCTGCTATGGGTGTGCAAGGCAGGCATAGGGAAACCCAACCCTGCAGTGGATGAACTTAGAGAGCCGGAAGGATCCGCGGAGGCATATGGTTGCGCTAGAGTCTCCATCAGCTTGATTTTGAGGGAGGCAGAGTTGAGATCCGTATATGTACGTTTTAAGCTTACGCGCCTGGACGATGGTGCTGATTTCAGGTCCCTCCGGGATTGCAGGATACGATCATTGGATGAAAGAGAGCTGAGCATGTGCGAGCTGTCCGATGTCGCTTGGGATCCTGGGACCGAGTCCTGGGCTGAATCACGAGTGTTGAGGGGAGAGCCGCGTTCTGAGAAGGCTTTCTCGAAGATGTTGTCCCCGTTAACATCCGCAGGTCCAGTGATGGGTCCTTGGGTCCGGTTGGCATGGTCTTCATCCAAAACGTGGGCACGGGTCAAAAGATCCATCATATTCTGAAGATCCGCGTCGCCCGTCACATTCGCCTGGGCGTTGGCGATCCCAGCATTACTCGCCGCCCATCCCATGCGATCGCGCATGAAATCAATCGACCTTTTGAGAAGATTCTGCCGGTTGTGCAGGAGCTCTTCGGACTGTTGTGCAAAGGAAAATGAATGTAACGATTCCAAAGGGAATCGATGAAGGTCCTCCAGATCACCAAAAGCGCTCAGTGACATGCGGCCGGTGGGAGCTCGGGAGGAAGAGGCCGAGCGCTGCGTGGGCGATTGGCGTGTATTGTGATTTGATATCGGGGCCAATGACGATGTCGACAGATTGGGAAGCGTTAAAACACGCGACGATTGATGCTGGCGTATGCGGTCCAGCCCGGTCGGACCGATTCCATGCTCGTTCTCGAATAATGGGGATCTGAAGCAGTGAATGTGTCAGATTTCAGCTCTATTGCCTTGAAAGAAAGGAGTCGTGTTTGGGCACCAACCTTGAAAGATTGTCATAACCCGAGGAAAAGCTATCCACCGAGCCTCTCAAGGGCTGGTCTGTCTGTAAGGAAAGATTTTGAAACCCAGACTCAGACTCGGGCGACTCGGAAAGGGGAACCAACGGAGACGACAAGGGACTCGGTTCGCCTAATATGGTGAATATGATCAGCATGCTACAGGGCAACTCTATCGGCGCGTGTGAAAGATTCCATTCAACGGAGTCCGGCGTGATTGCCTCAAGTGATGGAAGGGGTTGGTTGGCCATCCCTGGTCAGATGCGCCGACGGGGTCGGGTTGCCTTCTGCTCCGAGCCGTGAAAGAAATCGTAGTGCAGATGCGAGTCATCTGCGATTCAACCGGGCCTCAATTCATTCTCGTCTCCGGCAAGTATTCAAGGCTCTCCCGGCGGGAACGCCCCCGCAAGTTGACGGCAACTTAAGCATGTGAAACAAGCGCATGACTTACCATCGGGATTAAATGCGGACCCCATTCTTCTTCGCAGCGGTTTCTCAACTCCCAGCCGGGAGGGAAAAGGAAAGGCTGAGGCTCAGTAGCGTCGAGTCAAAGGAAAGGTCATTCGCGAGTGTCAGCGGGCAGCGACCGGGAGAGGAAGAGGGCAGCTGCCTCGAAGAGCGCCCGGCATATGTGGCGTCCGAGAGCACGCGTATGTGCGGTTTATAAGGGGTTGAAAAGTAAGAGAAAAGAGAAAAGAGAGATACAGCGGGGTCCGGAGTGGGGAATGAAAAAGCGATGCCGTACTCAAATGTTAAGGGGGGAAGGGTGATGTAATGGGCTTTCCAGAAACTTGGCTCTCGGTGCTAAGGAAGTACAGTGAGCTTTTACTAGTTTGGTAGTATCTGGGTTTTTAGTATGCTAGAACTAGACCAGAATAGATGATCTTGGGCTTAGGGTACCTGTCAAGGCCACGGGCTGATCGACACGTCTACCTTTTTTTCCCTCCAACAGATGATCCGCGATCAACTGGGATCCGACTTTAATGCTAGGCTCTTCATCTACTCGTAAAATAGGAAACCTTCCACCAACAACGGAGCCGAAAGGTGCACATTCTCCGCCTACTTGCCTTCGTTCTTTGCAACCGGCAATGTGGTCCTGCTGTCTGTGGCCGACATATCCGAGCGGTACAATGCACCCCCACCGCTATCTCCGTCGCGTACCCAATGACACCATTTCTCGTTACTTTGACAGGCCGGAAGTGCTCGTCTGTCTCGTAGTCTGTACTGCTGTACTTGATGTGTCCTGTTATTCCCGCGAGCGGCACCGAGATCGAGATCGAGATCGAGATCTATCCTCCTAGCTATAAAGTCCATAGTTCACCGCCCTTACAGCGGGCCCCGAGCCCCGCGGAGACTGTGCAGTGCCAGTTCATCATGCTCGGCCTCGGTTCCTGGGTTCTCTTCTCCGCCATTCCCAAAGAGCGGACTGCCTCTGCCTTTAGCTCGGGGGGGTTTCTTGATGTCGTGTCTGCTCCGGTGGTACCGATGCCGAACTGACAAAAGTCGACAGGTTGCGGCTGCCTTCTAGCATCCAGGAGAACCCTGCATCCGACAGGGATGGTCGGATCAGATTTGGCACCAAATTCTCGGTCTGGGCGTCAGGGTTGTGAATGTTTATGGCGGTGCTGGCAACCCTGGCGGTTCCACCTTTGGTGCGCCCCTCAGCATCCGGGTGAGATTGAGGCGTACTTTGCATATCATTTTGCGCCATTTCTTCAGACGTATTGGCTGCGGATGAGGCCGCCAGTGATGGCGACGGCGATGGCGATGAAAAGGCCGAGTCAGCCGTCACGGGAGCTATTTCCGGAGATTGCGAGGCCGAGGACACCGGAAGTGATTGTGAAGAATCCTCGAGACAACCCATGACCGACTCGGCTCGAGCCAATGCCTGCTTCACTGCATCGTTAGAATTTGAGTCCATGTCTTTTATGGTGGCAAGTTCGGAACGAAGGTCTTCCAAGGCGTCGCCCAACGCTCGCGCCAGCTCCTTATTCCTTGCCTCTAAAAGGCTGATCTTCTTTTCTAGTCCAAGCTCGGTAGGCGTTGGTCCCTTGGGCACTGCGCTTGGTATTAATGTAGAAGAGGGTCTGCGAAGTGACGGGCCGGTACGAGGACCTGGCTCATAATGCATTGTTTGCATGTTTCTTCTGGCTTCGGTCACGGCTCCACGAACGGCTTTGGCCACGCCCCAGGCCTCGGTGCGACGCTGAATACCTTGAGAAACATCTTGAAGGAGCGTCTCAAGTCCCTTGGGGCTGTTTCTAGTAGGCGAAGAGGTAGAAGAGTTGCTGTTGCTGCGATTTCGGAATTCCTCCCAGAGATGAGCCGCTCGGGCAGGTCTCGTCCTGGAGTGGCTAGGGCGCTTTAATTCCGGCTCTCTGCCGGAGTACTTGGAGATAATAAAGCTGCCTCGCTCCGCAGTTGGGTTCTGTTCTAGATAGAGCGCATCATGCACAAACGTTTGGGGTGCATGTGGCCCGGGAGATGGGTACCGTAACAGCATTGACAATGCACTTGAATAGTCCGCTTTGAGTACTGTAGGTGAAACATTAGTGACGAAAATACGATGAGACTTCGCCAGGTCAAGGGTTTACATTGCCAACGAATCCGGAGCAGCATCGCAATGCATGTGAAGTCCACTAGATCTGATCGAAGCCCATGGGCAAATAGTAGATCCCACATCATGAGGACATCATCAAATGGAAACTCTCGTCCAAATAAGAGTCGCATCCAGCGACTGGATATCGGGTTAGCATAACCTGAGGTGAACATGATTGAGATACTCACGTCAAAAAGATCTGAGGCAGTACATCTACAGCATGCAGGTGTCCCGCTAATTCGTGGTCTATAATCGTCAGGGCTTCGTTGTGAAGGTACTGGCACCGATTCACAATCGGGATGACGTTGATCTCGCCATTGGCTGACCGAGTCTCGCTGTGTTCGTAATATATGCGAGCTGTCTGCATGACGCAAAGAAACAACGTGAAAGAATCATGCTCCACAAACTTGGGGTCAAGAAGGTCCAGCATCGAAGCATCCTCCTTGTTACCCTTGGGACCTATTAAGTCAGGCTGAATAGAGTCTCGATCAATGACCCAAAGAATCGGGGCCAGGAGCTCGTGCATGCCCTGTCGATACCCAACATCCGGATTCAGTTTTGAGTAAACAAACAAGACATCAGTCAGTTTCTTCTTCGTCGCTGGGTCCTGAAAGAAGTGGTTCTCTTGCATGCATCTGTCGACATCCTGCGCAATTTCGGCTTGGAGCTTCTCGTCGTTGCGTAGTGTTTGCCACGGAGACTATTAATTTGGAGAAAGTCCATCAGAACAACAAGCTCGGTATTTTGGGAGCAGCCATTGAGCCAAATGGCTGATTACCTCCTCGTCGTCCGCTAGCGGATCAACAGTAGACTCCACGTCATCGGGATGTTCGATAAATTTCAGGAAATGGGCACGAAGTGCCTGGTACGCCTCTCGTGACTCGGCAAGCTTCTGTGACCATTCTTCCCGCTCGAGGCCGTCGAAGAGGAGGAATACCTGAAGAACAAATGAGTGCTATGCTCAGCTCCAAATCGATTTATGCCCTCGAACCTTCCAGCAAATCGACCTCAGCCCATCATTGCACAACTTTCCTCCCTGTTCTGCTCGTAGGGCCGTCCGCAATTCGGCGGGCGTCTCATTGTCGGCAAACAGGAACTCCCATCTCTTTCTGCAGCAAGTCAGTACTATTATCTGGTCTTTGCCCTGAGTACGTACCTTGTCTCCTCAATGGTTCTCATGTCATGCAGCTGTGACCTGGGGAAGTGGAGGAAGAAAAGACACCATCGGTGAGGGGAAGGCGATAATGTCATCCGCACCTCTTATCGCGCCGCCACGATTCGGGGGCCATGCAACCCTGCACGTCCCCGAACTAAAGCTCAGCCAGGGCTCATTCATGATCGCTGTGATATTGGGGAGGCATTTCGACAGTCTCATTTTCATGTCATCAGCCAACTGTTCATGATCTACGAATTCAATGTCTGCAGACTTGTGGGCTGAGTTTGGTCAGGGCTCTGGCTCTGCGCAGAGCTCTGACCAACCTCGGATTCCACAACCTCAAACCAGTTCATTCATCTCTGGATTCGACCAAGCTGATGACCTGATTCTGGGTGGGCCCCAGCTTAGCAAATCTCAGTTCTCCAATACGAGTGCGCCGCCGCCTCAGTATGCGCCTTCTTCTCACAGACAGCCCCCCACCTTTCAGGCATTCGATCTGCCAAAACAACACGATAGTGATATCTTATTCGATGCCACCCAAGACACACCTGCGAGCGAGGAAGAAGATGAGTGGGGTGAATTCGAAGGTCCAGAAGAGAGCGCAGAACATGGCCAGCCGAGTATCTCTGCGGCCATAGCACAAGACGCAAAAGCTCCTGCACCGAGGCCTCAGCTTCAAGCTCCGAGTAATTCAAAAGTCCCTACAACCATTGATCTATTGGACTCTCTTTCTCTGGATGACCCGGCCCCAATTGCACGGCAGCTTCCCAAGCCGGGGCCGAAGACAATCCCCCAAGCCAACACTCCTCCACCAGATGAACCATCATGGGACGAGGACTCATTCGGTGATTGGGGTGACTTCACCGACGGACCTCCCACAACATTGGCAACAACCAATCGAAACTCAGTGAAACCTCAAATATCCATAAAACCTAGCCCTCCACAACCAGCCTGGGACGACACTTTCGAGGACTGGGGCGACTTCACCGACGGCCCAAGTACAGCACCAGCATCAGCACCCCAAAAGCCAACCTCAAAACCAGCCTCACGGCCATCAACGACAAGCCCACCACCCCGAAGTTTCATCTCCTCAACACCAAAATCCCCCCCCAAATGTCCGACCAACCAACATCCCCCCCACCGTCCGTTCTCCTCGAACTGCTAGTCGACCTATTCAACAATCTCCAAGAGGAAGCAGCCACCGCGAAGCGCCAATCAGACCAGGCAGCAGCAGCTAAACTCCATAATACCCTCGAAACTGCATCTCGCATCATCGCCGGCCGCACATTACGCTGGAAACGTGACACCATCCTCAGCCAAAGCATGCGGATCGGACCGGCTGGTAAGCCAGGCGGAATGAAGTTAAGCGCGGTAAACAAGCATGAAAATGTAAAAGAAGAGCAAGATGCTGTAGACGTCTTGTCCTTGTGGCGCGAGCGCGCTGCTCTGTTCAATGCCGTAATCCAGACTGCAGGTCTACGGCCTATTCCGCCTATTTCGGGCCCCAGTGCATTGAAAGTCACCACGGCGAAGCTGGAGCAGGGGGGCATCAAAGCCGGACATGCATGTGCGCTTTGTGCGTTGAGGAGAGACGAGCGCATACTAAAGATTGATGAGGATGTGCAGGATAGTTTCGGGGAGTGGTGGACGGAGCATTGGGGGCATACGGGCTGTCGAATGTTTTGGGAGAGAAATTCAAGACTGCTTGGGCAGCGATGAAACAGACGTACATATAATTAAGTAACTTCAAGCAGCTTGCTATTTGAGTTCAGTCAGAGTAAGGTATAAATTATGAGACCAGAAGCGTAGCAGATCACTCCTTACTGAGGTGAGCAAAGTAAATCGAGACACGAGAAGGACATCGCGCCAAACACCAGTACCTTGAGAGAAAAGAGTAGATACATGAGGAGAAGATCAGGATCAGAGTCAAAGTCAGACTCAGGATCAGAACCAGAACCAGAACCAGAACCATAAACCAGAACCAGCGCGGGCCAAGTGTACAATTAGCAAGGAATCGCCCCCCCAGTGAGATCACGGGCGAGCCAGGCCAGTCGAGGTCAAGACGCACTGCGGCTAATTGTGAGGGCCACAAGAAACACGGTACACGAGATATAGAGTCAGTCCCAAGTCTCATGCACGCATCTTTGGTCAACATGGGATCCATATGAGCCTGCGCGGGAGATATTCGTGTCTCCCAGGCGGAATCGAATTGATTTTCTGTTAATATTCCAGGCCCACGCGAAATGTCCATGGACATTCGCTCTTGACAGAGCACAGGGATCCCAGAGAGATTCAGCATTGAGCCGATATCCTGTTACGGAAAGGCTTTCCAACGCGGCGGAGTGAAGATCGGGTCAATTTCAGGTGGTGACTGCAGCTGCGATTGGAACGATGGCGGGTTGCAGAGGCCAATAGGGAGATTATCAAATTTAATAACTTTGGGCTGAAGGTGCCGCAGGCTGTGGGTGAAAAGTGATCGTCAGTGTCTGAAGTGGCAAAGAGGGCATGATTCTGGGCGTCGTGGTACAGCGCAAAAGCACTTGGCACACGATAGGAGGCACACACGCAAAGGGGAATATTGCAACTTACAGGACTGTTTAGAATGCTGTTTCGCTTGTTCCGTCCCTTTTTGATGTGACTCTTCAAAGCTGCTGAATCCAGGGGCTTCAACAGTTCGAAACTACACAGGAGCTCGCCGGAGACCGACATGATAGCGCCCCAGTTGTCGAATTCACCACAGTACTGTTGAGTCATCAGCAATGACTCTGAAGGAGATTGGGCAGAGGGAGAAAACTTACATTAGGAGCAGAGAATACCGTCACCAGGATCCGGTCCTGATAGAACTCATATCCATCTTCGACCACCATGTGTGCACGGCACACCAAATCAAAATCATGGCGCTGCAAGAAGTTCATGATGACCTTTTTGCCAAAACAATAACTCACACCCCGTTCATTTGGCTCCCAGTCTTCTTCCATGTCTGCAGGATCACTCCACAAGAGGTCGTTCAGCAGCCCATAGTCGGGCACATCGGTGGGCCGGGCAATGCCCCGGATATCATCCATATGCGACAAACTGGGTGAGAGACCGCCGTGAACGCAGAATATTTTGCCGGCAACGATCGCAGCAATCGGGAGACAGTTGAAGGTGTCAATGAAGGTCTTCCAAATCTTGATATTGCAACGCCGCTTACACTCGTCATAGAACCCATAGACTCGAGTGACGTTGGCGCACTCGTGGTTTCCTCGAAGCAGGAAGAAGTTCTCTGGGTACTTCAGCTTATAACACAGCAGCAGAAGGATGGTTTCCAGGCTCTGCTTGCCTCGGTCGACATAGTCGCCTAGGAAGAGATAGTTCGAAGCTGGCGGGAATCCACACATCTCGAATAGTCGAATCAAATCAGTATATTGACCATGGACATCGCCCACAATCTTGACTGGGGCGGATAACTCCACCAATGCAGGTTGGGAAAGGAAGAGCTCCCGTGCCGCCCCGCAGATGGCGGTAATTTCAGCATTCTTCAGGCAGACAGTCTTGGTGACTTTCGCCGAATAACCCGCGTCCAACAACCTGGTAATCATGTCATCCAGGTCGATCGACTTCAAGGCTCCCATACCCATGCCAGGGGATCCGGAAGTTTCGATGACGGGGTTGAGAATGAAATCCAGAATGGGGTTCAACTGGTTCTCTCGCTTGATCAAGATAGATTCTCCTGGGACTTGAGCATTTCTCGCAGGAGGTCCGTCCGATGGAGGAGCATCCGAGACAAGGTCCACCTCACCACTCTGCTTCATGGCATTCGAATCCTTGTGACCACGCTTCAAGCTGGTCGAGAGTGAGGGAGAGGGCGGGGGCTCAGGAGACGCAGGCCGAGAGGTGTCCGCCGATCCTACTGATTGCGTGGAAGAAAGACCGGCGTTGGAGCCGGGTCGGCTGTTGGAAGATTTGACAGAGCCCGCATCCGATCGGTCATTCTGGCTATCGGTCTTGGAGAGGGCCGTCGTCGAACCTCGGGGGCTGTCTGAGCTTCGAGCTCCGGGAATTTTCGAGCGAATGGATCCACGGAAGGAGCGAAGAGATTCTTTGGTGTCGGATTTCGAGAAAGACGGGTACGACTGCAACGGGTCGCCCCCGTCGGCATTGTTCTTGGAATGCGACTGACCCATCACTGCAAGGCTAGGATGAGTGCCAAGCTTGGACTGGGGTAATCGCACGAAGGGCGTTCAAACCGCTACGCCGAGAAAGGTGCCCTGGCGGTTGGAATGTCTTGGCTTCCAACTTCTGGATGTTCCCACGAGTATGTTAGGCCTGCAAATTCTCGGTGCAAGGGTTAAGAGTCCGAGTTCCGTGGAGGGTGGGAGAGATTTCTGGATAGAGCTCACACCTGCAGACTTTCTTTCCGCAGAGTGCAAGACACGAGGTTGAGGCCGGCTGAGAAGAAATGAATCAGAATTATGGATCGAGCGACCGCAGGATCCTGGTGTAATGGCGACGGACTGGGCTCGATGCGGTTACAAAGGGGGAAAAGGGCAGGTCGGAAAAGCTGGGCAGTGTGGGCGGAGCTCCGAGGCACGGGCTGAAGCTGCACGCGGGATCAGTACTGGCGCGACCGATACGCAAAATGATGACAGGGCTGGCACTCCACACGAGATCAACGGGCTATGTGGAGGTGGAAGTGCACCAAAGCAAGGGAGGAAATGGGGGAGTGATGGAAAGTCAAGTGGATTCGCGGGTGGAGGAATGCGTCATTATGGTGAATTTGGGGGAACGAGGTATTTAATCCGACGTCTAGACACGCGAGGGGTTTGATGAACAGTGAGGCAACCGATTTTCACATTACTTACCGTCAACAAAGGATTTGTAGAGAGGAAGAGAGAGAAGAGGGGAAGAACAGTCTCCAAGTACTCCGCCACTGCCGGGATGTGAGAAGGTACATTCCAAGTGCAAGGTTTCCCAGCTCAGTTTGCCTCCGGTTCTGGCCACAGCTCGATTCGGGGAAATCATTATCTAATCCCGGATCATCTCCGGCCCGAGCCATTCTAGTGTTCTGGGCCTTTTTAGTAGATTTTAGCAAAGATGGGCTATGTCTATTTTTATTGTGTAGCTTGATTTAGGGTTTGTAGATGTGTTCATGACTTTGGCGAATCGATCGTATCTTTTTCCAGGCTTAGGAGTGGGCAACATGGAACGAGTGGAACACCCGCCTTCCCATACCCAAATTCCCTCAAGAAGATAAAAACACGACGCATCACCCAGTAGCATGAGTTTCAGTCGGACTGACTGGTACTGTACAAATGAGCGTGCACATCTTAACCGACTCTATATTACTATTTCCGTGCCTTCCCGGCCAATATACAGGGGAGCTTAGACCCCTGGTCCGGGCTCTTATCAAAGGCGGCGGGCAATAGGCTGTAGTGCCCCCTCTGGGCGCCGCTAGGCGTCACAATGTTGAAAGTAGATATGTATCATCTTATCCTGCAGCTTAACAGGCCTAATATTTTCTAAGAAATAAGCAGATGGCCAGCGAGAGAGACCTCGAGCACTCCGGCCTTGTTGCACATTGGGTGACCTGGAGCCTCGCATGCACCTGATCATGCAAGAAAGCCACACTCCTGCACATTTCGGTGTGCCAAGGTATAATCGTGACGAGACACCGCCTTTTTCCCCTCCCTCAGGTTAGAGTAGGCCATAATCCATCGAATGAACTCCCCATCTGGACGAATATCGATAACGGGGACTTGTCGGCCAAGCTGACATGCTCTGCGATGCAGCTGCCGTATTCCCCGAGCCACGTTGATTGAAAAGCAGCGAGTGATGACCCGCCTGATCATCGAGCTTGGCGGCCCCGCGTTCAAGTCTCGAGCTGGCGGAAAGAAGGACCAGGGTGGTACTGTTGGAGAAAGTAGGGGAAACCCCGAGCGTAGATCGAGGCAGCACATGAGATCCTGTGGGCTTGGCCTGGCGGGGTCAGGCATGTTGGGCTCGATTTCTCATGGAATGGTGTAGGATGAGAGTAATAAGATGTCTCGTCTCGTGAACACGGGCATCTTTCAAAACAAGTCCTACTCCAGCTCAATCTTCGTAATGTATATTCCAGGGATCACAATGAGTCCGATGAGGCGGTTAGTCATGTTAACTTTGACAGTGGCGCTCTTGTTTTCGGACGTCTTATCCCAGGACTCAGTCTCCTTGGCCGCAGCGGCTTCTATGGCTGAGGGTGTTGGGAATCGGTACTCGAAGGAGTTGGAAAGTATGATGTTCCGTTCCTATGGCGCAATAGAAAGTATCAGCACAGCTCATCGGCGCATGGAGTACGTTTGGGATCGCAGCGCTTCCAAGCTTGAATACGGGGAATCGCTTACCGCATCGGTGCATTTGAAGATTCCGACGAACATACGACTGTCGGTAGTGTGGATACGCAGCTGGCGACCGAGAAGACTATCCAGGTACCGAACACCCTGTTCAACGTCCATTGTCGAGGTCTGGTGATCGCGGTGTGTTGACGGAGCTCCGATGGTTGTCACGACGGACTTTCAAAGTGACCAGTCCTGCCGCTTTTAGGGATCAGAGATCAAGTCAGGAAGATGACGGGTGGGTTTTCGGTGGGCTAGTAGGTTAAGTTAAGCAGGGCCTGGCGATTGTGTGTTCTTCAAGGTCATGCGATCGGTGATATGACGAAGAGAGACGGTTGGCACAGAAGAGAGCTATTGAGGTGCCTGAGGCCACTAATTGGCGGGTGCGACAATGCTCGTCCGTCACAGAACTACATACATACCTGCTGGGCCTTGTCAACAAAAAGCGGAGAAGAAATTAATGTACTGTTCTTGTGGAAGTATCAATCATTATTTCCTTTGTCAATCGTGCTCTTGCATGGTCTGCGGTCGTATATGGTTCAAGCCTCGGAAGCACGCGTGCCTAACAAACCTCATCAGGTTTCTTTGGACTCTTAAAGTTGCGACTCTCTCATAACTCCGATCCCCAAGAGACCAACGATTGGAATGGTGCGAAGACCGCGTGGATTAAGTATGTCCATTCGTAATATTACTCCTTCCGTCAACTAACCTAATGCACCTAGCAATACCCAACGCCAACACTATGATTATACAACGCCTGGGCTTCACCAAGGATCAGCCCAGAGTGATGAAAGCCCATTAACAAGAAGACTCAAAAGATTATTCGTGAAGAGATAGTGCCTCCACATATTACAGCGACCTGCGCTGCATTGGCGACATGAGGAACAGATGGAAATTTACATCCATCCCATCACATCCACATTCGAGGCCGAGTTTGACAGTTCACTGCTCTGATCAGTGTCCATGTCCACATCCATATCCAAATGCATTTGGTTGAAACCAGGGCTCATTGTCTCGCTTCCACTCGAGCTACCAGCTGGGTTCACGAACACATGACGTCGAAGCAAATTTTCTTGGTCAATAGCAGTCTCATTGGCCCGAGGCGCAAGTGCCTGGCGAGATGGCCTGAAAGGCGATAAACCTTGAGGGCGCGACTGGAAGAATCGCAGAAGTGTTTGCTGTCGCGGATCCACGGTCTCGGGGGTGGGAAGGGTTGGCTCGGAGTCCATAGCCTCATCGGTCGCGCCAGTCGACGTGCCCATTTGGTGCTGTTCTGGTTGTTGTTGCCGCTGTTGCTGCCGCTGTTGCTGGGCGGAGAATATCCAGCGGAGGGTTTTCTCTGGTGTTGGTCAGCTCAGGCTCCAAGCTGCATGGTGGTCGCGTGCAAGCTATAACAGCTGCCCGAAAATGTCTGAAAGGGGAGTTTGGTCGAGTACTCACCATACACAACCTCGTCACTGGGACGTCCATCTCGGAAACGCTTTCGCGTCCGGCTGTTCAGGTGTTGAGAGCCATCGGCTATGCTCCATTGGCTAGGCGCGAGAGCTGAAGCAGCGGAGGGCATCGCCGAGAAAGAAGCCTTGCGCTTGAGAGACATTGTGACGAGGGTCAAAGTAAGTTGAGATGTTGCCTGAGAGGCCACTGATGACAATTGTGCGCTCTGAACCCAGCTCTGCAGTGAGAGAGTCGCAGAGTTGCATTCGAAGGGCGAGTTGAGAATGCGCGCCAGATTCGCGTTGGCCGGGACACGCTAGTCTCATTCAGGCCATATTGCTTTTCCAACCTTTTCTATATTTACATCTATGCCACATTATGACGCGTGAAAAGTCGTGAAAATCTCATAAAGTACCACAAACAAAAGGAAATTTGCATATGCAGGGTAAGAGGGCTTGGTTGAGTTCTGGCGTTGAGTGGCGCACACCACGTTACGGGGTATTCATGGAAGCCCGCAATGATCATGACCAACATGTGTCAATTGACAACGAACTAATGACCGGGCAATAAATCAAGATGTCAACCCTTAACTCGAAGGTATTGATCAGCTAACAAGCCATTCAAATCTCTGTTTCATCCGGCATGCTGTGAGCTAGAGCATTCGGTATCCCGTAAACCAGTTCCACTAGAAGGTCTCCCCGCTTCTCCTCACATGAACCCGGGATCTCTCTAAGCCTCTACGCTTGACAACTTCGACCTCAATACAATATTTTTTCGCCATCATGCCCTCCAGAGAGGCTTCTCACGCCGGGTCTTGGTACTCGGATAGAACGCACACCCTAACTCGGCAGCTGGATGACTGGCTGGCACAGGTGCCGGACCATCTGGACAAGGTCGGATCCCTCCCAGTTCCGGGAGCACGGGTCATCATCGCACCGTATGTCATCTAGAATCAATCGCAAGCTTGATAAGAGCTACGAAATGCCGGATACTGATTTACTAGACATGCGGGGTACTCTTACTCAGGACCTTGCGCAGCCTACGCATACAAAGCGCTTGATTTGACCCAGGCGTGAGCTTATCCTCTGAAGCATCCATGTTGAACAGGCTTTAATCACATCTCCAGGAAGCGAATTTTCGTCTTGGGCCCTTCCCATCATTATCCGCTCTCGACGCTCGCGCTTCCCCAAGTCACCTCCTACTATACCCCGCTCTCAGAAGAGCCACTTCCGCTGGACACAGAGCTGATTGCCAAGCTCCTTCAAACGCAAGCTACAAAGCCAAACGGAAGCAAAGTCGGCTTCACCACGATGAGTCAGTCTGTGGACGAGGAAGAGCACAGTATCGAGATGCACCTACCCTATATCCACCGCCTCCTGCAGCTACAGCACCCGAACACCCCAACCGCACAGTATCCACCATTGGTTCCAATCATGGTGGGCAGCACATCCGCTGGAACAGAACAAGCATTCGGTGCTCTTCTAGCCCCATATTTAGCAGATCCGTCGAATGCCTTTGTCATTAGCTCAGACTTTTGCCACTGGGGTCTCCGCTTCCGCTATACATACTACGTCCCTTGCGCTCCTAAACCAGGACCTGAGCTCCCTCTATCCAGCGATGTCCTTCCACAACCGGGGAAAGGCTTCGATGTCATATCAGAGAGTATCGAATCAGTCTCGGTTGGACACGCCTTGCAGCGGCGCGATCGCATCTCAAACCAGGAACCAGCCATCCACGAAAGTATCTCGGCATTTGATATTGCCACCATGGCAGCCATCACGACTGGGTCTGCAGCGACCTTCTTGGATATTATTAATCGTACAGGAAACACCGTCTGCGGTCGACATCCGATTGGCGTGATCATGGCTGCGCTCGAGGTTGTCACGGCGAGTAAACCGGCAGGCAAGCAGGGGCAATTCCATTTCCTGCGATACGAGCGTAGCTCCGATGCGTTGGACGTGAATGACAGCTCTGTAAGCTATGTATCTGCGCTGGCTGTTCTTTGATTTCCTCCCGATGGCAAGGTTTCTTTGCTTCACGCAACCTTAGGAGGAAGTGACCTTACAGTGGCAAGACCCCCAATGGAACCTAATTCTAGAAAATCGATGTAGATTTAGTCATTCATCACCAATGGGGGCGAGGTGGCACCTAGAGATTCCTCCCCAGTTCCCTCCGCCAGCGGGAGATCCCCCCCCCCCCGGGGGGCCTTTCTTCAATTACTGGTCTTCTGACTATGGCTTGAGTCATAGTCTGTAGTTCTGCAGCATTCAGCAGGTCCACCCAGGCATAGACTCCAGTAGAGTGCCCCATCACAAGATCGGAACCAGCACATTCTCTCTGGGGTATTTCAGCCGTTACATCGGGGAGACACCGGTGACAAGATTCACAGAGGCTTACACTTACGAAGCTGACATATACTCTGATTCACGGTCACGATGCAGCCAGAAGTCAAAGTCCACGGAATCAGTCGACCTACAGAGTAGAGTTCAGGACAGGTGTTCACGGTTTGACCCGTTCAACAGCATTTGACCACCCTGGCAAGTTGCACGGAGGATTTTGTGTACCCGGAGCCCACCACCCATTTCCCCATGCAGGGCCTAGGCTAACGTCCGACAAGCGTGGCCGAATCTGTATCAGACAGTCACTAAACAGCCCCGATCGGAGACATCAGCCTTACCGAACATTGGGGCAGATAAAACTTGCAGATGTAGATGCATAGAATCCAGGGCGCGAACTGCTATTGGTAGCTGAGTCAAGTTGCAGGGCTCTCGCTCAAATCAATCTGCGACACTCGATCAGCCACCGGCATCAGTCAAAGATGATTATGAAACGCGGCGATCCTTCGCCTAGCCTCCGGCGCTAGCGATCCCTGGGCGATCGGGCTATCCGGCATTCAGGTCACACCAAACCACTTCAAGGTCGCCTGCCTTTTTTACTTTATCCTGCTTTCCTGCTTTTGCCTCCAGAAGCAAGGATCGTGGGGAGATCGGGGTGTATGGCCTTGACTGTTCATTGTTCATTGTTCACGCGACTCGTTAGCGCCGAGCTCCACGTCTGACAGCGTGATACTGTTACAGCTACGGAACTCCCCGTGATGGAGTTGATCTGTACACTAAGCGCTCTTTGGTGGATTCTGATGGCTGAGATTTCTAGGGGTCGCCGGATAAGGCTGCAGGGTCGAAGGGTTGAAGGTCAAAGGCGGTCTTCCATCATTACTTAACGCCTTTCCCTTAATTCATTTAAATTCATCTTCATTGTCTTGACACTCACTCTTACATTCCTTCAGTCACTCCTTCACACAACTCACGGCTCGCATCTTGGATTGCATTCACTTGCACTGGCACTGACATTGACATTGACACTGACACTGACAAGCCCCACCTGTCTTACCAAGTCGCGAACCATGCTGTATCCACTCCTTCTATCGGCCCTGATAGGGCTTTTATCCTTAACCACCCGAGCGTGTCCTCTTCCTTCTGAGACAACTATCTACATCACTACAACCATCACTGCACCGGCTGGATCTCTACCAAGTACTGATACTCTGGCTACCACGCCTACTACTTCTACTTCTACCACCACTACCACTAGTAGTACTACTATCACTACCACTACCACTGCCACTGCTCCCACTTCTTCCCTTGCCACTTTGACCCCTGCATCCTCAACAATGCCCTCTTCGACTCCATCTGGGACAACCGACAGACTGGTGTTCTGTCATTTCATGGTGAGTGTCTTGTACTGGAGCCCAACCCCGTGGGGTCCCGATAAGCAAACCCGATATTGATCCCGAGACCAGATTGGCATCACCAGCAACCGCCAGAGCTCAGCAGACTATGATGATGACATGAAACGCGCCAAAGATTTGGGTATTGATGCCTTCGCCCTCAATATTGGCACAGATCCTTACACCGACACTCAACTTGGCTATGCCTACGAATCCGCCGCTAGAAATGGAATGAACGTGTTCATCTCCTTCGACTTCAACTGGTGGCATATCAACCAGGGCAGCGCCGTCGGTGCCAAAATCAGACAGTACGCTGATCACCCAGCCCAGCTCAAGGTTGATGGAAAGATTTTTGTATCTTCTTTCTCGGGAGACGGCGTCGATGTTTCGGCTATGACTTCTGCAGCTGGACAGGACCTCTTCTTTGCGCCTAACTTCCATCCTGGCCAGGGTGATTTCAATGCTATCCAGGGAGCGCTGAACTGGATGGCGTGGCCTAGTAACGGAAATAACAAAGCCCCATCGGATGGCAAGAATGTTACGGTGGCGGATGGCGATAAAGCATATATGGATGCCTTGCAAGGGAAGCCATACATTGCCCGTAAGTTCTTTCGCTGTCGAGCTTGGAGGGCCAATATACTGATTTTACAGCTGCCTCGGCGTGGTTCTTCACTCATTTTGGCGACGAGGTCTCATACAGCAAGAACTGGGTATTTCCCTCCGATCTTCTATGGTATAACCGCTGGCGAGAAATTTTGCAACTGGGTCCCCGATTCGTGGAGATCATTACATGGAATGACTATGGAGAATCGCACTACATTGGACCTCTGTCATCACCTCACACTGACGACGGATCATCCAAGTGGGCAATGGACATGTAAGTTCTTCCCTTTGAATTATCCAAGAATTATACGCGCATGTCACTGACTTGAGCAAGGCCTCACACGGGCTGGCTGCAGATGTCCAAACCGTTCATCGCAGCCTACAAAGCCGGTGTCACCGACCCAATGGACTACATCACTGAAGAGAAGCTTGTGTACTGGTACCGCCCGACCAAAAAGGACGTCGACTGCGATGCGACAGACACCACCATGGAAGGCAATCCAAACAACTCTAGCGGGAACTTTTTCCGCGGCCGGCCCAACGGATGGGAAACCATGACAGACGAGGTATTTGTCGTCGCACTCCTCAAATCACCGGCGCGCGTACTCGTACAGTCGGGCGACCAGTCACAAGCCTTCCAGGCGCCTGCAGGTATCAGCGCATATTCCGTACCGATGGGCATCGGCCAACAGAAGTTTGCTGTCACCCGTGGCGGACAGACGGTGCTCTCGGGGACCAGTCTTCGAGACATTGTCGACACTTGCGTGTGCGGCATCTACAACTTTAATGCTTACGTGGGGACATTGCCGGCGCCAGCCACGATTGACCGGCTCCAGCCCGCGGGGCTGGCTTCGCTTTCGCAGGGGTTGAAGGTGGCGTGCCCGACGAACACATTGGGGCCGCATTCCAGCTTTGGTTAGGAGCGGGGCTGCAGTACAGACTGGATGGCAGGGCCAACAATAAGCTGCAGGATCAGCCATCAAAAAATTGAATGTACACTAGGATCCGTGATCAGTACAGAATGAGAGAATCGGAACATGTCAACATGTCAAACCGTTAAACTGTGAAGCTGAGAACGAAAACCGAGAGCAACGAGTCACAGAGGCCGAATCCGTAGAACGATCGGACTCTTGAAGTGGGCCCGGATGTGTTGTCTCCGCAATCTCCTTATCTTAGATCGATCACACCGACTTCTTCATGGCTTGGGCTTGGGCTTGGTCTGTGGCTCGGATTCAATGGAACTGTTCACAGTCCCTTGATTTTTTTTCCCACCCCAAATTTCCAAATTTCTTCGTATCACCACATCCTCGTATAAATCCAAGATCCCGGCATTCACTACCCTCATCACTAAAAAAAAAAAAACAATGGCCCGCATAAAGCAGGGTGTATTCTCCTGGGAGGACGTACTCGTCGAACGATACCAGAGTAAGTTAGGACAACTTCTCACAATCTCCCTAATAAGACTCAATTCCAACTCACGTAGGCAACAAACCCCCTGCCCTCCCACGTCGCCGCCGCACTCTCTCAGGATGGCAACCACAGCTTCAGTGCTATCTACTCTCCCGTCTCTCCCCCGAGCTTCGCCTCATGATCTGGGAATACGTCCTTGGCAGCCACCGTCTACACATCATCCAGCGCAGCGGTCAAAAACTAGGCCACATGGTCTGTCCACTCAGTGAAAACCGAATGACCGATAAGACGCGACGCAGAGTCTACGGCAACTTCTGTGAGATCTGTACTGGGGCTGGAATCGCCCAACCGGTCAAAGAGGGCGATCTGCGTCGGAGGGATTTCTTGCTCGGTCTCGCTTTGACTAGTCGGCAAATGTAAGTTGGATTCAAGGTAGCGCATGGGCATGGGCATGGGTGTGGGCGTCGGTACTGGCACTGGCACAGCTAACAAACACTCCTACTAGTTACGACGAATCAATTCACCTCCTCTATACACTCAATACCTTCGAATTCAGCAACCCCTGGACCCTTCCATATCTTCGCCCAACTCTCCCTCCAAATACCTGGGAATGTATCCGCAACGTCGAGCTCCGCTGGTCATTCCCAGGCCACTGGCTTCCAAGCAAAGACCCCGTGCGCGCAGTCTACGTCTCTGCAGGACGCGTGCAATGGTTAGAAACATGTCATATGCTGAAAAAACTCCCTGCACTGCAATCATTCGTGCTGGTACTAGGGAGCAGCTGGTTTTGCGAGCCCGTGGAGAAACTGCCTGTATTTCTCGAGCCGCTGAGTGGATTGCACGTGAATTGTCCACGAGGACTCGTCCGACAGCCCGTGGGGCTGGATCCGGAATTATGGGAGGTTAGCTCAGATGAGGAGTCCGCTTCAAGTTTAGAATCTGGATCTGGATCTGGATCTGGATCAGGGTTCAGTTCTAGTCCTTCCAGCTTCAGCTCGTTGTCCAGTGCAGGCGCGAATCCAGTTTCCAGTCCGAGGCCGGTCCTATCTTCTCGATCGTGCTCTGGTCCTCAGCTTGCGAGCGGGAAGCTTCAAGGGAAACACAATCTCCCCGTCAAGGAAGACCTAGCGCTGGCGTCGTGGGAACTCAGATTGCAGGGCCAGTCGTATTACGTGAACGAGCTTGGGAAGATCGGTGAGGATTTCCAGCGGAGGGGGATCGACTGTTGCATCACGACTGCGTGAGGAGAAAGATGCATACGTGTGATATACACGTAACTCGGACACCGGCTGAATGGCTCCATTTTGTCCTCGTGCATGCGTGTGAGAACGGGAGAGGTACGTCAACAGTCGATATTACCAAGCACTGTTTGCATAGTGTATCTTGCATATCGCCTCCCGCAGACAAGAAGACCTTCAACGGATAATACGCGAGAACCACGATACCGGGCCCCGTTCTAGCTTAGAGTAATCTAAAGTAATTAATCTAGAGCTATGCACAATATAGTCAAGCCAAGACCCTTTAATCTCACGGGCGGAACCAGCTCAGTAGCGTTACAGTCTCGGAGACCGCGGAATCTACAGACCCAGATTCTTTGGAAATCCTGCATTTACGTGATCACACAGTTTGACCCTCGCCTCGATCCTGCGGGGTCCAGTCAACACATCCAACGAGGTGGGCCCAGCACATTATTGCAATACCCGAAGCATCCACTAACTTTACAAAAAAAGAAACCCCCCTATCATGTTTTATCGTCTGTTATCTGTCATGCATTATCAATGATGTAGAATTGATGTGGGAGACGTACTGTCAAGACCTTCAAGATGAAGGGTTGTCCTCTGTCCAAAGGGTGAGACCCTGGACCCACTAGGACCCATGGTTCTCTTAAAATACCCGGGACCCTAAGAATGGGCCCGTGCAGGTCTGGCCCTACGCCTGATGTCTCCACTAGGCTGATTGTCGAAGGTTATCTGCAAAGTGCCGTTGTGATGTCCCGAGATATGTAGGTATTGCGGCCGTGAAGGAAGAGTTGAACTATGTGGCAAGTAGATGATCACTGCAGGACCAGAACACGCAGGTGGATTACATCCAAGGGGGTTCCACAATGCTCCACTCGGAGCTGGAGGCGCTAGCAGAATCATCGCGGGGGATGATCGCACATCACAATCAAATAGGTAATTTTGGGACAGTGGGGGGGTGTAGTTGGGCCGAGGTTGGGTTACGATATTTTATTTTGACTCGCCTATTGGAGTGTCCATAGGGTACAGCTTTTGTTCAAAGATGATTAATAATTTTGTATTGAATAGGGGTTGGAAGTATAGAAGAAAGCAGAGATTGAGATGCCGCTGGCCCAAAACTTTGGAGGGTCGCGAAAGACAGGGAATAAAAGATGGCTGGAAACACGTATCTCGTGATAGAACATGTGCCGTCAGGCTGATATCAAGCAATATTATAAATCATCACTACTGGCGCCGTGCCGAACCGTGCCCCCAAGCCCATAGCTAGGATGCAAAAGTGTAGAACCCGATAAAGAAATCCTGTTTTCCAAGCAAGGCCCGATGAATGCTCTTGCTATTTCGTGTGGTGTCACAATGAGAGTTTTTGAAAGGAGAGGATAATGGGAAAGATGTATCGTGTCGATAATTCGGTCGGTTGTATTGGAAGGGTGATCAATGATCGTTGAGAGCCACCGTGATCAGTAGCGCCAACTTTCGCTGGTGCGGGTCGAGCCGATGGCGTATTTTGAATTCTCCCTCGCCGTCGCGCTCTGGTGTGACCAGAATATGGGACAGCCGGTGCTCTGATGGACGCTAGGACTTGGAGCGTCGCGAGTGCATATGATCTGGACTCTGGGTCGGAGACGACTTTTGCGCCGGAATGATTCAGTCGGAGACGCCCGGTCCTCTGTTCAGCGCAGGGCTGGAGGATCAACGAGTCGCTCGAGGGTTCGACAGAAATAACCAAAGAAATGTTTGGAAGGGTGAGAAGGTGATGTCGTCATAAGAGATTTACCTCCCGCTGCCAGACCGATCATGGCCGGAGTGACCGTGGCGTGCGTTGGTTCGCTGGGCCGCAGCCTCTCGCATAGCATCGGCATGCTTCTGCTCGTCGGGACGACCGACTAGGCTGCGAGGCAAGAGGCTATTGATCTCAGCAGCGAGCGCAGAGGCCGTGTAGCCTCGAAGCTCTCTCTCCTCGCGCTCGTCCTCCTTGATAAGGCGGGGAATATCAGTCTTGCCCATGTTCTCACGGCGCTTTCGGCGAATCTCATGGATGGACCAGAGAACAACTTCTTCAGGCGCACGGGTGCGTGGGCTACCATGCTTCGGGAAGTTGCGAACGTAGCGGCGGGTCACGTCGGTCGCACCATCAATCGAGAAGGCGATGCAGTAGGAGATCTTTCGGTTCCAACCCTCGGCGTAGAGACGGGGTTGGTCCCAGGCTTCCTCGCAGGCATCGACATGCACCCATCGCTTCTGATGCTCAGAGTACACCTCAGTCCAGACGTAGTCTTCAGAATTCCAGACCCAGCGGACGCGAGCTCCGACCGCACGGCAAAGCATGCTGAAGCAGTTGGCCCATTCACCAACACGACCTCGGCGCGACCGTAGCAATTGCCAGACATCAGAATAGCGAGGGAATCGTTCGTAGGCACCGCAGCCTTGTCCGGAGCAACGATATAATTCGACTCGGGTGGCGCCACGGGCGGCCTCCTCGGCAGTCGGGGGTGTCATACCCTGGGCAATGGTCGGCATGCAGCACTGTCCGCATGGGGGGGTTGTTGACGAATTGAAAGAAGGATCGCTTGAACCACCTGGCAAACAAGGGATGTTAGTAACGCCGAGGAGTTCGGAAGGGTCCACCCAGGGTCTCGACCAACCTCAACAATGCCCGAATAACACAATCCTGGTAGCCCCATTCCGGCTTTCCGCCCACGCTAGCGGCCTGGGCCTGCATGATCTGACTTTCCTCCTCGGCTTCCGAGTACAAGCGGTCCAGAGGAATGACAGTCAAAGCCTCATCGAGTAGACCAGGGTTTTCGTATTTGGTCGGTGTCACGGATAAGCCCTTGAGAAGATTGAAGAATTTGAGCGAAGCGGGATCCTGCGGAGGCGAAGGCATGATGGGCAGACCCCGGAGGGCTGGTGACGATGTCGGTTTGGGCGTGGCTGGGCGAGAATCGGCGCCAAACGAGGGCGGTGGCGGAGGCGCTCTAGACGGGGGCGGAATGGAACCGGAGCTGGGAGTAGGTGACTGAGAGGAGCGCGATCGGTGGTGTTCCTGAAGCCGGTTGAAGCGTTTGGTGCGCATCAACTGCTCGAAATCACGAGTCAATGTCGAAGCGTCGTAGTTGGCGTGGGACTGAGCCCGGTGCTGAGGTCTGCCGTCCGCCATGTCGAAAAGGTCAACCTCGGCGGCAGACTAGTCGAAAGGGACACCAGATTGAGTTGGTGGAGGGGACGCTGAGACAGCTAGGGAGGAGAGAGGAAGGGAAAGGGGAGAAGATCAAGGTCGAGAGAGAGAGTCCATGGAAGGGGAGAGCTGCGTACGGTGTATTACGAGCGTCGTCAGCGTCTCGCCCCAATCACGGGCCCCGCGCCCAAGCCGCGTGTGCGAAACGGAGCCAAGAAAAAGACCCTTATTTTCCCGTAATTTATCCTTTCTTCTGCACACGTAATGACTCTGCTGGTCACGCACGGGGGGTTAAGCCATCTTACGCTGCCTGTGGTCTGGTCTTTTGAATTTGGGAGGCTCTCTACTGCTTTCTTTTCCACTCTTTTTTTTTTCCCCTCCTTTTTATACATAGAGTCTCTCTCGCTCTTTCTTCATTTGACTTTTCGCCCTTTCTTGTCTCTTATTCTCAACGTATTCGTATACCTAGCGATGCAGTCCTCGGAAACGATTTCAAGACCCTGAGTGTAGTCGTGGGGAATCGTGAAGATCTCTCTGATCGTCCCGTGTCTCGACGTGTACACTATAACGCAGTCGACCTCAAAGAGGAAGACTGGCTTCCACTATTCAGTAACCGGTGGCGGAGACGCGCAAGCGTCCGTCTTGGCAAAAGGTGCGATCGGGCTAGAGCCTCTGGTCGACCCACTCTTTTCTACCTATTACGGCCACGCTGACACGGTCCTTCGATCAAGACTTCCCGATTCCCATCCAAGACTCCGTAGACCCTGGGCAGGGGAGGGGGGGGGCTTGGCATTCACTCAGAATGTTGACTGCCTGGCTTCTAATTGCTATTCCTGTTCCTGTCGATCGAGATGCAACCACGCTGGTTTAAACTTTTCATGTCTTGGATTCTTCATGATTTCTTGACCGTCCTCTAATCTCTACTTTTTTGTTCTTCTCGGTGATCTGTTGTCTATTATCATCTGGGAACGCGTGGCTCGTTCCCTATCCCCATCTGAGTACAGCACTAAATCGAGGGTATACGCACTCCCTCAGAGGCTAACCAATCACCATTGGAGGAAATAAAAGACCCTGAAAACAAATACAAAAAAAAAGAAAGGAAAAGAAAAAAAAAGAAAAGAAAAAAATATAACAAAACAGGGTCGGCCCCATCAAACTGCTGCTCGATTTGCAATCCTGCGCTTTGTTCCGACGACTCCACCGAACACACTGTGTATCCTCTAGATATCTACAGTAAATTTAGTTGGCCCGCAAGATTCGTTGTGATCGCAGGATAGCCTCAATCATGGGACCGTAGTACACATGCCTACAGGGTGATTACCCCCATCCGGTCAGCCTGCAGCTTACCACGACAGCGACCATGACGCGTAACCCTGAGCCCGTTCGCCCCATGTTGGCAATTGTTGGTGCCTGCATGCCTGGCTCGGTCACTTGAAAATTACCCGATGATTCGACACAGCCTCATTCCCACTCCTCGTGTCGATATGGGGTCCCTAACGCATTATAGCATAGGTGAAATCCATTCATTGCAATGGTTCAGTCTTTTTTGATGTAATGATTTCCTTGATTTTGTAGAAGCTTTACACATTCTGTAACCCGGGGTAAAATTTCGGGACCGGTGGCGCAACCGCCAACTCATTTCACGCCAAACGCCGGGCTGTTTCTGCGGGCCATTTCTGCCGTTCAGCCTTTCAGCCTCTTGAACCCAACCCATGGCATCGGCAACACTTCAATAGTAGGTCGCTAGGCGGATTCGTCACGCCAAACGCCCATTCCTCATAGCGTACGAGTCAGTTGCAGATTGGAATTTCCACAGCTCATCTTTCCGAGCACATGAACCAATTGAAGCGGATCGAATGCTTATCCCCACGCCAAGAGGCCAAGAGCCATGAGCCGTCATAGTGCGCACCAGCCATAGCAAAAGAAGCTAAAATAACAAGCTATGAACACTGCTCATCCTAACTCTTGTGACGTAACTTACGTTTATTTCTTTAATCCTCGCGTCCTCAAGCCTTTTTACTCCGTTTTCTTTGGCAGAATTCCTTGGCAAGACTCCCCTCAACATGCGTACTCGAGCTGATCGCAGAAACCGAAGCTGGGCATTGCGACAACACCGGCGTGGCCTCTCCTTGGAGCTGCTTTTGCCATCAGCCAAGAAATCCATCCACGCAATCTAGCGGAGTTGAAATGCAGAATAAGCGGCATTGGTGTCAATCCTTGATTACATCCCGTGTTGGACCGTCCATGATCAACGTACGCTGTCGTCGCTTCAACCTGCTATCATCCAAAGCAGGGCCGAGTGATGAGCGGACTGACGTAGAAGAAGGCTGCTCACTCATGTCTGACTCAATCACATGCGAAGTTCACTCATGATAACCGATTCACCATCGCATGCGCTACCGCACGTTAGCTCTGTGCTTCCGCGTCACCCTCCCCGCGGAGCCCGTCGACTTACGTTCGCCCAGTCTCAACGACCTCTCGAATGGATTTTCTTGCTGGATCAGACTGTGCGCTGCAGAGCTTTTCACCGCTGCACGCAACTTGCGATGTGCGATGTGCGATGATGTTTTACGGGTCTGTTATCCTGACAAGGGGGAAGTCATCGTTGCTGCGCGTCTTTCATCTCTCTCATGTAGACGTACAAGTCCTTTCCGTGCTTGATCCTCTTCGGAATGTCTGCCGAACGCTAACGGCCGAGCCTGAGCAGAAGCGAAGTTATTCCGACTACCTTACGAGAATGGTCGCTTACTAGTCATGCGGCATTTGATCGACTACTGGATTAAGCTTCTCGGAAATGCACTTAATTACAATACATAGATACGCAAATGCACTTGAGTGCGATTGAAACTTCCCTATATTTTCGGTTGCTGCGTTGCCCACTTCCGTTGTTCTGCTTTCGAGCCATCTTCCGGGTGGCCGCGAGTTAACCTTAGCCTCCCCGAGCGTTCTATTTTAATATTCTCGGTGCCATGAAACTACCAAGAACTATTGATCGGGTGTCTTACTCAGACACTCTATTTAGCCGGGCGGTCCGATGAGAAAAATAAAAGGAAATAAAGCCCCCTTTTCATTCGAGGAGTCTAATATTCACCGAGCCTATCATGGGTGGCGACGTCGGCGTGACTCTTTCTAGAATATAAGCTTGAAAGTTGAGTCAGGGGATCCATAAATTCTCTATGCAAGTTATACACAGAGCGCAGGGATCACAGGTCGGGAAGAGGACACAGGCTAGATTCAGCTACGACTAGGAGACTGTCGTCGAGAATCCAACCCAACTATCTTGGAACACGAAATAAGTCAACCAAAGAAAATAAATCCACATCATCCGATAAATGAGTCTAGAGAGGTCTTTAAATGCGAGAGACCGTTCGCGGCTATAGCAGGGCGAGGTATAATTTCCGTGCGCAACATCGGGCAGACAACGTCTAAGCTCGGAGCTTCCAGTATACAAATACAACCCTGGAACTGCGACCTCGGGCAAGCCTGAACCCCCTCCTCAGCTGACCACCAACACATCTCAAAAAGCCTCAACTTCCAAATTTTCTCCTGTACTTTCGTCATGGCTATACTCTGCTAGTAACTTGGACACCGCAAGCTACTCGTCCGCCGCAATGACGGTCTTCCTGGCTTCTCTGTGAGTGCCGTGAATACCCGAAGCCCCAATCACACCCAGCTAACAACCACCAGTTTCCTCCCATATACCATCGACTTTCGGACAGCGGGTCAGAAAAATGGGCGTCGCAGGTCTTCACCCACTTATGCTGTCGATGGGTCTGGGTCCGGCCCCATTGTCGGACGTCTACCTCGACCACGATCCACCAGTCTTGAACTAACTCCGGGTGCCACGACAGAAGATGAGAAGATCTTCAAAGCCTACGCCTCCCAGTATGCAGGTGAAATTCCCATTACCGATGATCCCAAGGGGCCCAGTCCCAGTGAACCCCGCGTCTTGCCCTGGGGCAAAAGTCGCAAGTTCAACCAGCCCAGGTCCAAGGCAACCACGCATCCAGAGCCGTCGATTCTCAGTCGTCCAGGCTCACGACAGGAATCCAAGGATTCTTTCTTGGATGGAGCGCCGAGCCGGCTGGACCCCATGGCTCAAGGAAGTCCCCGCGCACTACTTTCGGCTGTGGACTGGGTCGTCAAAGCTGCTGAACAGGGTCATGGCGGGCTTCAAAATGCCGTCCACGCTGCAGAGGAGGCTGGTATCTTGCAGAAGAAGATGTGGGTAGGGGACGTTGGGTATGCCGACCGACTCTCTCACAGAGAGGACTCGAGATCTTATCGACAATACTCTTCGCGACGACTACGAGTCCCTGACTGTGTTTGTTGGGGACAGTGAATTTGAAGGCCATTATGCTCACTTCTGCCGCTCAGTGCTCTGGCCAGCCCTACACTATCAAATGCAGGAAAGTCCACGACACACAGAGTATGATGATTACTCCTGGAAGCAGTATCTCAAAGTCAACGAGGCATTCGCGGACACAATCGCCACACACTGGAAACCCGGCGACTGTATCTGGGTCCACGACTATCACCTCCTTGCCCTGCCTGCACTTCTCAGAAAGAGACTGCCTCAAGCAGAGATAGGATTCTTCTTGCATACAGCATTCCCTTCTTCAGAGATTTTCCGTTGTTTGAATCCTCGCGAGGCTTTACTAGATGGGCTTCTGGGTGCAGATTTGATCGGATTCCAGACGGAAGAATACTGTCACCATTTTATTCATTCCTGCAGTCGGCTTCGCAGACTCGAAGTCTCGGTCGACGGTGTTCAAGTCAACGATCGCTTCGTTCATGTCAAGAATTATCCCCTCGGAATCGACTATAAATCTCTGAACGTGCTGCGCCAGTCAGCCGAGGTCAAGGATTGGATCTCCAATATATCTGAGAGGTACCAAGGCAAACATTTGATAGTGGCTAGAGATCGACTTGATACTCCGGGCGGTATCAAGCAGAAGCTTCTGGCATACGAGCTTTTTCTGGAGAGCTATCCGAAGTGGAGAGAGAATGTGCGTAGACGGGCAGCCCGTGTCAGGGATGCAGATGTACTAATCAGTTCCAGGTTGTCCTTGTCCAAGTTGCATCCTCAGGGTCAGAGATTCCAGAGCTAGCAGCTCAAGTGTCAAAGATAGCTATGAGGATTAATTCTGTTTATTCGACTCTCACCCACTCCCCCTTGGTCCTACTGCAGCAGGATATCAGCTATTCCCAATTTCTCGCCCTGCTGAGCGTTGCCGAGGTTTTCATGGCCACAAACCTCCGCGAGGGTATGAACCTGACCAGTCACGACTTTATTCACTGCCAAGATGGTGAGCTTGCCACTCAGCAGTACGGGTCACTCATCCTGAGTGAGTTCACGGGTAGTGCACGCATTTTTCAAGGCCATCCACTCCTTGTCAACCCCTGGGACTACAAACAATGCGCGGATGCAATCAATATAGCTCTTGAAATGCCGACAGAGCAAAAGAAGCGCAACTGGGAGTTTCTTCTCGCCTGCAAATCCCCCCCACACCGCACTGGCTTGGTACTCGTCACTCCAGTCCGCCCTCCAAGAAGCTCACGGCATGCAACAGTCCCGCGACGCACACACAATTTCACCAGTAGACCCAGACACTCTACAAAAAACCTACAACACCTCACGAAACCGTCTGTTCTTCCTCGAAGACGGCGCAACATTCAGCTCGACGTCATTTCCTTCTCCCACCGCAACTGACACTCTCCAAGCCCTAGCCAGCGATACTCAAAATACTATCTTCTTAACTAGCAGCCACAGCCCCGACCAACTCACCAAATTGACGGCATCCCTGCCCTCCAATATCGGCCTCATTGCCGAAAATGGCTGCTTCATTAAACCTTCCAACGGTACCTGGACACCTCTCGTCGACGTCGACGGCACGCGGAACTGGCGCGCCGGCATCAGAAAGGTAATGGAATACTTCCAGGAACGCACAGAGGGCAGCGTAATCTCCGAACGCCGCTGTTCACTAACATTTCACTACGATGCCGACACAGCCGCGCACCAAGCCTCCGAACTAGCTGACCAAATCAACGGCGCTCGAGGTAGCGAGGCCATTCGCGTGGTTCGAGATGCTACTGCTGTCAGCGTTGAGCTGTTGCATGTCTCCAAGGCTACGGCTGCGGCGGAGGTTATTGATATGGCGGAGAAGTACCCGGACTTTGTCTTTGTGGCGGGTGGTTCGAGGGGCGATGAAGCCTTGTTCCGCTGGGCTAATCGATTGGATTTGCCGAGGGATGAGAAGGTGGAGCTTGTTGCTGTCACGACGCTTACGGCTGGAAAACATGCTACTGAGGCAAGGGCGAGATTGCCCGCTGGGGTTTCGTTGCTGGAGTTGTTGGGTCTTCTTGTGCCTGTGCCGGTGAAGAATGGTCAGGGTGAGGGTGGGGGTGAGGTGTTGGCGAAGTAGACCAGGACTTCAACGTTGTGTTGCGGACTATTTTTTTATCTCGTTTACTGACACTCTTTACTACGACTCGGCAGTTCACTTACGACCAAGAAGAAGGTACCTCAAAGACACGAAGTGAGGTTCAACGTGGACACGATACACATGTGCAACACGGATATTATGGAGTTTAACATCAGATAGTCAATATTTCAAGATTCTTCTAATTGGATCCATTCAAATGTTTTGATCTTCATGGAATTACATTGTCAACTCAGTCTCTTACTGCAACAATCCAACTCCGTTGAATAAAACCTCTCATCCATCAAACATGCTGAGGAATAGACCTCAAGCCTCAGAACGCACAGATACACGAACTCCGACAAGTCAAGACAAATAACCAGGAATATGCGCGCCGTATCCAAGCGACTAAGGCATCAGGTCCACCAGGTCCACCAGGGCAAGTTCTTAGAAAAGAAGCCCATGCGAGACGCATTGCGAATAAAGTTCAGAATACAGAAAGGAGTCCAGTCCAGAGCCATGGGGATTGTAAAAAAAGAGGAAATGAAAAACATGAATCGTGAGGAGTCCATGGCCAAAAATGGCTGTCCTGCGGCCTGTGTTGAATCGGGAAGGGGGAGGGGGAAGAAGGAGGATGAACAAGATGGAAAGAGAAGGAGTAGGTACGCTTATGTGCTGGCGCCTGTATTGCCGTCCTTTGAAGGTGGCATGTCGGTGCTGGCTGAGATGAGTGTTGGTGCGATTCGGCGCTTCTTTGGTTGCTGTCCAGTGGTTTCTGGGCCTTTGCTTCCTTCTTTTTCGGATTCGCTGGTGGTTCGCGTATCGCGTTTGCCAAGGACGCTGACGGTTGTATTTGGGCCACCTTGTGATGATAGTGGTAAGGGGGTTTGTGGTGGTGTGGTGAGTGGGAGGGCCGAAGGCTGCGCAGAGTGTGCTGCTGTGACCAAAGGAACAGAGCCGAGAGTGGGGGTGGGGTTGTTCACGACGCCTTGCTGATTTGACGATTGAGTCATGACAGAGGAGGCAGAGTTGGAGCGGGCTGGGCTCGCCGGCGGTCCGTGGGATGCGCTGGATATTGGACCCCCGCTGCTTGCTGGGCCATGACCATGACTCGACTTGACGGGAGATGGGGATACCTGTGTCGGAGTCGGGAGAGGAGTAGCGATTGACGAAGTGACCGCATTAGCCGCGTTAGCAGGTCCAGTCGGTCCAGTGTGGATTTGTCCCAGCTCCCCCGGTGCGAACGAGAGCGTAGAGCAGAAACCGTCTGAGGAGCTCATAATCAATGTCAAGCCATCGTTGGACCTATGACAGGTTAGAAATCATCGATTTTAGTTCATGGATATATCTCACCAAGACAAGTCTGTGAATGTGGCGAAATGTAAGTTGCTCACGACACATAGCGGGGTCTGTTGCTGGGTGTCATAGACGAGTACAGCATCCTGCGTAGCCACCGCATAGACAATTCGGTAGGGAAGCGCGAAAACCGGTAATGTTGAGCTTTGAGCTTCGCTATCAGTAGTCTTCGGAGATGCTTGGGGCTTTGAAGCGTCCCCTAAGGTAGAAGACGGCGGATCCATTGGTGGCTGGATTGTAGCCGAGGTATTCGACACAACCGGGTCCGGCAAGGGAGGGAACATCTCCCCTGCAGACGAGGTATCAAGAGTGATGTTTTTCGCGGGCTGAGCGCTTTGTTTGAGTGTGTAGAATATCGGAGAGCACTTGACGGCCACTGATGGTTTTTTGTGACCGGGAAGGTGGGCGATTGGCGGTTTGTTGAAGCCCGCTCGAGTATACACGTATACCGTGTTGATGATATCGTCCGTGGTTTTTGAAGAATCACTAGCAGAAACGTAAGTGGTCTTGTATTGACCGGCTGGCGTGAATAAAAGGCTTCCATCGGGTGCAAACGTTAGTCTTCGGAAGAAGGATGTGAAGGTCTCGTTCGCATATATGCTAGCATTTTTAACTCCCAAACCACCAAGCATGCTCGGCGAAGAACCCTCTAAAGGCTTCACTGCGGGCAATGGCAATGATGGAGCGGGCGATGCAGAGCGTCGAATAGATGGCGATGAGCCGAACGAGGAGCGCCGACTGTGAGAGACAGGAGGGGGATCCATCGGCAGATTGGATGCCATTGGTGTACCTGGAGTTGAAGGGGCAGGCGACGCAATTGCAATTGAGTTGGTTGCGCTCGGTGGAGGTCTGCTGGTGGGTTCTGGCGGAGCGGGACTGCTCGAGGCTATGCGTTTCGCAGGCAGGTCCATCTTGAGAACCTTGCCATGCGGCGTCAATGTGAATTGACCATCCTTGGTCTTTAAAGTATAGATGTGGACCGATCGGTCCGACGATTGAGTCGCGACAAACTCATTAAGCGGGTCCCACGCAACGCCTTGAACATAGTGAGAGTGCTCTGCGATCTGCCGCACCATTTGCCCTACGGTAACGATTATCAGCAAATAGAATGCGGGCGGAATTTTGTACAAAGTAACCAACCAGTTTGAGCATTGTAGATTCGCGCGATGTTGTCCATGCTCCCTGTCATGATAAAGACACCATCAGGAGACCAGGCCAAGTCGTAAATCTCCGCACCGGACGAGCGGCACATGTGCTTCACACGCCAGGACTCCTGGTCGTCCGGTCGGTCCTCTCCCAGGCCAGGTTGTGTTTGCAGCTCCGATGGCACCCAAAGCAAGACGTTGCCGTCGTCTCCGGCAGATGCAAGCATCTCCCCTGCACCAAGTCAGCTCATTATCTGCGCTCCATCGAACAGAGATCATACCCTTCGGACAGAATCTGACCACATTGACAGCCTGTGTATGCTTCACCAATGTGCTCAGGTAGTTAACCTTGCGTTCTTCGCCGGTAGACTCGACTCGCCATAGCTGTAGGGTGTCAGACGGGAGATTCTTAGGTAGGACAACAGGGGCGGAGACATACTCGGACGTTGTTATCACTAGCAGACAGATGTCAGTAGAGTGCTTTCGGGCTTCAGAGGTGTCACCACTCACTTTCCAGCCGTTGCGAGGCGTCCCTTGCCATTTGGGTCGAAATGCACAGAGTAGATGGGCGCATTGTCATTATGCCATGAGATAAGCAGCGGCGAGGCCTTCATTTTGAGCTCTGCAGCCCCGAGAGCCGAAGACAAGGACCACCCTTTCCAAGAGAAATGCGTATGGGCTGGATTCCGCCGTGGTCTTCGCAGGTTCGAAGACGGCTTCCGTCTCGGTGGGTTGGTGGAAATGGACTGTGAGGATTGAGAATGAGACGGGAGCACCGAGAGAGAAAGGAGGAAGGAAGGACAGAGAATTCAACGGCAGCAATGAGGGGAGGATAGGAAAAAGAAAGAGTAGGGTGAAGTGATGATGCTTCGAGTTGTTTGCGCGGGAACGCGACCGAGACACGATGAGACCCGATTAGATACGACCACTGACCGTCGCCCTAATTTCTACTCCGAGAAGACGATGGACGTAGCATCCTAGATCCTGGAAATCTTTTCCTCGACCAGTCTTCTCATTCTTAGATCATATTCAGTGTTTGGGGGTTCATTCCGTGGTGGCAGAACCGAGGCGTTGAATGGGCCTCAGTGTATGCTTCTCGCATGCCTTCTTACCCTCTTCCCAGAAGTCTCTTTCGATGTCTTTCGAGGCAACTTTAGACACCGTCTGTCTCCGTGTGCAGCTATTAAGTAAATCTCCGAAGAGACAGGTCATACCCATCGGGCCACTTACAATGTTTCCCCAGCCCCCGTGGATGGCCGGGCTTCTTTCAGCACTTAGGAAAATATACAGACGTGCATTCCAGAACGCCGATTCCTTTCGGACTATCATTAAAGATACACAAAGAACAAAGAACATATCTTAGAATACAATACAGGCGTTTCATGAGACCCATTTGCCAATTGTCTCGCCAAACCAACTCACGGCCTTTTCCTGCCGCTTTGTCCGAGTATCTTCCTGAGCCTTCACGAACGGACTGGCCTCCTCGAAATACAGCTTCTGCTGCTCCAATTGGGCATTGTGGGATCGAATTTCTAACTCTCTTTCGTGTGGCGTGAGTTGCCACAGCGGCTTGGATGGCTTGAAACCTTCAGGGACAGGCTCGTCTCCGGGAATGACAACCTTGGCCTTGCCGCCCTCTGGTACTGGATCCTGCGACGGCGCCTGTGGTCCCTTCTCAGGATGGAAGAGGGATGTGACGGGTGGGATCTCAGTCCCGGCAGCCTTGGCCTCCTCCACTCGCTTTTCGTAGTCCAGCATCTGATGGTAAAGCTTGTCGGCATGCATCTGGATGCGTTCCTCCCTGACAGGGTCATAGTCGAAGGATGAAGCGTAGCCGAGGGCCTGTAGGAATTTCTGTTCGATGGTTAGTATAGTTCCATGGGGGGGCAATCGTAGACATGGTGGAAGACTGACGCTCTGAGTTGTGAAGCATCGGGAGAAGACCCCATTCTCAGCCGCGCACATGGTCAACCGAGACTCCAGCTGCTTGCGCCAGTTCCCAGTCTTGAAACAGTACGTCAAGGCTTCATGTTCCAGCGCACAATTTTCCATCGCCGCCCGCTGCACGGTGTCGCCGCGCTCCTTGTGATGCTCAATCACTCGTTCCGCTCCGCGAGCATCGGAATACCCATCGAGATTGGTCGGCGGCTTATAGGTCTTCCAAAGGTCCGCGTAGCGACCATCCTGATAGAGTGAGGCCGCTGGGACGGTAGGCTTCGATGCATCGGCTTGCTCCTGGGGTTGACTTGTGTGCGCGGGCGTAGATGGCTTCTTCGCATCGTTTGCGGGCACGTATTTGTCGGGAGTCTCCTGCTCAAGGTATTCACGTAGCCCCGGTTCCAGTTTTTTGACCGGGTCGTTCTTGTTATCACCCCAGAACCAGCCCATTGTGAGAATGCGAGGCAAAGGCGTTGATTTCAACGCTGCGGAGAAGTCGGGACAGAAATGGATCGGCCCCGATTGACTCGCGCCCGACCGCTGTTGGCATCTTTGCTCTTCCACCACAACACGTCGCGTCTTTCTCGACGCCGTTCCTCCACCATGGCTTCAAGTAGGTATATTAAATTCCTGTGATTGACCGCACATTGTCTTGCTAACTATTTGACAGCGCGAGAGGAGCGGCGACAAATGCGACAGCGCGGAGCTGGGTACGCGCCTACCCCGCGAAACCACAACAGAGACCTTAAGCTAATTTGATGGTATAGCACGCGCGAAATTAAGGCGGTTGACTTCGGGTTTTCCTTTGGAGGACCAACACTGGGCGCAGGCCCTATTGTGCCCGAACCAGCTGCGCCGACGACGTCAACACCGCCGAAGTTGCAGGTTTCACAACAATCCGAGTCGCAAAGCAAAGTGAAGGACCGGCGCACGCCAGGAAGCGCGCGCAATTCCCTCCCACAGCGCCCCTCTACATACGACATCCCATCGGACGACGTGCCAGCGGAGCCGCGAAGCAACAAAAGGAGAAGAATCAGTGCGTGGCGGACCATACCAGTCATCTTAGGCTCATTTTGTTGTACTAATGCATCTTAAGATCCCCCTGACACCATATCCGACACACCTTCTCGTTCAAGTAACCCACAGCCTCACCATGGCGACTCCAGGTCCAATGAACTTGGCGAGAAAGCCGGTACTGAGGCACCATCAAACCAAGCTCCTGAAGCTCCAGTGACAGAAACGCCTCGACTAATGGCGCTTGATAACGTACCTGAGTCTCAGCAATTATCTCTCCCAGAGTCCTCGACCAATGATCAACAGACGGTTACGACGCAAAAAACTACAGGCGGAAATATTATATCTAAAGAGCAACCCACCAGCAGAGAGGGCACACCATCTGATCGCATCCGGTCGCCCAGAGCTCTGCTCAGTGAAAGCCAACCTGCTGCCGCTGAAACACAAGCAAGGCCATCGAGTAGGGGCCAACGAACCAGTCGATCCCCCCTCCAACCCAGCAACCCAGTGCAGGAGGAGCAAAACCATCAGGCGGATGGACTCGCGCAAAACTCTGCATTTACAGCTCAGGCAACAGGTGTAGATATAGGGGGGATTAAGCCCACCAAAGTCGTCACCGAGGCTTCTTCAAGGACAAAGCGCCCTCGCGGCAGACCATCCCTTACGAAGAAGACGACAGAAGTTGAAAACATACCACCAAATGAGCCTACGGAGACCTCTACCGAAGCACCTTCCAAAACCAAGCGTCCTCGCGGAAGACCATCTCTTGCGAAGGAAAATGCTGAGACAAGAGAAGTTGGAGATCAGCCCAATACTCCTGTTAAGCCCGCACAGACTACAGGCGAATCATCAGGGAAAGGTGTACGCCGGGGACGTAAGGAAAAGGCAGAGAGAAAATCCGAAGCCGAGATGGAAGAATCCGAAGCGCAAGAACCGGAGGCAGAAGCTTCATCCAAGGCTCGTCGTGGCCGACCTGCGAAGAAGCCTAAGCGTGCAACCGAAGCCGAAGCTGATGTTGAGGCTGAAATAAATGTGGAAGACATTGAAGAGCAAGAGCACGAGGAAGTGGAACCTGCACCTCCAAAGCGTGGTCGACCTGGGAAGAAGGCCAAGCGTGCAACGCAGGCCGAGACCGAGGCAGAGGCAGCAGAAGTTGCAGGGCGAGAGCAGGAACACGAAGCTCCACCACCAATGCCTCATCGTAGCCGACCCGGTAGGAAAGCTGAACGTACGGTAGAGGCCGAGCCTTCACCCGCAGAAGAGCTAGAAGCAGACGCTTCGCGAGAGACACGCCAGAAAAAGAAAGCGCGAGAGCCCCGTGGAGAAACAGTGCCGGTTACTGTTCACCGCCTTACCAATGCCTCTGCGCTGGGTTCGATGTACACTGATGCATCTGGTGATGAGGACGAGGAATCGGCAGACGAACTCTCGTCTCGTCGAAAGACGAAGCTGCCTAACCGTGGGGGTGTCAACCCAGCCGATGTTCTGAGCCAGATTTGCCGTGAGACGCTGGAGAAGACGCTCACGACACTTCGAAACGGCATCGCAAATGAGACCAATCCCACTAGGCGTGCGGAATGGACTCGCAAACGAAAAGCAGTCGAGAGCTTTGGATCTGAGCTGGATGGCCGACTTCTTGATCTGAGCGAGATGCTCGATAGTAATTTTGTGTTGGGCGTGCAGCTGAAGAATTCAAAGCGAGATATGATGGATCTGCGAAGTCAACTGTACCGGATACGACGGGAACGCGAGAGTATAGCACTGCAGATGGATGCGGTGCGCGCGAAGCACATGGAAGAGGAGAATGCAAAGACTGTAAGAATCCGCGCATGGCTTATCAAGAATCTACTGACTGACAATCTTCCAGGGTCGCGCCATCATCAACAATTCCCTTCACAGCCTCGAGCTTGCGCTGGACCGCAGGCACAACCAGCCTGCTACAGAACCCTCCTCTGCCGATCTGGAATTTATGCTTCGCACTGTCGCCCGCGACGTGAGTAGCCGGGCTCCTGGAGCCCAAGGCGGACTATTACAACAGATCCGTGCCTTCAATGCACAGCTAGAAAGTACAGCACTACGCCTGGAAAGCAAATAATCGGAGTCCTTTTGCAGTTCATGTCGTGATACCAAGTTGGTTCTGGCGCATCACCCGCAGCTGGTCCCGGGCTTGGCGCAAGGGAATTCAGGTACTATACGTCATATGAGGCAATGCAGAACCGATGAGCGAGTCTGCTTTAAGCGTTTAAGCCTGCATCGAGTTGAGACATGGATCGCCAAAGCCTGAAATCTATAGGGAGAGCTTAATTTATTTGTCAGCCCGCAATTTGTTACATGGTAGAATTGATCCGACTCGGAGACATATAATGTTCTATGCAATTCGGCAACTCTACGCCGAGCGCTCCACCAGGGGACAGAAATGCTTGGAAATCATTCGGTGGGTCTGGCATCATCTATAAAGAAGCCTGATCTTCAAATCGGTCGCCCAGTATAATCTAGAGGAATAACAATTTGTCGACCCTGCATATCCCTGCAACTCCACCGCATTGGCCCCGATATCCAAACATCTGTACATTTATACACCTATACACCTATACACATACAACCTGACCAAGTTAAAGCGTCCAATATGACCAAGCTCTCCACCCCTATCCGCGTCGGTCGTGTCGACCTCTCCAATCGCATCGCCATGGCGCCAATGACTCGCTTCCGCGCCGACGACGACCACACTCCTCTGCCAATGGTGGCAGAATACTACGCCCAGCGCGCCTCAACACCCGGAACTCTCCTCATTACCGAAGCAACCTTCATCTCCCCGCAAGCCGGCGGCGCACCCAACATTCCTGGAATCTACAACGATGCCCAAATCGCTGCTTGGAAAGAAGTCACATCCGCCGTCCACGCCAAGGGCTCCTACATCTACCTTCAACTCTGGGCCCTAGGCCGTGTCGCCAGCGCCGACCAGCTCAAGAAGGAAGGCAACTTCCAAGTTGTCTCTAGCAGCGCCAACCCCGTCACGCCCGACGCCACCGTTCCCCACGAACTCACCGAATCCGAAATCCAAGACTGGATCAAGGACTACGCGCAGGCCGCCCGCAACGCCATCTCCGCAGGCTTCGACGGTGTCGAAATCCATGCCGCGAACGGCTACCTCATCGACCAGTTCAACCAAGACACAGCCAACACCCGTACAGACCGCTGGGGCGGTAGCGTCGAGAACCGCGCCCGCTTCGCCGTCGAAGTCACCCGCGCCGTGGTGGATGCCGTCGGCGCGGACCGCACGGGTATCCGATTCAGTCCCTTCAGCACATTCCAGGGAATGCGCATGCAGGATCCGGTCCCGCAATTCAGCTACCTCGCGCGCAAGATGGCGGAGTTCAAGCTTGCGTACGTGCACGTTGTCGAGTCGCGGATTGCCGGAAATGCGGATGTGGAGGCGACGGATCAATTGGACTTCTTCCTTGAGGCCTATGGAAAGGCTGGCCCTGTGATCATTGCCGGTGGATACAAGCCGGATTCGGCGCGGGAGGCGGTTGATCAGAAGTATCAGGATTATGAGACCATTATTGGAATTGGAAGGCCGTTCATTTCGAACCCCGATTTGGTGTTTAGGATTTTGAAGGGGGTGGAGCTTGTCCCTTACAACCGGGATACCTTCTACCAGCCTAAGGATCCCAAGGGATATGTTGATTATGACTTTAGTCCCGAGTTCAAGACTGCACAGGTGGCGGCTTGAGTTACTTGATGCATGGCGTGATGAGTGTATATAGTGGGTTTTGAATAGATTCATATAGTTAAAATTACTCTCATTGAGATCTACCATCTACATACTATGACGGAGTGAATATGCGCAGGGAGCCTTGGGAGCCTTAGGAGCCAAAGAATCTCAAGAGCTGCTCCAGCTAGGAAGATGGACACAGATACACTTCAAAATGACGATCTATGATCAAGGTGATTGGTGATAGGAGAACACATCATAAAAAGTCATTATGCCCATATACTTGTAAACCATGGTCTCCGAGATGTTTTCTATCACAACCTTCCACAAGAAGTCCATCTAGAATGGCTTGAGCTGCACTGTATGCCCCTGCCAGGTCCAATCAAAGAGAATACTAAAAGCAAGTCAGCATACAAGTCCACCAAATCATCAACACATCAAAACTGAAGAAACTCACCCTAAACTCCCGATTTTCTCGATCCGTCATATCCAAAAACTCGGAATTCTCCCTATGCTCCCTACTCTCCAAATTTCTATCCCTCCTCCGATTCTCCCATGTGTAATACGCCCTCAAAGCCATCGCAAAGACAATAGCCACTGCAATCGTCACCACGATCGCAATCTTCGCCGGAATATAATTCGGCTCATCCTCCGTGCGGAACGTAAGCGGGCCGAGAATATTGCCCAGACAGAACGACATGAGCAAGATCGCGTTCATAGTGACCTTCTTCGTGTGGCCCGCAACATTGGCGCCGGCTAGAGAGTACATGAGGGGTAACGCTGAGCCGGTGACTTGGGTAAGATAGTTCCCCGCTAGTTGGGCGCCTTTCATGTCGTGCGGTGAGAATGCGAGGAGGCAGCCTCCTAACAACCCGCAGAGGAGGACGGCCGCGACACAGAGACAGCGTTGATTATAGCGACCGGCGCAGTATGTAGCTATAAATATAGAGATAATGGAGATGACGCCGTTGGGGACATTGAGGAGCTCTGTTTGTTTAGTTGTGAATCCGATGTTCTTGATGATCAGGGAGGTGAAGCTGCTGATTGCTGCATTTGGGACATCCATCGCTGTGACGATCACGGCGATTAAATAGGTCTGTGGGCCGCGGAAGACTTCTACCGCTTGGTGCCATTTGAAGTGCTTGTTCTCGATACCCGTTTGGTTCTCGCGGAGGCGCTCAATGGCGAGGACTTTCTCGGCATGAGTGAGCCGTGAGCTCATGGGGTTGTCGGGAAGGAATATGAAGATGCAGATTCCTACCACGATGGTGATGAGGCCGAAGATGAGGAACATGATTTGCCATGGTTTGAAATGGTTGTCTGTGTAGAACAGAAGGCCGTATGCGACTAGGGCGCCCATTATTGAGGCTGTGCCGGTGCCGAGATACCAAATACCCATGCGCTTTGGTTGTTCTATCGAAACATGGAATTAGAAGGGCGTCAGAGGATGTGGATTTTGAGGCGTACCATTCTTCTTGTACAACATGGAGGTGATGAGAATTAATCTGATTTTTGTCAATATAAGGATGTTGTAACACCCATTCCAAGGCTACTCACGCTGGCGCTATGGAGCTCTCAAAGCAACCCAACAACACGCGGAGTGTCATCAGCCCACCGAAATTCTTCGCTGTGCAGTTCAATGTGGTCATGATACCCCATAGAGTAACTAGAGATATGTCAGTGTTCCGGTCTCTGTAGATGGTAACGATCACAGTTCACCATTGAACCCCAAGTACTTGGCCGTCGGCAATCGTTGCATCAGATAACCAGTTGGTAGCTCAAAGAACAGATACGTGACATAAAAGGCCAGCGTCAGATCAGAGAACTTATTTGTTTTGCATGTTGGTGTCACTGAGCAAGCCCATCACTGATGCATAGTTGACTTGAAGCGGAGTAGATCAGCACGAGATTACATACGATAAGAAGCATCATCACCTACTCAGCACTTTGTCCAGATATTGTAGATTATACGCCGCCCACATCAGCGGCATGATCATCCAGTCAATCCTGCGCACCAAGGCTTTCTCATTCACATCTGTCGCGACCGCGATATCTTCATCACGCAGAAACTCGAGCGCCGCATCGGCCTTGCCCGTAGGCAGATTTTTGACGTCGATGTCAACCGGCTGGTCGCCTTCGTCTTCTGGGCGACCCATGCTTCGACTTCTTTAATTCTGAGTTCAAATTGATGGATTTGATGGGTTCCAGTGCCCGATTCATAGATCTGCCCCCGCGCAGTCGCGAAGGGCCATTTCCCTCTAAATACATGCTGTAGTTCCATTTCCCTTCCCCAGCTCGGCCGAGCATTAGACCTTTGCGACTGATAACAGCCCCGCGATACCTCTTCAAGAAGCTTTTTTCCCGCTGCATGCCATTCACCACTCACCACGAGCGGAGATGCGGCCTATCCCGCCGTAGATAGCGGTGCACAGACTAGACGGCAGACAGGATGGCGCGTGGTTGGCTGCGATTACAACTCCGCGCAGAGGAGGGGGGAAGAAGGCCCAAACATCTCTTGAGGGAACATAAATAGGTCTTCAGGACATCTTGACCGGTGCGTCGGCAAAACGGTTAGACCTGATCAGGAAGGTGTTGAGCAGAAAACGATAGAGATAGCTCCCCAAAAAGTCCCCCCCCGGCTCGGCAGGCATGGAGATAAGTCGAGCTTTCTCAGATAGATGAAGAGTGCAGCGCACCAACGCCCGCAAGCCTGGCGATCGTCAGTGAAAGGCAGTGCCGATAAGAGGGGGAGTCGCTGTCCTCGCCACCTGGCCGTCGCTCAATTGCCAAGTTCAATAGTGAACAGGGTCCAAATCCAACAGAGACACCATTTGGTAGGACGAGATATGAGATGGTGAAGACGAAGACTATGAGCCCTCTAGTCGTGCCAACAGACTCATTTTTGGGTTGAGCTCATCCCACTGGAAGCGCTCTTCACCGTAGGATCGTTGAATAGTCGATCGACACTGCATCGTCCCACTTCCATCTGATCATTCTGTTCTTCTGACTCTCCCGTATAGAGTAGAGAAAACATACATCCATATAAAGATGACTTTGGGCCTCAGTACCAAGGAAGCACCTTTCCCTAAAGCGGTTGGACTCCAATGCCCACATCTAGTAGAAACCTCCGACCCGGCACTCAATTCCTCATCCAATCCGGGGTTTTAACGTGGTTCCCAGGTCGGCCCAGTCAAGAATAGCCTCAACGCAGTGCTGGTCTCCATATTGAGTACCCTCGGCATGAACGATGTTATTTCCGCTCCCCCGAGCCGAATGCGGCGGACCCTGACTATGGTCAAGTATGGTTCATGCGGGGGCATCTGGGGGACCTCCAGCAAGTCGCGTCACTGACTTCACGGAGGTCGACGGATGCGAGAACGATTCAGTGCCAACTTTCGGCCCCGAATTGCCTGTTGAGAACAGCGGACCCCGGGATGCCATCCAGAACTTCCGAATGCTTTCCAGGTCATTGGGATCTCCCCCGCACTTGGGGTCATGCGAGCAGAAGACGTGGGGAAAATGCGCTCGATCTCACAGGTTCTGGACACTCTCCGTAGACCAATCCTGTCGTCTAGATGTGATTACAGATCATGGTTTTCCTCCCCCCCCCCACAATGACGCCAGGATATCATTGCTCCAAGATTTCCTCCAGTACTCTCTTAAAATTATCCGGACTTTTCTAGAGCTATTCGAGCTATTCGAGCTTTCGAGCTTTCCCCGCACGAGATCGGTGATTCCGGGGGAACGGAAATGGGAGGAGATTTGGTTGGCCGGTCGGTGTCCTGATGCCAATCGCGGTTCCAAAGAGGCAAACGATTCGCCCACCGATGTCTGATGTAGCGAGCGGACCATCCGGATGTGCGGGTGGCGGGGAAGCGCGTCCTTGGCCAGCGCGAGACGAAATTCGGTTCTCAAAATTACAGATTTGTATACCAAGCTGGGAATTACTGGGTCATCTCTGCACCAGTCATGGTTTTGAAACGAACAAGCTTCACACGTGGAAAAGCTGCAATGGGGTTGGCGTCCTTTTTTTTGGGCTTGATATGGTCAGTTTACCTTCTTCACCGTGTTGTCTCTAGTCCAAAATATCTCACTTCTCGGAAGGTAACTAATTCAGCGAGGAGGCGCTACATGAGTATTTGAATGTCTCAAGTTTGTGACTGTGACTATATCGAAGGATTTCACGGACCATCATTGTTTCCTGCTACGTGGGACCAAACGGGCCAGATGGACGAGGCGGATCGCGAAAATCGCACAAACCCGAACACGTCCTCCATAGAAACTACGGTATCTTCGGCAAGTGTGGACGGGAGACATTGGGTCAAATATTAGTCATGGCTGGTTTTATGGCCTTGGCAAGCCACCACTCATAAACCTGTGTCTAGATCAATTAATTCGTATAGTAAAACAGCACAAGTAAAACTAAATAAGAGTGGGTTCCATAGCACATAGCATGCACTATCTTATAAGCGAGCTACCGAAAAAAAAAAAAAGTACGCCATGCAGGGAGCTCCAGGTCGCAGGAAGCGGGAAACGGGAGTTCCGGTCAATCAGCAGTGGAGTAGCTGCGGCATGAGAGGGGCCACAAGCTCAAGCTGGAACCAATAGACCGACCACACGCGCTGTCCTGTAGCCTCGCATTCGGCACAGCTCGGTGCATTGGTGTGGATTGCTCCGAATGGAAATTTTTCTTTCCAGGGGAAGGGGGCCATTACAGGCCATTGGGAGGTCCGCCGGTGAGAATATAGAGAACGATGGGGGGGTACCTGGTACTACTTTTCGACCCGTGTCTCTTCCCGTAGCTGTCATTTCGTGTCATCCTCGGGAGAACCGCAGTCCCGTCAGGGGGTTACGGGGTGAATCGATCTGATACGTGGTCGAAGACGAAATGGAGCCAGACACGGGCCGAATCCAGAGCTGAATCATGTTGGTCCACGGAGGTCAACATGTGTTTAGCTCGTTCTGTTTTTCTTTTTCTTCTTCTTGGTTGTCTCTCAGTGGAGCTTATCGCGTTAGGGTCGGGCTGCATGAGTAGCGCTCATAGTGGAACAAGGACTTTACAGTAGAGTTATTCCTCATGAGGACAATGGCTTGTTGATCCACTGAATTCCCCAGCACGCCAGAATCGGGCACATGTCTGGTCGCGGTCTAGCGGCGGTTGGAGAACAGCTTTGTTTTGTTTTGTTTTGTCGTGTTTGTTTTATCCTTTTTTTTTTTTTGGTTCTATTGAATCTCTCACGCACGATGCCGACTTGACCCTCCTCAAGTTCTCGATTGCATCTCAATGAAAGCTCGGTTGTAGGGTTGGAACACGCCGTCTTAGATCCAATCCGGAACACGGGATGTGTCAACGGGCGATAGGAGTTTAATGAGGATTCACTGGCATTGGGGCGGTTTGGAGTCTCCACGGACCGTGAGCAATGTTGATTTGTGTTTAGTTTTAGTGTGGTGCCATCATCCCGCGACTCATCAAAAAAAAAAAGGGGCATGAGCAAGGGCAAGTTTCGAGCCTCGCGAGACCACTTTAGTCTAGGCCAGCCTCGGGGACTCCGTATTGCTTAAAAGCCTGTGCTGGCGCTGGATAGGAATTATTTAGTTTGCCGTGTAATTAGGGTATGCTCGCCAGGGTCAAATTTAGCCGGATGATCTTGGTCTGGATCTGCTGGTGAATAATGCTCGGACGGTTTCGAGTTCCCCGTCTCTTGGGGATGTGCCCTGCACACTCTGTGCACAGTGTCGTGGATTTCCTACTCCGCTATGGATCATCAAGCATTGCATTCCTCCCCACCAGATGATCTCGACATGTGCCAATCGTTTACCGTGATCTTCCGGCCCCTCGAACAGCTCTGGAGTCTCCAGCACAGCTCGGGACTCCAAGGCCCCCCGATAAAAACACTCGTGTTCAATGGGGCCCATCGTGGGTCTCGGGGGGAATGCAAAGAAAGGAAAAAAAAAACCTGAAATTACCGGCTGTTCAATCTTGCTCACTCAAGTCATGGGTCACGGGACCCCGGCGGCCACGGCCAAAAAATGCGGTACGAGCGAAGATCCGTCATCCCGGGTGAAGTCATGATATGATGTCCACGGCCAGAATCGAGACGAGGCCCCGGATTGGTTCCTTTGGTCCTATGGCCCCATGGGCGACTTTCCCCGGGCTGCGCTTTCCATCTTCCTTAGCTCCGTGTCCTGTCTGTCGCTAGCTCGTCTTAACGCTGGGCCGTCTGGGTCTGGAGTCTCGGCTCAATGCCCAAGGGGGGAGATCCAAGGGAGGCGATGTGATCCCAACACGTAGTTCTCGTAAGATTCGTAAGGTAGAATCGGGGTTCTGGCCCGTCAGTCGCACGAGGAAAAAGGTAAAACAAAGCTGTGGACCGGGGTCGTGCCTTATTTCTGCTTACTTCATACTCCAAAAACCTTTCCCATTTTCCGGGTTCTTCATCCTCTGGTAAACTCAAAACCCCGTGCGTTTTCCCTCTTCGGGTGCCCAGAAGGGGCCCCACTTTTGGCCGACCAAATTAACTTCTGGTAGCGTCGTGGGGACTTTCGGCGGCTGCACATCATCGCAATTTATTGAATTTGCACTTGACCACCCGGACAAGTTGCTAGGCTCGGGGCTCCACAATCTTCCATTCGCCCTGCGTTCGTCCCTTGAACCTCGTTCCGGGTCTTAGCGCGGGCAGTCACTGGCAAAGTCCATATATTAGCTCCCACACCTTCCCCCGGCTTCCCCCCCTTCTCTGTTTCTTCATCGCCATCTTGCCCAGCAGTGCTGTCCGGCTTCTTGATTTGATCGTTTCTTGATTCCTCTTTGATACCCTCAAGAATAACTGTGTTATTTCTCGGGTCTTTCTAGCTCAGCGAGCTAGACTTTATTTTTCCCTCACGACTTTCTCACGAAACAACGAAACCCCCATATTCTATCCTAAAATCCAAAAAAAAAAATTCACATCCTAGAACGTGATCCACAATGTCTGCTGAAGCTGCGAACAACGGCATTGAGAAGGACGTCGACTATGCGCCCGCCTCTGCCGCCAACGGCGTCAACCTCCAGCCCCAGATGACTCATGAGGAGCATGAAACCGCCAAGGCAGCAGCTCGCTTCGGATACGGCCCTCTGGCTCAGGTCAACACCAACGAGGCTCGTCTGCGTCCCTTTGGTGGTGAGTTCCAGCCTGGTCTGTATAAGCCCGTCGAGGGCCGCAAGTTCGGTAACCCGGCTCCTCTGGGCCTGTGCGCTTTCGCCCTCACAACTTTCATACTGAGCGCTATCAACATGAACACCCAGAACATCACCAAGCCCAGCATTGTCATCGGTGCTGCTTTCGGGTATGGTGGTCTGGTTCAGCTGCTTGCTGGCATGTGGTATGTAATCTCTCAATTGCATAACAATACTCGTGAAAGGTATTATGCTGACGCGTGAAATTAGGGAAATGGCCGTCGGTAACACTTTTGGTGCCACTGCTCTGTCTTCGTATGGTGGATTTTGGATCGCTGTCGCCATCATCCTGACTCCTGGTGGGTTCGAGATTGAGGCCACGCTCGGCGACCAGTTCAATGCCTCGTTCGGTCTGTTCCTCATGGTAAGCTTCCATCTCACCCCTCAACCTACCCCGAATATCCACTGATTTTCCTTCTCAGGGCTGGTTCATCTTCACTTTCATCTTGGTCCTCTGTACTCTGAAGTCAACAGTCGCATTCTTCTTGCTGTTTTTCTTCCTAGACTTGACCTTCCTCCTCCTCGGTATCGCCTACCTCCGCCCGGAGAACGGTGTTGCCAACACCAAGATCCAGAAAGCCGGTGGTCTCTTCGGATTCCTCGCTGCCTTCACCGCTTGGTACAACGCTCTGGCTGGTATCGCCGATACCTCCAACAGCTTCTTTATCATTCCTGTCGCCCACTTCCCCTGGTCTCCGACTGGCCGTGAACGCCGTGAAAAGACCCAGCGTGAGATGGCGTAAACTGATTATTGTTTATCGTTATCGCCCCGGGCTCTGGAGGGAAGTGTGCGCTTGTAATCTTGATATATACCCATGCGTTTTGTGCGTGGTCGCGGTCGCATGTCCAAAGCGTGACGATTGGTTCGAGGCGTTATGTCGTCGTCGGAAGCGTTGATTGCGTTGAATGCTTGTTGGGCCGTGGCCTTGGTAGCTGTATGATCTACTCGTAAAGTGATCGATGCGTCGATCGCGGGTGATTGTGCAGTTGCGTAAAACTTCCAACTCCGTAAAATGTTGTGTAATTTTTTGCATTGAGTCAGGGTTTATATCCCGGGGTTATCGTATTGTGCGGTTGCCCCTTGTTTTCCTTGTTGTTAATATGTCTCCTTGTCTGTTTTCAATATTTAGTATTAATCAATCTACGTTTATCATGATATACCCTTTTTCTGGTAGACTCACCTTGTTTAGATTCGGACTGGACGTGTTCCAGATGTTGGCTTGGTCTGAGCCGGAGATTGCAAATTCGGAACCAATGTCTGGACTGGACTGACAGATAATCTCCGATGCTTTTGTTTTGCTTGCATGGTGCAGTGCAGTGCACTGCACTGCAGCGCGTCAAATCCAGGATGACTTGGGCTGTCGAGATTGAAGGGCCAGGGTCGATGAAAAGCCAGCCTTGACTCGGTTGCAGGGTACTTTCTGTGTCTCCGAAACGCGTCACTTTGAAGATCTAGAAATTCAGTGAGCAGAATTCCAGCTTTGTATCATTGTTAGTATCATCATTGATAATTCAGAAGGTTTAGTTCCGGGTAATCCAGGCGGATCACTCCGAAGCTTTGCGTGCAGGTTGCCCAAGCAGAGCGACTATCAGCAAAAGCCACAAACAAAGCGAAACGTAGAACTGAAGATCACGACGGCAGGAGCATGCACCGCATAATATAGAACTCCTTTCCCCTCCCCTGTGGGAACTTGAATCAGGGGTAATAGTTCAAAGTATGGTTCTTGAAATAGAGTAAAGCCAAAAATAAACGAATCTTCAGATAAGAGGCTTGCGCATTGGTCAGGAATAGACAAGCTATTGTGTGGGAAATTAGCCATGACCTTATTTTTCAGTCAAATGGGGAAGGGAGGGTGGGAATAGTGGGGATGGACGAACCATTGTCAACCAGTCCGGAGCCTTTAGTCTGTTTCTAGTACTCCAGCATCTTGTTTTTGCAAACTCGAGCGTGTGTAGATGAAACACAGAGCTAAAATGTGAGCAGGGGAAGGAGAAGAAGAAGAAGGATGTAAGGTGTATTTAGCTGGGGGACTGGATTCCTCAAACAACATCCGAACTACGTCGACATCCACCCGGGCCAAGCTCGGCTGTCTCTCGGGGTTCAGGGGTCGCAGGTAATCTTCCCGAGTGTTGGGTGGATCGAGGCTTGCCTTTTCGGGTGTTTGACGTGAATTGATAGGCATTAGGAGCTCTCGCGTCCCGTGCTGGCTGGCCTGGCCTGGTGCTTTCGCGGATTATCCGAGTCGTGACGGCTCATGTTCGGGGTCTGACGGGATGTGTTGACACCGGAAGTTCTTTGCCCTCTTTTCTTGGGCTGGGTTGCTGAGCTTGTAGAGCGCACGAAGGGAAACCCTTGCCGGATATTCCGAGAAGCAGAATTGATTAAAGGCTTGGGGATGGTAGAAATCCGTTGGAAGTGGGCTGTTCTACCGAATCGGAAATTGCCCTTTTGAGTAAGATAAATCAAAAGCATCTGCTGACTGAGGCAGCGTGAGATGAGTGTGGGGACTCCTCGGGCTGAAACAATATCACTACCTTCGTTAAGAGTTCATCATCGACTTCCGCGTTCTCAAATGATTTTAGTGAAACCATTTCATCAGTCATTACGGCTAACTATCGTAGTCATACATTGTATGTACCTCATACCAACTTTGCACCTCGTCCCAAGAGAAAAGGAAAATGTTAATTACATTAAATGGAAGGGGGAGAGAAGTGAAAATCACGCAGTCGGCTCCACCTGCAGCTGCACTTCCTGCCACACCTGACGCAGCATGGGCAGGTGGACACGGTCGGCATAGAAGAAGCCAAGCAGGATCGAGCGGGCCTCTTGCCAAGAGTTGACACCGTGCAGACGGGCTGCTGTCGCGAGCTCCGACACAAAGTAGGCTCGCTCTACTGGCATGCATTGGCTGCATACTGCGCCGATGAAAAGGAGCCATATCAGGAGGTCCCGACAAAGGGCGAAAAGCCCAGACGGGATAGTCGCTTCAAGGGCGGTACGCAGGGCGAGAATGGGCTTGGGCAGGACTGGCGCCAGCATAGGGTAGAAGCTCCAGATGGCGCTGTTGTGGAAACACAGACAGGCGAGGCGGCAGCAGCCCTCGATTGAGTTATCGCCCTTGACTTGGCCAGTTGGTGTGTACCGGTCCGAATGTAGAGAATACTCCACATAGAGCACCTCGAAGTTGAAGTAGTCTTCCGTGTCGTCATTGAATTCTGTGTATCCTGTGTTACCCTTGATCCATTCCGCGTACCAGGAGAGTTCAAGAAGATCGTAGATAGTTTTGGCAAATGAGTCGCTAAAGATGCCGGGAATTTTGATCAAAGGGATCAGACGCGTCGCTGTGAGAGCCACATCGTCTGTGGGCGGGAGAAGAGACAAGCCCGGTGGGCGTGGAGATCGTACAAAAGTGAAGATAGGTTTAGCGAGTGCCATGCAAGCAACCCGAATATCTGTCCTGTGATGGTGTGAGCATGGTTTTGCGCGAGATATGAAAGACGACGAACCATGATATCTGGAAGCGGACATCAGGGGGAACATCAGCGAAATTCTTGCGCAGGCCAATCATCTGTCGCAATCCAGCCAGATGAATCTTCAGATAATCGGGGTTGCCGGATGCGATCTGCAACGGTGAGCTGAGTTCGTATACATCAGACGCCATCCTTCTCACTTACCTCAATAGTCAATAAGGTAGACACCGCCGCAATCAATTCATCACTGGACGCCTTAGCCGGGTCTGACAGACCCTCATTCACCAATCTAATGGTCTCGCCACGATGGTGAAAGGTATCAATCACGAGTGCACTACGTGGCTGTTGGGGATCTCGAACCGGCAATTCGCCCCGTTGCACTGCCGCATTAGAAGTGGACATGCAGATCGTCGCGTGGAGAATCGCCGGGTCACGCTGGATAAGAGCAGCCCAATGCGCCTGTAGCTTAGGCTTATACCGTGTTTGCAGCGGATGGGCTTGCTGCGTCAGATCCCACAGGACTGATGGAAATTAGCACGCATCTCGACAACGCTGAAGAAGACACTCACAATTCTGAAGGTGGCGCATCATCCGATCCGTGAGCTGTGTATGCCCGTGTTAAAGGGATCACGCGCGCCTGAGCCGATATACGACCATATCGCCGGAGCCAGCTCCGACTGTCTAGCTTGATAGCCCACCACTTCGTCGAAGTTGCTATCATCCCACGAGTCATCCCACGCTTCTGCTGCGCCAACAGAGTGGTAGGGTTCAGTCGCAGCCGTAGTCACGGGTACTAATTCCTGACTCTGGTTGAGCTGCGCCACAGCGTGCGAGCTGCGCCGGCTACCAGACGAAGACGACGGGGTCGACGAGGTTGACGAAGCCACCGGCGAAGGACGAGGCGGCCCGAAAGCCTCAGGAACCGTCTCTGGCGGCTGAAAAGCCAAGTGTTTAAAGGACTTGCTCCTATAGCGCTTTGTATTCTCCAGGCGCTTCTTGCGATTATGCTCGGACATAACGTGGGACCGGATCCGCTTCAGGGTCTCCTCTTTGGTCCCGCCCGCCGCTGACTCCAGATCTGTGTGCACCCAGAATAGCGTCGACTTCCCTGCTGTTGCATTGACGGGCTTTCGGGGCTTGCGGACCTTGGCAGATGCATTTTTGTCGGTGCTTGAGGCCTGCGCAGCTGACGCTGGCGCTGGCTTTGGGGCTGGTGCGACGACCTGGGGGAGCTGCGGGGCGAGCGTGTCGGGCCGAGGAATGGTATCAGAGTCGGGGATAGGATTATGATCGGTAGCAGACCACGGTACCTCTGGAGGAGGTCGAGACAGCACGGGCAACGTGCTCTGCTCGTAAGTACAGGGGAATTGCTCCGAGTAGTGGGCGTTGGCGTCCATGAGCAAGGAGCTGTCGAAGCTTCAGTGGAGAATGAGAAGGGAAAAAGAAAAAGGAAGGAACAAATTCAGGTCCCCGAGGGACCGGCGGGGTATTGTGAAAGGACAAGATAATTCCAGCGAGATTCTTCACGTTGATGATAGCATCGTCAGACGAATCATGGCCCCCGCTAAGCAGCTAGTGGGATGCGAGGCTGAGACCGGCGGGTTAGAGGAGTCGGGGATAATTTGTTTTTGACTAAGAAATCTAGACCCAGGAAAATTGGAGGGTCTGTTCTCAACTTTGTTTGATACAAGCTACACACTCACGGCGAGCTCCAAGCCTCTCGACTCGAGAACTCCAAAGCCCCACCGTTGGATTTCCGCGAGCTCTATTTTAACTGTGGACCGTGGACCGAGTGGCGTCTCGCTAAAGTGGTGGATATAGTCATGCGGACATTCGGTCCAGCAACTAAGCCTGAACGTCTTCGTGGTACTTCCAGTCTTCCCTTCCCAAGTGCTTGTCCTGTAGTCGAGTAGCGCCACGAAGCGGGTCCGAATTGGCCCCATCCCCGAGTCGCGCTAACCACGCCTGACCCGTATTATAATGATCTCCGTCCCAGATCATTCAACAATGAGGAATGGAGTACTCAGCCAACGCCCCTTTCGATACCTTTGTCGCCCCTGCGTGACAAGGCGAGCCGACGAGAATGATCTGTAAATGCCCCACTCGCTGCCCAAACTCGGCATCAAGCCGATCGATCGTCCAGTGCCGATGCCCCGAGGTATCTGATATCAGCACTAGCAGAGCAGGAATTACGATGTACATTCACAGCCAATTTCGGAGTCCCTAATGACTACAGTCGTTGCGAAATGAAGGGGTTCGAAGGTCCAATAACCTATGGGGCCAAATCTACAGCTCCACTGTACCAGCTGGTGCGGGCTACAAGGAGACTTGGGCTCGGGAAATATTGCAACACAGAAAGAATGATGATGAAGTGCAAGTACGCTGTACTAATAAGAATTCCCATTACTTCAGGCCTCCCGTCTTAGGTCATGCCCGGTCGCGGGAAGACGGGCACTGTTTCCAGCTGTTCTAAGCCGCCCATAGTACCATTCTGTCCACTGTGTTGCCACCCTTGTCCGCTCTGCTGGTTAATAAACTGGCTCTGTCTGAAGGGGTTGGTACTCCCCGTGGGGTTGGGTTGAAGCGGCTGGAGTACCGCGTTTTGTGGAGGCGGCACGGAAGATGCCCGAGCGAATGGATTAGTTCCCGTCCGCTGGGGCTGAAGGGCCGGTGGTTGCGCTTGAGGTAGTGGCGGCACCTGAGGAACCTGTTCAGGTGTCCCGGTGTTGAACTGCGCCATGGAAAGACGCTTCGCAAAGGGGTTGGTGTTCTGTCGTTGTAGAGGGGCGGCCGCAGGCGCAGCACCAAGTACGGTAGGCTGATTGACCAGCATTGATTGCCGGAAAGGATTTGTTGGTGTCGAGGGGGGCTGCTGCTGTTGCTGTTGCATGGGTTGCTGCTGCTGAAGGAATGAAGCAGGCCCATTCTGGGGAATGGGCGCCAGCTGCGGCTGATACCCGTATTGCTGTGGACCATAACCTCCAAATCCAGCACCGGTGGGCTGAGCTTGGAGCTGCGCAGGTGGCTGTCCGAATGGGTTTCCGGTGTTTTGCTGCTGTTGCTGTTGAGGGAAAGCCGCGCCGTATGGGTTCGCTTGGCCGTATCCCGTCGCTTGGGGCTGCTGCACGAAACCTGTCTGTTGGGGTTGGAACCCGGTCTGCTGCTGCTGGAATCCCGTCTGCTGAGAATAGAACGCCTGCTGCGGCTGTTGCTGGAAACCCGGTTGTGGATAGCCGGCTTGTTGGTACTGCGCGGGAGTCTGCTGAGCCATTGGCTGCTGATTTTGCTCGATCGATTCAAAGAAGTCGATCAAATCCGGGGGTGCGGGCTTCTTCTGTTCCGGGAGTTTGGTTGAATTGGGTATGGCTTGAGCTTGAGCTTGAGCTTGAGCGCTCGCGGCGGGCGCTGCAACGGAAGATGGCTCTTTCTGCTTGATTCCTTTCCCAGCAAGATATTCACGGCGGCGGATCTCAAAGTCTGGGTCGTTTAGATCATCTTCAAGGAGGCGTGTCAAGTCTGTGGAGGCATGCTTGAGTTTCGGAATTTCCAATCGGGTGGCAGACTGGAAATGTCTTGCGACGCCCAGGAACTGCACGACTTCTTCCGTCTGCTTCGCAAACATCTTATAGATCGCTAGAGCGCGTTCGCTATCCGGCCTTGACATTTCGAAATAGTGCTCTATTGATGTCCTTTGTTAGACGTAGTCCAAATCAGGGATGTGATGGCCTACCCAAAACATTGATTGTGCCCTCGTTCATGACCGAATACAACACCAAAAGATCAAGGGTCAGGAGCCGAAACGCAGTCAAACTGATCTCGTTCTCGGGCTCATCCGTCAGGAGCTGTGTAATCTGTCAGCCACCGAATGTCATCTAATGCAACTTTACTCACATCGCATCGCAACAATGCGCGAATCTGCTTCTGAACAAACTCCGTCTCTCTTAAGAGGCCTTTCTCCACACTGAGTCTTTTCAAACGCCCGGGTCCGCTTCGGACGTAGTCCGTCTGGGTAGCGTCAAATGCTTTTGCGCGCGCCATAAGATATTCAGCATACCGCCGAATGTTGTGTCCCTGGGATTGCGCTACAAGGATAGTCAGTATTGTGCTCCGGTTTACGCAATTTTTGAATCGTACCTTCCGAAAAGTTACTCGGCGCGATCTTCTTCGGATTGTCGGAGAGGAAGGTCAGGGCGGCATCCTGCTGGCCCTCGCGGATCATAAGGTGGACGACGATAAGAGCCTTGAAGACAATTGTCCATGCTGAATCGCGCAGTCGATGCTGAAGGGTTCGGAAGATTTCTGCGACGCCCGCTTCGCCGGTATGTGTTGCCACCAGGATGGTTTCAATGTATTTAGATTTCGGGGCCGCGAGCTGCGCATTCATGAAATGTTAGCCCTTTCCTGTGGTTTCCAGGAGTTCCATAGCACTGGAACCGACCTTGAGCTTGGTGGCCCCTTTACCGACTTCTCAAAGCCGGTCATTGTGTTTAAGTTGGGGGGAGGGGATGTTAGGTCAGATCCCCTCGGTTGAAATGGGCGCAGGGTCCAAAGAGAATATAGGGTCGAGTGGAGTCGTCAAGAGCCTGAAGTTCCCGCTTCAGATGTCAATGCCTTTATCGTGTCTGTACAAGATCCTCAATCATCACCGTCGCCCTGAAGATGCCTCATTTGGTCATAGCGGGTGCCTGGGGTAAACGGCAAGAAGGGCGGAAGGACCGGGATGACAATTGATAATCAAATAAGTTCCGCGATGGCGACAAGAGAAATGAGAAGAACAAGACAAGGGTCGCGAGATTCCCAAGGATCAAGTTGGGCGTGTCCAAGTGGGCGGAGCTTCAAGTCCGGGCGTCGGGTTCCCAGGGTCCCAATCGGGTATAGCGTGTTTAGGTGCACGAGCTGTCGTTTTATCACTCCATGTGCATGAACCTAGCCATTTTCGTCTTGCTTCCTGTTGATCTGGGGAAGTTGGAACACGGAGGGTGCTTTTTGAGAAATTCAGAAGTTCAGTCATGCTTAGTTCTTCAAATGTTCTATAATCTATTGCCAATGCCAGCTAACATGGGTGGCCGCAAGTGGAAATATATACAGCTGGACCCTTGCAGTCATATCAGCCTCGTCGCATGCCTTCAGTGTTTGAGCCTACTTAGTCGGGCATTTAATTGCACTTCTTTCCTCGGGATCGATGCACTCTTTTCGACCCAGATATCCCAATGAAGCCCATCTGCGACATCTCACCGGTCTTGCTGTGAAATGGGTGCTTTAATACTCCATCGTCATGTAGACAAGACCCCTGGATCCGTGGGCTCATATTGTTTTCTTATATCAAATTTGTATCGGAGAGATTGCCTCAAATCATAGCTGGATAGTATGCGTAGTTCAACTCGACCATCCTAGTTTCATCCCTAGGCCCTCGACGTGAGAGCCAGCAAGACTCATTTGAGCTCCCACAGTCAATCTTACAGGGCATTCTCACTTCGAAGTTACTCTCACTCTTCCCCTTCTATTGAGTCACTTCTTCCTCACCTCTCGCCTCGATTCCTTTCTCCATCTCTGTTCATCCGACCCCGGCGACTTTGACATTCTCATACCTCTTTCCCCTCTGGTTTCTCTGGTTTCCAAGAATCAGACGCGTCATATCAAGATGGGAGGATCTCCCATGACCCCCAAAAGATCTCCCAAGAACTCACCCATTAAAACCTCCTCGAAGTCTCACAAAGTTACATTTCAGTGGAATGATTACCGACGACAAGTGCTGTGTTGCCTGTATAGGTACTTTGAAGTGGCTTGCCAAAACTTCCAGAGAATATTTTCTGATATCTTTCGAGACCATCTCTTCGAACGTGGTTTCCGCGCATGTCAACTACCATATAATACACTAAATACCCAATGGACATGGATGAGGAGAACTGACCACCCCATCTGGCTTTTCGTCCACGAGGAGACAGATCGCAGCAATCAAGAATGGAAGGACATTCTGCGACAGATAAATGATTCTGCGAGAAAGCTACAGATCTCTCTGACTGAGAAACCCGATGGTATCACTGAGGAGCACGAAGCTGAAAGTGAGATAATGGAGGAGGTGTTCTCGACTAAACACGCCATGGAAATCATCTCGCAGAGTGCCTCAAGCCCTGTAAGAACCATGATCTGCATCGTTCGTCCAGAGTCTAACATTCTTTCTAGTCATCTCCGTCCACCAATATTGACAATTGCCAAAACACAGATATTCGAATAATGTCCCATTTCGATACCCCAAGCTCTTTGGTTCAAGCCCATATTCCTACTGATACCGGGAATGTACCGACCAGTCTCGATCGTTCGCTCTGGGGAAAACGTTGCTTTTGGTGTGAAAAGGAAGGACCACGACTCCCATTAGGAAGAAATGAACACATGAAATCTGATGCTCAGACTGATATGTCGGATTTGAAGGATTCACAAGACCCCTCACCCACAGAGGAAGATGCAATTACCCCAACGGCTCATGTCAATTTGCACGGTCATTGCTCCTTCAAGGATCTACCAGCTGTATTGTACAGGTGGTCAAATCTCAACTCACAGGGCATCAATTGTCCAGCCATCATTCGGGCCGGGCTGTTTACATTAAGCCATTCTGTAATGTTCCAGCCAAAAGATGTTTCCGAGAAGGAATTTCTGGAGTACTTCAAGCATCATGTGTCGAAAGAACGCAAACTGACGCCATTTATCTCATTCTTCAAAAAGCCGTTAGCGCCAATTCACCGAGGGCTTCAGAATGGAGACGGGGCGGCTGTGTTCATCATCGATACTGAGAAGCTCAGCAACAAGGCGTTCAAAGCCGCACCATTGGTCCCTTTAACCCACACCGCAAAGCCGAAGTACAAAGGGTATGGCGAATACTTGATCTGGGGCGAAGTACACACGGATGCAATTGTGTGTACGTTCACTGTGACCAAGCTGAAAAAGATCGCCCACGAGCATCCAGACATCGCTGCGTTTTTACAATTGCCTCGCATATCTGCGCGGCGGGACTGCACCGCGATCCTGTACAATGAGCTTGCTGATAACAAGCCCCAATCCATCGATGGATATGCTGGCCTACTGGAGAAGTTTACAGCATTGCTTGGAGTCCCCGAGAATCTTAGGGGAACTGTTGCAGCCGGGTTTAAAGAGGCGTGGTTTGATAATTTCCGAGGGTTCGAATATCAAGCACCAGACGTCCCCGGCTTGACCGATGAAATAGTTGAAGCGGGCGAAATCGAGTCGCACGCGTCCGACGCTTACTACGAGCCAATTTTGCCAAGGGCTCGCTCGGCATCGTATGTACCACCCGCTGACAGCGACAGCGACGATTCAAATGCTTCCTCTAGCAATGAGCGTCGAGAAGGCGAAGAGACAGAGGCAGAAGCAGAGTCAGAGGCGCATTGTCCGAGATGGGATACTCCAGAGGCGCCATTTTCGACCCATGACGACTCCAGTGATGATGACTTGGAGATGCCGGTGACTGAATTCTCCAGTCGACGAACTGATCTCAGGAAGACGGATGACCACGAGGCATGGCCGACCGAGGACATCTGCATGAGGATGTCCATTAGATGGCCCGCTTTAATGTTTGCCAGGGGAAGACCCGACATGTGGGGTGAATATGGCATGTGACGAACCAGATGAGATTTGTTGAAATACCGTACCTACAATCATCAATGGCAGGTATTGAGCGCATACATCACGTAAAGTTCAAAGCCTTTGAGTGAAACTACCGAATAGCGTCGAATGCTCTGATCACCCAGAGCTTTCAATCGTGCAAGATTGATGGCTACTGAGACAAAATACTTGTGGCATGCGACCAGGTAACCCTACTGATAGACAGAGACCAACCATTCAGGAAAACAGATTAAATCTGGAAAATGCAGTATCAAAACAGATTCTAGCCCATGCTCCAGAATATACCTGTCGCCAAGGCGGGTGTACGGTTTCCATAGGAGGAGGATGGATAAAATATTTTTGCTTTTTGTGTGGATACACATTGTTCAGCAAGGTATCTGGGACATGGAAACTCGTAAACTATCCCGATCCCCAAATGAATTCCCTTTATATCCAGGTCAAACCGCTTCCTTCGCCGAATTGTCCATTTCAAGCACCCAACTCTTTAAACACTTAGAACTTGGCGAAAGACTTGACGGCCTTGCCGGTGCGGGCAGGACGCGAAGGGTGTTGAAGCGAACCTGTAGAGAGAAGACATGTTAGGTGCGGTTCAAAAAGGGCGATGGACATGTAGAGTGCGATGGATGAGCTGGTGTTTGATGCATGTCATGAGACAACTGGCACCATCCCAACTCGCCCCACCACATACGTAGGTAGGGTAGAAAGGTGACGTACAGTCTTGGAAAGAGGACGGCACTGGCCAACGGTAACCCAGTCACCCTCCTGGACACGGAAAGCGGGGGAAACGTGAGCAGCCAGGTTCTTGTGGCGCTTCTCGTAACGGTTGTACTTGGGGACGTAGTGGAGGTATTCACGGCGGATGACAAGGGTACGGTGCATCTTGGTGGAGACAACACGGCCGGTCAGAATACGGCCACGGATGGAAACGAGACCGACGAAGGGGCACTTCTTGTCTGTGACGGCTGTTAGTGATGTGTGCGGAATTGGTGGCGAGTGGAGATTTTCGATATGTCTGGTCTTTTTTCAAGGTCGAAGAAAAGGGAGGTCAAACTGCCAGAGAGCCATGTCGTTGCCCAGAGAGAGACTGTCGTTTTGCTTTTTGTTCCCCTCTCTTCGAATTATCGAGTCGCACACTTCCTGCCTAGCCCTTGGGCATCCCAACTCCACCTCGAAAAAAGACCATAAAAATCGTGTATCTCGTCATGTCGCCTGGTGAATTTCATCGCGGTTCGTGCATACCGATGTAGGTGCCCTCAATGGCGGTCTTGGGGGTACGGAAACCAAGACCGACATCCTTGTACCAGCGGCGGGCCTGGCCAACCTTCTTGGACTTAGCCTTGGACTTGGTGTTCAAGAAGATGTGAGGCTGCTTCTGGAAAGCGCGCTCAGACTGGACGTTCAACTCGGTCGCCATAGTTGCGGTGTTGTCGACGGGGAAGCGAGGTCGAGCTGGATGTGAAAAGTCGGTGGTCGGAGGTTCACGAATGGGTCGTCGAGAATGGAAAGATTCGCTAAAGGCGCGCTGCTCTTGTGTGTGTGGCGCTAGTCTATATCGGGACTAGTGCTGAACGGGTTAGGGCTTGCGCTTTGTTTACCGTCACGTGACAGGAACGCGTTCGTGAGGGGAATGCGAAAGGTCGGACATGGGATACATAGCTTACCTCATCGTTGTATACATGACAACACTCTTTGGACGATGCTGGGCTGATTGCTTCGTTTCACGCCACAATGTCGACTCGACAGGACTCAGCGGCCCGCGTGCGCTCGCGACGCTCCATTGCTCACGTACCTCGATCTAAGACGATCGGCTTGGACAAGGAGAATGCGACGACTGATATTGGAGCCATACCGCCCTTTGGAAACAATGAAAAAGCAGTGACTAGGGAAAAGAAGTCCCGCAGTAAGAGCTTGGGCCCTGGCGGACTCGATGCTCTTCAAAAATCCAACGGTAATCGTCGCAAGGTGAGCTATCAGTCGACTTCACCCACGCGCGCATCTATGACCCCTTCTGACCTCGTCCCTCTCCAGTCTACCGCTTCATTTCCTCTCAAATCAATCCTCAAGCCCACTGTCCCCGTCTCTCCGGTCCGAAATATCCCGTCGTTCGAGGAAACGCGTCGGCGCACTCCGGCTCGCGATGCGCGGAACCAGAGAGCCAACACATCTAGCAACGGGCAAGAAGCACATTTGATCGACTTTGCAACACCGAACCAGCCTCTTGTCACTGAATCAGAGAACTTGACCAACCCTTTTGATACTTTCAATGCGACATCCGCCATCCGCGATGAAATGGCCGCAACTAAGGAACGTGACGATAAAGAGCGCAAGGAGCGCGAACGCCAAACAATCTTAGAGAAGCGCGAGGCGCGACGGAAATCAATGGGTCTGTATGCACTTGATTTGGAGAAGTAGAGAGGCAAAGGGACTAACAAGCTTAACAGCGAACCGCCGAGTATCCTTTGCCCCCGAGGCTACCTTGCACACCTGGAACGTAGTAGATATTCCAGAGGATTCGACTGCATCATCAGCTGCAAACTCTACCAGGCGTGCATCGTCTATCAATCCTCAGGCCCAGCGACATGCATCCACCCCCGCGAAGGAGGCACCCGCCTCACCCGAGGGCGACCTTGATGGTGACGCCGAGTCCGAATTTGGCTTCTCTCCTGTTCGCCAACAAGATCTAGAGCAGATGAGGGAACGCTCAGCATCGACAGAAGGCCCCACAGACGTGTCTTCAAGTCCATTTAGCGGAAGCTCGGCATCTGGCAGCGAAGACACCGGCGCGCACAGTGTGGTGGCTGAAGAGGAAGACGATAATTCCTCTGGATCCGATGATGGCTTTGATGCTGAAAGCACTGCTATGAGCATGGATGATTTAACTGCTAGCTCTGCCGTCTCCATGCATTCAGACGTATCTGCCAGCTCTAGCTCCAGTGCCAGACTCAATCAAGCACTGCGCCAAGCTGCAAAGGAGGCTGGAACAGAGACATATGAGGATGAAGGTGGAGAAATGTCGATGGAAATTGCGGATCAAGAAATCACTGGCGCCTTCCAGCCCTGGATCAAAAAGGGCCAACGGCAAAGCTTTGACTGGGAGGATCTTAGCGCTCATCGTGACCAAGAGAACGCCGGGCCTCCCAAAGCTGCCTCTGCGGGTGGCTCAGAGTCGGATGGTACAGATGAGGGTGAAGACCTCAGTATGGATGTGACAAACGCAGTCGGCAAAATTCTTGAAAAGACTTCTGGGCGACGGAAGAGTGCGGTTCCTCGCAAGTCGCTCGGCCAAGAGACCAACTATGGTGATGAGACTATGGAGATGACCAACATGATTGGAGGCATATCGGGAATGGACTCATCAGGAGCCCGCAATTACGACGACCACGAGGACGAAGAGATGACGATGGAGTTCACTTCAGTTGTTGGTGGTGTCTTGAGCAAAGCTGCGCCTCAGCAGTCCTCTGAAATCGACGATGCTGACCAGGAGAACACGACTCCAAAGTCGGATGGCATGAATTACGATCGCGATAATGAGTCTGATGGAGACATGGACATGGAAATGACTAGTGCTATTGGTGGAATTCTACCATCGGGGTTTGAATCCCAGGATAAGGCCCAAGCGAAGATGGTGATGGAACTTGAGAGGTGATTCGGGGCAATTGACCAGCTCGCCTTTCCAGGAGAGCGTCCGAAAATCGCCAGGCAAGTCTCCAGCCAAATCATCTCTCGGCCTCCACGTTGCTGCTGTGGCTTCTGAGGATGGCAGCCCTAGCCTAGCAAGCATCAAATCCAAACGGACACGCCGTAGCCCTGCAGGCCCGTCCAGCACTCCTCAATCTGCGAGTCGACGCCGGTCGCCTTCAAAGCCATCGACGCCCCCTAAGCAGTCAACACCTCAAACAAAACCCACTACGCCTAGCAAAACTCCTCCGTCTGCCAATGTCTCCTTCCGAAGCGCTTCCCCGAAGAAGCTCTTCAAGCCGGAACTCAAACAGTCGGCTGAGAAGCGCAAGTCTCCTCGTCGAAGCATCTTCGAACAGAATACGGCGACTGGTCAGTCGACTCCTCGCATCGTCTTGCAGCCCCGCGAAGGGCGTCGCTCCTCTGGGCTTGGAATCGACAGGGAAGGCCTTGGGTCGCCTCGTGTCGCTGCCATGCTCGATAAGCGCTTGTCTCTCGGTGAGAATACTCCGCAATTTGCTCCTCAAGAGCGACCTCGTGGCGGTGTCCGCTTTGAGGATCCGTTGAAAATGCAGGCGGAGGAAGAGCGAGATCGCGAACAAGAAGAACTCCGAGAGGATGGGCATATCTTATCTGGCAAGCCTGATGAGCGGGACGTCACCGCGAGCCTAAAAGACATGATTTCAAGTCTCAGTCCGAAGAAGGCCAAGCCCCGGAAAAGTCTCCATGTGGGTGCCGCTCGGGGCATTCTCGGGAAACGCCCCATCGAGCTCGATGCTGAGGAAGAGGAGGCCGAGAACTCACCCAAACGACTTCGTGGGCATGGTGTGAGCCCTGTCAAGGGCGTCAAGCTGCCAGCCCCGACACCACAGAGTAGGCCGCGTAAATCAATGCGTTCTCCGAACCGTAGGTCCGTCAGTTCTTCCCCACTCAAGAACAGTACCACTCCTACTCAGGAACCTCGAAGTGCATTCATAACCGGCGCCACTCCTCTTAAGGAGGGTATTGAGAGCTTGAACATTGCTTCTGATCCCCCGCAGCCGGAGCCAGAGGATGCAGAGGAGGTCATCTCCCGAGAACAAGGCGATGATAGCGAGCCTATTCAACTGCAGGACTTCCTGAACATGACCAACATTCATTTCATGGAACTCACGACGACCAAAAGACGGCACACTACTGCTCCTGGAAGTGCTAGCAAGAGAAGCAGCCGGCGAGCTAGTGAAATTCCTAAGGCCGGAAGCATTACTTTCGATGACTGCGTGGCTGCTGGTTTCTGTACGATGCCTATGTTGGAACTGTATCAACATGTGAGTTCGTCTGGTAACATTGCTCGATAGTTTGTATTGCTGACCTTTTGTAGTCCTGCCGCGAGTTGAAGTCCTACATCTCGGAAGGACGACAGGTTATCCGATCGATTGAGGCTGAAACATACGAGGACAACCCTCCCCTATTCCGGGAATATGTTACAGCACCGCCAGACATCCGAGTTATCATGGACAACCAGTTCCGAAACGTCAAGACTCATGCACGACTTCTCAGCAAGGCTACATGGTATGAGTGGCGCATGAAGCTCTTGGAAGGTCTCAAAGAGGGTCTTCATCGAAATGTCAAGGACATGAAAGCCGATGACGAACTACTTTCTCAACACGAGGAACTTCTCAACAGTGCTGTGCCGGCTCTCGTAGAAAAGCACGCCTCGCTGAAAGAGGAAGCAAACAGTTTGCAACAACTTGTCGAGGAGATGGAGAGCTGTGATCAAGATGAGTTGCGCGGCGCTCGCACAATGCTCTCCAGTGTGGAGGATGAGATCGAGGTGAAGAAGCGGGAACTCATACAGCTGCAGAAAGAGGCTCAAGAGAGAACAGACGTTATTGAGGCCGGGACGGAGATGCGTGAGGAGTTCATGGCTCAGATCCAGCAGGCGGAGCGCGTTAAAGAGGAATGCCGCGGGTGGAGCGCTCGCGATATCAACGAGCTTAAAGCTTCTGTACAGCGGATTGAACGCCAAACTGGCTGGTCAATTACATCTGCATCAGCTAACGATGAAGCCGCCACCGATCCCATGCTGATCATGTCATACCGAAGTCAACTGCAAATCAAGTTCCACCCCGGAGCTTTTGCTACGAAAAATCCCAATGCCGACAAAATCAACAAGCTTCTCGAGTTGAGCATTATCAATGGCAAATCGGCGTCTCCAATCGCATCCCTCGTCCTCCAGTCACTGCGAAGCCACCTCGCCACCATTCAGCAATCTTTGATTGCCCCCAAGCAGCTTTTACACTTCGTCTCGTCCGCATGGGACCGCGCTCTTGGGCTCGAAAATGAGGCTCGCATGCTGGAATTCTGCGGCGTCACTCGACTTACGCTTTCTGAGCCCGCCGAAAAATCTCTCTCTCTCCGCGCTCGTTGCACTCTCCTCGGCAATGCCGCTGTACCATCCACGCCGAGCCGCAATGGTACCGCAACGAAGAACAATGGGACTAAACGAATCGACGTTGACTTCAACGTCCGCACACGTATCGTCCCTGAAAACTCGAAAGAGATCGGATCTCTAGACTTCAATATCGACGTGCTCGCAACCAAAGTCTACGGCTTCGGATTCGGAAACACATCCGGCCTGTCAGGCAAGGAAATGCAGAGTATCCTAGGCAAGGGACTAAGGCACCAAGATGGTGAAGCCCAGCTTGGAAATGGTGTTTGGTGTAAGGCTGTGCGGTTATTGACTGGGTCTGTGTTTTAATGCTGAATTATGATATCCCTTACTTTTGCTATGGTATTGGAGGGAATTGGGCACGGACGGCCCCGAGATATGGTGGTGCAAGGCGTTTATGGGATCAAGGCTATGACATTTTCTTCTCATTAGCTGGGTTTGAGCGATTTATTCATGCTAAGATTTAGTTTGTTTAAGCACAAACAAATAACTATCTCCACTTATCCCGACATCTCTACAGAACCGACCGGCAGTTTCCTCAGCCCAGGGCCACCGGTCATGCCTTGGACTGTCACGATTGGGTGCATTTACAGGCTGACCCTTCATTCTGCTTGCTCATCCAGACAGTATTCGAAAGGATTCACCGTTACGTGAGATATTGCCGTAAGAAATAGGCACAATGGCTAGAGACTGGCTCATGGTGCTGAAAGAACTACATTCGTTCCATTCATTCTATGCAATTAACTACCGGAAATGCATCGTCAATTCGCTCATATCATTTGGAAACGGAAACCCAATCGGAACAACAACAGCTCATTTCTCGAAATCACTACGCCAAACGCACCAACCTTTCAATGGGAAAGATAGAGGGAAATATAACCTCAAAGATCCCATTTCTGAGAATTCAACCCCTTGGTGTGGCTAGAAAAGTCCCAAAAATCCATTCGGCCATGTCGACTCTGCCTGCGACGGACTTTGATACGATCCCTGGTTGGGATCTTGTGTGTCTGGTCCAGCTGTAAAGTTATACGGATTTTCCACGCCTCCCGTAGCAGCATTGTACCCCATATTAGCATCGTGCTGCATGCCCGGCATACCGAGGAAGGACTCGGCGGAGAGTATGGGGAAATGCAAGTTCGGGGCTTGGCGGATGCGGCAATGTTTTCCATGGGGAAGAGACCTGTCCAGGGATTGTCGCCAAATTCCCAGTCTGCGGTCAGTGGCACTTGCCATGATTCTGGAATTATGTTGCCCGATGTGCTTGTGCTGCTTTGGGAGAAGGGGAGTGGGTGTTCTCCATGGGAGATGAATTTGTGGTGCGGGGCTGGGTATGATCTTGTGAGAGTTGCCAGGGTGCAAGGCCCATGTCGCTGGCATTTGCGCCATTGAGGTCTAGGCCTAGACCCGTGCTGTAATTTGTGGTTGGAGGTTGTTGCGGCATCGTTGGGAAGTTGGCCGTGACGCTTGGGCTAAGTGGGACGACGTAGCCGGAGGAGTTGACGGGTGGAAGCCCTTCTAGGGCTTCGGGAATGCTGAGGTCTGGCATTTGGGAGCGGGGAATTGATGGGTAGGATTGGGGTCGTGAAGGTGCCGTGGCCATGCTGGGTCCTTTGAGAGCCTACGGCGTCAGGGGTCATCGTTGTCCGCAGAGTTGAAGGTCGATGGCGGTGCTTTGAATGTGATCCTGAGGTGGTTCGAGAACTTTGCCGTTTCGTGCTGGATGGCTGGTGCTCGTGATGTGTTTCGCCCGATTCTCGGACCCGTTTCTCGTCCTTTTCAACTGCTGATCTGGCAATACGCTCCAAGTTGGCGCTCATGCGAGTCATGAAACCTGCATAGTTGATTGGTCCGTCACCAGGGACGAGGGTTGCGAAGAAGGTCGCAGCCATGTTGAGAGTTGCGAGATCATCTCGAGCATGCGGACCGCGAGTATCGCGAATGATGCTGGAGAAAATCGTTGCTGCTGCTAGGAAGACGTAGTACAGAAGGCTCCTGGAGGTCGGGTCAGTGATACAAAGAATTAGTATCAATTGGTATAGCACTTACCATATCCATGCAATGTCTCCCCACGGCATATTATTAACGATTTTTAGCGTATCCCGCGCAGCCTGTACGCAGATGACTCCTGATTTCGAGGCATGGGCGATGCTGAGCAACTTGAGCTCTGGAGGAGTTTCCTCACGCTGGCCTATTAGATAGTGTAACAGGAGGGGTATGCGGTGGATCATGATGAGGGCATTGTAATAGACAAAATGGAGACCAATAGTAGCAAATCCAAATAGGAAATCGGTTTCATCAACTTGAAGCTTAGGATTGTCGTCCAAGGGGTAATCTTTTTTCCAGTCCTCAAGCTCTGCATACAGTTCTTTGACCGTCTGGTATATCTCACGGGCCGGTTTGAGCATTGCCTTGGCTGAGTAAAGACCACAGAAGATACGACTTTTGATCACTGACATGCGACAGAGCTGTCGGAAAAATGCAATATTGCTGGGTGATCCGGGCTTTCTGTCGTCTTCTATTTCTTCGGGCAGAGGGACGTCGAAGTCATCGGGGTGCTGGGACGGGGCGTTTCCTGCTCTTAAGCAGGTACTAGCAGAAAAAGGTTAGATGCAAAACAAAGGAATGTAAGGACTTGACTGCCTACCTCTGATCAATAGTAAAAGCGACCCAGAATACTCGTCGCCTCTGCTCTCGTTGTGCAGGGCTCAAATCCGGCCTGGCAATGTTACGGTGGAGGCCCATCCGTTGGCAAGATCGCATAGCGGCGGTGATGAGAGGCAATGAATACTGAGTACCCGAGTTACCACGAAGAAAGAATGCCATATTCAGCAAAGCCTGGACGCTGAGAAGATCGGTGCGACGCAAAGCTAAATCCGTGAAAACCGACATTGCATTTTTGAAATAGAAACGAGCCTTTTCCCGGTGTTTCTCGGGCTTTGGGCCGTTTGAGGTTCGGTATTCGTAAGCAAGACAGATGACCATGTTGATGCTGGCCCATCGCGCGGCATCATCACAGGTCTGCTGTGTATACTGCCACTCAACCATCTTCATAAAGGAGGCCTCATGGTAGATCGGAAATAGTCTGTTCGCTGTTTGGAAGAAGTCTTTGATGAGAGAGAACACCTCTGATCGAGGCGGTAGAGGCTTGAATACTTGAGAGGCAAAAAGGTCGTGAAAGACATCCGGCCGCCATTGATTCCAAGGATTATCGTGGGTAGAATCCGTAGATATTATATTTAAGAAGCTGACATCGCCAGTTTTCTTCTTAATCCACTCAATTCCATCTCGGGAAAGAATTGACAATGAGCATGATCGTCCTGCCCTCCCTACATGTTAGCCAGACGTCACTGATCAGAGGAATTCAGCAAAGAGACCGACCAAAATATCGCGAGTCATCCTGCTCATGCTGCTTAAATAAAGAAGTCGAGTCGAGATCGCCACCGCCGGCATAATTCTCAATATCGTGGGTCATGGACGCGCGATTTGATACAGTGGTAGATGAGTCTGGTCGTTGGTGGCGAGCAGCCCATTTCTCTTCTAGGATTTCAGTCTCATCATTTGAAAAGTCCTCCTCAGCCATATCGTCCTCATGCAAAATACCCGCAGTCTTGAGCAAAGACTCTACTCTCTCCAGACGATCCTTCAAGGACTTCACATATTCCTCGCTGTGGGAATCACATCAGCGACAGGACGGGAACCCAAGAAGGAAAGAACATGAATACCTCTGAGTATCGGCATTCTCCGCGCCGGAGAAGGTGCATCTGATCCCGCGACGAGCACATTGGACACAGACCTTTCCGAGCCCTTCGACTTCGCACTTGGTCTTCTTCCGGTAACAGCTTTCACATGCCTGAAAATCTAGTCAGCCATCGCCCAGAGAGATGGATCGATTCCCGTACCCGTTGGCTTCTCGGCCTCGGGGTCATTCCCTTAGCCATATTTGTGGCGGGGTGGGGGGTTTGGTTCATAGCATGGGGGGGTTATGCCAACCGACTGCCGGCTTGCGTTGTGCATTTCCCCCGAACGGCGTCATCCGCGCCTGTTCATGCCAAGACTTTGACCCTGCCTGTCACCGTCTGTGGGGAATCGGATCTTAGCGCCGGAATTTAAGCAAGTCACAACGCAACAACGGAGAGAAAGTCGTGGATTATCGACGACAAAAAGCGTGCAGCATTTTGATGTGGGTGGTTGACGTCGGCAGCTCGGCACCTCCGAATCCCGACGCCTTTTGCTGGGCGATGAACTTTTGAACTTTGGTTGCCATCATATTGCGACATCAAAGTATTGCAAAGGTTCCTCTTAGTCTTCAGAGTTGTAATGGGCATTTAAATTACTGCTGATTTCAACATTGCTGCCCAAATTATGTCTAGGTAAGACATCTGAACTCTAGGCACTTTACAGATTGCCTCCACTGTGCACATTATCTGTCACGACGCATACACTACACACAGGACACGACGGGGTCAATGGAACAATCCTAGCACTGGGCCAGTAGCACAGACCAAATGAATATTAAGCATATCCAAGCTTAAACAGCTAACATCTCCACGTCACCAGCTGACAAATGAATCCCCCGCACCGAGATAGTGCCCTAGATCTGGCAGTCAAGATGTCAAGCTTACCCGGACCCACGACCTACGACCTCCAATTCAGGACTCCAAACATTACTGTTGACACTGAAAATGCGTGCTACAACCGTCGGGATCGTCTCTATCGGAGACATGGGCCTGGGCATGGCGAAATTGCTCAAGGCTCACCATTATCGGGTGACTACCGTCGCAGAGGGGAGAAGGTGAAAGGAGTACTTTATACAACTACACTAGGACCGGCTAACCGGAGGCCAAAGTGAACATACCCTGGCACGTATCCACGCGGCCGGCATCGAGGCGCTACCTTCCGACCACGAGCTTGTGGTTCAGGCGGACTACATTTTGTCTATTGTACCTCCTGGTCATGCCCTCGCAACAGCGAAACGTATTGCCGGGGCCTGCAATGAGCTCGACACAGAAAGCAGACGGCAGGAGATAGAGGATGTCAATCATCGGCACAACCGAAGCGATCTCTTCTACCTTGATCTGAATGCAAAGCCAGCCCGACTGGCTGGGGAGATGGCGGTGCTCTTTGCGCCAGCCACGTCAACCACCGCTGCGCAAGCCCGGGGCAACTTCCTCGACGGCGGAATTATTGGAGGCCCTCCGAAGCAGCTCGCAGATGGATCGTGGAAGAAACCCAGCGTGGTGTTATCGGGCGCGGTGGATCTTTCCCCCACGTTTGAAGACCTGGCCGATACGCTAAACATGAAACTTGTGTCGCCCAGGGTTGGTGCGGCCTCTACGCTCAAGATGTCTTTTGCAGCATTGACCAAGGGCCTCACTGCGCTGTCGATTCTGTCCTTCTCCACCGCGGAGCGGGAATCGCTTCTTCCAGAGCTGCTAGAGCATCTTGACGCTTACTCTCCACATACGGCGTCACTGGCCCGTGCCGGCGTCGTTGGCATGAGTCCCAAGGCATATCGATGGGTGGACGAGATGCGTGGCATCGGCGAGACGTTCGATTCCGAGGGTGGATGGGACGGAGTCGGAGCCAGTGTCTATGGCGGGATCGCGGAGGTCTACCGGGCCGTGGCGGAGGATACGATCTTGGGACAAGAACGTGTCGAGCAGCGACGACGAGGGACGAGTGTAGAAGATGCCGCTAGCATCATCGCACAGAGAGCGGAGCGCGGATCCCGGGGTTAAGATGTCATAAAATTGTCGATCCCATCGATGTCTTGAACGAAACGTATTGCCAAGCTTCCTCTTACGCCGAAATCTCGTAACGGTTCAGTCCGCGTCATCAACAAGTGGGGGCATCCGCGGCCCAGACAGACCGTCCGTCCGAGCGGAGATGAGGTGAAGAGCCCCCTATTTGGGATCGGTAGGACGGTCGCGCCTAGCGCACGAAATCTGGGGGATCTATAGACAATTTTGATCCCCTGTACACCAGCCCAGTCCGGCCCAATACCTGAGGAGGAACTCGAGCACGATCCCAGAGTCTTTTCATACCATCTACAGCGGTGAAGAGCGACCCCTGGATGAGCCGACGGACGAACCAGAAGTCGCGATCACGACATTTCTGCATTTTATCAGATCATCGACTAGGCGATCTCCTAGCTGAGGCTGGCCTCTTTCCCCCATTCATCTACTCCCCCCTCTCTGTTACTCCCTCGGTCCAATCTCCCCCCTTTCTGACGTCTTATTGTGCGTCTGATTCGCGTACGTCGCTCGTGGCTCGTTATGCAATTCCACCGCGCCTCCGTGTACTTTCTGTAAAGGGACATCGCGGCCGAAACGTCCACGATACCCTCTTAGTGCCATTTATTTGCTTGTTTCCAAGATCTGCTTCCCCCCCCCGGTCCTCTCCTATGATCTGGGGTTTACGGTGGTAAGGTAAAAGAAAAAAGCATTCGGTCCAAGAAATCTGGCCAATTTTCCACCTTCCTACACAAATCTTACCTGGCGGCCCCTCTCCCTGGAGGAGCCCTAAACGCAGCTTCTGGACCTTGGACGACCCCCTCGTCCTTCTTTTCATTCTTTTCATTCTTTTCATTCTTTTCATTCTACACATCTTCACATCATGTCGGAGGAACAAGCCTCGCGCCCTCCTGAGGCGTTCGACAAGCTCGAAAACTTCAACTTCTTGCTGTCTCGCACCGACCCGGCGGCTGCTGCTAGGAACCGTCATTTTTCGTTCGACGCTGATACGGGGCTGGTCCCGTTTACCAACGTGAACATGGAATATGACCAGACTGAGGGAATGGGCGGCCTCTCAGTCAGCTCTTACGACAGTATAGATAGTGATCGCGCCTCTCTGGATCTCCGAGGATATCCCTATCACGGTACGTGAAGCTTTGACTCTTTTGCCAGATGTTGCATTTCTTGCGCCATCGCCGCTTATGGCTCATGTTTTGTCCATTGCTGGAGCCTTGGCTGCGAATCCTGGGAATCTGAGTTGCATTTGCATTTGCCCCTCGAGAAATCCCGTATTTCGTTTATTTTCCCCATGTGTATGCGTTGGTTTATGCCAGTTGTTCAGTTTCCCACATCCCCTGCAACTCATCACATCACCACATCACCAGATCCCCATCATAGCCCCCGGCTCCCCTATTTTGGGATTTAGAGCTCATACTACACATGTCCGGCAAGCCTTGGCCGGTGATCCATCTCATTGTGGGATGAGATCACCCATTTTTATAGCGAGCACGCAATTCCGCGCGCAGATGGCATGGCATGCCCTGTTCTAGGCACACCCCCCCCCCTCATTCTGTGAACACTTGCCCTCCAATATTGCAAATGGTCGAGCATTCGTCGCCTCTCATGGGGCTGCGAATATCCTGCCATTCTTTCTTTCCTGTCTTCCTTGGCTTTCTCATCCTTCGTACCCGATGACTTCCTCTACCTCCCTCCGAATTGATCGCTTACTCCATCCAACAGTACCCACGGGGGACAAAGCAATCAACTACTCGGTCCCTGACCATATGATACCCTACTCGGCGCACTCTATCTATCCGCCTGTTCCATTCGCGCCCGATGAGCTCGGCCACGCGCCGGGTGCTCTCACGCCCTCGGACGTCTCATCGTCCATCTCTCCGCCAAATGGCCAGATGGGCAACACCAAGTACTCCACCTCCATCCCTGGGGACCGCATCGCCGCGGCTCTGGGTCAGGAGGAAGGTGTCCGTGTTGCGGCTGAAGAAGATCGCCGGCGCCGGAATACGGCTGCCAGTGCTCGCTTCCGCATGAAGAAGAAGCAGCGCGAGCAGGTGCTCGAGCGCACCGTTCGCGAGACCACCGAAAAGAACGCCTCTCTCGAGGCTCGCGTGGCTCAATTGGAAATGGAGAATCGCTGGTTAAAGAACCTCTTGACCGAGAAGCACGAAGCTACTCCGGCTCGTGTGCCAGCTCCGCCTAAAGATGGCTCGGCGCTCGAGTCAAAGGCTGGCACTGGTGGTCATGGCCAAAAACATATTCAGCCTAAAAAGAAAGGCGTCGGTACTGATGAGTGAGGATTGAAATCAAAGTTCTGGCTTCACTTGCCTTGCGTTCTGTATTATCTCCCGAGCGGATCTGTCCGCTCGTCGCTTTGTATTTCCATCTTGCTCCTTGTTTTTGTTCAGAGTGTTCCATCCCTGTAATGGCTCGTCTTCATTATCATATAACAGGAAAGGCAGCTGGGGGATGGACGCACTCCATGACGATGTCACGACCTTTCTCTCCAATTCTCATTTCCCGCCTCGGGCCCTCCTTTCCGAATGTGGCTTCTGTGATTCCTAAGAATTGGTCCATATTCCCGCCGGACCTGGGCTTATTTTCTTCTCGCCTTCATTCCTGGATGTGTCTTATCTACCTAACCACCCTCTGCCTCATCCTGGGCGCTATATCGTGTCCATGCCCAGGCCGTCTCAATATCTCTTTATATCCTGTCTGCTTCCGTGTTGTTGTTTTGATGCATTCTGCATGTGGTTCTTGTTCTCGTTCCCTAGTGCAGGGTCGGGATCGACACAAGATGTAGTGAATTGTAGTCTTATTACAAGCACACTTGAGGACTTTGTTATGGATGGGTCTCTTGTCTGCTATCTTGCTTCTTGCCACGGCATTTCTGATCGATATTATATGGGATGGATTTGCTTGCATTATACATACCAGACCTCGCCCTTACGGACTGCAATTGAGTCCTGATTCCTATTTTCCAAGCTTTTCTTGATCTAAATGCTCATCAATTTCTTTTCTCGATTGATTGTTGGATACTGCGTTCCAGTCATGTCCACTTCGGCAGCAGTAATGCATCGCGTTATACATGTCCTGTACATCAGCCTACTGGCCTGAACACTGGATACTTTGATCAAAACTTCATTGACACACCTAGTAAATTACCGTGCCCAGCTATCCTATCCATCTCCGAGGCGCAAGACAAAACCTCAAATCAAAATAAAAGAACCAAAAGCCCAGCACAAGATGGTATTACATTAAGACACAGACACAAAAAAAAAAAAACACCATACAAACCAAACCAGAAGAAGCCCGTGTCTGTGTTCCTGGCCATGTTCGTAAAACCTCGACTTCGGATGGTGACGGTAGATCCAGGGTCTCTGTCGACCCACCTCAACCACAAAAAGAAAGTGAGGCGCCACGAGCACGACCCACGGGTACTGCGTCACGACGTTCGAGCATGTGAATTGGTAAATTGGGAAAAAACAGGGCATGGGTTCAACAAGGACCATTACGTGACCGATGAGTGCCGGAAAGTACCGATGTCGACATCTGGAGGGTATTTCTGCATGTTACCGATCGCGCCATCGACGCAGTTGTGACGCGTTTAATGAACGTGGGGGAAGTCTGCGGGGGAATTGAGACAATGTGATCTGTCCCCCGAACCGCTCCAAGTAAAGAGACAAACAACAACGAAGCCGTCAAATTCGTGACTTGTGGATGAGCTTATGCGCCCATGGGCTCGCGCTCCTCTTCACGGCCGCGCGCCTCACCTTCAAGGATCCCTTCCTCATCATCCTCGTAGTTGGGGTGCTGGTCGGCGGGCAACCACGAATCCCGGTCGCCCTCCAGAGGCTGGTCCTGGCCGGAGAGGTCGACGCCGTCGCGGTTCTTGATCGCGTTGGCACGGCGCTGAGACAGGGTGCGCGAGCGGGTGGATAGAGTGGGCTTGACGACTGCCTTGGAGGACACCCAGTTGGTGAGCGCGTCCTCACAGTCTTGGATGATGGCCTTGCTGGCGTCGTAGCCGTCGTATGCGTGGCGGGTCTCACCGGGGGTCACGGGCGTGTCGTCGATCAGATCGATCAGGTGCTTGCCGTAGCCGGCGATGATGGCGACCTTTTCGCAGTGCTCGCGCAGTGCGTCGAACTGGTACTGGAATGCGGCCTTAACCTTCTCGCGTGTGATGTTGGAGAGCTGCGCTTCGGCAACCAAGGACTCGGCTTCAGCGCGGACAAGCTCCTGCTCGAGAACAACGATGCGCGGGGATTGAGGATCCTTGTACTTGAGCTTAGCGATCTCATCAGTGATCTTCTGCTTGCCTGTTCGGGGGGAGGTTAGTCAATGGCCCGGAACCGAGGTCGAGATTGAGGTTGGGGTTTGGGGATCCAGGTCTTACGGTCTCGGCTGGGCTGCACGGAAGCTTCGATGTTACGGATGCTCTTGATGGTGACACGGTACTGGTCGTAGCGGTCGACGAATTGGTCTTCCAGCTCACCAATCTCGTAGATCAGAACGCCGAGCTTGTCTGTGACGTCCGACACGTCCTCATCACAGGCCTCACCCCACACAGACAATTGTTGCTGCATCCCTGTTAGCTTTCTCGACTCGATAGAATGCATTCAAGTCGGGCGGTGAGGGTTTCAACATACAGCGACGTCCATGCGTTCGCGGGCGACGAGCTCCATGCTACGCATGACGTTCTTCTCCATCTTCACGAGCTGCGACAGCTTGCGCGCGAGATCGGGGCCGAAGGCACCGGCGGTGTTCTTACGGAAGGCATGTCCTAAGCATTCATTTAGTCATTGATTCTTTAGCCGGTGGTGGCCGACTTCGCGACCCCGTAGCTTGTTCCTCCCGGGCGGAAGCGGATACCCGATCAGGCATCGAGCTTCTCGCGCGAAGAGCTCAAGCACGGTCGCAACTCAGACCAAACCTCACAACCACACTCAACACTTACCGATGCCGCCCTTTCCTAGCCAGCGGTTGGACTTCGTTGTAGACAACGGGGGCGGGGGGGTTCTCGATCTGCGCGGCGGTGGGAACGCGCGACTGGCGCATAGAATAGGTGCGATGCATAGCGAAGGTTGTATCAAGAGTAACGAGAAGAGAAAGGCAGGAGGGTAGCTGTTGATGTAGATATCGAACTCCGAGGTACCTTGCAGGAGTCAAGAGTCAGGAGCCAGGGAAGAAAAAAAGACGGTGCCTTGCGCAGTAGTGACGTGAGCTAAAAAGAGGGGGGGAGCTTCACCAGTTCAGGAGTACGTTACTTACTGTTCTCTCTTTTATTATTTTTTTCTTCACGGGATACGACGGAACTCTGCAACCGGAATAAGTCCAGGACTACGTCCAAGGCACGGAAGTTATAGAAATCTCAAGTGAAGACTTTCGTGACGTCGTCAAGTCGGAACAGCTAACCCGTTTCGGGGGGGAACGAGGTGAAAGCTCAGGATCTCGCGACTCCCCTATCAACCACACCCAAACGAACTCATAAATGAGCCTGAAGCCCGGACGCCTGCGGATCCGCTGCGCCTCGTCTCTCCAACTTGCACTAGTGTCTCTTTAGTTCCTGCTCGATTGAGTATTGAACAAGGCCGATCCAATAGCGCCGAATGGGAAGGTTGTTGCATCGTGCGTTCATGATCGCCGACGTCATCGGGTTGGGCGTTGATGTCATGGCGTCAGCCACTAGGACTTCTCCCAACTATACACCGTCATGAGTCCAAGAGTTACATTGCAAATTGGGTGATGAGTAGAAATTGTGCCTGTGAGAGTCATTGACGAATATCAGTGGGGGGAGTCGGGTCAGACATGTTCAGTGGTGGGGGGGAGGTGGGTTGGTACGCTACAGAGGTCTCGAGAATGGGTGATTGTGGAATATCATCCATTAAATGATGGAGATTAATCTAGGTACAGTAAGATGTGCTACCCCATATCCAGCCCCTTGGGTTGCGAGATTCATGTTTCGGGGTTCGGGTCATGTCCTGCGCTTCTTGTTCGTGCCCTTGGCACTGCCTTTCGATGCCCCTCGTTTACCCCTCGATCCGGAACCTTCTTCGGCCTCTGACCGATCGGCCCCTTGAGCTTGTTGCTGCAGTCGGTTGAACGCCTGCTCCATGCGACTGGGTCCACTGCCTCGGACACGGGGCGCAAAAGCTCCGGCACCCTGGGGTCCCTGCATGAACTGTGTGATATTCGACTGCGTGCCTTCCTGCTCCCGCCGATTCATATCTCGGATGACAGGGACCAGGATCTCGTCGGTACGTTCCTGGCTCCAGCCGATCGTCGCCATGAGGAATTGTCGCAGTCCGTTGAGATCGGGTATGCCCCATTGGAACGGGGACGGGTCGGAATCGACCTCGGGCTCGAGATAAGCATCGTCGACTCGAGTATCAGGGAAGGAAGGGGAGAGGAAGATCTTGGATGCCTTCTTTCGAAATTTCTTCCGAAAGGCTTGGTGGGGGTCGTCGGCCTTATTCACGCCCATTTGGAGGTCTCCCCACCAGTCACGAAACTCCTCGAGACTCGAGAACTCGGTGATGATTTCTAGCGCGGTCACGGGTCCGACGCCGGGGATGCCTTCGGTGTAATCGCTACCCAGGAGATGTGCAAAGCTGATGAGCTTGCGCTGGTGAAGGGCATACTCCTTCTCAAAGTCGGACGTTAGGTAGCATTCCACGAACTTGCTTTGATTGAACATGTTCTTGTAGACCCGTGTGCCTCCAAAGAGGAAGATATCGCTATCATCTGTGACAATGCCGTCCACAAGACCCAGGGAGACGAGCTCGGCGCATTGTGCTTCAGCTTCCATGGGCGCAGTAACATATGGCAACCCGAAGAGCGTAAGCAGCTGCTGGCACTCATTGATCATGATCTGAGTCACCTCGTCAGCATCACGCCGGTCTTTTCGCTGCTGATTTCGGAGCTGTTTCAACTCTTGTTCGTAGTCAAAGGCATCCTGAATAGGTGCTGCCGAATTGAGGGTCTGCGCGAACCGAACGTGTTCTTCACTTTCGGCAGCGAGCTGTTGCATCAGGTCTTCATCTTCAGGATCGCTGAAATCGCCATCGTCTTCGACAATTTGATCAGGGCGGGTGGGCTTGACTTGCGGCTTGGGATGTTGGTCCGAGACCACTGTGATTTCTGGAGCCTGTACCGGTGCTTGAGCCAGGACATCTTCAAAGTCTGGCTCGGGAGAGGGCTCGACGTGGAAAGACTGTTTCTGGACGTTGGCCTCTTCCGTCTGTTCAGGGAGAGGATTGTGCTGATCAATTAAAATCGTAGTGTCCAGACCGGGAGCTGGTGCATGGCTCACATCCTCGAAGTCGGGTTCTGGCGAGGATTCGGCCTGGGGAGGCTGTAAATGAGCCTCAGACTCCACTTCATTCTTGAATGGAGACTCAGCAGGAAGTTCCTCAAGAGGAGAATTTTTGCCCTGCAGTTCCTCAAAAGCCTCAGCCTCCGGAGATTTGGATTCGGGGCTCATCTCTTCCATTTGTGGAATGATTTCAATGGGAGCCATAGTCTCCGTTTCTTTTTCCTCGAGCTTGTCTATGTCAATAACCTCTTTTGTGTCAGACACTCTGTCCACATCAATGATCTCTGGCGCTCGCCGATTCGAGAAAACCACATGATCATGCTCTGCCGCATCATCTCGATCATCGGAAGGCCTATCCACAATGAATTCCTGATTCAATCGCTCGCCAACAAACCACGGAGGCAGCGGATCGGTTTTGTTCTTTTTCGTAGGCTCCTTAATAAAGCCTCCAGCGTCTTCATCAACCTTAGCAGGCGGTGCGGGTTTAGTCGACTTGTTGAGAGTGATGGATTCGAAGGGAAGAGGGCCACTGAACGGATTGGCAGCTTGCGGCTTCTTTGAAACTTTCGTCTGTGCAATCGCAGCTGAAAAGTCCATTCCGTCGTCACCGCTCTCAGAGAGGTCCGCCATGGGCTCATGGCCCATTATTGGGTCGGTTGCTCGATTTATGCTAATATCAGGCATGTCTTCGTCGGGTGCTTCGTTTGGTTGCATGGAGAGAGCAATCGCTCTTTCAAGATCGTCATCTCCATCATCATTAAAGAACTCTTTGGTATTATTTTCATCTCGAACGAAAAGGGCGTCGTCATCAGCATTTGCAATAAAGTCTCGTCTGCTATGGCGAGATTCAAAAAGTGCCCTTTGCATGTCCGCATCCTCTTCCTCTTGATGGAGCGACTGGTCGAAAACACCCTCTCTCCGAGGTGGAAGTTTTGGCAGCCTATTGAGCCCTTCGATCGGAACGTCTTCGAACTCCTCGTCGTCCGAACCTTCTGATCCAGACAAGACTTCTGGCAACTCGTATTTATCCACATCAATGGGTCGGTCCTCATACCCTTCATTCTTGTTACCAACAACGCCCAGCACCCAGCCGCCTGCGTGCTCGCTATCCTGGACTAGGACATATTCCCTGCCGCGCTCGCCAGCGATTCGTTGCCCGGAATTGTAGAATGCCTCCTCTCCATTCATGCCATTGATGTTCATAAGCCGTTGCGTCAAGTCATTTCGCTCTTTAACTCGCTCGATTTGAAATCTTGAAAAGTCCATGCGGTTTGGAAACATGATATCCAGCTGTTCCTGGGAATAACCCATCCTCATACGGCTTCTGAGTCTCGCGGCATTCAAAATATTGTATCGATCGGATGCGGGAAGACTGAGGAAGAAAGGACTATCGAAGTCAATTTTCGAAAAATCGTAGAGGTTGATATCTTGTCCTTGGTGGAACTGCCGTGCGTATTCTTCCAGTTCTTCTTGAGACATGATCCGTGGATCATTCGGAGCGCCCATCTGTTCCAAAGAAACATCCAAATTCGGAAGATGATAAGCGTCCTTTTTCTTGAATTTGCGTGTTTTTTGCTTCTCCTGCTCAGTCATGAGATTCTCATCCGCGTAGATAGGCGCATCAGGAACAGCCTCCTCCGTTTCCTGAACGCGGTCTCGATTTCGACGGCGCTGTTCAGCTTCTTCTTCGGCCGTTCGTTGCATCTGCACCGCAAGCAGCTTCCCTGCCGTCCGTGTAGCATCTTCTCTCCGGCCCTCGCGTCTTTTCTTGCGACCTGCGATCGTCTGTCGTTTGAGTACCGGTGCGCCTCCGTCGAAGACGAAAACGGGTTTGATGCCAAAATAAAGCAGCTTGCATATCCGGCGGAAGAATCCCACGACGTGCGAATTGCGCAGCGCATTTCCCTCCTTGTCGCGCACTGCTTTGAGGAACTGGTAGATCCATATAGACGCGTCGACGGCTAAGCGTTTTTTGTTCAGCGTTTCGAGTTTGATCGGCCGAGCGCAGGGCTGAACCACTGTCCAGAGCCCGGTGACACCCATGAAATGACGATGCCGAGCGAGGTGTCACTCGAGCGACTTTGAGCATCAGATCATGCCTTGGCAGTTTGCACGCTGATGACATCGACAGTCGCGTGGTCACCTGACCAATATCACCACTTTGGGACTAGAGCGGGGCCGATCCGTTAGTAAGCGTCCTGGGGAGGGAAAGAGCAATTTTGATATCTTAGAAAGGTTGGAGATAGTCGCTGCAATTGATCAACTGGGCGAAGAAGGCGATACTTCTCAATGCATGGGAGAACTAGGGGTCATGTCACCGTCACTTGAGGTTTGTGTCTTCATGGGAATCCTCGTTGATTGAAACATCCCGTTGACTCACAATTGCAGCTTGTGGATGCTTGTCTCCCCATATCAGCATTGAAAACGTATGATTGGAATGATCATCACTTCATATTGCAGGGCCAAGGTCCATTGTTTCGAGTAGTCGAGGACCGTACCGGGAATGTGGCAGCGCAGGTCCAAGTTTTCAAACGGAATAATGTCCATGGATTCATTATTCTTCATGAACACAAACATGAAGATGCGAAAGACATAATTCAAATTATAGTATGGGGTGGAAAATCCTTGCGTGTTGTTGATCTTACGTTGGGTTCCGACAATGCCGTCACATTGTGCGCATCCAGCGCCGAATTTCAAGCTCCAGACTGGATTATGAGCGGATGTACTGCTGTTCTCGACCAGCCAGATACAGCATACCTGGTCACGGCAAACAATGCGTTGTTGAGCTTGAAGCTCTCACCGACTGCGTCATCTGCATATCGTTTGAGAATCAGCATTTATCAACTGGCAACGAGCGTCAAGTGCATCTTATACGCAGTGGATCTCATTGCGCTCTCTGCCTCTCACATCTTGATCGCCGCAGGCACGGTTTTCGGAGAAATCATTGTTTGGTCGTGCTTCATCGAGGCAAGTGAACCATCGAAATTGAATGCAGTTGGGTCGATTCACCACTACTTCACTGGTCACGACGGGTCAATCTTCGGCGTACGAATCTCGCCAAAACTAAGCTCATTGAATGGCGGGAAGTCTGGTCGACTCCTAGCAAGTTGCAGTGATGACCGAACCATCAGGATATGGGACATCTCGGACTGCGAAAACAAATCATCTCAGGACCCTTCCGCATACTCTACAGATGGCTTCGAGCTTCGAGGCACTGGGTTTGGAGCTACACAAGGCGATGCGGGCCTGACAGCTGAATCATGTGTTTCGAAAGCTTTTGGACACATGTCTCGGATTTGGAGCGTGAACTTCCGGCCTCTCAGAGAAGACCAGCCCAACAAGGTGGGCTTGGTGTCTCGAAGCGAGGATGCTACTTGTGCCGTTTGGGATCTGACCTGGAAGTCGGATTCTGCTGGCGCATTGACTTTCGATCTACGCGAGACGTTCTCAAGTCTCCTTCATTCCGGAAAAAATCTATGGTCTTTGGATCTTTGCAGCCGAGGCGAAGAGACAGTGGTTTACTCAGGTGGTGCTGATGGTGCCTTGAACAGCTTCGTAGTCAAAGAGACCTGTGCGCCAGATGATGTACCATTGAGTGATCTTGATGAGTCTACAAAAGGCCGTCCTTCTAAGATTGGAACAAAAGCGTTTGGCTTTGTTTCACCAGACTGCTTCGTTGCTTGCTCAGCGAGCGCAGAGCTTCAACTTGGGCATATCGGTGCCGGGGAGAATGCGAATATCTCTTGGGAAACCTTGTGTACCGCAAAAGACCCTCGTACATTCTTTTTGATTGCAGGATTTTCGCATAAGCGACTCGCATTGATTGGGAGTGGCCAGGGCTCCTTCCAATTGTACCGCCATGACTCAAAATCACTTTCCCATCTTGTCAATATCGGCGGAAGACCCATCGGACTCATTGCACTTGAAAGTTCACAGCTGGAGGCTCTGTCGTTCCTTGCTTATTACCCAACGGACAATACTGCAACGCTGGTGTCAGCCACAGGATTGGATGACGAGTGCCCGAAAACTGAAGTTATCACTTTTAATTTACCACAAGCGCCATTCGCGGTTTCTGCTGCATCCTTGATATGTAACGGCCAGTATCTGATGATCGGGTCTAAGCTTGGTGGATTGGCTGTTTATCGAGTCTCGGATCTTGGAATGAACTCCCAGCCTCTGATAGAGGATCGACGTGTTCATGGCCGTGATGCCACAAACCACATCCAGGTAGTTCCCTCGATTGGAGAATTCAGTGCAAGCAACCCTGAATATGTTTTAACGTGCGGACGCGATGGCTACTTCTGTCTGCTCAAGCTTTACCTGAGTGATGACGGCGTCATCTCTTTCGAGGCAGTGCATAGATCATACTCTGGCCTCGCCGGCAATATCGGAGGTGCGTACTTTGATGAAGCAAGTGGTGATCTGATGATCTACGGATTCCGATCACAATCATTTGTCCTTCATAACGAGTCCAAGCAGAAGGACATCATCTCCATTCCCTCGGGTGGCGCTCGGAGAGGTTGGGCCTTCAACCCGGAGACTCGCGATCAAGAGGCTGTCCTTCTCTGGAAAGATGGCCACAATATGTACACGCGCCGCATTCGTATGGATCTTAATCGGTGCCTCCGAGCTGGAAATCATGGCCGGGAGATTAAGTCGATGGACAGCGTTGATTCAATCCAAGGCAAGCGGTCGCTCTTCGTCACTGGATCGGAAGATACTACAGTGCGCATCTTCGCATCATCAACTCCGGACAGTGCAAGCCCGTGGGGATCCTTCGAATGTCTGCGCACATTGGATACACACAGAACTGGTCTCCAGCAAGTCAGTCTCTCAAAAGACGGTCAGTATCTGTTCACGAGCTCTGGTTTTGAGGAATTCTTCGTTTGGAAACTCAATTTCGTCCCATCGTTCGGTCTTGCGACAATCCTTTTGGCTGCTAGCCCGAAAGCTGACCCGGATTCGGAGCTTCGAGTAACCAGTTTCGATGTGGTGGAGGTTGAAGATACTGGATCTGGAGAGGGCTTTCTCTTGTGCCTGACTCTTTCCAACTCCCTATTCAAGGTAAGCAGCTTCCAAGAAGCTGATTGATCAGGAAAGTTAACAAGACTAGATATTCCACTTCTCTCCATCCGATGCGAAGTTTACACTCCTGGCCAGAGGAACGTACATGACCAACTGTTTGACACAAGGTCAATTCTGGGTGAAAGATTCCTCAGTGAGCCTCATCACCGCCGCTACAGATGGATTTTTCACTCTTTGGGACTTGACCACAATCCTTGAACCATTCTACATTATTTCTTCATCTACTGTGTCCGCGAAACCATCTCTCGGAAGCTCTGTCATCTCACCTGAAGAGATTTCTTGTGAAAGTCGATACCAAGTTCATTCCAACAGCATCAAAGCAATCGAGCTGGCGTCAATATCAGAAAATGCCGCCGTGATTGTAGCTGGAGGCGATGACAACTCCATCTCCGTGTCTCTGTTGAAGACAGATACCGATGGAGGCGTGCAGGTCGCAACAGTTTCGATACCAGATGCTCATACAGCTGCAACAACCACCCTCAAAATTCTCCGTCGGCAAACAAGCTGCGCTCCTGGATCCGATACTGAACTCACAACAGTTATTTTCGCTTCCTCAAGCAATGACCACCGAGTCAAGATCTGGTCCATCACTGTGGATCCTACACAACATGATGCGCAGGCAATTCGGGTTAATTTCTTACTAGATCGATACAGCGCCGTCGCAGACTTATCATCCTTGGCACTCATCAAGACTTCCGAAAATCAAGGAAAGTTGCTGATCGGCGGTGTCGGTATGGAAATGTTTCAGATCAGGCTGTAGGGACTTGAACTGCAAGATGACGACGTCCCACCTGATTGTTAAGTAGAACACAGGGGGCACCCCAGACTACGGTGTGAGGATTTCACAGCACAAATTAATAAAGATATACATGGATCGTTCGACATTGCTAGACAGTAATAATCAGTTTCTCCGCGATGTATACACACCTACCCGAAACCAGGATTTCGGTCCCTCCGTACTTAGCGCCGTGTTCAAAAGGGATAATGCGCCTTTCCCCGCATAAGGAATGTGCATATGAGTGGGCAAGCATCTCCCTACATAGTCAGCTGTAGCTCGTTGCGGAAACGTATTACTAGAAAGAGATAGATCACCAAAAGAATCAAGGGTCGACCCCGCGTCGGTGGATCTTTCCTGCATGACCAACGGCTAAATTGAAGACACAAAAAAGAAGAGCTGGTGCTTCATTTCATTTAGACAACAGGGGTCCCGAAGCGAGGAGAAACCAAGTCTCGTCTGTCGCAAGGTAGTTTGACTTCACGTCTGAATAAAGGGCTAGAATAATAACTCTCCAAAGAGCACAACAAACATCCTTCATCCTTTGAGTATCCCGAGATATGAGAACATTGAACACTCAAAATTCATAGAACGTGTTCAGCATGAAGCAGCAACTTCTGTACCTCGCCGGTATGGCTACTGTTGCTGCCGTACCCTTGGCACATCAGTCTTCCGCCACTTATTTCTTCACCTTGTATGGAGATCTCGTCAACTGGTGTGATACTGTCTCATAGATTTGAATACTGACCATTAAAAATGTTAGCGGAGATTCGTACACCATGACTTCTTTCAATGTCTCCGGCACACAGCCATCTCCTTCGAACCCAATGGGGAACCCTACCTTAGGTCAGTTCGCGACACACTCACGGCAGATCTACATACTCATGGCAATTAAGGGACCGGGACCACCGGTGGTGGTGTCAATTGGGTGGGAGACCTGACGACCGAAGATAATCGTTCGCTCGTTCTGAGCTACAATCTTGCCGTGGGCGGCGCCACTATTGACAATCGCATTATAAATGCTACAGTGGAGGATATGACCACGCAGGTTGCGTCATTCCATTCGATCTATGGCAGAAAGCCCCATGCTGTGCCGTGGAAGGCTGATAACGCAGTGTTCGGGTTCTGGATTGGAATCAACGAGTACGGTCATCGCTGAATGATTTCCCATAAATCTGTCTGACAATTGACCTCTAGCATCGGCTGGGCCTATGCCACCTATGACGCCAGCGTCCTCGTTCCCAAGCTTATGACCCAGTACGAATCTCTTCTTGAGCAGATTTATGCCGATGGTGGACGCAAGTTCTTGTTCCTGAATGCGCCGCCCACTAGCCGGAGCCCATTCATTCTGGCAGCGGGTGCACAGGCATCCGAGGCACATGCAGAGTGGGTGACTGCCTACAATGACGGACTCTATACGATGGTGAAACAGTTCAAACGGAAGCACGGTGATGTAAGGATCTTCTGTTTCAACATCTGAAAGGGGAGTGACTGATCTCTTATTCTCAGGTCGAAACTGTCCTCTACGACGCTTGGTCCTTTATGACCCACGTTCTGGATAATCCTAAGGAGTATGGGTACCCAAACTCCACTTGCATTCATGACGATGGGACAAGCTGTATCTGGTGGAATAATTACCACCCTGGAAGCAAATACCATAGGCTACAGGCTGCGAATATGAAGCCGTATCTTAAGCGGTTCGGGGCTTGGTAAGATGATGCCCTTTAACAGAGCCTATTTGTGATGCCAAGTAACAGCGAGACTGAGCCCCTTTTGAATGCATTCGGAAAATAAAGCTACTTCAAGCGTTGCATTAGCCAGTTGCTGTTTTGATCTTAGACTCAGTACCTAGATGTTTGGAGTGGAGATTGTCATTGTTTCAGAGTCGTTTTTCGTATATTCGTGCCAAGACTAACTCTAGTCACGAATTCCATATTCAAGACCAACTCGGCTCTGCGCGACCTCGTCTATTCTAGCAATTCTTATGTACGAAATCAATCTTCTTGCAGAGTGAAATGTTTCTATGTACATTCAACATTTGTAGTGTCGCGCCAAAGACATCTCGTCGATCTATTCCAGAAGCGTCACGGGGTTTTCATGAAGATATTCAGGTTGCAGTTTCAAGCCACCTGTGCCTGAAACCTGAACAAGATTCGGCAGGATTCGTGAAGAAAATCAAGCAAACGCCTACCCCGCAGTCACCTGGACACGACTTGGAGTCTGTGCCTCGAATTATTGTTGTGTACCTATAATGCCTCACGGTTGGAGCGGGCGATATTCCGAATCATTTTCAGCTCCGTGTCTTTTTGACACGCCCTCATGGCACGTTTCATTTCGCCTTTTTATCCTATTGCCTAAATGCCGCGCCAATGAGTATAGTGCCACGGGTACGTGCAGTTGTCATTGAAGATGGGGTTTCAAGGTATAAAATGGTGGACAGGTCCCGGTGGACAAAAGTTGTATCACAAGTACGCAGCTTTCAGTGGAGGATCATCCAATCATTTATATCAAAGTTCCCCTGAGTGAATCCCAACTGGTTATCCTTTACTTTCTGAAATGAGATTGAATCACCTCGTCCTCATTGCCGCTGTGATCGGATCCACAGCGGCGTCACCAGTCAAGGATGCAAAGCGAAACTCTGCATTCCAATGTATGTGACTAGCAGCCACGTGAAGATGACAAGGGCCCCGAAACTGATCTTCTGAAGGGTTCGGATCCAATGAATCAGGTGCTGAATTTGGGACTAGTTACCCCGGAGTTTGGGTAAGTCGCAATTACCCTCGACCTCCATACAGCGTCAATTTATTAATCAAGACATTAGGGAAAGGACTTTATCTTTCCAGATACAAGTACCATCCAGACATTGATCAACGATGGCATGAACATCTTCCGAGTTCAGTTCATGATGGAAAGAATGGCTCCTAATGGCATTACGGGATCATTCGATGCGGCTTATTTGAAGAACTTTACTACTGTAAGCAACTCTAGCTAGTGACTTCCACTGACCGAAGACTAATTTAAGTAGGTTGTGGACTATATCACCAATGCAGGTGCTCATGCTATCATCGACCCACACAACTATGGCCGATAGTAAGAATCCCTTATTAATGTCCAGCGAGTCAGAGACGATTAACAAGTTTTTAGCGATGGAGCAATCATCACGAGCACATCCAACTTTCAAACTTTCTGGCAAAACCTCGCTAGCCAGTTCAAGTCGAACAACCTTGTTATCTTCGACACGAGTAAGTACTCTGCGAATGCTTAAAGTAGTCATGCTAACTCGGTCGTTTTCCAGACAATGAGTACAACAATATGGACCAAACTCTCGTCTTGAACCTCAACCAAGCCGCCATCAATGGCATCCGGGCCGCAGGCGCCACGTCACAATACATCTTTGTCGAAGGCAACTCATGGTCGGGCGCCTGGACCTGGACTACCGTCAACGACAATATGAAAGAGCTTACCGACCCGCAAGACAAGATCGTCTACGAGATGCACCAATATCTTGACTCGGACGGATCTGGCACTAGTGCGACATGCGTGTCATCCACGATCGGCGTGGAACGCATCACATCCGCTACTCAGTGGCTCATTGCCAATGGCAAGAAGGGCTTTTTGGGTGAATTTGCGGGTGGTGTCAATAGTGATTGTCAAGCTGCGATCTCGGGCATGTTGAGCTACATGGCGCAGAACTCGAATGTCTGGACCGGGGCTTCGTGGTGGGCAGCCGGGCCGTGGTGGGGTAATTACATCTACAGCATGGAGCCACCCAGCGGTGTAGCGTACACGGGGATGCTGTCTATTTTGAAGCCTTATTTTAATTAGATGTGGGCCGTGAATTATGAATTGTGCGCTTAAGAGGGGAAGGCGGTGAAGGCAGACATATATATTGATATGTCTACGTTATAGTGAAATAGGTTCCGTGAAATATGAACGGTCGCAGCGATTTCCCCAAGAGTGTCATAATTGGTATAGCAACGTACCTGTACAGATTCTAAACGCAAGTGGCTACTCGCGTCAGTGGGACTGTGGGGGGGGCTGGTGGACACACAAGATCCTCGCCGCTACAGTAAAAATGAGGTAGCCTGGGAGTCGCAATTTCAATTTCAGCATGGTAGAGGTTCATTGGCTTGCTGTCGGTTCCCCAGAGCAAGACTACAGTACAAGAAATAAATATAGAAACTAGAACCACAAGGGATAGGAAGGTATCAAGCGTGGCGGTGGAGCCGGGCCACGGCATCTGTGCCAAGCAGAGAACGAAGAAGCCTGATCCGGGTCAGATGCGGCATTCCACATGAGCTCAGGCTGTGGAAAAGTCCCTTGTGAAAAAAAAAAAATCGAAAAAATTTTCTCATCGGCCCACCAGGCTGGAGTGTTAGGATGACGAGGCATGGACGGGGGTGGACAGGTGGATTAGTTGATCGGGCCCTTTGATACGGCGATCCGTCAACCGTCATCCCTAACACGATACTGTAACACGGGTCATAACACGGGTCTTGTCAGGGCAGCAGAACTCTATCCCAAAGAAGACTAGCGCAGCCCCAAATAGAACAAACGTGGCGTAGACCGTGTGGGTCTGATCAGGCCCTGTCATTGGCTGGGTGCGCGTGTCCTGGCCCTGCGCCTCTTCGCAGGGAGGCTGGAGAGTCGTCGTAGTTGCGAGGTTACGAGGCTGTACATGGATTTGGTCCCGTGTAAAGTGCCGATCATCTTATGATAAAACAGTCGACTTCCCCCGTCCCAGACTTCTCACTTTCCTGGATTCATCAATCACCATATCTGACCTTCCCCTCCCCGCCTTCCTCACCACAATCACTCACACAACCCACCGTCATGGGGACAGCCGGCCGTATCGCGTGTATCTTCACGCCCTACCTGCTTACGATCGCATCTTTGATCTGCATTATTATGGTCGGATTGGGCTGCACCAATGCCAGCTCCAGCACATTGAGTAATCTGTATTTCATGCGGGTAGGTTTTGCGCAACTCTCACTTTTTGTTTTGCCGAGAATGCGCCACTAACAAACTGTTCTCCGTATATAGGTCGACCTCCAAAACATTACCGGTGCCGGGTCCAAAACCACTACGGAAATTGAGAGCATCCTGCAAGAACATGGAATCACCAGTGTCACCTCGAGCGACGTGTCGGACGTCTTGAGCAAGCTCCAGGATGACAGCACGCTGAAGGACTTCTACGACATCGGTCTCTGGGGATACTGCGATGGAGATATCACCAACAGCACCTCCAACACCACCAGCTGCTCCAGCCCCAAGAGCGAGTACTATTTCAACCCGCTTGAGGTCTGGGGTCTCGACAACGACGCTGTGAAGGATGAGCTGCCCGATGATTACACAAAGGTCATGAATATCTACAAAGCCGTCTCCAAGTGGATGTTCATCGCCTACGTCCTCGCCTTCGCCACCACCATCGTTGAGATCCTGGTTGGTATCTTCGCCATCTGCAGCCGCTGGGGCAGCTGTGTAACCACCCTGTTCGCCGTCCTTGCCTTCCTGTTCACCACCGCCGCTTCCGTGACCGCCACCGTCCTCTTCTCAATCATGAAATCGACTGCCAGCAACCTGCTTGACGCCTACGGCATCAAATTCACCATGGGCAAGAACATGTACGCTGCCACCTGGCTCGCCGTTGCCTTCTCACTGGCCGGTACCCTCTTCTGGCTCTTCAGCGTGTGCTGCTGCTCCGGTCGCTCGCCCTACAACCACCGCAACCGTGACCGCCGCAACAACGGCATCACGGCCGAGAAGGTTCCCTATACCTATGAGCCTCTCGGTGCCGGTGCCGTTCCCTACGGTAACCAGCACCCCAACCACACCTCGTACCCGCCTCCCCCAGCCAACGAGTACCCCATGGCCAACACCAACAATGGTCGTGCCAATGCCTACGAGCCTTTCCGTCACGTCTAAGAGACGACTTTGAAAACTCTTTCTTTGTATACCATCTCTTGAAGCGTTCTTAGAATGGGGATACCATGGCGTTCTACTCTTTTATGGGGCTTGTCTTCTTGTTTTTTTTTTTTCTTCTGCATGAGCTTCACGACTTTGATTTGATGACTCTGATGCTTGGATACCACCGTGATCATTGCCGAGAATCGCAACTTTCCGTATCCGTCCTCTTTGAGGAAATGACTATGTGCAAATCGACTTGACTAAGAAATGAACAGTCTATATCTGACCATCCCTCCTTTTTCAATCGTAGATAGCAACTGAATATCCGAGCACATTCCATATCTGAACGTCTTTTAATTTTTAAGGGTAGACAGCAACTGAATATTCATCGAGTTGCCTATAAATTGAATAGGACGTTGTTTATTCCCAACGTTCAATAGCTTTGAACTTTGATAATGGTTGATAAGTACAAGATGGATTCCATCTGTGCCTGTACTAGACCGTTTTGACCTTCGTTCATCCGGTCATCAGTGTGCTTGGCCTCGTGCACTGGACGGCCTGGTTCAATCCCCGTATGCTACGCAAAACTGCCGAGGGCCCTGGATGTCAGATGTTGATCTTAATATTGCTCGAATTTGTACTGGGACTCTGCTGACCAGCTAGGCACTTTGACCTGAGAAAAGTCTCGAAATAGAACTTATAGTAGTTGAGATTGCAAAGCCAGCAGGAAATTTCTCGACTTGGGCTCCCATTACGTGTGTCCATTTACTGAGGAAAGGGGCCTTCGATCGTCGGGTCAGTCTATCATTTGATTTCGATATCATGCTCATTCTGTCTTCGGGATTCATTGCATTTGCAGGCTCATTCACGCAGATGGACTGTCGTCAAACCAGTCTTATTTTCACGAAGCTCCTGGAAATAGACAAGGCAAACGTCGAGTTGGTCGCCACGAGCAACTTGACAGCAGAGGCTCACCTCCATCCTCGTAAGTCGCCATGTAATGTACGTTCATCCAGGGCAAAAACTATCGGAAACTGCCTTTAGAGAGTCTCCAGGGAACAAGGGCTGTGATTCTTGGCCATGGTGGATAGTCTAAACATGCGGGTGTCATTGTCGGACAATTATTTGAATCAACAGCGCCTTCTTATCGCGGTTCTCTAATCATTACCATGATCCCGATTACAGTCGGTATGCGTAAAATTTATCTCGTGAGGGTCTCATATATGATAGAAAGTCTTTGTGGTCGTACAGTGAGGGCGAATCGAGGAACATGAATATCAGCCACGGGCAGTGAACAGGGTGAATTTTATAAAGGAGAGTTTCAGATTTATCGTCTGTAGACTCATGAGGCAAGAGAGAATTGTATACCAGTAGCAGATGCGGAAACACGGGCTCGAATAAACACATAATGCTCTCGCACTAGCTTCCTTGCTCGAGTGCTCGCAAAGAGGCTGTGGTGTTTCTTGTCCATTATTTACCCGAGGATCGTAAATGAGCAGGACCGAGACACACCCTTGATTATGAAATAGGCCCCAACAAAGTCCTCTCAATCACGGTGAATTGCACGGCGAATCACGCCTTTCTCATCAAGGAGAATCTTTGCTCCCCCACGCCGAAGACGGTCAGCCAATACGTTCTGATCTGCCTCAGCATAACGCTTGAAAGGCGTGTTGCGGTCGTCCGACCACACGGGGCCTTTGGGACGCATATGTCTCAGCGAGACGAACCAGTTCTCGTTCCAGTCTTCTACTTCAGGGGACGCAACTGGGATGGGAAGAGCTCGTGAAGACGGAGCCGGTGTGTTTGACATGAAGCTTTCGTCACCGAGTTCGACGCTGGCAGTTTCGTGACAGGTGTCTTCTAGATCGGACTCGTCAATTTCACCCGTGCGGTCGTCATCTGGATCATTTCGCACGTCGTGAAGAGTGGCTGGGGGTTCTTCAACAGCCGACTCCAGGCCGGAGAGAATGCATTTGACATCTTTTGGTTCATCGGATTCCATAGAGTAAATTGGGCCATCTCTTGATTCAGTACAGTCTTCGCTAGGCCCTTCCAACTTGATTGAAATTGAATCGGCTGGTGAAGAGGGGACGAAGTAAGGACCGACCGTATCAGGAAGCTTACTCGGCGCGACTTCCTTGATTATTTCGACAGGCAAATTGGGGGGGATTTTCCGCCGGAGGAATCGCCAATGAAGATATTTGGACTTCCACTTGAGCAGCAGGCGAGTCTGGCTGCACTTGGCTGTTGGCAACTGGGGGTATCATTTTAGTTGGAATGAATTGCGACGCCGCAAGTTCGACACCGTGGGCTGCCAGACTGCGTTTTCTGTGGGTCGGGTGCGTGAAGTTCAGAAGGAAGTATTCTTCGTAACTCAGCGTCATTGAGTCCTGGGATGCACGCTGCTCAATGTGTGAGGAATATTGCTGGAGATGCATGATGATAAAGTCATCCCACAACAACGACTGCTGGAGCTTCCCTTCCACTCGAACTGCCTGCAGCCTGGAACACAACTCGATGAAGTGATCAAAGTCCCCGGTATAGGATGGGTAGTCGTCACAAAATCTCTTGTATACTTCCCTAGCCTGTGCAACCTTGTCCGGGTTGCCGATGTGTGCTAGACGTCGGGCCACAAGAGCAGCGCTTTGGGTGGTTTGCACGTCCGTCAAGCTTTCGTCTACGAGCTCATTGTCAGGTGGTAAGCTTCGTTGGGTTTTTGCTGGAGAGTAGTCTTGCTCAGCTACAGGAACGCGGGAATGACCTGTCGTAGACTCTTGCGAAGAAATTATGGGCACATCTTGTGAGAGATACCCTTCCACAGATCTTTGACTTTGCTGATTGAGCTGGGTCGAAGTTGGCTCGTTGGAGCTCGCGAATATCAAAGTCAATGGCTCGGGAACTGCTTGTTGGCCTGACAAGGAGAAATCTTGTTGCCGATTAGCTAGATCAGAGGAATCAAGCACGATCTCTTGGGACTGAGTTGCACCCTGGAATGGCACATTCGTGCTGCTGTTTTGGGTCTGTGTCCCTTCGACATCAACCCGAGGTGATCCATTGCTGGCAGGATGAGAAGATGAACCCAGTCCGTCATTTGACGTCTGGCTTTTCTCATAGCTTCCATGATGGGGATACGTACTGAGAACTCGCGAAGGCGATGAAGTTTTGTGGGCTTGAGAGGAAGGCGTTTGGGTATGGTGAGGTCGAAATTCAGTTTCCGGCTTGCTCGACTCGTTGCCGTGCAGTCGACTGTTATTATTCGCAGGAGTCTCTGCAACTTGCACATTGTTCCTTTTCGCTCCTGAAAGCGAAGCCCCCGAGCTTACCACATCTTGCTCAGCCTGAGTGCTTTGGGTCGGATCTGGCCAGCTTTCGCCAAGTCCCAAAGGCACAGACGTGTCCATCATTGACTCGTCACTTTCGTCGCCCGAAATATCCTCCTTCAGTTGGATAGCACATTCAAGGCAGTTGTGCCGTGTGGGTAACTTCTCAGACAACTCTGGTGCTTGGTTTGGTGCTTCACCTTCGAGGCACAGGGAACGATCTGATTGATCCAGATCAGTATGGCCTTTTCCAAGTTCATATTGGGATATTTTGGCCGAGGCCATCTTGTCAGCTCCAGCATCGTTTCCTTCAAGGGACCGAAAGTCTTCCACCATAGATGCCCCAAACGCGCTTTGAGATGCCTCTGCATGTTTTGTTTGAGGATTGAATCCTTTGTCAAAGCCAGTCGGAACGCCCAGATTATCATGTCCATTAGTTTGATCAACAGTATCACACCCTAGACTTAGAACAGGCTTCATGCCGGAAATATTTGCTTGTCTCACGGGACTGCTATCTGGAAGGCGATTCTCAAACCGACTTTTCTCCGGGGTTGGCGTCCAATCGAGTGGGGTTCCCTCGGATCCGGAGTCATCATGTTCAGAAGACATAACGGTATCTTGAGTTAGAGCAAGAGGCTGTTCTGGTATAGAGTTGGCTTCTTCTGCCTGTCGATGTCTGCGCACTGCAATGTTGTTCCATTGTCTTAAGAGCGAAGGGGGCACATGCCCTTGAGGCATTTGCTCATTTGGCATAGGTGGGATCCAAAGCTTTTCCTCGAGCAGGTTTGCCTGATCTCTTGGAATAAAGACCTCATTTGATGGTATCGTTCCACCAAATCCCTCCCATGGATTCACCTGGTTTGACCGAAAAGAACGAATCAGTGCAGGGTCTATATTGATTTTATCTGTCTTAATGCTCTGTGCTTCAGCCTGTAACGTGTCCAAATTTTCCTCTGCTGACTCTCCAAACCGGGAGAGTTGTTTTAATGATGCATGGGAGGTGTCGATTCGTTGTCTCTTATTCCACGGTGAATCCCTTTGTGATTCTTGACGTGCGTTCTCATGAAAAGCCAGCTGGGACTGTGTCCCCACGCTCTCACGTTGTCTTTTCCGAGGTGATGGTCTTTCCATTGCAAGCAATGGCTGAGTAGCAGGATGCTGTGTGGCAAGGGAATCTGCTTCAATCGGAGTGATCTCATTGGCTGTTGCCTCGTTCAAGCTGCCCGGAGGAATTTGAGACGAAACGGATTTTGCATCGTCATCTTCGCTTTCAGAAGCCGGGCCTGTTGAACCCCGCTGAAAGGAGAGATTCAAAGGTTCGGAAGATTCGGAGGATATGTTGCCCTCACTTCCATTCTCGATCTGAGACGCAAACACGCCTCCTTGACGGCTGTCATTTCGCCCGGGAGCCAATGAGCCAAGCTGCTGGTAATTGTGTGCAACTTGATCGTTACCACTTATCGGCTGACTTGGGCCCTTATGGGCGGAAGATTCGGCCCCTTGACGTGGCAAAGGATCTTGCGATGTAATTCCAAGAAATGAGCGAGACGAAGGCATGAGACGCTGAAGAAGCTCGGCCGGCGCACGCAAGAGGGAACGCCCTGGCTTGGAAGGGAGATTCGCAGTACAATGTTCATCCGTGGGGACCTGGGAGAACAATTGCTGGGAGACCATAGCATTCTCAGGGCTGTTCTGCCGCTCGTCTGGCTGGTATCGGTCATTGGTGACCGATTCACAAGGTCTGGGCACAGGACACACGGGTCCATTCGGGTTGAGAGTTTTCCGAGAGTTTGTAGCTTTCTGGAGCACTCTTTCTAGGATGGACCTCAGGCTTTTTTCTTTCTTCAACTTCCTGGCGGGTAAATACTTGAGAGGTCCATTGGCCCAGTCGATGCAGAATCGATTAATGTGAAGTCGTATATCGGCGGTCGAGTATTGGAAGACGATTCGAAAATCAAGAAGCTTGATGCGGTGCTTTTTCGGTCCATCCATCGGCTTCAGTCTCTCTAAATCGACTTGCAGCGTAGCTAGTGAAATTGGAGATATGGTCGCATCGATCTGGTTTTTCAAATCCATCAAAACCGCGGTGTCGGAGCGCGACCCCAGACCCCACTATTGGATACCGATTTTTTTTTTTAGCAATTTTCAGATTTGGATTGTGCCTGGGTGTCCAAATACCTCTGCCACGATGGCTGCATCGGTGAAGTCTACGACATTGAAATGCAGGCTGGTCCCGTCATCCTCAATCTCAATGGTGCTCCGGGGAGACTCGCCCAGGTAGAAAGACAAGCACACCTCCACAACCTGCACGATCCAAGGCTGTATCAGCTCGGATGCCATTATGAAGATCCTCGCCAGACGTGAGTTCGCATAATCATCTTTCGGATGGAGAGTACTTTGAGGCAGTGGTCGCAACACCGAGCTGTCCAAGAGGAACGATAAGCGATAGAAAAAAGGACGCGACGAGCGCGACCGCTGAGTCAGCACAACCACGTCATTGTACGGTTGCTTGTGTGGAGAAAGTAAGGGCGATCAACACTTTTCTTTATCTTCTCTTTATCTGTCTTTATCATTTGGGATTCTTTCGGGAACCTAGATCCACTTGAGTCTCTCTTTACTGTTTCTACTGCGAATGACTCGGCTACAACAATCAAGAACGTCCTTGGCGGGAAGGATCTACAGGCTCTCGGCCTGACCGCAACATGCCCACTTCCATGGACCAGAGGTCTCATGGAACCTCGAGCCCTTCCGCGTCGTCCGCATTTCTGCCACTTGGACGGCGCGGCTCAAGGACATCCCTCGCGACTACTCAGACCGATCGAGAGAACATAAATGCAGCTTTGGACCAGATCCATACCGCCGCCTACCAGTCCGACTCGCTAACACATTTCAACGACTTCACCACCCTGCCGGCCCCAGTTCCCGCATCAGATGACAAACGCCTCTCGGAAGAGTTACAAGGAGGTCTCAGTGGGTTGTATAGTCGTTTCAGAACCTCGGTGGGCGGAATTGTCAGTGGTGGGGTCAAATCAGCGGACAGAAGTACTGCAGAGACCCCTGCTGTCAAGACCCCGCCACTGGAGCGCTCGATGACCAAGTCTGCCTCGGACTCGGCTACTGGACCTGTGGATAATCGACATCTCCCATCATATCCCAACTCATCGCAAGGCTCCAGGCTACATTCACCAGTCGTAGCAAATTTTCAACATGCTGCGGATGCCGTGGCGCAGCCGAGCGCCGGGAAAGGCTCTAAGATGTCTTCTAAGAGTAGTGTATCTTCCAAAGCGTCTCTTTCCCCTTCTCCGGGGACGAAAGCCGCCATCGCTCCGCTGAAAAAATCCAGCGGCGGTTCCATGGCAGTTGACCCAGCGATCACGCAACTTAATGTGAGTGGTGTGACTACAAGTCGACCATCAAGGAGTAGCTCCATCAATGCTCCTGCTCCAGGCCTAAAGAGCGTCGATTCGGCCACTATCTCGAGCAAGGACGGGCCGATAGACACATCAATCAGCCAAACGTCTTCAGTGACGAGCCAGAACCCATCGCATTCGCCGGTGTTGTCTACAGAGACGCATGAAAGCAATCACGTTGACTCGTTTGAGGCCAGTGGTACACTACCACCAGCTGAAGGTCCACTTTTCGAAAGCAGACCACGAAATTTGTCGTCTGCAGACCAATCCAATCACTCCGACAACATCTCCCAGTCGGCGATATCGCGAAGCTCGAAACACACCGAGCATTTGCAGGACTCATCGTCTCAGCATCGAGAAAGCAGATCGAATTCGAGGATGTCTTTCGCACAAGGCGAGTCTGCTATGCCGACGCCTGCATCCTCCAGTCACCTAAGATCGAACACCAATGAAGGAAGCCCATTCCCCGCAGGCTCGGTTTTGGATGGTAAAGCCCCCGCTACTGTTGGTAAAACAGAAACCAGCGAACTTTCTAAGCCTTCTGCTTCAATGACATCCTTCGATAAACCAATTACCTCGGCGAAAAAGGGTCGATTTCCTGGTTACGTGATGTCCCGAGCATCTACGGCTGAGACGATGACATCGGTGTCTTCTTTGCCGCCAGTTTATACTCGTCCAAGAGCAGGGCCTGTCCAGCAAGACAATCAGCTGCCTTTTGCGACGCGCGATAGTGGCGTTTCACAGCTCAGAAGTAAATTGCTCAGCAGGGATTTCTGGATGCGCGATGAGAACGCTAAAGATTGCTTTCACTGCGGAGAGCCTTTCACGACATTTCGCCGAAAGCATCATTGCCGAACCTGTGGCCAAATCTTTGATTCCAGGTGCACTCTTCTCATACCAGGAACACGATTTGGCCAGCCTAGCTCCATCCGGGTTTGCAAGCCTTGTGAGACTATGATTAATGCACATGAAGATGATTCTTCCGAGTTTTCTGATAGTGAGCAAAGTCCCGTTGCGACGAATACCCGGATACCAGAGCTCACGTGGGGAAACAATGGAGCTCGACCGTCTGCGGATGACGATGACACCGCATCGATCATGTCACAATCGATCGATCATGTTCTCAGGGCCCCGACAATGGCTATTCCAGCAACTCGTCGTGCGGGCGAGGGGCCCAACCGTCGATCTGCCGTTTTGGAGATCAATTCAGACCGCCCTTTGACCAGGCCTACTTCATCACGCTCCTTGAAATCAACTTTAGGAAGTAGGGGTCATAACATGGGCCACAAACGTCACGGTTCTCGCCACCAACAATATATTCGGAGCTTCAAGCCTTACCATGAAGATCGAGCACCGTTTCAGCGCCGCAACCTTGATGATTTTCCAGTTGAATCCCGGCTTCCTGCCTTTCACAGAGACAACATCATTGATCCAGATCTGGCTCAGTATCTTTCGGATGATGCATCAAGTGCCGATGAACAGCCTAGTCTTATGGCTGCGGTCTCTGATAACAATTTATCCAAAAGTAGTGGGGACCAAGAAAGAGCCACCCTCGGCGGCTTTCTGGCCGCTATGAAGAAGGGCAGATCTGCCTTTGGGGATCGAAATATCCCGAGCATCAATCAATCTGGACGCGACCCAGATGAGGCCAGCCTTTCCAGCTCAAGAGCAGTGAACTTGCCTCGCTCTTCACGCCGTCGGAATATGAGTGTGGCTAGCAGCGTACACATTCGTCAATCTCCAAGGGCCTCAAAAGAAAGCATGTTCCCCCATGAATTAGCGTTCCCAGGGGTTCCCTTTTCTCTGGGCTTGAAAGACAGTGGTTTCAAGATGACCAGAAGCTCATCCATGCAAGGCCCTCGTGCGCCGCCAGTTGAGCTCAATAACGCTAGTCTGGAACATGTTCGAAAGCTTCTGCGACAGCTTCTAGCCGAATCATCCGTGCCACATGGCGAGAGTTGGGAAAATGCCCTGCTTCCAATTCTTTTGAAGGCGGCGGATGAGGTTGATCCCGATGTCGAGCACGGCGATGATATGGATGTTCGTCACTATGTTAAAATTAAAAAGATCCCTGGCGGCAAGCCGGGCGACACGTCTTACGTTTCAGGGCTGGTATTCACAAAGAATTTGGCTCTCAAAAGCATGCCGAGAAGTATTCCACGTCCCAACATCTTGATTATCACTTTTCCTCTTGAGTATGCTCGCCAACAACACCAATTCATGAGTCTTGAGCCTGTCATTCGACAAGAGAGAGAATTTCTGGAAAACCTTGTCACCCGAATCGCAGCTCTTCGGCCAAATCTCCTGCTTGTTGAAAAACACGTTTCGGGGCTGGCTCTCCATCTTCTGGACCAAGCTGGTATCGCAACTGCTCATAACGTCAAGCCATCTGTTCTCGAAGCTGTCTCAAGATGTACTCATACTCGGATCGTGACTTCCATGGACAAACTTCTGAGCCCTTCTCCGCATAGCGAATGCAGCAGCTTTGACATGAAAACTTATGTGAACAAGGGTCGAAAAAAGACCTACATGTACATTTCCGGATGCCGGAAAGATCTTGGGTGCACAATTGTATTGCGTGGTGGCAGCGAAGAGGTTCTTGGAAAAGTGAAAGAGATCACCGAGTTTATGATCTATGTTGTGTATAGCCTGCGACTGGAGACCTTTTTGATGCGGGACGAGTTTGCGAAACTGCCAACAGCATTTACCGGTGAAATGGAGACTGTATCTTGCAGTTTTGAGAAACAACACACGGTCAACGATAGCAACGGAATTCCTACGGTACCAAACAACCCAGACGACAAGCCAACCCAGAATTCAACGGGTACAAAGGTGTCAACTGAGATTATCGAAGTTCCAGATGATGTTCCCATGCCAACATACTTTGACGACATCGTCCAGGCTTACAAAACAAAGCTTCTGTCTGCCTCGCCCTTCGTGAAATTTGAACCACCATATCTGCTTATGCGTGTGAGAGAGATAGGTCGCAGACTAGCCTACTTGAAGCGTCTCCGTGATCAACATGGATTGTCCGACGAGATTATAGATGAGAAGACCAAGCCGCAGAAGTTCACTCTTATTACCCCCGAAATGGTTCACGAGTCTCCCCACGATGCTTCACCCAAGGTCAAAGAGGTGCTTCGCGCAGCCCATGATGCCGAATATGACAGGACACTGTATCATTACCAAACGCAGAAACGGCAGTGGGAGGCCTACGTGGCTGGTAATCATGACATGTTCGATCCCTACGCCCACCAGAACATCGTCGTTCTCTTCAGCCTTGTGTGTACCACAACATCGATTCCTTGCTCTGGGCCCGATATATTTGCGTTGGAATTCTACAACGAACATGAGGATGATACGGTGTTTGAGCCGGATTGTCCTTTGGGACAGTATGTCCAAGAGCTTTGCGCTGGAGCGAGCGATGTTTGCACCTCCAATGGCTGCGAAAAAAGGATGTCCGAGCATCATCGCCAATATGTTCATGGTGAGGCGCAGCTTAGCATTGTGGTCCAGCCTTACCCTTGCAAGATGCGTGGGCTACATGACACAATACTGATGTGGAGTTGTTGCAAAATATGTGGCAATGAGACTCAAGTCACACCTATGTCTACAAATGCATACAAATACTCATTTGCTAAGTACCTCGAGATCACGTTCTGGGGAAGGAATCTGCACGCGCGCGCCGGGGTCTGTCCCCATGATCTCCAGCGTGATCATCTCCGCTACTTTGGTTTTAGAGATCATGCTGTTCGCATCCAGTATGACACTATTCACCTTCTTGAAATCATTGTTCCACGGCCCCGAGTCACCTGGAAGGTGGATAATGATTTAAAGATGCGGAATGATGTGTTCAGGCGCCACGAGTCACGGCTCAACAAATTCATGGCTTCCGTCGTCGTGCGTTTGAAAAGCATTAACCTTGAAAGTGTTGTGCCCGAGCTCTCGGACAAAGCTAAAATAGAGATTGAAAGGTTGATCAAGATAGCCAACGATGACCAGGCTAGATTAATTCGCCAATTGCAGGAGAAGTACAGCAGCTCCCGCTACTGGGAAGTCATACCGCTGAACGAAGTTCTTCGTGCTGTTCAAGAGAAGGTGGTTGAATGGGATACCACCTTTGCAGAGTTCGAAAAGAACTTCTTTCCCTCAGAAAAAGATATCAAGCGACTAGCAACTCTGCAATTGAAGAAAATCTTCCTTGATAAGGATGCCACTTCTGTGACAACCGATGAGTCTCTACCGACTTCAACCGATGTTGACGACGAAAATGCTCAGCCAGACGAAAAACCACGGATGTTGCGGCGCATGACCATCTCTCCAGAAAAGGCAAAGAATGTTCTTGTGTCTGTTGTTGAACAGGAACACACGGGTAAAAAGCACCGAGACATCCAACAGGAACTCAGTGAATTGCCACCATTGCCTGCCTCTCCGACCGAGGATAGTCTGGCTGTCGATGCTATCAATGGCAAACGATCCTCTCCGCAAGACGAAGTCGTTGCGCAGGAAGAGGTCCGGCATCTTGATCTGGCAGTTCCCTCTGGTCAATCCGAAGCGCCGGCCTTCGACGCAATCACGCCGGATGCCATATGGGCTTCTACGGAAGCACCAAAGCCAGCGGATGTAGAAAGCGACGAACTGGATTCACCGCAGTTGTCGCCGACGGCGATCAGGCCTTCAAGAACATTTGACTCAAAAGCGAGAGAAGAGAGCATCACCGAGATACCAACTACACCTCCGAATCGGCCCTCTGCGATTCCAAGACTTACTGAGGGGGCTTTCCGACGTTCCGGCAAAGCACGTTCTCCTCCTTTGGTACGTGCACAGTCTCAACCAGCGCATCTTCTCCGAGAAAGATCGCTATCTGGCTTGAAACTCGGTCCATCGCCTTCGAATGAGTCAGATACCACCCGTGGAGACTCGACCAAAATATCAGAAAAGAAATTCACAGACCGTATTGGCTTGAGTGCTCTAAAGAATGGTCGATTCGCTTCAGGGCATTCTCTTATCCCGCGATCCACTCCCAAGAAGAACGGCAGCAACCGTGTGTCCAACCTCGCTAGGCATTTTGAACAATTAAGCCGTGAGTTTGAGAAGGAAAGACAGCGTGAAAGACGGCAACGTGCTGCACGAAGCACACACTCCCGCGCATTTCCCCTGGCCTCTTCGAAACCAATAGTGGAGGTCTATCGAAACGTCAAGGAAGCCGTTGAGGAGCGGGAGCCTCCGGTCGATGGCGATGGCGACGAGTCCGTCCCGGCGGCACCTCAAATTCCGGCAGATGAACCGGGCAGAGGAAGTGACGAATTTGATGATCAGCCCGACCGAAACCATTCGGAAGCCATGCCCCAAGGAAAGACCGTGGAGTACTTCCAGCCAGGACACCATCGACCTGACTCGCAATTGATGTCAGAGAATGAAGAGAACGAAGAAATTGATGGGGATGACGCGGCCAGTGACGAAGAGCGAAACGCAGGCGAGGAGTTGCATCCAGTGGATTCCCGGGAAGAGGTCAAGCTGCCCGAGGATGACTCGCTTGATTTTAAGGATCTGGCGAAGCATGAACGCACATGGCTTCTGAACATTCTGACAAACTTTTGGTCTGAGCGGTCTGCCAGTGGATGGCCAGCTCTCGATTATCCCCTCAGTGTGAACGATCATGTCTTTGCGGACTGCGATATCATTGTGCGAGAGGACGAGCCGAGCTCTTTAATTGCCTTTGCGTTGGACTCGTCCGACTACAAAGAGAAGTTGACAAGCATTCAAACAAGATTTGACGAGATCGAGAAGCAGCCAGAGAGCCCCACTGTCACTGCAGAAGCTGCTAGAGAGGCTCGAGTCGAACATGCCCTCTTGCGGGAGACTGGTACACATCTCAAGTACCAATTCCAAGAAGGCCAAGCAAGGATGCTTTGCAAAGTGTTCTACGCTGAGCAATTCGACGCGCTGCGCATCAAATGTGGTGTTGCCGATCGAATCGTCGAATCGCTCTCCCGTTGCGCGAAATGGGACTCCAAGGGCGGTAAGACAAGGTCACTATTCCTGAAGACACTGGATGATCGCTTTATCCTCAAGTCATTGTCCCCGGTCGAGACCCAGGCTTTCCTCAAATTCGCTCCGGCTTACTTCCAGATAATGTCTGAAGCATTGTTCCACGAGCTGCCGTCTGCCATTGCCAAGATGTTTGGGTTCTACCAGGTCATCATCAAGAACCCGGCCACTGGAATTGAATTCAACTGGTTCCTATTGTTGATGGAGAACCTCTTTTACGACCGGGTACCAAACCGCATTTTCGACCTGAAGGGCTCAATGCGAAACCGCAAGGTCGAAAGCACAGGCGAGCGTGATGAAGTCCTGCTGGATGAGAACATGGTCGACTTCATCTACGAATCCCCCCTCTTCGCACGAGAGCACTCGAAGAAACTTCTTGGTCAAAGCGTGTGGAACGACACTCTCTTCCTCGCCCGCCAGAACGTGATGGACTACTCGCTCATGATTGCAATTGACGAAAAACGGAGCGAGCTCGTGGTCGGAATTATCGATTGTATTCGCACATATACGTGGGACAAGAAACTCGAGTCTTGGATCAAAGATCGTGGCTTTGCCGGCGGTGGTCGCAATCGCCCTACCGTGACCAGTCCCAGGGAGTACAAGAGTCGATTCCGCGAGGCGATGGCGCGATATGTCCTCCAGGCACCGAGGTCAGTCGATACCAACCCATCCAAACTACTCAGATGCTGACCGACGCAGTTGCTGGCACCAATTTCAGCCGATGTATCGATACGTGCAGGGCGATAACCAGGTCTCCCAGGTCACAGACTTGGATGCTGACAGAATTGTTGAAGCTGGTAGTTCCCAAAGATAAAGTTCGCCATCCACGACACGACCAGATAGAAGCACATATGTTAGTTACTTTCTGTCTCTTGTTCTTGTTTTTGGTTTTGGTGTTTTCCCTTTTTCCGTTTGATGAATGATGACTTGACGACATTGCATTTAATCCCCTTCTCCTCCGCCAACCCCCCCCCCCCGCCGCAATTGCATGGAGTATCCCTGGGCAGTATACACGAAAGATGGCAACTGCAATTTTGCCTCGGGAACTGTTGTACAGAGAATGATACTGGCGAAGACTGCCAGATTGTTGTTTTAGTCGAGTTTCTATTCGTCCATATTACCCTGGGGCTGGATCGTGTACAATCTCCAGGCTGATCACCACTAGCTCAAACGCCTACATATATCTTGCACATACTTTAGAACAGAAGGCAATGATCTCTCCTTCAATCATGCATTCTTTCCCCAATTCATCTCTAGCCAGCAACGCAAGCTTGAAGTTCGGGTCAAAGGAATCCACGATCCCGAAACCCTCGGCAGAAACCGGGAGCCGATGGAGCTGCCGTCGGGATTTGTGTTTAGCCATTGTAGGAACTTCGCCAAAAAGTAATTCAAACTCTTTCCAATCCTCATCCGCGACGAGCTTCGTCTTCTCTCGTCCTCATTCCGCTCACCAACGATTGTGGATTGCAGGATGTGCAGTGTGCAGCGCCGGACACATGGTGCCTCGGTTTCGGCGCGCGCGTTTTCGTGCCTCCCCGCAATTGACTGATTTTCGGTTCCCGGCTGGTCTCTGCGCTTTTTCTCGCTTTTGCGACTCTTTCGCTGTGCTCAGAAAATGCTGAGTTACTACGTTTCGTGCTTTATGAGCCAACAATGGGTGTATCTTGTCGCAGAAGACGTGCTATGCTGCGCGCAAACTACTCGCTCGCACTATGATTGCGGAGTCGACAGAACTAACCGGCTTGCGATTTCAGCTTACAGGTCTAATCTCTCCCATTCTAGAGAGCTAGGATTCACTAATGAGGCAGCGAATCATCAAGACACTTGACCGGAAGGGCATTAAATTTCGTCTCATTTACATGAACAATGCATTAACTTCCAAGAGAGCGAAGATCCAGATCACACAGACCGGGCTTCGAAGAAACAGCAGCAAAAAAAGGTATGTATCCCACCGTCGCACCAGCAATAACCAAAATGAAAATCAAATGCTGGAGACTAAGTCCAGCTTTTAGGGCAGGTTTACTCAAAGGCCAGGCCAAGGTTCTCCTCAGCGGGCACCACACGAACGGTGTTGGTGTGGCCCATACCGCCACGCCAGCCCTGGACACAGACGATGGGGTCGCCTTTGTTGATGATGCCGAGCTTAAGACCGTGGTTGATGGCCCACTTAAGACGGCGGTCGACATCCTCCTGCCAGATCTTGACGTTGAAGTCAGGCTTCTTCTCGGGGAAGTAGAAGGGCCACACGCCACGGTACAGGTGAGAGTACCGGGAGGCGGTGTCGTTACGGGTGACCATGAGAATGGGGCACACGGGGCGGTACTTGGAGAGCAGACGAGCGGTCTTGCCGGAGGTGGTCAGAACGACAATGGCACCGGCGTTCAGCTCCAGAGAGGCGCTGACGGCAGCCATGGCCATGGACTCGCAGGTCTCGGTAGGGCGAGGAGCCAAGTTACGCAGCTCATCGAAAATCTGGTAGTGGGGAATGGTGACCTCGGCCAACAGACAGGTCTCGTGCATCATCTTGACGGCTTCACAAGGGTAGTTACCCTTGGCGGTCTCACCGGACAGCATAACACAGTCGGCACCGTCGAGAACGGCGTTGGCAACATCGGAAACCTCAGCACGGGTGGGGCGGGGGTTATATGTCATGGACTCCAGCATCTGAGTGGCACAGATGACGGGCTTGCCCTTGATGTTGCACTTGGCGATCATCATCTTCTGGGCCATGAAGACCTTGGGGGCAGGGATCTCGATACCGAGATCACCACGGGCAACCATGACACCGTCGGTCTCCTCGAGGATCTCGTCAAAGTTGTTGACACCCTGCTGGTTCTCGATCTTGGCAATGATCTGAATCTCACGGCCCTCTTCGCCAAGGATATCACGGATGCTCTGGATATCGCTGCCGCGACGGATGAAGGAAGCGAAGATCATATCGACCTTGTTCTTGACACCGAAGCGCAGATCGGCAATATCCTTCTCGGACAGAGCGGGGAGGTCTACGTCGGTACCGGGCAGGTTGACTCCCTTACGGGAGGAGATGTTGCCGTTGTTCAAGCACTTAGCGCGCAGGTTCTTCTCATCCAACACCTCGAGGACCTCAAATGAGAGGATGCCATCATCAACATAGATGAGCTTGCCTGGGGAGATCACCTTGGTGATGTTCTTATAGTCAAGGAACCTGCAGAATCGCGTGCGTTAGCTTCGCCGAGGAAAAAAATAAAAGAAGAAGAAGACAAGCAAAAAAGCATCGCAATTTGAACCGGTGAGGACTAACATTTTCTTATCATCACAGGCAGTGGCATATTTATCATCAGTGGTGATTTGGATCTCAGCGCCCATCTTGATGGGGAAATCCTTGTCGTCGATGGTGTTACCGGTACGAATTTCGGGACCCTTGGTGTCCAGGGCAATGGCCAGAGGGCGGCCAGTCTGGGTGCGAGCAGCCTCACGGGCGTTATCAATCACAGATTGGTGGTACTGGAGATCAGAGTCAACAATTGTCTCACCGCATATTTGAGATGGAAGGGTCACTCACCTCATATGAGCCGTGGGAGAAGTTCATGCGGACAACGTTAAGACCGACTACAGTCTCGTTAATCATCTATCGAACAAAACCGCGATGATTCGATCGCGGTCACAGATTGCCTTACCAGTGCGGAGAGCGTTGATCTTCTCGACGGAGTTGGTCTTGGGACCTGGATGGCGATAACGTTTAGCACGAATTTGGTCCCTCTTTGAGACGATCACTTCAAAGTGAAAGCTGAAGATGGTAAGGCGGGCTGGGATAGAACCTACCAATGGTACCGATGATAGAGGTACGGCGGAAGTTCTTGGCCGGCACCATCTCGGTGTTGAGCTTGGAGTGCCACTCCAGCTTCATCCGGTTGGACAGGTGGTCAAGGGAGCTAGTGGCAGCCATTGTGATCTGCTTCAAGACAAAGATATTGTGATGGCAGAAGGAAAGGTTGGAGTGATGTGGGAGAGAAAAGCTAGGAGGGGGAGCGAGAAGAAGTTGAGTGAGGGGCAGGGAGGGAAAATGTTGGCCGCCGATACAGACTATCTCCGCCATCCGCTATCCGCTCTCGGCCCCGTGGGTGAGTGCATTGGTTATGGCCCCTACCTTGCCGTAGTCCCAGTCCTTTTCTTAATGATTTATTTTGTGAATAATCAATTTATTTCTAGGTATCTCCCCACTCTATTTCTGCCAATTTTCGCCGCCACAAGACCACAGTCACCTGTGCAATCGGTCGCGCGGGCATCCGAAGCTGTAGGCAGGAAAAAAAAAAGGTACAAGCTCCCCCGCCTGCAATAGGGGGTTGTACTGGACCGCGCAGCGTACAATGTAGGCCATTTATCGAGTAAACGTGACAAATGAGGAAACCCAATTTGATGGTCGCCGGGTGACAGAAAAGGGATTTCGGTGGACGGAGGTGGGCTTGGTGGGATCCGGCGGGTTACCTTATCGATACGCCCTGTAACCCTGTAGCCCTGTAACCCTGTAACCATGTGTCCTTGTGTCCTTGTGGCCTTGTGGCCTTGTGGCCTAGTAGCCTCCTGGCCTTAGTTGCAAGGTGTCAAGATCAGCAATCACCTCGCCGTGATCTGCCACCGCCCGACATCACATGTAAAGGGTCCACGTGATACCTTCCCCGTCTCATTCCGCGCATCATCTGCTGCTGCTACTCTTTACAATCCAACTTACAATTCTATGCTCTTCTCAGCGATAGGGCTTTACCTTCTCAGCAAAATGGTATTAACCCTGCACTGCCAAGCTTCAGAGCCCTCCAAAAGTGGGCAGCTTCGCTGACCGCTTGTTGAATAACAGTTCGGCCGTCTCACCCACTACGCATTTGATGCGGTCCTCTGTGAGTGCACCCAACGGCATGTACCGAAACAAATCTAATGGTCCATTTTTCAATAGTCTCTGCCTTCCTGGCTGGCGTCAAGCGCTCTACTGGCCTCACGTAAATACGACCCTTCCCAAACCTCCCTCTCTGAAACTCTCCGCATATCCCTGTCAGAGAAGCTCCAAAGCCTCGGAATTCGAAGAGAAAACAGTCAAGCTAATTAATATGATCCTTCGCGTACCCCCATGGGTCGTGTGGGACCTTCATAGCCCCAGTCTCAAATCCGAACAGATCTCTGAGAACAAAGAAGTCAAGCGTTGGGTCGACAACTACCTCGGCGTCGGTGAATGGGTCATGGATCAGTCCGTGGCTGTCATGGGCTCCTCCAGCTGGTTTGAGCGGAGACGGTGAATTGTTCCTTTACCGAGGCGATCCCCATTTTCCGACTCATTGACTTGAGATTCACCTTTGATGCGGGATGATGTGTGTTTACTGAAGAACAAAGGGCTGGGAAATATTCATAAAGAAAGGCAGGATGGATTCCAATGTATCCTGCCAAGGCGACGTATCGAGCTTGATTTATTGTACAGGGTGCGTGTTGTGATGCTTTCCATATCCTTTTCCTGCCGTTGGTATACACAACATGGCTTGATTGACGAGTGATGACTACTCTTCTCTGCGCTGCAATTTCACTTCGACATGGTCACGTTCGGCGTCTTTGACTTTTCTTGTTCTGTCCGATACCTTTTTGCCTTTGTACCTGTCCCATAACATCATACAATCAACTGTCTGTAAGGCCGTTTGTGAAGTCACATTGAGATTCCGTAGGAGGACTGTCATCGTAACAGTTGTGCCATGGGCTGTTCCGATTGAAGTCGAAAAATTGTAGGCTCATACATGGGGGCAAAGCGCTGGAGGCTGCAATGGAACGAATCGGGTCCCAAGGAAGAGGGAGCCTTGAAGCTGCAAGTATTCCATCACAAGCATGTAATGTTTGTTCTCAAGATAATTTGCATGTATCCCGCCGGTGAGGCTTCGGTTGTGCGACAATGTAATATGGAGAATGGCAGCAGGAGAGCTCAATCGTGAGTTGATGCGAATCAGAAGGGCAAAGAGGGATGAATATGCAAAAGAGTATATGGTATATAGAATGCCAGAAATTTGCGCTCAAGTTTGCAAGAGAGCATCGATATCCACACGGCGGTAGTATGAGATGTGCCCAAGCTCCACCCAGTAATGTGCTAAGTAATCAGTTGAGATAAGAATGAGCTGAGAGTCAATAAAAGTATCTGTTCAAAAGTCAGATGATAATTGGGCGCTAAGTCTTTGCAGGCATACATACCGTCGCGGAACCCAAGACCAGCTAGATGTCCCTTAGAACGCACGATTCGTGCGCCTTCAAACGGTTTCGAGTCCGACACGGAAAGAAGCCCATTTGGACCAATGTCCTCGGCGAGGAACGAGTACTCACCACGAGGGACATTCGGGTCACCAGTAAGCTTGACTGCTTCCAAACTACCTTTCTGCACAATGTCCCCGGCCATCTCTGCTGCATTTCCTTCGGCATCTGAGGGGGGTGGATCCCGTTGGAACAGCAGAAGAAATTCACATCCATGTGCAGAATAGTCTCCGACCCAAATACCCTGATATGGTTTCTCTCTGGTTGGTGTATACAGGCTCGGATCAAGCGTGGCGTAGGAGAAGATTGCCTCATTGTCACTAGCCAATCCCGCCTGTAGTCCAAACCGGAAATGTGCCCATCTTCGAATGCGGAACCCCATTTCCGAAGCTTCGGACGCTCGCTCGGGTAGTCTCAAAGGCATTGTTTCCCTCTGTATGCGTTCGTTCGCGGGTATCAATGGAGGGGGCCAGAGGTTGGCATTGGCTTCGTCGCGTGATGGGGTGTCTTTGGGACACAGTATCAATGAGTTATAAAGGCCATGCAACTCCGCTGACATGGGCATTCGACGCTCAGGCATCCACTTTTGAGATGCCGCTACCTTGGACGATGGATGCTGGTCTTTAAGGACCAGAACAGGATCATCTCAGCCATAAGCTAACCTGGGGTTCGAACGCAAGAATTACAACTTCCGGGTGAGATTCCCAGACATGTAATTCTGGCGCACCCTTTTCTGCGATGATTCGGTATGCATCAATCACTCCACGTCGATTATCATATCGAGCTAGAATTAAATTTCCCGTGTGATTGTGGTCGGAGAACCAGATCTTGTACTGGGGGATGAACCAGTACGAGAGGTGGGCAAGGTACAAGCGGCGATAGGATTCAAACGGACCCGGATTCTTTATACAATTCGGTAGATGTGAGTTGACTAGTTTCCCCCATAGAATATCACTGGCAGAATGGTCGTTGAATTTGCGACAGGTAGAGGCCAGGCGCGTGAGGTCCCGCGCGGACAAGTAGGAGAGGATCAGGTCAAGGATTTCATTAGGAAGTTTGATGATACGGCAGGACGATTGTAGCATGTCGTCGCATGGCTGGTCATGGAGGATCTCATCAATCTGTGGTTGGTGGTCATGAAGCTCATGATCGGAGGGATACTGCAGATAACCAACATGCCATAATCAGACGGCGATTCACCCTTTGTTACCATCCACTATCATAGAGCTTACCTCGTGATATTTAGCAACTACAGCCATCTTGATTGCGCTTCGTCCGATGGTTGCAAGAGGAAGTTGTCCAAGTGCTCAACTGCTCAGTCCTTCCGGGATCAATGACATCAGTGGCAAGGGTCACAGTCAAAATCGCATGGCAAGCGCTTTAAGGGGATAGAGATAAGTGACTATGCGAAAATCTTGTGCAGACCGTGCTGATGCCGAGCACATTGGGAGAAACCCCAAGGTTGGACGTGAGGAGAGCTCGATAACTGGTGGGTCGGCAGATAAGAGATAACACGGAATCGGAGTCCACTCCGCACTACCCACGAATGACGCCGGTCCTCTTGTTCTTGCCGGAATTCAAGGAATGACGAGGAAGGAGGGAAAAGAGAAAAAAAAAGAAAGAATCAAGATCTGGGGCAATACGCGTTAAGCGACTTTGTGCGCGCACCTAGGAGCATCCCTGTATACAGAAGCTCCTAGCTCGTATTTTTTGGCCGAGCATCAATCCCCGCTGCCCGCTGTCAGGGCCAGATCTTATACTTAACGCCTTGGTCTAAGAAAAGACGCGTGTATACACGCTTAACGTAACTTAATGCATGTTGTCCCCATTTCATATGCCCATGCTCTATAAGCACTTTATAGAGCCATAGAGGGAATTAGCCCATCCGAGAGAACCGGCTTTATTCCCATAATAATGGTCAGATGACTGGGTGTCCCGTTGTCAGGTATATTATGTATGTCCGCAACAACTCTATCGTGAGGAAATTCCACCACTCACCTTCAAGGATTCTCCGGCGTTTCAAGTCACCAAAAATCAAGCTAATCACAAATTATTTCATCGATACACGAGAACTTTTTGAGCGCCAGCACGTGACCACCGAAAGAAGCAGCATGTTTACATGTCCGGAATAGGAAATCACACCGAGGCACGCGTTAAAGGGGGGCGCCTGCTGCCTACACGCGCCCCACCATGTTTGTTTATGTTGTGATCTATAGAAATGCTCCATAAGGGCGCCAATCGGACAGACTTCGGGATCTTTGTTTATTTATCTGCACCTCAATCTACTGTCCTGTCCAACCACTTCACACTAATCTACGTGGCTCCGTTACATTTTCAATCCTCTTTCAGCCACGACCTCTAGGCTATAATGGAGACAAGACAGTCCGCGAGAAAGCGGAGGAATAGCTCGCTATCGAGATCGAGATGCGAGTCTCCCACCGCTCACCACACAAAACCGAGCGTGTCTGCCGAGTATACCGTGTCCGAGAATACTTCGAGCACCCCGAGAAAACGCGGGAAGCGAGTCCGATTCTCCGACCCCGGGCCTCGCCTGCATGATGCTGGTGCTTGTTCAACCGGCTTGACCCCGGCGATGAAACGCACTTCTGTTGGGGAGCGTAGTAACCGATTCTTAACCCCGAGGGATCGCTCCCCGAGCCGAACGGCCCGACGAAGATCGGCGCCAACACCATGCTGCCAGCAGACTTTCGATCCGGTCGAGCCATTTGACGAGACCTGTTCCGAGAGAGTGATGCAATTTACCCCTCTGCGTCAAATCTTGGACTCACGCACCAAGAGGAGGATTCGCCGGATCGGTTTGAGTGATGAAATCACTCATCTCGAGCGTGAGAAGCGCCAAATATCCACCTTTGAGAGGACCTTAGCGGCACTGCGTGAAGAGCGAGATTCATTAAAAAACGAGTTGATCGCTATCAAGCAAAGCAGCGAGATTCCAGAGGACCTGCCTTCTTCTGAATCTTTCTGGATGTCTCCCTATGTCCGTTTCCAGGAACTCGAGCATGAATCGTCTCGTCTGCGCGACGAAATTTCTGTGGCCTCTCACCGGAGCCACGACGAATCTGCCAATGAAGGAGAAACATTCATCCTCAATGATAGTGCTATTGTTGTTTCCAACTCTCCCGATCTCCGCGGGATTCGTGATTGCCACTCGCCTGTGTTGGATAGTCTTATGCTTGATCAGTCGACTTCCGACGTGTCAACACAAACACAAACGCCCGATATTACTGAAGACTCGGAAATTCATAGCCTCACAATCGATCTGGAGGCAGCTAAAAGTGAAAAGAAGCGACTGTTCAACGCATGTCGCTCACACATAAGTGCATTTGAAACCACGGGCATGGGTGACATCTTCCGTCAATCGTCGCCACCCGCGGATTTCTTCGATGATATGATCAGTATCCTGACTGCCGCACTTTCTCGGGCATCTGACGCCACTCAAGCTCTTAATGGAATCAATCAGGAGTGTTCTACCTTGGGCTTCTCAGGCACGAGCGCCGACGATGTAATCTCCGACATGAAGTCCAACTTCCGGTCAGCACGCCTTGAGCTCGAGCGTATCATTCCGGGGAGACTCCCAACGGGCTCGGAGATGGGAAAGCAACACTGCGCGCCCTAGTCCAGCGGATTAAATCATTAGCAAAGGACTTACGTGCGGAACGCAAACATCACTACGGCTCCCTTGGCCGAGAAAAGGCTCTTCGCGGTCAATTTGACAACCTATTACATCGGTACGAGGCAGCCGCCAATAAAATCGGCAACTTGGAAGACTCGATTGCATCTTCAGCAGGCGATATGCTCCATACTAGAATGCGCATGCAAGAACTCGAGAACGAACACCAGGAGAAAAATATCGGCATTGAAAGATTGAACGCGGCGCTGGACAAATACCATGAAGATGTGAGGAGCCTTGAAGAGCTGGTGGGCAGGTTAGAAGATGAGAATCTAGTTGCCAGGGATAGACATGCGCAGCAGATCTCTGACCTTGAGAAGCAAGTCGCCTGTGAGCGAAAGCAACGAATCGTGATTGAGACATCAGCATCCGAATATGAATTCCGGATCCGCCAACTGGAAGAAACCGTCGAGCAAAACAGGGTTCGAGCTTGTGACCTCATGGCCGCGGCCGAATCTCTTGAAAAAGAACACGAAGAAGCTCTCGAGGCCCTCCAGCAAAACGCAAGCAAGCAATTACAACAGTACGAAGAAGACAACGGCACTTTGAATGTTCGTATCTCGGAACTCACTACCTCACTCGAGGAAACACGGTCTGAAGCCCGGCGTCTCCGACACATGAATCGAGGTCTCGAGGAGCAGCTCCGAATTGAGATAGATGCCCGTGATGATCTGCTAGAGAAGTGGGCCTCCGAGCAAGCTCGTGCCTTTGCCTTCATGAAAGAGAGTGTTGGCTCGGAGCGAAGAAGAGCCAGGGTCCGTTCAGCCAACTGGGAGCTCAAATCGGACGATCTCATGTCTGACGGGACAACCGTCATCGGCAGTGAGCCTATTACACCGGTCAGCATGACCAGGTTTGTTGATGTCGAGATGGGTCGTGGTAAGAATCGTCGTCGCATTGACAGTGGGATTGGCATTCTTACCGAGAACGATCTTCTGGAGGATGGGAATATTTCGGACCTGCGCAAGGGATTGGACTCTGATATTGATCTGCCTACATCTGATTTGATTGATATTTAGATTTTATACTTTATTTCCCTCTCTTTGTCTTTCCTTTATACATGGGTGGGCTTTTTTCTTTTGTCTGCACATGTGGGAATTCTTTTAAACATACATTTCCCTCTTCATATCTCGGTGTACATTAATAAAGTGTCTACTTTTCTGTTCCTTACCCAGAACTCAGCGTCGCTCTAGTGTTGAACCAACTGCTTGGGCACTGGATGGTGTGGGCAAACTTGCAAGTCTCTTTCCTACTATCAGGGACCTATCTATACTGTGTCAGATGACTTCAAAGCACATAGGGTGGCAGCAAGATTTTGTCGCCGCGAGCAATTGACCTCATTTTCACTAACTTTGGAGCGTAAATTCCTGATGATGCGCATAGTATTGGCTTGGAGCTTTATTAATTCTACTTTCCTGGGCCCATGACCAACATCCAAGCTTGATGGGCGTACCGATTTGACGGGCACTCCACTTCTTACCGCCCGTACATCGGGAAATCCTAGGATATGATTAGCACACGATGTACCCCCAAATCACAGCTGGTCCAGTGGTCATACATGTTCGAGAAGCACAAGGATAGTAGGTTGCGCACCCACGTGGGCGGGTTTTGGATTCTCCACTTCAGCCTTATTCATGGATCAGCCTTATTCATGATGATTGGCAATGTGTAAATCTCAATACCGGCCCATGCCCGTTCTGGATACATGTGAGACCATCAAAACTGGGCATTTCTTGGCTGCGGCTTTTGTGTAATGAAGGATGCCGATAAGGCGGACGATAAGCCGTGCGATTGCTGGAAGAGAAGAGGGTCTATAAGGCAAATTCAGCCCAGTCGATCAACACGATGGATGCTGAAGGACGGCAACGCGGATAAACGGCAGACGGGGCAGCCTTCAGCCTTATTACTAGTGTGATACACAGATGCGCATGAACCGTGTGGATCCACTGGAGTCAGTCTGATAGGGCTGAAGCCGGCCGAGTCCACACCCCGGGCAAATCCAAATGGTGTAAACCCGTCGCCGCGAGGGCTTCATTCGGTCTAGGCAGCAAGATTCAGAGACTTGTGCAATGGGCAGATCCCGAAAACGTTGAACTGGACCTGAGTAATTGCAATCAGTCGGCGTAGGACGCAAGCTTAGGATACCGATGCCAACCCCAACAATCAGAATCCCGTGTGTTATGGAGAAGTATGGTGGAGATACGAAACATTGCGTCTTGGTTCCCTCTTGGCTTGCCCTCGGACCTAAGCGGCAAAGCGACTAGTCTGATCATGCCCCGCGTGCGCATGTCGTCACGCTGCTTTGTTTTCCATCTCAGACGGGTCTTTTCCCCTCTCTGATAATTCCATGGACGAATCCCTAGTCCCCGATGAGTCGCTCTCGCTGAGAGCCAGACACTTAGCAGAGGCGTTCGGAAGCAATGATCGTGCCGATGAAGCTTCAGATATAGAAAATGTTATAGGGCCACCCGATGCCCACGAGCCCAACGATGCCGATACTCCATCTGATCCGACGCTCGAATTACTTGACCGGCTCGACAAGTTGGTAAAATCTTTTTTAAAAAGAGGCAAGTGGGCTGCAGCAGCGGATCTCGGTGCTTTGGTCCTCGATGTCCGCGAAGCTAGCTATGGAGAAGACGACCTGGCAACGATGAGCGCAATGAACAACCTTGTTTCAGCATATTGGGGACAAGGCCAATACGACGAGGCGGCCGAGCTCGGCGAGCGAGTCACGGGATTGAGGAGAAAAATACTTGGCGAGAAGAATCCACAGACATTGATTTCCATGTCGAATCTTGCATCAGCCTATCGCGGCCAGGGCCGATGGGAAGACGCCCAAAAGCTCGACACGCGAGTATTGGAGATTAAAGCTGAGACTGCCGGCCGAGACCGCCCCTCTTTGTTTATCTCCATGGCGAATCTTGCGACTTCCTATGCAAGCCAGGGGAGGTATGCAGACGCAGAATCCATTGAACGATCCTTGCTGGAACAAGGAGAGAAGATGATTGGCGCCTCGAAAGCATCCATCTTGACATGGAAGTCCAATTTGGCGTCGACTCACCGAGACCAGGGACATCTTTCTCTTGCAGAAAGGTTAGATCTGGAAGTCCTCGAGGCAAGACGGGAATCACTGGGCTCAAAGCATCCTTTGACCCTGACGTCCATGGCCAATCTAGCATCTACCTACCGTGCCCAGGGCCGTTGGGCCGATGCAGAATCCCTAGATCGCCAAGTAGTAGCTACTAGCAAAGCAGTCCTGGGTGAAAAGCATCCTCAGACGCTGATGTCAATCAGCAACCTCGCATGTACCTGCCGCAGTCAAGGAAAGTTAGAAGAAGCGAGAGATCTCGGAGAGAAATCAGCGGCGGCATTGAAACAGGTTCTTGGAGAGCGTCACCCGCATACACTAACTGCTTGGGCAGACGTGGCGGTGACCTACCACGTCAATGGACAACTGAGCGATGCGACGAAGTTGGGCGCTGAGGGTTTTGCACATGATGGAAGAGTCCTTGGGTGCAAAACATCCACATACACTAAGCGTGATGTCCAATCTCGGTTTCATGTACCAGTCACAGGGCAAATGGGATCAGGCGGGTGGGTTAGCGGAGACTGCTTATACACGAAGACGAAGCATATTAGGGAGGAGCATCCGGATACCATTGCAGCGTTGGAGGATCTCAGGCGAATCTCATGGGTAGAAGCGGCGGACCGTAATGCGGCACAATCGAGGTCTAAATAATGTCACTTTAGATTTCGGCATGTGGGGAGACCCATGCTCTTGTGCTTGAATGTAGCGGAAAATTACCGAAATCTAGTGAAGATGAGGCAGTGTTTTCCCCATATTGCTCTGCACAGCCTCTTTGCCAAGAAGCGACTACATCCATTGCTGCGTAAGTGTCATAGATTTGGGGCGCAAATTAGACTTTCACAATAGATGATACTGATATTCAATCTCGAATAATTGAACAGTTTGAAGGTGAAAATATCACTCTTGGCATTGAGAATTTTCAGGGTATCGCTCAAATCATGAAATTGGTATCTAGGAATGGCAGTTGTTCAAACCCATGCAAATGCTCTCATAAGAAACTAGACAACAGCGTGCTTCCCATTAGCACCGGTAGAAGCCTCCTCGCTCCAGTCTTTATCATGCCCCGGCTTCGCAAAGGCCGAACCCAGCAACGACAAGGGATTATTGACCCGCATGATCATACAATAAGCCAACGTGGTACCAGCGACCATGATTTCTTCCTGGAAAGCCCGATCATGGGCCTTGGGACCCATGAACTCGATCTTGCCGAGCTTCTTCAGTGCCCATATATTCGCCGTGAACTTGGCCACAGGCAACTGATTCTCGTCGACGCAAATAAAGTCCCACGTCTTGAAGTCACTATCACTCAGCCAGTACATCGTGACAAGCTTGCCATCGTTCGACATGGCCTGGGAGCGGTGCGTGTACTCGGTGTGCCAGCGCTTTTGTGCGACTAACTTATCAGAGCGGCCATGAACTTCGTAGTCGGCGTCGATGCGGACATTGCGGATCTTGCCTCGGCCGACAATATCGGAAGTTGTGGTGTGGTCGTCTGAGTCGTCGTCTTGAATATCGCCAGTTTCGTCAGATGTAATTTTGTTCAGCGCGGCTGGACTCGAGACTCGTTTGAATACGAGCTTGAGATGTCCGAGGATACTGTATTTGAGCGCGTATCGTGGTGTGCCGCTGACTGTGTCCCCTTCATATATAAGTGACTTGAATTTCCGCCATGAAAAGTCGATTATGAGAGAAGGGGCCTTGGCAGTCTCGGAACCTTGAGTTTGCATCTGCGAGGTTTGTTGGGAGGGCTCCATGTTTGGCTGTTCCACAGTTACAATTATTCAGTGACTCAGTAAGATCGCGAATGAATATGTGTCTGAAAGATAGCTTTCGCGAACCCCCTCTTATATATGTTCATTTTGGGAGGGTCAACTATATCTGGGGCGCAGTTCTGGGCATCTTTTCCCATCTTTTCCCGCATTGGGGGCCATGTAGCGCCGGGGCCAATCACCGCGACTATGCGGAGCTCAGCCTGGCGATGCCTGATGTCATAGCTATGGCCCCCAAACAAATGGGCGGATTATGCCCGATCCCTATCTTTTACTGAGTATCATGGCTCTGAACTTGACTTAGCTTCGTAGCGAGGAACTGCACAGCATAAAAAAACTCTCTGGGTTGAAAGTGGATCGGTCGAAGCCACGTCGGGATTAAAGTCAATCGGTTGCCTTGGTCATGATGAGAGACCGACGTCAATCGGCAACTAGCTCTAGCGTTCTTTCGTTCCAAGGCTTGATCAAAGCATACACTCTTATCATTTACAATTCTCCTATTGTATCCTACTTCACAAATACCTCCTGACCAACACTTGCAGTTGTAACTGCCATTGGGACCCTGAATTCTCGTCAGCTTATCAGCTCGTTGTGGAACTCGATATCGCTGCTCACCCCACATTGCAGACGAAGAAGCTCTAGGATATCAGGATGGCCGCGTCAAGCAAAGAATCAAAATATCGCATCAAGGTGACAGCGGGACCAGACTACGACCCCGCCACGCACCAGAACGTCCATGTCAACGGTGACACCCTACGGATCGATAACGACCGCGTCACTCTAGACCTCGCCATCCGCATCCAAGACTACAAAGGTACCTGAGATCCCTGTGATAATCGCGCCCACCAAGCAGATAAAAATGACTAACCTGATCCAGGCTACCCCGAGAACTCCCCAACAACAAACCCCTACTTCGAAGACCCGCTCCACACAAACGATCAATACTCCATCTCCATCTCATTCACTCCAAAAGAAGATATCAACGGCAATGATCTTGTATTCGGTAATGACTTTGACAAACCTCTGCGCGATCGTTTACCGATGGGGTTCAACGCGGCCCTACGGCTCGTGAAATGGACACTAGACCCCTCCATCGACGGCGATGCCTATGCCGATAAGCCGTATTTGTACAGTCCTGCCCTAGCCACCTGGAACCAGTTCCGAATCGGAGACAAGGGGCATCGGGATGTGAAAGGGGACTACGTGGTGAAGGAAGGTGCTGATGCGACGGGCGAAGAGGTTCGAAGCCAGCTTCAGATTCCTGAAACACCCGATGGGCGACGCAAGCATTTCCAGACGGAGGCGAATCGCCAGGCGTTTGTGTTTGAGAAGGGGAGGTCTTACTTGGCTGATTTTGGCAATCAGTATCTGTGTTTCAGCGGTAGGTTCATCCAGGCGTGCTTTGTGTTGATCTCGTATGGGATGATTTGCTAATTTGAAAGTTAAGATATATCTGTCAAGTTGCCTGGATTCCACATTCCGGTTGAGGGTATGGTGGATGATGAGCATAATGAGCTCCGATATGTTTTGAAGGACTCAAAGACTGGGACGGTCTACCTCGTGGTCTTGTTTACTTTGCTTCGTAACCCAGCGGAGAGTGAACAAGCCCCATCCTCGGGAGAACCGGTCAATGAGATCGATGAGACCGATGAGGTTGATTAGAAGGCTTGTCTATTTTAGATCGAGCTCACTGCATACAAGATTTAGGATGGTGGATAGATCTTTGATACTCGAACAAGAACTCGGACAATTTTATTTTGCACGCCTAAAGTATTCACACAGACTGGGAGCCATGTACAGTCATTTCTTACAGTCTCTTGAGGACATCGTCGAGGACCTGCTGGGTAGTAGCCTTGCCACCCATGTCGGGGGACAGGAACTTGGCCTCATCCAGGTTACCATCGACGGCAGCGTAGATCTTAGCAGCAGCGTTGGCCTCGCCGAGGAACTCGAGCATCAGAGCAACACTGCGCAGGGTAGCGATGGGGTTGGCAATGCCCTTGCCCTCAATGTCGGGAGCGGAACCGTGGCAAGGCTCACCGATAGCGAAGCCATCACCGACGTTAGCGCTAGGGACCAGACCCAGACTGCCGACCAGGGCAGCGGCACCGTCGGACAGAATGTCACCGTACAGGTTAGGGGCAACGATGACGTCGTAGTACTCGGGCTGGCGGAACAGCTTGTAGACCATTGAGTCAACGATCTGCTCCTCGACGACGATGGAGGAGAACTTCTCGGCGGCGAGGGCGCGGCGCGCGGTCTCACGGAACAGGCCGTCGGTCTGGGACAGGACGTTGGACTTGTGGGTGATGGTCACCATGGGCTCGGTTCGGGTAGAGAGGCCTGGGTTTCCGGCGCGGATCGCTTGACGGCGGAGAGCGATCTCGCCAGCAATGGTGGAAATGCGCGACGAGGCCCGCTCGGAGATGCGCTTGATGGCTTCAGCAACCTTACCCTCGGGGGTCTCACGAGTGGTCTCCTCCTTAACGTAGAGGTCCTCGGTGTTTTCGCGAACGATAACAAGGTCGATGGGTTTGCCATTGCTGCTACCGACGGTGGTCTTGACGGGCCGAACGTTGGCGTACAGGTCGAGCTTCTTGCGCAGGGCGACGATGGGGGAAGAGTACCCGGCGACCTTGGTGCTAGGGGAGCTGAACGATGACAAGAGTCAGTCAAGGAAGCTCGGTGAGCCGTGGTGAGGCTGAGTTAATTACCTGACAGCTCCGAAAAGAGCACCATCACACTCCTTCTTCAGAGTGTCGACGGTCTTGTCGGGCAGAGCGGTACCGGTGCGCTGGAAAGTGTCATAGCCAGCCTCGAGGTCGATGAAGCTGAACTTGAGGTTCAGAGACGAAGGGAGAGCCTCGAGAATACGACGACCAGCCTATATTCCACCTGTCAGTTTCTCGGTCCGAACATTGGGGGTTCGGTCTGCTCGTGCGAGAGCTGCTGCGTACCGGGATGACCTCCCGTCCGATGCCGTCTCCGGGAATAAGACCTATACATATCCAATTAGCCTCAATTCACTCTGACATCCACCAGACAGCTCCTGGGCCCGTACCAATGCGTAGAGTCCGAGCAGCAGCAGCCATTGTGATATTTGTTCGAGGGATGCTTCCTGGCTTTGGGAATTCGCCGTCATCGGAGCTTTACATTTTTGTATCCGGCCACGGATTATTATTGATCCGAGCACCTTCCGGGGTCCGGAGTAAAGCACGTGATCGTTGAGATTTACGACCTAGAGCTTGATGAAACACTATATGGAGTATCCTTTACCCGCACATTGAAAGATTGATTTATGATTTGATATTCCCAGATGAGTCACAAGCAACGAGGAGAATAAATCAGCTGCACGAGGAGGCTCTAGGTACCTTACCCGAAATGGACAGATATCGCGAGCACGACTCCTGAGGCGGATCGAAATGTTATTGGTCCTCACTTGCCTAGGCAGTACTTTGATTCATTGTTTATCCCGTTTCTCGGCGGGGCCGACCCTTCAAGTCGAGGTTTCGCTATGTTGTTTAGGTTTGACACCAAGATACCATTTACGCTAAACCTAAAGTGGTCATTAACCGCGATGTATATCCCATCGATCTATGCTAGTTCAATATTCACGAGTAAAGCAAACGACCATGCATCGCGAGTATTTAAGAAATGTAGCTTCTACTCTTGTGTTCAATGAACACCTGGTCTTCATTATCATCACTAAAAGCCACCATGACAGATTCAGTCATGTCGCGGGGCGTTGATGCTCTGATCTCTTCTGGCAGAAGGAACATAGCCATAGCAGAGATCGTCCTCTTTACTATAATCCATCTGACTCAAGTTCCTCTACGATATATGCAGGAATGGCGTTACTGGCACCATAATAAGAGACAGAGTCCTGGGCGCAGCTTCTTCTACTCTTGGTGGAGCATGGTTGGCATTCTAGCTCAAGGTAAAGTGGACAGTCCCACGAAATAATTGAGAACAGGACTAAATATAAATGAATTTTCAGTCCGCATTGCAAGCTCTGCTATGATTCTCTCAACTTCTCAGCCCAACCAATCCATGCTTGTTGCTGAGTCTGCCATGCAGAATGTTGGCCTTTCGCCTCTTTTATTCGAAGTTAGCCTTGTTCTTTTGGCATGGTATGGAACCCCATTTGATCCTTGCGACCCCCAAAACTGATTTCGTTCTTCGGCGCAGTGGTCAGTCTGGAGAACTTGGGCCCAATAAATCGAAGTATCCAAAGTCATGGAGGTTCGCTCTGCATGGCTTTCGATTCCCCATCGCCATCGCCATTGTGCTCGTTATCGTGAGTGAAATCATCGAGGTATCCACTTTAGGGGAAGCAGGATCTGTTCTGCTCGTTGTCACTTTCGCTTTTGTGTGCGGGTTGGTTGCTTGGCTGGCGGTAAAAACTCGCTCGACTCTCCCGGTGGAAGGTCATCGCGGAGTTCTGCTGGTTTTGCTCGCACTCCCATTCCTCTTGATCCATATTGTTTACTTCCTGCTATTGGAATATGGACCTTCTCAATTCAACCCTTTCACAGGTGGTATCGGCGCCCTGGCTGGCATGGGCTTGTTGATGGAGATATTTGTCGTCATAGTGCTTCTGACAGCTCGTGCCGTGGCGATGCCCGTCTGGCCAGCCGATGTGAAGCGAAATATCGAGTCTGGTGGTGCTGGTGCCGAAGGGCCGGAAGATTGATTCGATTGTCTGATCGGGACTTGATGATAGGGGTGACCGTTCAAGAGGGCTGAGGGGATTTTTTTTTGAATTTGGAAGTTAATCTTGATCTTTGTGAATCATCACTTAATAGCCTCGTAATTCTCTGGTCGAGCGGCGGCGTATACCTTCGAGAATGATTCCAGCCGTGTCAGGATCCATGATCTTGTGAGGGGACCACTGACTTCATACGCCACCCGCAAGGGAAATCCCAGTCGGAACGGGCCAAGAACGCCAACGCCACTATATTCGACCGATTTGCAAATTTGATCGCAAAAGTAAATTACCATGGACTCGTGAGGGCCGGCATGGCCAAATGTCTTGAGGACCTCATGTATGATCGCCATGTATGCGAAGTACCCGCAATATATTGTGGCGTGAAGCATCTCCTCATACACCAAGATGGCAGGATATACCTCATCTTCTGTAGAGGAGGGTGTCTCGACTGGGGGCGGGGCGATTTGGGAGTACTGCTCATACCAGACAGCCAACTTGCTTTGCATGTCAAGGGCTTGTGTGAGAGTGGCTAAAATAGTCCGTTGAGCCTTGGGAGTCGACAAGTCTACCTCTTTCAAGCTGTAGAACATGTGAACGAGGCTAGGTGCGTAAGTGAAATAAGCGACGAATTGTTCGATGCTGTTATGAAGGTCGATCTGCATATCTGATGTGTATTGTTGCTGCATCATATGGTGCCATTCCTCGGAGGCCAGGAAGCATTGCTCTCCAGAGAACATCGAATGCATAACCTATCGGTATGTTAGTGAGACGAATTCAAGTACTTCCAAAGCACTCAAGCTTTAATCCAAACAACATACTACTAGTCCACGAGAGGCCTTGAGTAATGTAATGTCGAGCTGATTGCGATATCGGTCAGGACCCCTGATTTTGATCAACTGGCCGAGCCCCTTAGCGTGCTTCATCCAAGACTCGGGGTTTTCATTATCTGTAAAGAGCTGCAGTGTATTTATAACTCAGCACGTCATTTGGTTTCAAGGAATAGAGATGATTACTAGACTTACCTCGTATATGCATAACAGCACAACCGCACAAAATATGTATGTTGAAAAGCATTCTGAAGGACTTGTCAAAGCCTTACGAAGCCGATGTAGGGCTTCTCCATAAGCAGATCTGGCGTAGACAATCATCTGCTCATCTTGAAAGGCTTTTCCGTAATGATGCGCGACAAAAGACTTGATTGTTGCATCCAACGTCTGGTTAAGGCCGTAGATAGACGGAAGGAAGCCAAACCAATGGATAATTTGATTCTGGTTGGATGATACAGGCTGAGAGAAGTCTACAATCAGAGAACCCAATAATTGCAAGACATTCAAGTCGGCAGATATGAGTGTAGATGGTCTCTCTGTCAGAAGTACCTCTTGGATTGAGGATGGGCAGTCGCTTCCTATGGTTGGACTGGCAGTTCCCGAGCCCTTTCCATGAGTGCTGTCACTGCCATGCAGACGCACTCGCCGACTCCGGTAGGGCTTACCGGCAACAAATTTCAATTCTCTCTTGTACCCTGGACATGGCTTGCCATACTTTTCGCATTTGACACAACCAGGGGCTCTTTCGTCACACTGGCGCTGTCAGAATCACGTCTCTTCATCTAGATCGCAACAAACCTACTTTAACTCGGCGCTTCACACAGGTGGAGCATCCACTACTTCGAGGCACACCGACCATCTTCAATCATTCATCAGCATGATCTTTGTCAAAAACATGTGATGTCGTATAAAGACTGAAAGCCCCCTCCAACTCGCGCTTGCTGACATAAGATCGGCGATTAGTTGAGCCGCGCCGTTTGGTGTCGACAGCTGCGCGGCATTTCCGATGCAGCTTTGCAAGTGCATATACAGTATATAGCCTTTGTGATCAACCTGCATAGATGAGCTAGGACAATTTGCACCATGTATTAAACATTCTTTGATGACAGCTAGGATGCCACGGGTAGCTACGGGTAGAGCACTGACGCCGGACCCCACAGCGTGACGGTATCGAACACAGCATAGTGGGGGGACATGTATCGACCCCTTTCCAATGTTAAGCCCCTAAGCACTAGCTCAGCTTCTAGAACATTTCTGTTTAATGACTAGAGGATAGGTAGAGGGAATAAAGTCCAGAACTAGGGTTCTGCGACGCATATGAGATACGTGACTCGATCGGCTCCCGGACCATGGAATTGAATCTGATCGAAGTTTGGATCGCCGATCTGCGTATTTACATGCAGCCTGAGGCCCGGGTCTTATGCAAGGAGTTTCCTATAAAAGGGGCCCCTTTGAACTGTACAACGGTATAGTAGAACAAATAGACAGCGAAGGCGAAGATGAGCAGGAGTTCAGGGGAAAAGGCCAGGTCAGAGATCACCAATCCACTGTTAGAGACAGATGGAGACCCCGTCATTTGTCCCCCTGAAATATAGGGGGGATCCGGTGTAAATGTTACAATTATTGTATGCAGCTGTTTCACTCCATTGGAGGCGCTAACTCATCACTAGCGTCTTAAGTTTCCTGATCGACCCTTCTACACGCCTCCTTCCTTTCTTCGATGCTCGTTTCAAAACACCGTGTTCAGTTGTTTCTCTCAAACGCGAGGGATTCTATCCTCTCCATCTGCCCCGTCTCAATTGTACCTTCGCGCCCCTATGCGCTCGACGCGTCCCCGAACCCTTCTATTACACCACCCCTGACCGCTTGAGCCCTACTCGGTGATCGTCTGCGAAACATGTCAGACAATGCCCACCCTGGAGTCCGGAGCCTGCTGGCCAAGTTTGAGAACGGCGAGAGTCCCATTGTCTCCCCAGAGTCGCGTGGCAGGTCTCCAGTCAGCTCCGCTACCCCGGGATCAACGAGACCGCTCTCCAAGGTCCGTGCTAGCTTCGTTACCGTTGACGGAGTCATTCAATCGAACCCCGGTTCGCCGTTGAGGAAGACAAGCGGGCGCAGTGATAGTTCTGGCATGTTTGGCCCGCAGATCAATGCGGACGAGGTTGAGGCACGCCGGCAGAATGTGATCTCTCCAACTCCCGCTGGCAATGTCGCCAAATCCCAGACCGGCGTCCTTGATCAAGCTGTCCTCGAACTCGAGCCAAAGGAAGCTCTAGCAATGACTACCGAACACAACGTGGATATTTCAAAGGCGAAAAGTCGTACAGACACCGCTGCCCCGCCCAAGGAGCCGACACCTGTAAAGAAAGACGAGACTCCGTCAACCGCAACAAAGCCTATTGGCTCTGGAGCTTCTACCGAGAAACCAGCTCAAAAGACACTCACCAAACGGCCCTCCAACATCCACGCTGCTAAGGCTAATGCGACGAGCAAGCCGGCGACTACTTCCTCCAAATCACCTACCAGCAACGCGTCTGCTAAGCCTTCGGCTCGCGAGGTGGCCAAGGAGCGATCCGATGCTCTCGCTCGCAAGCCGAGTCGCGTCTCCATGACTCCAGCAGCAAGGACCGCTACCCGGACGATCCGAGGCGCAACTCCCTCTCAGGAATCCCACAAGACCTCTCCCATAAACTTCCAGGGGGGCAAGCCTCGCACACGATCCCCTACCCGGTCTGTTCGACTACCCGCTTCAGCAACCGCGCCGACACAATCATCCTCAGCCAGATTAGGATCTCAGGGTCCATCGGCCCCAACTACGCGAGCTAGCAACACTACTTCGACCTTGACACGAAAGCCTTCCACACTCAAGAGCGCTCCTGGCTCAAGTCAAACACGGACGACCAACGGCACCACTGGAAGCGTGCGTCGCCAGTCTTCTCGTCCTTCTCTTCCCGCACAGTCGACTCAAGACCGGCCAAGCTCTCGCGCCAGTGAAGCTGGCGCCAAGCCTGCCGACGGGTTCCTCGCTCGCATGATGCGACCTACCGAGAGCTCTAGGAGCAAGCTACATGACCGACCTGAAACCAGAGCTCCTGCTAAGAGTAACACTGTGACGTCTAAGGCGCCTAGGATGTCAATAGGAAAAGCCTCGGAGCGCAGCACATCCCAGGTCAAGGCCAAAGCTGCTCCTCTGCAACCCCAAAATGATAAATCTCAGGCTTCCAACAAGGACACCCAGCCTCCAGTGGAACATACTAAGCCTCTCCAAAGCGAGGAGAGCGAGAAGGAGAACACCAAGAAATCTGTATCGACGATCCCAGAAGAGCCTTCCGTGGAAGAGCCCAAGAAATTTGTTGCTGAGCAATTGAAGCCTGAAGTCCCTGCTGCTTTGGTCAAGCAAGAACATGCGTCCAAGCCGATTGAGGCAGCGAAGACTGAAGAAGCCTCTGAGAACACCTCTGAGGCTGTCGTTGAGTCGGCTGAGCCAGCTACCGAGGAAGCTTCCACTGAGATGCCTCCCGTGACTGCGACCGAGACTGTCACTAACGATGCCCCCAAGACCTTATCTCAGCCCGCTGTTGAGGTAGCTTCAGTTGAAGCCGCCTTTGAGTCCAAAGAGCAAGCCCCTCAGGAGGCCCCTGTGGTTCCAGATGTAAAGATGGTTGAGACTGTCTCAGCGGAGGTCTTCACGCAATCCAACGATGTGATGGACTCCGAGGCCCAGATTAAGCAGCCCAAGGAAGAGACTCAGGAGGTGGTGGTCGAGAATGCTGTTGACGAGCCCCCAGCTGTTGAGCACGAGACGCTTAAGTCGCATCCACTTCCAGAAGTTCCCCAGTCTTCTGAGGTCACGGCAAAGGCCTCTGAGGAAGTTATTCCCAAATTGACGGAAGAGACTCTTCCCTCCGAGGCTATCGCCGATGAGGACGTCTTCGACATGTCTAAGGACACCCCTGCCCCTAAGTCCTCTGCCGAGGCAAAGGAACCAGCTACCAAGCAGGCCATGTCGGACACCGTTGACATCGACTTCGCCAGCCTGAATCTGAGCTGAACTAGCCAAGAATGGTACTCGGCATAATTGGGTTTTTGTTCACACTTTTCATTTTCTTCTGTGTTTATTCACTTGGCTGTTTCACTTCACGGAGCTCTGCTTCACTACCCCTCGGCAGAACATTGCGAGGTCTCTTTTCGAGCGTCTTTTACATTCTCATGGAAAAGGATGCTTATTATCCAAGCTTCTAGCCTGGCAACTTTTTGTCTGTTAGTTGCATATTTCAACTTTATTTTGTGAGCATGGGGTTATTGAGCGATTATGTGCATTCTTCAGGTTCAGGATATTACATCATTTTGTCATTTACTTTTATGAGAACTTCGTTTGGAAGACAATGCTAGTTTCTCAAGTTTGTGAATTTATTTTTCTTGTAGACTTAGGTTTGGGTAGACGTACAATGCATGAGACATAGAGTATGGCCTTGCTATCAATCGATGCTGTCCAGCAGCTGCAATTGCTAAATGATAAAAGCGCATTGCAACAGAGCTATAACAAACCTGCAAACCGATTTCCAGCACTTCATATTACAGTTTTTTCTCCAGCTTCTTCAAAAATCTATTCACTCCACTTTCCAACTTTGCCGCGTTATCCTCCAATTTCCTCGGCCGCTGCCCCGGCGCTTTCATAGCCCGTGCCGCATATTTTTGGCCATGTGAGCCTGCTTCGGCCTCAGTAGGTCTGTATACCTGACTATGGATATCATATTCAGAGACACTAGGTGTGTGACTTGCTGCGGAATGATTATACGAGTAGTTCGAGTACCCGCCAATCGGGACTTGCTGAGGAGGTGACTGCGGAGATCCGTATGCCTGCTGTGCATACAGATGAGCATTTGGATCTTGGGACGGCGGACCAAAAGACATTGCGCCCGGCGAGCCGGGCCATGCTTGTCCACTTTGATAGGCTTGACTGTAAGATGGGAGACCGGGGCTTGGGAGAGTTTGTTGGAGGGGGAATGTGGCTGATCTTGGGAGGCCAGCGCTTGGTGGAGGAGATGCATAGCCTGTTGGAGCCATGGTTGATGCACTCGGGTATGGTAATCCGGGCGTTGAGCTTGGTGGGGATCCAAATGATGGTACTTCTCCGACTTGCTGTGGGGGTGTATAGGGGATGCCATGGTCTGCAGCGACGGCTGCCATTAGACCGGTGCCCTCGGTCCCGTCTTCTGGTGGTGGAGTCTTCTCGCGATGCTTGATCGGCTCTGGTGCTGCTGGGGCGGCCGGATTGTAGGGCAGAGGTGCAGAATTCTCTGGCTCTTTCCTTGCCTCGAGAGTCAGGCCAATATTTGCCTGTTGTTCGGCCGGTGGGCCGCTAGGAGGAGGGGTGGGAAGCTCATGGACTGCGGGGTACACTGCGAAGCCGGTGCTGAAACAGGCACAAAATCAGATCGAGAGTTGCGAGTCTGTCCGTTCTGATATGCCGGATCTGAGACGGCTACGTTCTCCAGTTGCTGTACCACCGAACTCATCGGCTGGTCTGATTGTGGAATAGTGTTGGCGCGATTCGTCTCGACCTGCGAAGCTTCGAGTACGTAGCTGACTGCATCTAAGAACTGATTTGCATCGTCCAATGTCCAGAAATAAATATCCAAGGTATGAAGACGCAGCAGGCTATGGCGTTCATTGCGAGGGTCTCCGCTTGGCAGACGCCATTCGTACTGAGATGTATGCTGTAGTTGAGGGGCGTTACTAACTCCATCAACAGTTAAGGTGCATAAGGTCGGGAATTGAGTAGAGTGTTGGATATGTACACTGTGCAAATCGCCATGGAATGCATCTTGCTCCGGTGTTCCTGGATTATTGGCAATCTCGACTCGCGCTTTGTTTTGAGAGGCATCCTGGTAGATATACAAGTAGGAACCTTTATCAAAACGGTGATGGAGAGGCTTTCGAGTTGGCGCCGCGAAATAGTAATGAATGTCTGCAAAACTATAGCAGTTGCAAAGTCAGGCTCCATGTATTCGAGAAAGCGATCATCTGTGGGGAATATTTTAGCATTACTTACACTGTCAAAAGACGCTCCTCGCCCGGTAGCGGCGGCATGGCTGTCCGTGAATATGAGGAAAGGGAAGATGCAAAAGAGAAAGAGGGGACTCACAATAGCTTTATAGCTGCGTGGCGGGGTCTCATCACGTTAGCCTGTGAGACAAGCCCTCGAGCCGCCGAACAGACGCGTATAGTGTGATGTGACAGAAGTATCGAGTACTTGGCTATCACATATGCTAGCTACAGTGGAGCCAGGTACAAGTGACTTTTCCTCTTTGGGCATACTCTGTGTTATGCCCGGAATTACCTTTTGTCCGAAAATTTCTCCCCCGACCTTGGCCTCGCGATCACTAGTAGCGGATTACCACCTCTTTACGCGGACTTGAGCTATTGCTCTTACCCTTTCTTGAAGATTCTGAAAATTCACCTCGCGTGAGACTTCTTTTCCTTCCGCCTATAACCACCGACTGCCTGACGAGACTCCGCAACTTTTCTCCTTCCTACGGTCTCTCCCGAAGGGCCAATCCTCGCAGCGACTGATCACCATGTCTCTCGTTAACCTCGCCTCGGTGTGCGCGCACTTGAACAACGCCACCAAGGCTCGTCTTGGCCTCACCTCCATCCCCAACACCAAGATGCACCTGGCTCTGTGCCAGGCTCTTCAGAACTCTGGCTACCTCTCCACTGTTGTCCGCGGAGGCCCGACTCCTCCGCCTGCGCACCCAATCCTCGGCTTCCCAACCGCCAACGACGTTGAGCCTATCACCCGTGAGAACGTTGCGTCAAGGCGTCTCTGGCTAGGCTTGAAATACTGGCAGAACGAGTCTGTCCTGGGGAAGGTTCAGCTGGTCAGCAAGCCGACACGGCGAGTCCGGGTCACTGTTGAGGACTTGCGAAAGATCGTCCGCGGCCAAGAGTCTAATTACGTGGCTGGCCTCCGCTCCCCTGGTGAGAGTCTCTACATCTCTACAGATCGGGGAATCATGGAGGCTCGCGAGTGCGTGGAGAAGAAGATTGGCGGCCAGGCCTTGGTCCGTGTCAAATAAGCTTGGAGGCATTGGGTCTTTTTGGTTTGCATTTACGCTGGAGTTTTGTAGGTTCGTCGCAGCGGGATCTCCTCTTGAGATTCATTTGTTTCCTGCGACTGGGATCATATGCCTCGGTCGAGGATCTGTATATTAGATGCTTGGGTGTATCTTATTTCCTGGTCGCCCATCCCAAGGCGACGTGTATAGATTACGACTTCAAAAACATGTTCAGATGCTCCTTTCAACCAGTCTTTCACTTTGTGGTGTACGAATCTGGTATACGTAGCACCAAGTCGCGCGAATGGCCAATCCCTGGTTTGCCGCCCTTTAGCTCCCGCATGGTTGGAATGAATCACAGCGGTCTTCACCTCTCCATGAACAACTACCAATCCCACAATGGCCGAGGTCGTGGCGTCCAAGAGAATCCTGATTTCTGGAGGCACCGGTTTTGTCGGCTCCGCTATTATACGCGCCCTCATAGAGAAGCATCCTGGTTGCGCTATCACCGTCATCGATCGCAGTCCCCCACGGTCTCAGTTTGACCTTCCTGGAAAAGTGGACTACATGCAAGTCGATATCACCAATGCACACGAAGTCGGCAAGGCATTCTTGGCTGTCAAGCCCGATGTGGCCATTCATACTGCGGGGATTGTACCGGGTCTGGCAGATCGGTTCAGCCGAAAACTGGAGCGCGAAGTGTGGCAGACCAATGTTGAAGGCACTCGGAATATGCTGAGTGCTGCCGTGGAAAATGAGACCGAGGCTTTTATCTATACCAGCACTTGCTGCGTAACGACTGATGACCTACGTATGCCCTATCCCAATATCAATGAGCGTTGGCCAACATCGCCAAAGTCTCTCATTTATGGCGAGTCTAAGGTCACTTCCGTCCTTTCCTATGTTCTTGCCGTTCTTTTTCTTGGCGCTTGCAGGGTAAAGTAGGGGAATGCTAACTTGAAACGCAGGCTGCAGCGGAGGCGCTTGTCCTGGAGGCGTCCAGCAACATGATGGCCACCTGCGCCCTTCGGCCATCAGTGCTGTTTGGACCGGGTGACTACCAGCTAGTACCAGCCATTCATGCATGCATACACAAGTATGAGACACCATTCCTTATTGGAGATGGCTTCAATCTGTGGGACGTCACCCATGTGAGTAATGTTGCAGATGCTCATGTCCTCGCTGTGGAGAACTTGGTCACTTCTCGCACGGCTGCAGGAGAAGCATTTTTTATCCAAAACAATGAGCCGATCACTTTTCGTGATTTCTGCCTCGCAATATGGGCTCACTTCGGTCATGTTCCACCATTCGAGTTCCGGATTCCAGAGGGGCTGGCCTATTTGGCGGGATTGGCGTGTGAGATGACGAGCTGGGTGACCGGGACTACCACCACCTTAAGCCGCGGCAGTGTTCGAGATGCGTGTGCCGTCAGATATGCGAGCGGAGATAAAGCCAAGGCAGTCCTAGGTACGAAGCTCGCATCGGTCTCGAAGAGGGTCTTCGGCAGAGCTGCGAGGTATGCAAAGATTGTACGCGCTGGCCTCAGGACTTCAATGGACAGCTCACATGAAATGCACAGGAATATGCCCGCCGTATCGGCGTAGAACTACCGGACCGAGGGCGATGACTGGCAGATCATCAAAATGTCATCGAGATAAACTTTCCGACCCCTAGCAATGGCTGAGCAATGATACCCTGCACATACACCCGATCATTAAGGGCTTTTTCGACAGGGGCAACGCCCCCTCATACTCTACAATCTATCTAATAATTTGCCACCTGCCCCCAACTTCGATACATGTCTGGACATAGGGCCTGCGGAGAATGTAAGACATTGGGCCATCCATTGGGCTGCAAGTCTATCCCAGATTGGATCTCCCGTCAGCTCTCCACTGCGTAGCGTGGAGACTGGTCGATCGTGACCAAGATACTGTATAGAGATGGTCCATGCGCTGATTGGGCCACAACGGCTTTGCATGCCCAATCACGCGCCAGGGTGAACTCGAAGGAGTCCAAAGCCGCGTCTGAAGACTGGTTATCGCGGGATTCCGTACTTCGCCTCCACCGTTAGGCGCAACTCTCCAGCTCTTATTGTGTGCAGATCCTTCCTGGCACATTCACGTCACCGGCCAACTAGAAGACCGAGCTGGCTCCCGTTCACCCGTTCATGCCCTTCTACCCAACTGATGCCTAAACCCATTTGCCTACATCGTGATTGTCGCACCAGGATTCAGTGGCGTCGCGTACCAATGGTCCTGGCCAGCTTTTGGTCCGTGAAGATCAAACCACAGAATAGTAAACCCACCCTGTTCTCGATCGAGGTGGGTACTCTGACCCCCTAACATCCTAGAGCCGCTCCGGCGGTATTCTAGCCACGTCAAATCAGTGCACCTTTGCGGAGCAGACTCGAACGTGATCGATCGAGATCACCTCATAAATGCACCCATTTTGTGGCACAAGAGAGCCGGGGTGACTCCTTGTATGTATTGTACGATTGGCTCATACCCAAGAGCATCGCCTAATCCCACCCACCGCATCATTTGCCCATAACATCTCCACTCCTGGTCTTTGAAAGCTTCTAGCGCGGCTCTCCCTCCACTTATGGAATTGGATTAGCCCCGATGATTCCAGAAAAGGGCGTCAGGCACAATTCCAGGTGTCCTCAAGCCGGGTTCTCCTGGTCATGTATTACCTTGGCCTTGACCACCCAGCGCTTCTTAACGGCCGTGGATTCGCCCAACGACACTCTTGAACGGATTTCTTCTTCACCCCTATTCCTAGAATCACTTCCTTCTTTCCTGCTTTTGATATTTCTTGTGTACTGCCGCTAGTTTATATCTTGTCTTCATGGTACCTCCTCCTTTGACTGTTCCAGCGAGTCTCCAATCGCTCTCCGCGACGCCATACAGTTTCGGACCTCGAGCAAGCTCTGTCAGCACTAAGTTGGATATTTTGTCTCGCCCTAGGTCAGCACCAAACCGCATCGCCTCCTTTCCATCTTTTCCACCGCATGGTTTTTCTCCTTGGTCCTCTCGGCTCACACCTCCTAACAGCACAATGGCCCAGCACGCTATGTATGCAACACCGGGAAACACTCCCATAATCCACCGGCAAAGGTATTTCCATACCATGTATTGGCTTTTTCTCCCCACCTTCCCAAATCCGACGAAAACGATGCTACGTTACTCCTGCTAAGCGGCCAAAGGGCACCGTCAGCTCCTCGGGCATATGGCCTTGATGAGAATCGCCAACTTTTACTGGGCTCAATAGATTTTGAACCCCGACACCACTACCATGGGCTTTCGTCTCCTCTGGACAACCATGGACCTATGATGAACCAGCCTCTGGGCCGGTTATCCTACCCTCCAGCTGGCCAACCAATGTCCCACGTCCCCGTGTACCCGGAATGGAACCGCCCCCAGATTCCCAGGGAGCAACTTCGACATGATGTTAGGCCATTCAATCCCGCGGAAAGCCCGGAATACATCGTGGAAAGAAACAGCCGGCGCGCTGCCGATATAACCCGCGGAAGCCCACAATACGTTTCCCAGAGACGGACTTCCAACAGGGACGAGTTTGATGGACCTCATCAGATTCTGGATCCACCTGCGTCACGGAGCCTCTCATCTCGAGAGGAGGAGCTGCCCCAGCTCCCTACTAATCTTGACGCCTCTGAACAAGACAAAATCCTACACCAAGTTAATGACCGTCTCTCCCAGTGTGGCTATGATTTCATTGCCAGATATCAATTTCCCATCCCTCTGGAACAGGATAAAAGGCCAGTTCAGGTTCCATCGGACAGGGAGTGGAACGAGTGGGTGCACCTCTTAAAGAGGCTAGCAACTCGCCGCCGCATCCCTCGTCACGCACTGCATAATGGCCAGATCAAACAGTTGATTACTGTCCTGGAAAATTCCCTGGAAATGCGTCACGCTGCCAAGCACAGCTCCCGGCCAGTCAAGGATGATCGTAATGTGCTCCAGCTCATTTCCGCAGGAACGCAAGTCGCGAAAATCCTCAAGGACTCTGACGCAATGCAGTTCTTTGACCGTCTTTATGTTGACACCGAGAAACTGATCAATGAGCGACGCCGCCGCGTCAGATTCGCGAATACCTGAACACTACCCTAAGTATATGGCCATTTCCCAGTGAAGAAGCCCATTTGACGAACTTTACTTCCGTGGATAATGACCCCCCCTGATCCATCCTGGGTTCCATTGCTTTTCCGTGCCGCGTTGGTGAACCCCGTGGGACTTGACCTCGCCACTTGGACCACCGCGGTGGATTGATTGCACCCCCCCTCCCCTGATCTTATGAACGACGGAATTTTGAATGCTAGCCCAGGACTCACCAGTAGCACTTCAGATGCTCGTCATCACGGATTCAAGCCACGAAGGGTCTTTTGCTAGATGTACTACTGCTTTCGATGATGGAAGTACTGCACAAGCTACATTCTTTGAGCGCTTTTCTCCTTTGTTTGAGGTGGCAGCGTTTGAGATTTCTCTTTTATGTAGCTCTCGATGAAGACCCAAAGACGTATAACCACCTAACGAAATGGTGTTTGATGCGTTGTGTCTTTTTTTTTTTTTTTTGGCTTCCATATTGTGTTTTCTTGCTTTCTAAATTTGTTTCTTGTCGACTCGGTGGCTGTCTCATATCAAAAATTTTGTTACTTACTCATTCTAGCTTTCATGTATCAGCTTGACGGTTGAGTGGCTGGGATAATGTTTTATCAATGATGTATGGAATAGCGCCAGCCTTCAATGTTTAAGGCGGCCAACGAATTGCAGTGATTGTTTTGACCGTTTCTGACTGATAATTTTTGCCTCTGCAGAGCGTTTCTCGGACGAACGATTTAGATTGACGGGTTCGGGTTATTGAAGAAAAACGAGCGCACGCCTATCATGTCTGCCCAACAGAGTAGTTGTCGCCCAATCTCGCAGAGATGAATATGAGTGGAAGTTCTATAGACCGAGAATCACCTACAGCGGAGCGTCGTCAGTCCATCAATGAAAGGATCAACTCCGAGGGTGGAAAAATACCCCAATTCCCCGTATTATTCGCGTCTATACTAGCCGAACAATTTTGGCCTTACGCTTTCAAAGTCCACACAGGTCTTTCAGGCTACGTTGGGGGCACTAGGTGGGTGATTTGAGGCGCTGGGCCTGCTAACTCGCTTCAGAGAGCCCAGGAGGGCGTCAAATATTCATTTGTTTCCGGAAAGTTATCTATGCTGACGGTCATGTTTTTCACTCGTTAAACTCAAGAGATGAAGAGCACAGTGGCGCTCTATTGTGATCAACCGATATGGAAGATGGCAGCTGGATCTCGATCCGCAAGCCCTGGCATTACATGATGGGCGACTATCCATGCCAATGCGCGCGGAATTCGTGCTATTTCTGCACGAGTGCTCCACTGTGCTGCGTCGAAATTAAATTTTCAATCTACTTTTGTCGAGATTTAATTCGAAACGCTCCCTTCCTCTATCACGTCTGTCACTTACGGGATGCGACATATTGGAATTTCATGCTCAATTCGCAATGCTGATCCGCAAGACTGGCACTTTCCGCGTTCGAGTCATTGCCGGTCTACTGTTATCTGTAGATGCCGTGTGACTGCAGACATTCGTAGAGAAGATCGCTTTCACTCAAGAGCAGGCAGTGACTCCATCAAAGAATTCCAAAAGAAAAAAAAGAAAAAAAAAAAGGTATTCAGATCACAAAGCACATCTCAAGTGGTTTGTCTGCTCTGTAGAGAGCAGACGAAAAAGGAAAAAAATTTGACAAGAGTGGGATTCGAACCCACGCCCCGTAAACGAGATATGGAAACTTGGATCAGGTGAGCCTGAACCATACGCCTTGGACCAACTCGGCCATCTTGCCTCTTCACGTGATTTACAGGGGGTTTGTCTATTCATTCGCCTATTGAATTCGCCCCGCCAAAAAAATCTATCACTTTCATGGGTCCACTAAGAGTTAGTGAAGGCAAAAAAATCCAAAAAATGACCAGACTGGGGCTCGATCCCAGGACCTTATCGGTGTTAACGATACGTGATAACCAACTACACCATCCGGCCAATACTTGCTTGAAAGTTCGAGACTATGACCATACAAACCCCAACCAAATCAATCAGCGAGAAGCTCGACAAACTTTTCTTGGCGGAAGTCTGATATTTTTGGTTACTCAACGCGTTTATTCATATTGAGATATCAACCTCAAGAGAAGAAGGCTAGACAGGAAAGGGATTAGCTATGACACATAGAATGATGCTCTATTTGAGACATTGAACTGTCTTTCAGACAGGTGTTAAATGGAAAATGTTTGATTTCCCATCATGTGACATCGTGTGTTAATTCAAATACCACAGCATATTTTACGATTGTCAAACCATCTAAATGAACACAATGGGACCGAGAAAAAACGGGGAATTTTGGATTGACAACCTCTGCCACACATAGCCAATTATGGAACTAGAGGCGGGAAACTTCCGAAAAACCTGAAAATGGAGCTGAATCTCCATTATCCTACATAAACACTATATTAGTACACAGTAGTATATTTCGAAACATCACTACCGAGAATTATCAACAGCTATAAAATGAAGTTTTGAATATTATTCGATCGGCGATGCCGAGCACCGAGAGTTTAAACCGGGTTCGGCAACACCCGCCAGTAGTCTAAAGTCCAAAGTCAGCCCGACACGCCACAGGCGGTCAACAATTTCCAGGGATCCACCCCGAAACCCAGGGCACTTTCAGATTTTTTCTTGGCTTGATGGAGGTACAATTGCAGACATTTCTGAAATTGCCTTTTGATATCATCCGTGTGAAGTCAATGCTGGCATAGTTGTCAAATTGGTTCTTTTGGGCTACGAATTGGCCAAAATTTCACCCTGTTTGACGAAGCGGAACGAAAGTTGCCCATCATGAGTGACGAGGAGTCCTATGCAGTCGATGCAAAAAAGCCCATTGACGGTCCCCTCAAAGATGGTGAAAAGCCGTTTGCTGCAAAGTATCTGGAACCTTTTGGCAATGAGGAGACTGCCGAGGTTAAGTATCGGACTATGAAGTGGTGGTAAGCGACTGCTTGTTCATGCAATAAGATTGCCATTGAAGGATCAAGAATACTAATAACATTCGGCCAGGCACTGTGGAATGCGTGAGTATCTAGTTTAAAAGATCTCGCGCCTTTGAAGTATTTTCTAACATTATCTTAAGTCATGATCGCCGAGAATGTCTCTGTGGGAATTCTTTCTCTTCCTTCCGCTGTAGCCACCCTTGGAATGGCTCCGTATGTTTCTTTCTTTTGAACGACTCAAGCATTTATATGGACTAACATCCTAATACAGTGCTGCGATCATGATTTTGTTCATCTCTGCTCTTTCCTGGTACACAGGTTACGAGATTGGCCAGTTCAAGCTTCGTCACCCAGAAATTCACAGCATGGGAGACGCTGGTGAGCTCCTGATGGGCCGTGTCGGCCGTGAAGTGCTCGGTATTGGCCAGCTGTTGTTGTTGATTTTCCTCATGGCCAGCAACATCCTGACTTTCAACATCCTTATGAACGTTTTGACGGATCACGGCACCTGCACACTGGTCTTCGGTGTTGTTGGTCTGGTCATCTGTTTCCTGGGTGCATTGCCTCGTACCATGGAAAAGGTCTATTGGATGTCTTGCATTTGTGAGTGGCGCCCAATAGTTGCATTTATGACAGTCTAGCTGACACTTTCCAAGCGTTCTTGAGTGTTTTCGTCGCCGTTATGGTGACTATGGCCACTGCTGGAGTCGAGAGCAAGGGCAATGTCGTCAACCATGCCACCACTGAAGTCAGCTTCCGCGACGGATTCCTCGCGGTGACTAATATCATTTTCGCTTACCGTAAGTGAAAACACCAAATTGCAAGTGAACCACCATTCTAATGAGGCTTGCAGTTGCTCACATCGCTTATTTTGGCTTCATGTCTGAGATGGAGGACCCTCGAACCTTCAATAAATCGTTGGCCATGCTTCAAATCATCGACACGGTCCTTTACCTGATCAGTGCTCTGATCATCTATCACTACGTCGGACCCGATGTTGAGTCTCCCGCCATTTTGTCCTTGAGCCCGTTGATGAGCAAGATCGCCTGGGGCCTTGCCATTCCGACTGTAAATCTTACCCTTTTCAAATTCACTAGTTTTACAATACCTATGCTGACTGAACCAAGGTCATTCTCTCCGGTGTTGTCTTGGGTCACGTTGCGTGCAAGTACATTTACGTCCGCCTTTTCCGCGGTTCCGACAAGATGCACAGCCGAAGCTTTCTTTCAGTTGGATCCTGGGTCGCCATTTGTATCGGCGTGTGGGTCATCTCGTGGGTTGTCGCAGAATCAATTCCCGTTTTCAATGACCTGCTCAGTCTCATTGTAAGTCATGGGATGCATAAAATCTTTGAGGAACTTCGCTAATGCAGGATTTGATTTCAGAGTGCGTTGTTTGGAAGTTGGTTCAGCTGTATGTCCAATCCCTCCTTTGTATAGTCGTGAGTTTATCTTTACTAACATGAGGTAGTTGGTCTCCCTGCAATCTTCTGGTTCTACATGAACCGTGGTCAATTCTTCAAAAACTGGAAGAAAACTTGTTTGACTATCATCAACATTCTGATCTTGGCAATTGCCTTCGCCATGGTGAGGCCCTCTTTCCTACCTACCTCACCCGTGTTGCCGTGACTGACTTCATAAAGTGTGGACTTGGGCTTTACGTGTCCGCTGTCGCGATTCATGATGACTCTAGCTCCAGCAGTTGGTCTTGTGCCAACAATGTATGATTATGAGTGGAAAGCTGCGAATTGCTGGGTCCTTCTTTCCTATTAAAAGACTTCGATATACGTCACCTCCATTTACTAATTTCGAACCGAATCCAGCTGTGTTTTGGAACAAATTTATTTTTACAAAGAGAGTTTGATTTTGTACATATACCATGAGAATATGGCAGGGTTGCCTACGGGGGTTACCCGAGTGTCCAAAGTCATATAAACTCCATGTCTAAAGGCTGACGCTGAGCGCTGCCGTCAATAAGACTTAAATTAATTGAATTAAAGATTGTGATTTAGTAGGCCTCGATGGTTTCCGTTCTTTGTCGTAATAACAGGCTGATGATGCATACCTCGATTTCCAGTGGTCTGCTACTACCGACTGACTATTCAATTCAATTCAATCCAAATTCTATTAACCTAATCGAGCCTAACTAGTGTCGTCGAGGCTATGCAGGGGATTCGTCCAAATCCGAAGCAGAACTTGTTATCCATAACTCCAGACTCGTGGCTTGCAATAAACAGTAGTCACAAAGGAAAGCCAGCCCTCCATGGATGGGCCGGCACAAGAAAGAGTGTCAAAAGATCCATATTCCGCGCATAATCAAGCCCACATGTAAGTCAAACCCAAAAGACAATGCCCACAGCATGCCACTTCTTCTGTGTCCCCTCGTCCCCGTCGTATGCTACCGACTGACTCCTCGAAAGGATCAGCCCTAATGAGGTCGTTCATACTATACTGGTCCATTAGATGGAGCCAAATTGGTACGAGCGCGAATATTGCCCTGCTCTACGGTCCCTCAGTGTGTCAATGAATTATTCACAGTCTTTGCAACACGAAGAACCAATTTCTTGTGTTGTAATTCTCTCGTAAGTCTGTTTACTACTCTGATATTTCGTGGATGAATCTGGGGCTTAGTGACAGGGAGAAGAGATGTTGGTATGAAATCACGAAGCACGATTGAGATAATATGCCAGTCTCCAAGGAGGGACTACATATGTGGCTACATATGTGGAAAAAAATGCATAGATAAATGCTTAAGAAATCATGTCCAAGGCTGGGTGTGCAGCTGAATTATGAAAGATATGCCAGGACGTTGATGTGCGCCTGAATGAACAATTTCAATGGTGTTTTGATTTTACTGGAACAGGTTTCGGCTTTACACTCAGTACCTAGGGGTTGTCCAGTTGTCCAAATACACTTGGCCGCCTCGGTGTTGACTTTCAAGGATAGTAGGTCTGGACGGAAATAGTGGCCAACCGTATCAATCATTGCTTTGGCGTAGTCAACGATGGCTCGAACTTCCTCAAGGCGGAGGCCGCCCTCACCACCTTCGCTGATGCCGCCCACTCTGAGCATGAGATTGTTTTTTTGGTGCCTCGCAACGACAACATCCTGTTGATCGGAGGCATTGCCAAATCACACGAGTGGAATCTGAGTCTGACGCTGGACTCGCCCATCCTGAAGCGCATGCGAGCGCGCTACGAGTTCTTCCTCCCTGGTCTCTCGCTTCGACCTTGATTACCCATCGGCCCAGGGATTGCGACCCTTCCGCGCAGAGAATGTGCGTGTGGAGCGTGAGTTGCGTGGACTTGGCCGCAACCCTAGCCGCATCGTGCCCTCATATGGCCAATGCGGCGGGGGTTAGAGTCTCTCCTTCGGCCGTGAACCGGATGTCCGGACGGTGATTGAGGAAGCCCTTCTGGATCTGGAACCGGTGCCTATAGCCATTCTTGACGAGAGAAACGTTTCTTGCCCAACGGTATCCCAGACCAATACGGCGAGCCTATATTCGATTGAACCTCTAGGTTTTTGATTGGCGTACGCGTATATGAGTTGATATATATACCCCATGGATAAACTGGGATGCACTGCATCCCTTTGCTATAACGGAAACGTTATGTGAACCCGCTACTTTGTCAAAACGAAGACCACTTGACCAAATTCGCCGACGAATTTTTAGTGCTCATAGTTATATATACTCGATAGATCCTACATTATACCGTTACATACTGAAAGTTTGATTAGAAACAGGATTAGTATACAGGGTAATGTAGGAGAATAAGGTCGTTAAATCTACGATTAGGTAAATCTAGGCCTTCTCTTAGCTACGGAAGTATCGCTTTACGCTAGTAGACTTAGAATTCTAGTAAAAGACCTCTACATGTTACAATCCCCCCGATAGCTTGAAATTTCTCCAATCTTCAAAATTCCAGATGAGACAAATATCGATAAGGCTGACTTCTTCGATCCCAAATTCTAGCCTTTCCTCTAGTAGGAAGCTCTTTGAGCTCTGAAGTTTGATTCGCTATTTACCGCCTAAAACTCGCGTATTTCAATCAGGGTAAGGAGGAGGGGAGATATACTTTTCTGGGTAGTAAAGTTGAATCCGATAATTTTTTTTGGAGAACGAGATTGTAAATGTGAAATGGCCTATCTTTATGAGGAGATAGAAAAATACAAAAAGATAGCGAGTAGAAGGGAGAAAGTGTAGTGCAATTAGCACAACGACTGATATTATAAGACGAGGGTGGTAAAAAAATTTGACCAGACTGGGGCTCGATCCCAGGACCTTATCGGTGTTAACGATACGTGATAACCAACTACACCATCCGGCCAATACTGAAAATTCAGCATGGGATTGATAGTTGAGACATTGATGACAGCAAGGAATAGGCTTTGTTCTCCTGAAAGAGAGTGTCAGCTAGTTGTTCAAAGTATGTGGATGGAACGGTGTTCGTTATGTTGGCCTCGCTCATGCCTTTCATTAACTTTGGAACATGAGTTGAACGGCTCAGCGCAGTGAACTTGACTTTTGCCCCAGACGGGCATGTTTTCATTACTGGGATATTATAACTGTAGACGTAGTTTGAGGTGTCTCCTCCCTAAGGCTCCACACAGACAACTTGGCCCGTAATCTTTCCACGTGAGGTTCAGTACTAGGCAGATTAACAACGGCTGTGTTTTCCCTCTATTTCCCAGTCAATGCCCGGTTATACATGTGCTCCGCCATCTCCAATCTGCCCTGGCGCGCAGTTAATGATATAAGAGCAGCTCTCACAGAATACTTTGTATCGATTATGATGTTATTTTTTTGGTATTTCTGATTTATGTGACAGAAAAAAAGAGATATTAGCTAGTCCTAATGTAGAACTTCGATCTAAACAATTCATTTTTACGGCCGCCAAATAAATCGCTTCTTTTCTGCACGGCCTTCATTCCTTTGATACCTACTGCTTTCGATTAACCGCCGTATTCTAATGTCCTCAGACCCGTATTGCATATATCTCTTTTAGTGATAAGGTCATTTATTTAACTGTCCTATTTTGCTAAAAGTCCTAGCCGCCGCTAGGGAAGATTCAACCCGCGGGGATTAAATTTCTACGTCAATTTTAGGAAAAGCGCGTAAGAGGGTTATTGGTGCACACTATATGTGAATAGATGAGACCGTGAAAGTTATCTTCTCTTAAAGGAGCCTAGGCTATACTAATTTATACGATAAATCCACAACCTGATATTTATGTTTGAAATTTCCAAATGATCGATAAGAAACAAAACCCCCCCATTTACCCTTGCCGATATCGATATAACGTCGGCCTTATACTTATAACGACCGTTAGATCCGGCAGTAGTAAATAGACTGTCACGAAGAAGAGATAGTACGGAAAGTCGTTGACGTAAGCAACGCTTAGGAACTTTTTAAGGGACTGCTCTCGACGCCGCAGTATGCCGAGGAGACGCAGCGAGCGTATAATTGCTTCTTAAAAAGGGCGCGGATGCCAACGCTTAAGGGGGCCGTTATGGAACTCCTCTCTAGGCTACGGCATAGGTAGAAGACACAGCGACCGTACAAGTGCTTCTTCAGTAGGGCGCGGACGTTGACGCTCAAGGAGGCCGTTTTGGAAATGCTCTCCAGGCTGCGGCATCGAGAGGAAATACCGTGATCGTATAAGAGCTTCTTAAGAGGGCGCGGACGTCAACGCTAAGGTCACGGAATGCCTACGTATTGACTTCGCGAAGCCTGCAATCTGTGTCCGATGTGCTAAAAATATCGCAGCTTTATTATTTTATGGAATAGTAAAACAAGCATTACCTTGAAATACAATAAATAATAATTTATTTACAAATTTATGAAATACATTTTTTGCAAAAGTATTAAATATAGAAGTTTGGTGCATACCTAAATCTCTGCCACTTTCACGACGGCAGTAGCAAGTGCGATAACTGCGTCGCTATCGGAGGAACAGTCCTACGACGATTGGCTCCATGGGATCCTTTCACTAGGACATTCTGGTTCAGTGATAGATTTCCTCCAGTGATGATTGATATTGGTATGCTTCGGCGATGTACTCGTGCGCTTCTAGAATTCTTTGGTTTGTAAGTGATGAATGTAGGGTTTTAATGGCGTTTTTAGGTGAAAAGGAGGTGTTTAGAATGAAAAATATTTTGCATGTGTATCTGGGCAGATGTAGACGTTCTGCTAGCCATGTTCTCGAATAAGGCACACATGCGGGTTTCTATTCTGTCACACTGGACCTTAGCAAACTCAGACGTGCTGTAGACGCGTCGGTGAGCCATGAAGCACATGTCCCGGAAGAGAGTACGAAAGACAGATCGTGGGCAGAATACTGCATTTGGATCAGCGACATAAGCCATGAAATAATCTTAGTGAGCTACAATGCATCCCAGGAGGGTAAGCATCCACTAGAAGCGCCGACGCTATATATGAAGATACCCCTTCATACGGCATCCTGGTCTTACCCGCTGCAAGTAAGAACTTTGTGAGACGAGAGCTGAACGCGCCATCAACGGGATTATGCCTCCTGGAGTAACTGATGAAATTGATCTTAGTGAGTGCTGACGAGGCTACATCTTGAGATGCAAGGTTGAACAGCTCATTCAAATGCGTGGCGGAAAACAAGGCATGATGGTTTTTGCGGGCAAATCGTGTGTCATGGAGCTGTCTGGATAGATCTGCACTGAGTGTGAGAAAGTGGGCACTCGGCGACAATTCTTCGGACGGTAATCGAGAGAAACGTATGTCTGCAAACGTATCGGATAAGGAATCGTGTTCGATTTGGAGCTCGAAGGCAAAGTCTCGTTCGTCAAGCACGTCGTGAGTGATGCTTTGCGTCTTGTTGTTGACAACGACAATGACCCTCGGGCGTACTGCATTTGGTAGACAAGACGCGGATCCAATCCTCGCCCATCGAGATAACATTTTATGAACCTCCAGCAGGCCCCCAACATCGTCGGCGAATACGCAGAAGACATCAACAAATGGGAGAAGAAGGCGGGCCAATATCAGGTCATACAAGGAGTACTCCACAGGAAACGATTCAACTTACAGCTATGAGCAGGAGCTGTTGGCTAATTACATGTGCTACACACGGTAAGGAGTAATTCGTTAAACTGAAAAGTTCGAAAGCCACAGGTCTTGATGTAGCTGGAGTCATTCCAGGGGGGTTTAGAGTGAATGCCAGACCGAGTAATATTTATTGGAAAGCTCCTAGTATGTTTGGATGTGACAGCGTCCATGACCTTAGTCATTCCGTTTGCAATCTTTGTGAAACCAATCGAAAAAGAGATGCGGCAAGTACTCCTTGGCTCTCTTCCTCTTCTCGTGCAACAAATGGAGCATGCAGAAGCAAAGTCGAGAAATAACTCTTTCTTATCTCCAGCTATTTCCGTCACCGTGTCTTCAATGTATATGGGCTTTTAAATTGAGACTACTACTCGCGATTTAGGTTTTAAGGTTAAATATATATCCTTTCAGCTTAGTCTCTTATTTTATACACACCCTCGCAGCATGGTCAAGACCGCCCCTTACCACCGCCAGGTTGCCACCCCGAGTCAAAATGATATCTCTCTTTGCCAAGGCACAAACAATGTCCCTCTTCCCAGCGAACCAATCGTATGGGACGAAAAAGTGCTCAGAGATCTCAATTGTCGGGGAATCTTTGCGTTGCGCGATCTCTAACCCGCCTTCGCTGAGATCAACAGAGCACACCCAAAAAGACTGGTTCAGGAATATAAGTTTCCTCGATTCATCAATTCCGATAACATGAGCAATGTTTAGTTCGAATGCCGTCATCGGTGAACGAAGCGGAGCGGCTGGATTTGATGTCATGACCAGGTTCTCCCCGTCTTCATCTGTGGCAAGTTGGCCTAAAGCTGCCACAGCATCTAATTGCTTCCCTAGCAAGCGGCTGCTATCGTTGTTTCTGACGCCAAGGCAGTCTATGTCAATTATCCCAATCCTGTTGATGTTGACAGGGCCGTTCGGATGTAATAAGTCGAGCATAATTCTCTGTTTTTGACCAAGGAAATAGGGAATCGCGCTTTTGAGCTCTGCCGTGTCGTCCAATGACAATGTAATAGACAAAATTTCAGACAAGTCACTCCAGCAATACACGCAGACTTTGACATTGTCGACACAGACCAGATGTTGAGAGGATTCTGGATGAGGGAGCCATTTACGGCTTCCAGGCATTTGTGAATATGTCCAGTCTCTCTCGTACTTACCGCTGTCCAAGCTGAACAGGTGATCAGACTCGCGAGTTGATACCAGGAACTTCGCCGCCATGTCTCCTACTAGCACATCTATGATTGCCTTTTCGGAGTCGAGGCGGGACTTGAAGAGTACGCTCAGATCGCTGAGCCAACCTTTGTCTGCTGACTTGTGGATTCTGTATAGGAAGATCCTGTTGGAGGCATCCACACTAAGGAGAGCGTCTCTCCGTTCAATCCAGGTTAACAGGCGGACTGGTGACTTGTGACTGTAGAGAGTCCCCAAGCTCGCTGCAATTTTCCGCTCGTACAGTTCAACTGATCCATCATCCTTTCCGCAAAAGATAACTTCGGACGTGTGATGGACCACCATGGCAGTGATCTTTGCTTTTGCTTCCGTAGAAACCGTCTCCACCATTGTAGTTAAAGTGGTTCCGCTGCTGTCATCGCTCAGGGAGTCCCGCAACAGGGCTTCAGGTTCCCAGACAGTGCACTGGGCGCCTCGTATGTCGGCAAGAAGCATACTGTCTCTGGTAAAGGCAAGTTGCTTGATAAACGAGTTGGATGACTTGACCCGGTAGAGGAGCTTGAACGTATCGAATTCATACACGTCGATAATCCCATTTGCACCACCTGCTGCGAGGAGACGCCCATTGGGGCTTGCGGCGAGAGTTTGGCAGTTGGCACGAAAACATTCCAGCTGTTGATCCGCAAATGGAGCAAGGAGTGCAAGATCACCATCAAGGTATGCGACTGCAAGAAGGCGAATGTCTGGATTGGGGTTGAAAACAAGCGCGACGACGACATGCGTGCTGGTCTCTCCGCTGGAGAGTTTCTTGCCACAGCTACCAGCGTAGGCGTCCCCTTTCATGTCCCACAGCGTAATGGGTTGACCACTATAAGCGACAGCAAGCATTCCGTGGCTGATAGAGAGAGTCAGTGCGCATGGGGTCCCACGCGGAGGGGTTCGGTTCGCTTCTGGCGTATCGGTATCGCTCCATGGCAACGACTTCGGCTGTGCGTCATGTTCCAAATTCCAAGTCACGACGTAGTTGTTGCGACTCGCGATTAAAAGTGTCTCTTCATCGAATTCCATCCCAAGCGGATGCGGAGGGCTCGCAAGGCTGTGCACCACTTGCCCACTTCTGATGTCCCAGACCTTGGCCATCTTCATCCCACATGTTGCTACGAGGTCGGTTTTGGACTTGAAAGCAATAAAGTGGACTGCTTCACCATGCTCCAAGACCATGTACTCCTGGTAAGATGTGGCGTAGTACAATACGACAGTTCCTGAACTGAGGCCGACGGCCAGGAACTCATCTCCATAGCGCAAGAACCTTGGTTGACCCTGACGGAAATCAATGCACAGCAGCCTGTCATCCCATTGCTTATGAGGTGCGCCAAGCACTACGAGCCTCCGGCCTGGGCCCTCGGTGTTATATATCATAGACTCGGTGGGACAAAATGGAGGTATCAACGAGTATATAGCTGATGGTGATACTGTGAGGGCGTTGGCGAACATAGCAGGAATCCGAGCAAGGTCCGTGGCCCACTGTCGTAGCGCTCGTATCTGAGGGTCTAGTGGTGAACGTTCAGCGGCGCACGCATTGGCATAGATTTTGAGATGCTTTGAGGTGCGGATGAGTTGATTGAGATTTCGAGAGTCGGCAATCGTTTCGATCCAAGTGAGGACGTTGGATCTCAGGAACTGCACGACAAGCTGGAACGTCCCTGACGCCAATGGATCAGCTCTTGAAAGGTGATATGAATATGCTGTGTATGCATAGGCGGCGAAGTCTCAGTCTTGTTGCTGTCAAATTTACCGAAGAACGGCGTCGACTGTTCCTAGGAAGGTTCATTTCCTCGCCGACTAGGTAATTGAGACACACCTGAGCCATCCGTGTGTGGGCCTTGGTTTTCTCGATGGAGAACTCAGACTCAAGTCCGCCGGCTACAAGGAACTCTCTGGCAGTTTCATGCACCATCTTAACTTTCCCATACTTGTCCACGACCACCAGTTGACCACAGAGTGCGGAGATGCTCTCCTCCAATCTTGGGAATGAGTCGCGGATGTCCAGGGTCAGAGCACCGTCCAGTTCGCGGATTGTCATTGGTCGAACTGCGCATACTACCCACATTAGAATGGTTTTGGCCAGCTCCTTTCCGCGAACGGCCTCCGACATGTAGTCTAAAGTCCGCTTGTACAGTGACTCCATGCCTCTCGGTACGTCTTCAAGAATCTGGAGAATTTGCCTTCTGCCGTGGCAGTGTAGGAGCTCCTCAAGCACCAAAATTGTCCACAAGAAGGACCCATTAGATTTGTCGAGGATCTTCTTTGCTAATGTACCTCGATCGTCAGGGCCCACGACTCCTAACGCCTGTGTTTTCCTCTCAACCAAAAGCCTGAGATCTGACTCTGTGTCTGATATCGAGATTGGCAAGGACTGGATTAGGTTGGGTGGAATGCTCGAGAAACCTTGGTCCAGGTCGACCGTATCCCGGCTTGTGACGAGAATTCTCAGGGGTATAGATTCGTCCATATTGGAACAAATGGCCTGTAAAAGGACTAGAGGATTAGAACACTCGTCCAGGGCATCAATGACCCAGTAATGCCGAGTCATTGTAGCCTGGAAAATGCCAGACAGGAAGAGGATTCTCCACAGGGTACGTTCGTCGACGCGGTCTAAGCGAACACCATCCGCCTGCATCCCTAGAATGGCATCACTAGCTTTGGCACTGGAGCTAGCCATCTGGAAAGCCAGAGATCGGAGACAACGACGTAGGTTGGACTTCGACTTTTCTCCATGTTTGAAGAAAAAGTAGCTACATGCCTGGCCGGACTCCTTAAGTTGATCAATGACATAGCCAGCGAGAACAGATTTTCCAGTTGCTGGCTTGCCCTTGATCCATAGTGTCCTTCCACATCCGGATTCCTCATCCCTCCATTTGACGTAACTGGCTTTGGTCGAAATCCATTTGCACGACCCGCGCATCCGCGCTTCGCAGACGTTTTCAAGATCATCGTCCAAGACGTCGGAAACTTCCAGGTACTTCTTGAGGTTTTTGATACTTTGACGCCTCTGCTTCAGCTTCAGCTCCAGAATTGCCGTGGAAATTTTGCTCACAGTAGAGGCGAGCGCGTTTCGTAGGAGGACGTAGTTGGAGTCTTCTGGTGTGTCGAACTTGCATATCGAGCGGTGGTCAGCAGTCATGGGTACCTGCTTCTCTTCACGGTACCCGAGGACGGCGGACTCGGGATCGACAATGAGCGAGCCAAACAATTTCATATTTTGCGTTTCATAGAACGACCAGAGCTCAGGGCCAACCAAAAAATTCCGAAACTCGTCATTGATCACTTGGACCGCCCCCGAGTTCCTTTCCAGATCGCCAATATAAGCACGGTCGTACGCAACCTTGAGGAGGTTCTTCAACATCTTTGCCGAGTCGGCACCCCGATGCGGCGTGGCGAGGAAATAGAATGCGGCGAATCGCCCAGCCAGCGCCTTGTGCAGTGCGTCTTGTTTCGCTAGGATATATGCTTTCTTCATCACCAAGCCACCCATACTATGGCCGATTACAACGATGGGCGTCTCAGAATTGACAATGCATGGTGAAGTGCTGATCGCGCCTAGTAATGACTTGCCAAAGTGGTGTATATTCAAGCAGTTCTCTTTACCATCCAAGTAATTCGAATCGTATCCATAGCTATGGATGCGGACATTCTTGAATGCGGGATCTTTGGGGAGCCACTCCTCTGGCCAGAAATGAGACTGCTGGGACGACTTGCTCCATGTTTTTCTAGAATTGCCCCCCTAGGCCATGGATGAAGATGAAGTCGATCTCCGGTGTCGTTGGGGAATACAGAAGGCTCAGTCCAAGCGGGCCCTTCAGGCCCTTCGCTTGATCTCCCGATGTGATTGACGTCCTGGGCAGTGTTTTTGACAGAGAAAACAGGCTCCTGAAGCTCTTAGTCGAGTCATGACTAATTGAGGGACTGTCGGGAGGTAAGTCGGGATTAACGTGCCGCGGCTTTCGAAAGAACTGCTACGGTCAGCGATCGCGTAGGGTTGGAGTTTCCAGGAGGCTAACGGGGGTAGAGTTAACCATTGTAGGCCACAAAACTCAGTGTGGGTCGCTAATCTCAGCAGTTTCCTGGACTCGTCCAAGGTGATGTTGGTACGATGGTCTGTCAGTTAAGAGAACAATGTAACAACGGTAAAGCGGCAGTTGTTCCAGGAGAGACTCTTGGTGATGCCCAACACCTCGCGATTGAAGCACTTAGTACGGAGGTCCATACAGGGTGACCAAGAAACAAAGAAACAAATGCCGGTCTCCACTATTTTTCTTACATACCGCCTTTCTATTTTACTATACGTGACCATCTAGAATCCTTCCTCTTTTAAACTATACTTTGCTTAACCGCGATAACCGTCTATATTGCCGTTTCCTACGAGATAAAGGTTATACCTATTTATCTATTGCCTCCCGAATAGGCTGTTCGGTACGTTAAGCTCGGTATGCCTACGATATAATATGAATCACGCCTCAAGAGAAATACTGGCTGACGCCCAAAGCTTACCCCTGAGCGCCTTAATAAGGTGATCTCCTAGATTCAGGCGTCCTTTACGCATCGCTATATAAAAATCTATAATATTTATGTAATCCTAGACCTCAAGGTCTGCGGAGAGACGCTTCGCCAATCCTTTAAGGCTCGTAGGATAGTTATATATCCTACTACGTAGACCTAGCCGGAGGGTCTAAGGTCCGGACCCTCCACCCGCCAAGGGACCCTCAATAAGGGTCCCTTTTTTTTATAAAGGTGTATAAAACACTATTTATAAGCAGAAAAGTACCTATTTAGGCCTATTTTAGGCCTTGAAATATTACCTAAGATGGTCTAGAGTTAGAATTTAGACCCTCCTTAGCGTCTTAGCGGGTCTAAATTAAGGGTAAGTACTAGGTCTACTACTACGCAGAAGCCTCCGATCCTTGCTATATACTATTCGAAACGACTTATATAGGCTCGGGCCTAGGCATCTTTCCGATCTAAATAGTATCGAATACCTTATACCTAGCGTTTTAATTACGAAAAATATTATAAAACCGCCGTCATCGGATAAATAAGGTAACGTTAAGGGATTATAGTCTAGGTATACTTTACTAACGCAATAAAGGGACCGCTTATTACTTAGAACCCTAAATAAGGCACCCTAAATTAAAGCACCTTTATTAAATATATTGTGCCTAGTATTAATTAATTTAAGACTAATATATAGGAGAATCATCGTATTTATGCTCTTCTTATATAAGATAGGGTACCTTATTATTAGTTATACTAGATAACCGAGGAATTATATAGCCTTAATATTACTGGAACAGACTATCCCCCTATATTGTCTTACCTTAATCCACAGGAGAACCTATAGAATTAGCTTAAGGATTATATATCTTTAAGATGCGTATCGTATACAATTAACATAGGCTATTATGGCCTTATGCCTATAATCGAAGAAGAACAGGAGGCTCTGCCTATAGATATGCTAGAAGGATTGGTAAATTCAATGCCTCGCCGTATTTAAGAGGTGATTACAAGAGATAGAAGGGCGACGCAGTGTTAAAACATCTAGATACAATGATTATTCATAAAATACTGGCAGAATAAGTGTGGAGACCGACATTTGTTTCTTGGTCACCCTGTATTAAAAAGTCCTTGCCCACTACAGGGTGACCAAGAAACAAAGGTCGGTTTTATCACCGCCTTTTTCAGATATTTACATACCGCTTTACGAAATTACTCTACGTGACGAAATCACTTTCTTCAATTCATGCGTTAGCCAGAAATAAAGGGTATTAATACAAACTAAATACATTGGTTATTTCAAAACCCCGGCAGAATAATAGTGGAGACCGACCTTTGTTTCTTGGTCACCCTGTACGGACTCTAGTGTAATTTATTGGTTACTAGCCTCGTTTTCTACATACAGTATTTCCCCCCTCCTACAGCAAGAGCGCAAGAGCGAATCCAGGAGTGGATTGAACGCTTGCCACGGTATATTAAGGAGGTAATTAAACTACAAGGGGGGGTAATGAGTACGGAGTACAGAGAAGGGCGATACGGGGGATAGAACCAACTAGTCTGTCTTAGGAATAAGATATGAGTTTAGCGGGACCTTTGATATGGACCTCCGTAGGCCGCCAGCCCGCCTTCTCCCTCGAACCACCAATCAGCTGGTTGCTTTAAACGCCCGTCGACGGCCCGGGCCACAGGCTCGGGAAAGGCAACGGCATGTGTTTTTCGCAGAAAATCCCCCACCCAGGATTTCAAAATCACCCCCGTTGGCCTGTACCTTATTTGCCCATTTCTTGACGATGCTGTGTTGATTTGGCCAATAAGAGAGATTGTGCACGCACTGTGTATTCTTTCAGAGAGCCATTTACTATGGTTTCCCAGACAAATCCAACCTTCGTGGTTGGGGACCATGAGGCTTTCATGGAATACGCTCTCATTCAGGCACAAAAATCACCGCCAGCTGCCAACAAATTCTGCGTCGGAGCTGTACTCGTCGACGCCGCTAACGGCAAGGTCCTATCGACAGGATACTCGCTTGAATATCCGCGAGATTACAAAGGAGATCCAGGCACCACGCACGCAGAGCAGTGTTGTTTTATCAAGATCGCCGACGAGCACAACCTCCCTGAGGAACGCATCCATGAGGTCCTTCCGGCCAACACGGCGTTGTATACGACAATGGAGCCATGTAACGAGAGACTGAGCGGCAACATGACCTGCGCGACCAGGATATTGAGACTTAAGAGCGCCATCAAAACTGTCTATGTGGGGATCAAAGAGCCAGGGACGTTTATCGCACACAACGACGGACAGGAAAGGCTGGAGGCAAATGGTGTCGAGGTCGTGTTCCCTGTTGAGCATTGGCGAGACAGGATCACCAAAATCTCAATTGCTGGGCACTGAAGACCTGAGGTTGTGCTAGAGGTTGCGGAAACACCCGGACGCGCCGTCCAGCAACGCGGCTCAAGTTTATTTTGACCCTCTTTTTGTTATTTAGGGATGAAGTTGGCATTATAAGGATTTGTTGGTGCGAATCCCCTTTTTTTTAAGAACAGGTCAGTAGGGGCCTGCTGAGAGCAGAACACGAGATCAACCCAGGCGGGGTGAGAGCTTAGGCTAGGGACTGCGCTTTGTTCACTCGAGTTTTATCAAAGCGAATAGGGTTCCACTACTTTGCTTAGTAACGTATTTGAAATGTTGTAACGTAATTCCCAAGCGAGCTGTCCACCCCAAAACACCATACTAAATGCCATATTTTCTACTTCTCTACTTTAACAGCTTTAAAATATTTTTACTCATTTTTTAGTATATGCGCTTTTATAAGCAAAAAGAATAAGCCTTCCAGATCTTAAGTGATTTAGTCTATTATTTCGTACATTACCATAGAATACGCTGGAATTTAGACATTTGATTTTCAAGTACCTATACATCTCTTGCTGAACCCTTATAGTAATTATCCCAGACTGCGCAAGTAGGTTTAGAAATGCTGCTTAGACAGTAGGAATTCGATATCTCATCTTGAATTGCAAGCGTTGTTGAGATATTATGTTGTAATTTATCGCATCTAATATATGTTTTGCGGTGGGCAACTCGCTTGGGAATTACGTTAGTTGACGGGGAATAACGCGCCGAATCCCATCCCCGTTATTCTTTCCGTCTTATTATGACTTACTATTTGTTATTTCCCCTTCCATCCCAAACAAACACCTGCAATACACTTTGGCAGAGTCAAATTGGCGGCAGTGTCGCGATAAACAGATCGATGATTCCTTGAATCTAGAGATTTAAAGGTGCAAGGGAGCTCTGTCTAGCAAGAGAAAGCCTAGCAGGGCCGACTTTGATGTGTTAAATGAGGCAAATACGGCCATTGAAGAGCGCACTAACAGACTTCCTGGTCTGCGTCGTATTGACTATCACAGAGATGTACGGAGGTAGTAAGAAACTGACATTGGTGGAAGTTGGGCGTGTGTAAGGTAAGAGGTGAGTGGAGCGGAGTTGGGGGTGTTATGGCAAAAGGCATAACTAATACATGACGGGAGGTCTCAGGCCATCTGGGCTGACCTGTAATCAAGAAAGAGGTTGGGGGCATTCGGCGGATTAGGACTCTAGCCGCCCGGGGGGAAGCTCGCCTGCAATTGGCTACTCGACGATGATGGTGAGTGCACCCAGAAGGGCCGCCTATAATAAACCCCGCTTCCTTCTCCGAGAACCCCATTTTCTGCAGCCAGCGCGACGCTAAACAGAGTCGACACAATCTTTGACGCAGCAAATGAACTACAACGGCGCAGATGGTCTTGAATTTGGGGCGGGCAATGCCAAAATCGACCCAGCCGTGTTGAGAGGTGAGCTACGAGCCCTTGGCGGACACTCAAGATCGTCTTTATATTGACTGCCTCCAAAGAACTGCCAGAAGGATGCAAGGTAATATCCACGGAGAAACATGGCATAAGCTTCTGGGCACAAACTGGCCGCATCGATGTTTTGCTCTGCGAT